CAGGTCTATCGGGAAAAATGTTTAGATGCTTTCGAATCAAACAAACCGTTTCCAAAATAAATAAAGAGGGAAGCGTCAAAATTCCGTGATTTTTGAAGTAGGTCTTGCAATGAGTTGTTTGTTTGAGACCAAATAGATAACGGATTGCTCTTTTTTGCAACTTAAAAATAGTATCAAATTGGGCCGCTGTACTAGAACCCCAAAATGGAAGCCCATATCGAAGATTAGACTCGAACAATGAGAAATATGCCATTTTGGCAGAAGAAAAATTTAGTTCCTTCGAAACAGATCTTATTGCAAAGCAAGCTGAGGCTAGTTTCTTCCTTAAGGAGTCAGTATGCAAGGACCATTTGAGATCACTGTCAATGAGAATACCTAGAAATTTCACGGAATTTACGATATTGATTTGGCTCTCATTCAAAAGCAAGGGTTGCATGACTCCTTTATAAGATAATGCTACAGTCTTATCCACGTTAAAGCTAAGATGCACTTTTTTCAACTTGGCACCATGGACTTTTTTAAACATTTTTATGTGGCAGTCAACCTGTTAAGCATTATTATGCACTTTGTGAGAAAAAACTACAACAGGTTGATTATTTTCCTAAATTGACAATTTATAGTATAAAAATATTATACCCCTCCAGCACCCCCTTTGAATTATAAATATCCCTCGACAATTTTAACTAACAAAAGGGGTCGTATGGTACCTTGTTAGCAATAAAAACTTTTTAAAATTTGGTGCAATCATAACTGAGAAAATTTATGTTAAATATGTAAAACTGTGATAATTTTGTTTGTGTTTAAATGACTGCGGACACTAAATCCATTCGCCAAACTGTGATAATGTCTCTATCACAAAACTTTAGGTTGAATGAAGATAATAATGTCACATAATATTTAGAATCTATTTTTCAATGTACTGTACAATTAAATTAAATGTTTAAAATGACCACCATTCACTTCTTGGCAATAACCGAGGCGATTTTGGAATTCTCGTACATTTTGTACGACCTATTTTGTTAATTTCTTCCGTTATCCTAACTTTTAAATCAGCAATACTGTTTGGTCTATTAAAATATACTTTAGATTTTAAATAAACTCATAAGAAGTAATCAAGAGGAGTTAAATCGGGGGATTTTGCCAACCATTCGATCGTTCCATGTCTTCCAATCCACATATTGTGGAAAACCCCGTTTAAATAATTTCTAACTATACATAAAAAATGCGGTGTAAGAGCTCCGTCTTGTTGGTAGTACATAGATCGATCTATCTCATTTGGATGATTAACATCAGGAAAAAATCTTCGTATTGTAGGCACTAAAAACTTATTCAAAAAATCTAACTGTGCTCCCAGAAAAAAAAAGGACCAATAATTTGATTGTTAATTATACCCCAATAAAAGTCTCACACACCCAGTGAGGATTTTCTCTGCTCCAATATCTACAGTCCAGTTTGTTAACAGTTTAAATGAAACGTCGCTTCATCAGAAAAAACTATTTTGTTTATGAACTGCAAATCTGCGTTCATTCTGTCTATGATCATCTCACAGAATTCTTGCCTTCTATCAGTATCATTTTCATTTAACTCCTGAACCAACTGAACTATGTAAGGGTGGTATTTTTCTTTAGGCAAAACTCTCAAAATATTATTTACGCTGTGACGTCTTCTCGTAGGAGTCACTATCCGGGTAGCTTTTGGACAGTCAGAGACAGAGTTCAAGATACATTTAAAACTTCATTGTCTTCCTTAAATTAAATTGACAAAAATCTTATGTACATATTTACAATTTAGTTTAGTCTTCTCAGTACCTGGCCTATTTATTCAAATTAAGTTTGACCTTGTCGTATGAAGTTAGTCTTATCGGTAAGCGAGTGTGTTTTTAAAATTTTACGTGAACGTTGTAATAACAGCGGACGATAGGTACAAAGAAAAGAAAGGAACTCAACACGTCCCTTAAGTGATTCGGGTTAATAGGATACTCCTCGACAGTCTCAACACGACTGCTTCGGAGTACGGGTAATGGAGAGCTCAACACGCTCTCCGGGTAACGGCGGTATGGAACAACTTGTGAACTCAACACGTCCACAAGCGCCGGGGTAGGGAAGAAGAGAACCTTCAGTCAACACCTGTCGATTCTGCCTCTATGAGGAAATGTTGCGGTTTATATAGCAAAGTTTTGCCCTTTCTACTGTCGATACACTCCTACTTCATGGGTTGGTTCGCGCGCACGCTGGTTTAACGGTGATGGCTTGGACTCATTGTTACAACGTACATCATTGACGGCGGCAAGTTATCGAGTTGTCTTATACGGATTTTCCTCAATCTCTAGAAGTACATCTTTTTTTTCATCGGTAAATTTAACATTTTTACAAATAGTACCATCTAAAAAAAGGAACTTCAATATATAGAAAAACTAAACAGAGAGAAATAATTCAAGGCAAACACAAATCAATGTAGAAGTTTGAATGGCGATCTATTAACAACAAAAACAGACGTACTAAATCGATGGAAGGAATATTTTAACCAGATACTTGAAGCTGCAATACCTGGTGCATATTATGCCTAATGAAAAATACAACATACTTGAATTAATTATACAACGGAAAATCCAGGCAGGAGAAGTATAGGAAGGAGAAGAATCTCATGGTTGCGTAACTTGAGGGAATACGGATGCATATTAATCGAACTATTCAGGTATCTTTCTTTATTCTGGTCCAGTAGAAGTCTATCTCAATAATAGTACATTGTTTACCGGGTAGGAAAAGCTTAACATTCCTGGACGACTGTGAAGATTGCTAAGTCGAGGCGCAAGCCGAGACTTAGCAACACAGAGTCCAGGAATGTGGCTTTTCCTACGAGGTAAACATACTATTTTTCCGCAAATCGTTTAAAATTCGACAGATATTGATTGATTTAAAAAAAAACGCGATAATTTTATTCCCAAATAAATGGTGCTTTGAAATTCCTAATAAAATTACTTGGGTTACTATGGAAACGTATTGAGGTTGAATTGTCAAACTTGACGCTTATAAATTTAATTGCTGGTGTTCTCGAAAGTAAAATGATAAGTGATGATGAAATTTCCATTCCTGGGACTCCTCCAGAGCTGGTTGAGGCAGTGAATACTGCTTCATTAGAATTATTGCCAAAGAAATCAAGAGAAAAGTACGAAAATGCATACAGACGTTTTATGGATTATCGCATGAGTAAAAATACGAGTTCTTTCTCAGAAAATGTTGTAATGGCATACTTCCTAGACCTTTGTTTAAAGATGAAATCTTCAACATTATGGGCCAATTATTCAATGCTGAAGTCAACCCTTGCACTTAAACACAATGTAGATATATCTACATACTCAAAACTTCGTTCTTTATTGAAACGGCAAGCTCAAGGTTATAGGGCAAAGAAATCTAAGATTTTAACGAAGGAAGAAATTGAAAAATTTATCCAGGAAGCTTCAGATAAAGAAAATTTAATGATTAAGGTAATTTACAAGGTTTTAATTTCTATTTAGATTATAGCTTTATTTATTTTTTAGGTGGCTGTAATATTTGGTATTTCTGGGGCCTGTAGGATGGATCAGCATACCTGATTCGAAAACCAACAAACCAAGATCATTTGTAATCAATCAGATCTACTTGAATGTTTATCGAAAGTTTGTTTCGTTAAGACCAGAAAATATGAACAGTGACCGATTTTTCTTTAAATATCAAAGCGGAAAGGGTTGTAGACAAGTGGTAGGAATTCATCAATTAAGAAAAATGCCCGAAATAATTGCTACTTATTTGAACTTGGTAAATCCGACAGAATATACTGGTCACTGCTTTCGTCGGTCTTGTGCAACAATATTGGTTGACTCTGGTGCCGACATAACTAGTTTAAAGAGGCATGGCGGATGGAAGTCATCAAACGTTGCTGAAGGATATATCGAAGAATCGCTTAACAATAAGGTTGAGGTGGCAAATAAAATTTTCACAGTACAAAATATTCAACAAAATGACACTTCCACCCTGCATTTTGTCCAAAATGTTTCTCATAGTTCTAAGAGTGTTCCTCCAATGTTCAATAATTGTACTAACTGTCAAATTACTGTAAATATAACAAATTGATCTTAAAAATGTATTCAGCAATGACTTGATGTTTTCAAAATATAAATTAATTCCTTATAAGCAATGTGTTTTTTATCATTTATGTAGAACACTAACAACTGTACGGAAATATCATTTCCTTACAGTAAGGAAATTACATTTCCTTGCAGTAAGGAAGTCCTGACTTTTTCTTCAAGAAATTTTGACAGTAATGTCAAAATTTCCTGGCGATTTGCGAAAAAACAATTTATGATATAAGCTCTCAGCCTATTTCTTAAAATAACTTCTTAAATTAGCTATCTTTTATTAATTGCCCACCTATATCCATTATTATTATACCTAATTATTATGAAAAATGTCACCAAAAAATATTCTTAGAACATTAATATTTGCATTCAATACTTTTCAATTTAATAACTAATTTGATATTTCAGTCATACAGTATTCCTAAAACTTTTTATCGTTTCGTCAATAAAAACGGTTTGTTCCAAATTGCTTGTAAAATTATACGTGTAGTTTGCCAATTGGTTGACGGTTTGCAAAATTGCAGAAACTAATGACATCAATTGTAGAAACCATTTATTGCATCCTGAAATATTATTCAGAAATATCGTTCCTATGCTCAGTAACATGCGGTTCTTTAAGGGACCAATGTTTTTGTTAAAAATCGCTGGACTATATGTACCTGAGACCTTAAGTTCCAAGTCGTTAAAATGGTACAAATTCTATAGAATCTTCATTCAACTCCAGTATTTGCTCTTTTTCATTGGTTTGTTAATTGGTCTCGTTGTATCCGATGCCAAGAAGAGGGAAGATACTATACAATATCTGGCTCCAGCGTTAGCTTTGATGGTGAAATCACTATATTGTCAAACAGAAAAACTACAAAACTTGCTACGTATCTCGCAGAATATGGAAGAAAAAATTATCAGTAGTTCAGATCCAGTAAATAAGAAGATTTTTAGGAACGACGCTATCTATTATAACAAACTGTTTAACTTTTTTGTTGTGGAATATTTTTTAATGGGAGCGCAAGGGCTAATATTGGGAATATACTTAATTCCATTTAAACAAGTTCTAATGCCTGCGTTTTGGTGTCCCCTTCAAACCGAAGATAATGTGATCTTTAGCGCCTTATTGCAAATTTTTGCCGCGGTATATGGAGCAGCAGCATATGCTACGCATGATATGTTGTTTGGGTGTATTATTATGTATGCCACAGCAAGAACTAAAGTTTTTGATCATCATATCACACAGTTTATAGAATCTGCTCGACAAAACGTATGTTCGCCCAAAAAAGAGCTAAAAATGCTGATTAAAGAACACCATGATTTGATTGAGTAAGTATATTAACTCTTAATAGTTGTTATTATTACAATATATACTGCTTATTATACAGAGGCTGTGCATTGGTAGGTTACTAACCTTGCTAATCACCCTTCACATTTTATCTGGGCTTGAAACTGGCTGTGGTGACCGCAGAGCTAGTCAATCCAAGCTGTAATCACACCAAACAGTAACAGAAGAACAACAAGGTTTTAAGTCGGGAAGATCATGCACGGTGGCTATATTTATAATAAGGCAAGTACAAAAGAAATTATTAGTATACAACAAGCCGGCATATCTATGTTTCGTAGACCTTAAGAAGTCAAATTAAAAGACGTTATTCACTTACTGTACCCAAGAGAGCAATAGTTGAAGAAGAACTAACCCTACCCTATTGGAGCTGGCAATGGCATAAGATAGGGAGATTCACTGAGTCCTCTATTGTTCAACCTGATTATGGATTAAATAATAAAAAAAGTAAGAACTAAAAAACAATTTAAAACAAATTGCTATGCAGATAACGCAATACTACTCTCTCAAAGCGAAGATAATTTACAATTATAGATGTTAATTGGAGTTGGAAGGTCAAAGAATAGAACAAGTTATGGAATTTAAGTGTCTAGACATCACATTTGGTTTCTTGATTGTTTCTTGATGTTCTTTTTCTTTCTGGACCTCGTTTTTCAAATAGTTTTCCTTGTAGGATGGCTTAAAGGAGAGCATATCTGGATTCATTTCGCATAATATGTCTGAAGAACTGTAACCTTCGAGATTTGCTGGTGGTCCGTACCTCTCAGTTCTTATTAATTCTTCTGAGGACCTGCTCATATGTGACACTGTCAGTCCACGGGATCTTAAGCATTCTCCGATATAGCCACGACTCAAATGCTTCCAGTTTTCTATACATATCTTCGTTCAAGGTCCACGATTCAACACCATAAAAAAGGACAGAGAAGACGTAGCATCGCAGAATTCTTACCTTTGTATCAAGAGAGAGGTTGTGACTCTAGTCGAAGGTCCCCAACCGATTGAAGGTGGATCTAGCTTTTCCGATGCGTGCTCTAATCTCCTGGTGGTTGGTCCATTCTTCATTTATTATGGTGCCGAGTTAGTTGTAGTGCGTCACTCTTTTTACAGGGGATTGGTTGATATAGAGTTGACCTTCTGTTATCCTTTTCTTGCTAATTATCATAAGCTTTGTCTTCTTAACGTTTATATTGAGTCGATATTGTTGACTGTAATACGTGATTTTATTCATAAGAACTTGTCTTCTAAGTTGTCCGCAAATAGTATGGTGTCATCTGCATATCAGATGTCGTGCAAAGCATAGATAAATATTCTTTCAGAGTACAGATTGAAGATTAGATGAGAAAAAATACAGCCTTGCCTCACTCCACGCATGATTTTCGCATAATCAGTGTGCTCTCGTATCAAGGTCTTTCAGCATACGTCTTTCAATCGGCGACATGGAAACAAGAATACAATCCAGATTTATGTTTTGTGAGCAAAAACCAGAAAAGCTACCCCTTACCAACTAAGAGAAGAGTACTTCATGACTTCCCGCATAGCCAGCACAGGCCGATCATTATTGAGATTGGTATCCAAATCCCACTAGTTACAACCATTCCACGACCACGCTGGAACTTTAACAAAGGTAACTGGCCCGCCTTTACCAATGAACTCGATAAAATCTTACGATGGATTCCACCAACATACAACAATTATGAAAGGTTTAGAGGGGCAATAATTGCTACAGCAAAGAAACACATTTCCAGGGGCCATCGTAAGCAATACATACCAGGATGGAGTGAGGAAAGCCAAAACCTTTACGAAGAATATCTTGAAGCCGGTGAAAGTGACATTGCGGACGAACTTCTCCTGAGCCTTGATGTAGCAAGAAGGAAGAAATGGACAAATGAAGTCGAATCGTTAGATTTCAAAAAGTCTAGCCGTAAAGCGTGGTCGCTCCTAAGAAAACTCGGAAGTGACAAACTGGCAACACGACAAATCCACGACTTTAACCCTAATAAAATTGCATCACATATAGTTGCCACCTCCAGAGGAGCATGTGATAAAAAGTTTATCGCTACTATAAAAACGGAGCTTAAACATCTAAAAGCTGCCTGTCCATCAGATACAGAGTACTCCGCACCGTTCACTCCAGAAGAAGTCTCAAACGCCATCAAAGACATTAAACCTAACAAAGCTCCTGGTACAGACGGTATACCTCCCGAATTCCTGATCTATTGTGGGAAATCTGCAAAAACCTGGTTGTCTAAATTCTATACAGATATACTCAAAACAGGTAACCTACCAAACCTCTTTAAACAAACAAAAATCACAGCCATCCTGAAACCTGGAAAACCAACAGACAACCCAGCGAGTTACCGCCCCATCGCTTTACTCAGTGCAGCTTACAAGCTCCTCGAAAGACTGGTCCTAAACAGAATCGGCCCAAAGCTACTTCAAAAAATACTAATTGAACAAGCAGGATTCAGGCCTCAACGAAGCACCACTGACCAAGTGCTCTCTATAACTACCTACATAGAAGCAGGTTACCAAAGAAAACTGAAGACGTCTGTGGCATTCATCGATTTATCGGCTGCCTATGACACGGTTTGGAAAGATGGTCTCATCTATAAGCTCCTTAAAATAATACTTTGCAATGCAACCGCTCGACTCATAAATACGATGCTGAGCAGTAGAAACATCCGGGTAACCATGGGAACTACAGTCAGCAAACAGAGAACGCTTAATAATGGCCTCCCCCAGGGCTCCGTACTTGCACCGCTGCTATTTAGTATGTATATAGCTGATATGCCCCCTACCAGATCTAAAAAATTTGGATATGCAGACGACTGGGCACTTGCAACTCAAAGCTCCTTAATACAAAACTCCGAGGCAATCCTAACGGAAGATCTGGAACGCCTGGTTAAGTACTTTAAACAATGGAGACTTAAACCTAACCCCAAAAAAACCGAGGTTAGCTGTTTTCACCTGAACAACAAAATGGCCCACATAAAACTTAAAGTATACATTGATAACCAACTGCTCACGCACAACTATAATCCCAAGTACCTCGGCGTCACCCTGGACAAAACACTCTCCTTTAAGAAACATCTTGAGAACACCGCAGCAAAGCTGAGAACCCGTAACAACATCATACAAAAGCTTTGCGTGACTACATGGGGCTCATCAGCAGGTAAACTTCGGTGTTCAGCCCTTGGACTCGTATACTCCGCAGCTGAATACTGCTCTCCTGTTTGGCTGAATAGCGTTCACACAAAAATTATAGATACCCAGCTCAATATCGCCATGCGTCTCATATCTGGAACGATCAAGTCTACACCTGTGGAGTGGCTTCCACCACTGAGCCATATACCTCCACCTAATCTTCGTCGTCAGCATGCTCTGCTTAGAGAATTCCAAAAGCTGCTTAACAACCCGCAATTACCTATACACACATATGTCGCCGACGCTAATTCACATCGATTGCGCTCCAGAAAACCTCCGACTAGAGATGCAATAAACTTGAGTTCCAACAATTTCCAAATGAACTCCCAGTGGAAGAACATGCAGAGCGACAGACCGAACCTAATAATGAGAAACACACCATGCATCACAGAAACTCCACCAGGTTTTGACCTCCCCCGAAAATCATGGTTAACTCGTAACAGGAAAAGAACGGGTCATATAGTCTGCGCAGATTCGCTTTATAAATGGAGGATTAAAACCTCTGCTGAGTGCGACTGCGGCGCCGAGAAACAGACCATCCAGCATATGATTGCCGAATGCCCTCGGAGGAAGTATTATGGAGATCCTCTAGACTTCGCCTCTGCAACACCAGCGTCGATTGAATATATTAATACATTAGATGTAGATTGTAACATATATGTGATAATGTGTATCAAATTACCATACGCTAAATAAATCAGCATACGTAGGTCGTATGATTGTTTTTTCCTTTTTTGCACTGTTTTGAGTTTGACTCGAAATACTCCCACCAGTTGAACTTGGTCTGTCTCCAAGTCTGCTTCAGGATAAGTCTTGACAGATGTAAAGCTGTGTCAGAATCTTTTATTTACTAAAATGTTTCATTCCTAATAATTCTCTTGGGTCTGTCTTGAGAGGATTTCTACGTGTACAGCTGGAAGAATTTTTTGGTGACAAGTAGTTCTGAGTCTTCTGCGAATTTTTCTAGGAGGTCTTCTCTCTCGTTTCTGACTCCAAGTCCATGTGCTTCAATGTACTGTGTTTTATCTCCAGCTTCAATCTTGACATTTAAATCGCCCATAATGATGAGAACTTCCTGTCGAGGAATTTTTTGTATGATACTGTTGATGTTCTGATAGAACTCAATTGCTTCTTACTCCCCTTTGTCTGCAGTGGGAGCATAGACTTGGATGATATTTATAATAATATGGTTGGCTTCTACTTGTAGTAACATCATTCTCTCTGCTATTGGTGTAAAGTTAGTAACGCAGTTGGCAACCTTGGGTGATACGATTATTCCGACTCCATAGTTATATGATCCATTACTTTTTTCCGAGTACTATACCTTGTGATTTTCTATTTGTATTTCTTCAGAATCTGGCCATCTCATTTCTGCTATTCTGATGATTTTAATATGCATATTCAATATGAAACAATATGGAGAAGTGAAAATATCGGAAAAAAACGAAAGGCAAAGTTTACATAACAGCCATCAGACCAATAACGACATACGCGGCAGAAACATGACCTAATACAGAGAGGACAAAAAGAATGTTAGAAACAGCAAAGATGAAAAAGAAAAATTGATGATAAGACACTATGGGACAGAGCTAGAAGTTCAGATATACGACGCAGATGCAAGGTGGAGAACATCAAAAACTGGGTAGAAATAGAAGAGTAGAATGGAACGATCATATATGCCGAATGACAACAAATAGAGTAGTAAACACGACAAGAGACGGTTCTCCAATTGGAAGACGATCAGTAGGAAGACCCCGAAAACGATGGAATGACAACTTACAGACAGAGTCATGTCTACATAAAAAAAAGAAAAAAAAGAAGAAGAATTATGACAATTTGGGTACATTTGTATCTGGGATAATCCAGTGTTAGCTAAAAATTAAATTAGTTTATTTAATTTTATAAATATAAATAAATAATACTAATAAGTAATCAACACCAAAATTAATGCATTTTTCACAATTTTTTATCAGTCTTGGCTGGAGAAATAATTTTTTCCGCAAATCGCCAGGAAATTTTGACATTCCTGTCAAAATTTCTTGACGAAAAAGTCAGGACTACCTTACTGTAAGGAAATGTCATTTCCTTACTGTAAGTTATGTAATGTATGTAATGTCATTTCCGTACAGTTGTTAGTGTTCTACATAAATGATAGAAAACACATTGCTTATAAGGAATTAATTTATATTTTGAAAACATCAAGTCATTGCTGAATACATTTTTAAGATCAATTTGTTATATTTACAGTAATTTGACAGTTAGTACAATTATTGAACATTGGAGGAACACTCTTAGAACTATGAGAAACATTTTGGACAACATGCAGGGTGGAAGTGTCATTTTGTTGAATATTTTGTACTGTGAAAATTTTATTTGCCACCTCAACCTTATTGTTAAGCGATTCTTCGATATATCCTTCAGCAACGTTTGATGACTTCCATCCGCCATGCCTCTTTAAACTAGTTATGTCGGCACCAGAGTCAACCAATATTGTTGCAGAAGACCGACGAAAGCAGTGACCAGTATATTCTGTCGGATTTACCAAGTTCAAATAAGTAGCAATTATTTTGGGCATTTTTCTAAATTGATGAATTCCTACCACTTGTCTACAACCCTTTCCGCTTTGATATTTAAAGAAAAATCGGTCACTGTTCATATTTTCTGGTCTTAACGAAACCACAGAATAATAAACAATCAGAAGGGCCACTCTCAGATGCCGCCTTTGAAGTTTTTCAGCACGCGCGCCATGTTTTAGGAGGACACAGTCATATGATTTGTGTGGTTACGTAATTGTTTATATTTATGTTTAATTATATTATATTTATGTTATTATATTTAACAATGTTAATATAATTGTATAGTATGTCTATGATTGCCGTAAGTCAAATAAACCTGGTTAATTTTTCCATGCACACCACATAAACAACACTAATTTCTTTAAAATCCTCCTAAAACATGGCGGAACGTCTGCGCGGAGGAGATGCGCGTACTTAATTTTCCGTGGAGAGTGGGTATTCTGTTTGTTTATTATTCTGTGACGAAACATACTTTCGATAAACATTCAAGTAGATCTGATTAATTACAAATGATCTTGGTTTGTTGGTTTTCGAATCAGGTATGCTGATTAACAGCTTAGATTCTAAGAAGTCTTCTATATCGTGTACAGTCATTCGGACTAACTCATCCATTCTACAGGCCCCAGAAATACCAAATATTACAGCCACCTAAAAAATAAATAAAGCTATAATCTAAATAGAAATTAAAACCTTGTAAATTACCTTAATCATTAAATTTTCTTTATCTGGAGCTTCCTGGATTAATTTATCAATTTCTTCCTTCGTTAAAATCTTAGATTTCTTTGCCCTATAACCTTGAGCTTGCCGTTTCAATAAAGAACGAAGTTTTGAGTATGTAGATATATCTACATTGTGTTTAAGTGCAAGGGTTGACTTCAGCATTGAATAATTGGCCCATAATGTTGAAGATTTCATCTTTAAACAAAGGTCTAGGAAGTATGCCATTACAACATTTTCTGAGAAATAACTCGTATTTTTATAGTTTATTCGTCTTCAAAAAAGAAAGAAAACAAAATACTTTTGTTTTCTTTTCTTTGTTCTCCTGAAGAAGCTACATACAATTGTAGCGAAACGTCGAGATGAACCCACTTTTGGGTCACTCACAAATGACACGGTCCAAACCCGGAAGACGAATAAACTATAATTCTGACTCTGGCCGTGGAAGCCTACGATTTCAACTCGTATTTTTACTCATGCGATAATCCATAAAACGTCTGTATGCATTTTCGTACTTTTCTCTTGATTTCTTTGGCAATAATTCTAATGAAGCAATATTCACCGCCTCCACCAGCTCTGGAGGAGTCCCAGGAATGGAAATTTCATCATCACTTATCATTTTACTTTCGAGAACACCAGCAATTAAATTTATAAGCGTCAAGTTTGACAAGTCAACCTCAATACGTTTCCATAGTAACCCAAGTAATTTTATTAGGAATTTCAAAGCACCATTTATTTGGGAATAAAATTATCGCGTTTTTTTTAAATCAATCAATATCTGTCGAATTTTAAACGATTTGCGGAAAAATAGTATGTTTACCTCGTAGGAAAAGCCACATTCCTGGACTCTGTGTTGCTAAGTCTCGGCTTGCGCCTCGACTTAGCAATCTTCACAGTCGTCCAGGAATGTTAAGCTTTTCCTACCCGGTAAACAATGTACTATTTACGTTTTATGATTTTGCGTAATATTCATATTGTCCATATTTTTTCAGCTTTGTCCAGGAGCTTAATGATTGCTTGCGCTGGTGTTTTTTCATAGATTTTACTATAAAATCGTACAATTTCAGCCAGTTTCTTTACGCCCTTCTAAAAGTAAGTAAATTTTGTGTAAGTAATAGTTTTTAAGCTACCTCAAAAATCTAAAGCTGCAAATAATTATGGAAAAAACCAAAGGCATGGCAAAAGCGCCTAACCATTAAAAAAATGAAGGTCTCTTCGTTATCGTTTTGCTGGTAATATTTAAACTGAGATTAATATAAAAAAATAATTTTCTGATTTTTTTTTAGAGCGCGAACAAAATGAATATTGAAAGTTTGTTTCACTTTAGTAAAGTATTTGTGATTATCGTGGAAAACTGGTACATTAATTATCATGCGAACGAGTTAATAGTTACGGTAAGTAGTATTAATTTGTTCAATATTAATAAATAGGGTTTAGGAAAAATATGCACCAACCCTTTTATTTACTCCGGTACATACAAAATAAAGTTAACAAAATCCCCACCGATCGTATTTGTACTATAAAAGTTGGTCGATGTTAGTTTTATCAAAAAAAAACTTTTGTGATGTTGGGTCCTTTCCTCTTTCTTCTTCTTGTGGTGCATATCCGTTACGGATGTTGGCAACTAACATGACAATTCTAACTTTATTGACCGCAGCTCGAAATAGTCCTGAAGTGGTCAAGGAACGATATTCTTCTTCTTCCTGGTCCCTCTTTCCGTAGACCTTTCCCTGTAATATAAGCTGCACCAGGTTATATCTATGATCGTTTCGCATTATATATCCAAGATATTCTAGCTTGCGCATTTTTGCTGTGGATATAATTTCACATGTTTTATCCATCTGGCGTAGAACCTCAATGTTTGTTACTCGGTCCACCTAGGAGATCCTGAGTAGCCGTCTATAACACCATATCTCAAACGCCTTGAGTTTTCCCATGGATGCCTCGGTTAGTGTCCATGATTCAACCCCATATAGCGGCCCTGTAAACACGTAGCATCTCAATAAACAGATTTTTGTTTTTAAGGGTAGGTCGTGGCTCTTAAATATCTTGCTCATTCTGACAAACGCTGACCTGGCTTTTTCAATTCTCTGTTTTATCTCAACTAAGTGGTCTCGTTGGTTCTTTCCCCTTTAACCTATCTAATTTTTCATGTCATAATTTCACACAAACTATAGATGTGTGTATTGTATTTTATTTAAACAAACTTAACAGTTACAGATCTGGGAGTTCTGTTCTGCATCGATAACCTTAACAAAGTTTAATATAAGTTATTAATTGTGAATATATTAAAATAAACTGTAAGTTTACAAACTCTTTACATAATATCCAGTTAAATTAGCAATGAAGTCAGCAAATTGCAATTGTTTGTTATTACCGTCAATAAACAAATCTAGTTTTTCCAGCAAAATAACCGCTTTTAGTAAAGACCGATGTACTTGTGTTATCAGGTGTACAGGGTCGGACTTACTTTTCACTTAACGTTTATTAAAATGAATTCAAACATGGAATCACACAACAGTTCTACAATACAAGACCATCAAAATCAAATAAACCATCACAGTTATACTCTTTGACAGCGTCGAGAGTATAATTGCCTTTAAAGTCCCAAGCAATTATCTTCAGTGCCTTAGAAAACACCTAACTTCAAGACTACCTTCTCCCACTTGGAAACATAATTGAACCGAAAAATATAATCTTCTCTTCTAGATTATCTAATAATCGCATATGTATGTATTTATCCAATAAACAAATAGTGGATGATTTTATGAATAATCATGGCCAAATAGAAATACAAGGTGAAATTGTCAGAGCAAGAAGGTTAGTTACAACAGCGGAACGACTTATGCTTTTCGGCGTATGTCCTTCAACTCCGCACGACTTGCTAATCAGTGAGTTACAAAAAATCGGCATAATTCCTGTCTCCCCTATGACAATCCTCAAAATTATACAATCATATCCTTAGTTTTCGAAGACGTCATTTACTCTTGTTTTTGACAACACGATATATAGCATATTCATTTCTCAAGACAATTTAGTTTGCTTTAGATGCAAGAAGCCAGGTAACATTGCTGCACAGTGCTCCGAACCACTAACTCAACTAAACCCCAACCAAAACAATGAAGCATCGGTATCCAGCTCAACAAATATATCCTTACAAGCATCCAATGACACAAACCCTTCTCAGTGTGAACAAATGTCTATTTCTATTATCCCGGAGACACTTAACAAAGTAGATGTATAAAATAAGGACAGTCACGTAATTAATTAACCAAAACGTAACTTTGATGAAACTCTATTACCTGAAGCAGATCCATCTTTAAAATTCCAAGCAAAATCTAAAAAAGCTAAAATTAGTTCAGCAAGCACTTCTGAATGCGCATTTTCTCTTTTACTTGATCCTGCTAAAAACTAATAGAAAATCACCCTCATTTATACAGTGCATAGTACAATGCGTTTCGCATGGAAGTGGGGACTAAACCAAATTTCGTCTACTGCGCCGTGGTCAGGAGTGCTTGCACGCACTATACCAGAACACTTCGTATTTTAACTATTTTATAAGAAAATGGGTACACATTCATCCACTAGTTTGATAAATTTTTATAAAAATATTTTAGGTTAGAGTAAGTCTAAAAATTTCAAAACCGAAAAAACAAATTCGTCTGACGGACTTTCCATTGAAACTACGTCTCTCTATTTTGTTCATTATTAATAATGTATATTTTTTAGAGCAAAAAACTGTCATCAAGTATTTTTTCTAACGGATGGTACGATTTGGACGAATCTACTAAAAAAAGTCTTATGTTGATGATGATAAGATCCCAAAGACCTTTAAAAATTGATATTGGTACTATATACTTTTTGGGAACTAAACTGTTTATTAAGGTAAATACTTACTTATTGCTTTCTGTATTCTTTGTCAGTGACCATCTTATAAATATGAGTAATTCGAAATCCCTATTACTTATCCCTACTTACTAATCCCTACCTACGACAACTTAATAGAGCACTTACCAGTAATTATACAGAAGCAGATATGGTATCTTGCTTGATAGAAAAAATATACCATTATTTTTGTTTTCCCAGTATTGATCTAAAGTCCAAATTCTTTGCTTATCTGGCTTAGCTGTTCAGTGATTATAATCATTTCGACTTCATTCGATGCTAGTATATGTGTATCATTTGTGTATCGCAGGATACTGATTTTTCTTTCCTCCTATAGTCATTTTTTAATCCCATTTGTCTACTAATTTTAATATTGTATAATTAGAATATATATTCTGTAATAATGTTGACAGTATGGTGTCCTGTCTAGTTTCTTTCTTTGTTTTGACCGGATTTGAATGTATTTTGTATACTTTGGTTGAGTTTTTCTCATACAGATTTCTTATTAGTTTAACTAGGTGACTAGGTACTCCCATATTTCTCCTTATACCCCAGGCAGGATTCCATTGTACTGGATAAAAAGGAACGCTCTAGAAGTAGAGCGTTCTTTAGCCATTCGTTAATTATATGTGGCAAGATTTTGCTTGCAAGAGGAATAAGAGCAATCGTTCCATAATTGCTGCATATGGTTAGTAATACTTTTTTATTGATAAGGATAAAGGTTAATTCGCACCACTCATCAGACCATTCGCCTGTGATCCATGTATTATATATATATATATATATATATATATATATATATATATATATATATATATATATATATATATGCCAATCTCCTTCATTTTTAGATTCTTCATTGGTACGCCATCTGTCCCTAGGGTTTTTTGTTTCTTAATTGATTGAGCGTCTTCTTTACTTCTGCTCGTGAAATCATTGGTTATATACTTTAGTTGCACGTTTCTTCTGTTCTAAGACTGATGCATCTGTTTAAGTGTCTTTGTCTAGTGATTAGTCTTTACAGTTGCCTTAATGATGTTAATAAAATAAGAATTAAACAATAATATTAGTAGCTTCCTGCATTCGCCTATATTGAATAATATCTTGTATCTTGGAGTTTCGTAATCTATAAATGAATATTCGAATACGGCTCGAAGGACCAAAACATTGTATGTTTAATTGGTTGAGTTAAATTTATTTGTCACTAGTTAATCGTGGTGGCAAATAGTTAGTCGATAGGGCAAAGAAATAACTTGGACAAGATATCTTCACACGTTCTCTATTGTGTTCTTATAGCAACATATAAAAACATACTGCCTGTATAAAATTGTAAAGATTTTGCCTAGGGCTTAAAGGATGTCTATGCAAATTAAATTTTATGACAAAACATTTACATATACATGGAATAAAAATTTTTGAACAAATTTATACACTCTTAATCAATGTGTGCTTTTGTGTAATAATGCTTTAGCAATAATGCATTTGTCATATTTATAAAACGATCAACTTAATATTTTTCTATTGTTTTAGATTTTAAAAGGAGGATATACTTTTATTGTATTCTACAACGTTTAACGACCAAATGAAAAATTACGGACAAACCAAATAAAAAATTAATATAAATTTGCACTTAAAACTTTGCACCTGATATTAGTACCTCACCTTATAAATTCACCATTGAATCGTAATATTTCTACTATTAGAGTGAAGTAATAGTTAAAGGAAAAATCACTACTGATACTAATTGATAATATGCAGCACCTTGTTTGGTAGTTTAAGGTAATATAATAGAGTTAGATGCAAGGAGTTCATTAATTATTATTTTTATCTATCCCAACCTAAACCTACGATGTCCTACTTCCCTTTAATTTTTCAATGGACGCGTGTTACTAATTTTTTATTGAATTGAGACGCGTAAGGACTACCAGTCCACGCATTATTTTCATCTTAGATTGTAACCAATATATTTTGCCTACCACATGGGGTATTACTGTAAGGGGTTAAAAATTGGGGACAGAAATTATTGGGGGTGGAGATAGGGCAAGCAAAACAAATAAAAACTTATGCGAACGGCACTCAGGGTTTGTTTGGAGAGCTGGGGTCGTGGATAAGTTGAATGACAAGGGGTCGAATTGGGGCAACTACAAAAATGAAACAAAAGAGGGTACTTACATAAATCTACTGGACAAATGGGCAAATAGATCAACAAGAAAATACCTCTAGCTAAAGCTAAGAAAAAAAAAGACGCTTCTTCGAAGAATCCTAATCTTGCTGTATTTAGGGAAAAGGGCTCTTTTTACCTAAAAAAACACAGAGGAGATTTTTCTTAAATATTTATTTTTGTCTCAAACAAACAGTTTCAAATACAGATACTCAAAAAGAATTACAATATATATATAATAACAAGGGTTTATACCAAAATAAATAATAAAAAAAATCTTACATATATACTATCTGTTTACCATTGAGAATCGCTACAAAAACTTTCAAAATTGTTACTGGACTATAAACTACTGAACTATAACTGTGGCAGAAAAAAATTATTACAATATTTTTAAATTTTAATGAATGCAATTATTGTTTATATTAAAAAAATGTCTATTTTTACTTTAAAATTTAAAACAAAAAAGTTACCTTGATTTCACTAAACACACTGATTTCTGGGGTTAACTTCTCCGCCACACGATCAAATCCATTTCCATACTGTAAGAACAGATTCTTCCTGGACCTCTTCTTACTTCTTTCAACCTTCCTCAATTCAATCATGTACCGGCCGGTTACCAATGTCGCCTCTTTACCCCGTACATTAAAAGGGGACTAGCGAACTCTAAATTGTTGATAGAACGACTTCAAAACTCGATAAACGACCTTTTTAGCTTTTTAAAATCATAGAAATAAACACGTATTATATTGATTATTTTAATGTCCTAGTTATAACCGGAATTTATAAAAATATTAAACGATAGTTTTTCACTATCAGTCCACATCTGAAATAATTCACAAATCAGTACAACAACAAACATTTATTTAAGAAATAAATACAACAAGCAATCTGTTCCTAAAAGTTAATATATGGTTTTTGGGCATACTTCTCATACAATTTTACCCACTTGTGATAAGTATTACTCTTTGGGTAATCCTGTACAATGGACAAAGAATTATTGAGGTTTAGGTAAACAAAGTTGTGTGGTTGTACTTTGGGCCAGATTATATTTTGCAAGGTTTCGCTCTCTTCGGGAGTTGGATTCCTGTAAAAAAAATGCAGCTTTAACATTGTGGTATAAACATTGGAAGATGGTAAGTGTGTGTTTATAGTAAAACATCTTAGACTCATGTCGCTGAGGCTGATCTACGGAAGGCTGTGGATCGCCTTCAGTCGTTCTGTCCGTTGAGGCGAATAATCTTAAGACCCGTTGTGGTTCCATCTAAAACAAATACGAAACAAAAAGAACGAACAAAGGAGCTGGAAAAAACATGCAATGTCAGTTCGTTACTTAGATTCCATCTCTGAGAATATCTCCAGGTCCAGGTGCCTAGGGTTGATAACTTGAAACCAGCAGGTTATCCGGAAGAAAACGCTCCTTGCTTGTCTCTCGCTGCCTCCACTCACAATACAATTTACAAGAGTTTGAATTTCGGAATGTTATATTCAGAAACTCTCTTTTGTAAACGTATAGAATGGAGAATGGAGCAAAGAGATATAATATACTTCTAAATAATTGATGGATTCGACCGTTCTTCTTCTTTAAGTGCCGTTTGCCAATCGAAGGTTGGATATCATCATCACTATGTTTACTTTATCTTTACTGTTCGACCGTTACTTAATGGAAATTTATTTTATGTAACAATAAAACACTGAAAACTTTGTTTTCAAAACTTCCACAACATTTATTATAAATTCTTATTACTACAGCCGTTTCGGCTGATTGCCTTTCTCAACTAATCTATTTTTGGCATGCTTTTACACTTTGTAGTCTTTAATGAAATAGGTTGAGGAGGGGAGAACTGTTTGTTACAAATTGGTCATTCAGAATTATATCTGTGTTTTTTAATTTGTTAATTTGCATAGATTCTAACAAAGATAGCTTAAGGCCTTTATTTTGAATGTGAAGAATTTTAAATTCGTCATTAAAAGAATGATTATGATCTAGAAGGTGAAGTGCGTATGTCGAGTCTGTTTTTCTACCATTGAAAGCCCTTTTATGTTCTGCTATTTGTTTATTAAAATTTCTACCAGTTTGACCGATGTAAGTTTTTGGGCACTCGCCACATTTAAGTTTATACACACCACAGCGTAAGTGTTTTTTATTTTGGCTCTTGTTGTTTTTAATATATATATATATTTGCCTAAGTTGTTATTTGTTCTGAAAGCTGGTGTTATTCCTTTCGTTTTTATGTGTTCAGCTATTTTTGTTGATATTTTGCCTATATATGTAATCGAGCAGAAGGTACTGGGTTTTTTTCTGTGATGGTGGAAACACTAATTTCAGAGCTTTCTTGTGTAGTTTTTGATTTAACATTTTATTAATCGTTTGTTCGTTATATCCATTGTTTACTGCTATTTGCTTAATGATATTTAATTCTGTCTCAAAGTTGTATTTTGACATCGGAATTTTTGTTAATCTATGTAACATACTATGATAGGATGTCAGTTTATGTTGTGTGGGATGAAATGAATTGTGTATAGTCGTGTCAGTATGGGTAGGTTTATAAAATATGGAGAAGTCAAGTTTGTTCTTAAGTCTGATAATTTTTAAATCTAAAAAATTTATGGATTGATTTTGTTCTGCTTCTATTGTAAATTCAATCGAATTGATAGTTAAATATAATAGAATAAAATTATATTTACCTGTATTTAGCAAAATTAGTAATCAACAATCTCCACCTTTCGCTAGTGAGAATATCTTCTGGGGGGAGAGTGTCCAAAACGGACCAATTTCCATAGACCAAAAAGTAATTGGTGTCTTCAGAATGTTGTACGCGTTCTGCGCCTAAAAAACGTGTTAGTTTGGAATAAGCGGGAACTTAATTAATGTTTTATTAATTTAAACTTTAACGAATATTGCTTGTTTTTATGTGACAGAGAGAATCGAAAATTGGTTGAAAGAAATGTGAAGTTGTAAAAATATGTATTCTATTTGTGCGCAATATCAATTTAGGCAAGATTTTAATCTGAAGTTTCTCTGATTCAGCTCCATATGCACTTGGAATTTATCGACTATTTCTGGTACTCACTCACAGTCTATTGGTTAAGAAGAAGTAATAAATGTCGCTTAAGAATTGAACTGTGACACTGCTTTGACTCAGGTATCTTTTTCCGCCCTGATCTCGTATACCTAAACATATACAGATTGAACCAAATTAAAACGGAACATACAATTTAATACATGTCTGTTTGAACTGCATTTAAAATAGTGGACCAATATAAAACTTGGACAAAAATAAATCCATACCTGGGTATAGACATTGTATAAAATATCGTTCAACTATCTGTCTCGCAACAAAGTTGTTTGCGTAAGACGGGTTTGTCTAAGGAGGCGATAATAGTTCAGGAATTGAACCTCGAAAAAAGTTAAAACCTCGCAATTTTTTCGTCTTGCATGTATCCAGTTGAAATTTTAGCAGAAGGTAGGTAATAGCCCAAGGATCAAAATCTATATCGAACCGAAGTGCGCTGAAGGGTTTTAGGGGTGAAAACTACCCCTAATTGTCAAAAATTATAAAATAACATATTAAACCTAAATATGGGTAAGATTTGGTTTGAATTAATTAAATAATGATTATTTTATACTTTTGAATAGAGTTCCATCATATTTCAACCCTTAAAAAGCAACCCTTGTTAGAGATTAATGTAAAAAATTACTAATTCTAAAAAATTGATTTCGCCTTGTATCGATTTGGATAAAAATTTGGATTTAAGCTCAATTCACCCGCTGCTTTATAGTTTATGTCATGTCGACGAACCCTGATTGTTCTTAGGGGTGAAAACTACCCCTAATTGTCAAAAATTATAAAATAACATATTAAACCTGAATATGGCTAAAATTTGGTTTGAATTAATTAAATAATGATAGTTTCGTGCTTTTCAATAAAGTTCCATCATATTTCAACCCTTAAAAAGCGACCCTCATTAGAGATTAATATAAAAAAATTAGTAATGCGAAGAAAATGATTTCACCTTGAAACGACTTGCATAAAAATTTGGAATTAAGCTCAACTCACCCTCTGCTTTATAGTTTATGTCATGCCGATGAACCCTGATTGTTCTTAGGGGTGAAAACTACCCCTAATTTTCAAAAATTGTAAAATAATATTACAAGTCCTAAGATGAGTGAAATTTGGTTTGGATTAGTTAAATAGTGAGTTTTTTATACTTTAAAATACAAATTCATACATTTTCAACCTTAAAAATCAATTGTTATGAGTGCTATAGGTGAAAACAATTTATTGCCAAAATTTTGCAACTTTTCAACTTTTGAAAATCCCCCTTTACAACATTGAAGTTTTTTATAAACTAATTTATAAGATATAAATTGAAAAAAGCAGAATTAAATACAAAAAAAATTATCAATATAAAAAGGCACCATTATTGCAGTATTGTTAGCATACTATTTGGCTAATTTCGAGCAAAATAGCACACACAAGGGTACACTTTGGGCAGAAATTTTAGTTATGTAAATATTTTTAAATATTTTAAAATAAAATCATAAAGATTTGGTTCCAGATTTTATTTAAAACAATTCTATATTTTAATATGTTTGATAAATTTCTAAATAATTACAAACAATACCTATTCAATAAATAAAGAATATAACAAAAAATAAAACAATTAATATTATGCATATTTGAAAGTTTTTGTAAGATTTCTATAATAATTACTTTTGTAGTAAAATATCAACATTATAATAAAGTTAGAAAACTCTTTTTAAATTATTGCAAATAAATTTAAACTTGTATAACAAAAGAACCACCAAGTCTCTGATCGCTTGCCAAAAGTACAAAAAAAGAATTGGATGACTGACGTAATATTATCAATGATGGACGACCGCAGATCATTTAAAAACAAAGACCGAACCAAACATCAGCAGATTAACCGACAAATATGAAAAGAGTGTCGCAAAGCTAAAGAACATTGGCTGCTAGACAGGTGTGCAGAAATTGAGGAATTGGAAGAAAAACATGACCACTTTAACATACATAAACTCGTTAAAGAAGTGATAGGTTATACAAAACCTTACAGTTTTAATAGTATTGTACAGTACAATAAATTATTTACTGATTTCAAGGATCTACTTCAAATTGGAGAAACTACACACCTCAACTTTACTTAGACAACACTAGAAGAAACTGTGAAAGTGAATATAAAAGTCAACCCTTCCCCAAAATATTGAAGTCAGAAGTTGTAAGAGCAATCAAACAGAGCAAATTGGGAAAAGCACCAGGCCTAGACGTCATATACATAGAGGTTCTAACAATGTTGAGTGAAGATAATATAGACGCCTTGGTAGATCTTTTTAATCATATTTATGCTTCCGGTCAAATACAATAGGATTAGCTTCAATCAACCTTTATACCAATCCCAAAGTTATGGTTGTATTCTTTACGGTTCAACATGCAAAACAAATCTATTAACTCTTGACAGAATACAATTTAAATCAATAAAAATTTGTCTAGGAGCTATAATGTCTTCACCAACAAACGTCTAATAACGTACAGATCGTTTAATACAACTATGGTTCACAAAATAGGTTTACTTTTGACAGACAATTTAACAAATCCTTATTGGAGAATAAAAAATTCTCCTCCTCTTGCAGAATCTTTTATCGATACGAAATCATTTCAATCTTATATATTACAGCTACCAAAATTTCTTTTTTACGTACAAGACTTTGAAGTTCTGATAGACAAACCAACCATTATAATGCCCTCTTATTCAGACTTGCCAATTTTAACTAATCTGATATTCAAATCCATACTAAACAAATTAGGGAAAGATTTAACAATAATTTATACAGATGGATCTTTACTGTTAAAAGTACTGGTTTCGCTTTTTTTGTTTCAAACAGCAACTATGTTGAGAAATATCGAATTCCTGAATGTTGTTCTGTTTTTACAGCCGAGGCTGCTGCTATACAGAAAGCACTATCTTGGTGTGTCACTAATTATTGTGAGAACATCGTAATAGTATCAGATTCTCAGGCAGTATTACAAGCTATTCGTAGCCATCCATTAGATAGTTTTCAAAACTCCATTATACTTGATATCAAAAAATTATTATATGATCTAAAATTCACAAAAAAATCAGTTACTTTTCTCTGGGTTAAAGGACACAATGGAGTAATTGGAATCGAATTGGTGGACAGTATGGCAAAAAATACATCTGAGATATCCGAAATTACAAAATTTTACTACTTTAAAGATCTTTTTTCTATTATCAGGAGTATTGGCAGGGAAAGATGGATGTCAAAATACAAAGAGGTTCAGAAGACTTCTAGAAACCATTACTTTTCTATTCACCCATGCTTACCAAAAAATATTCCCCATTTCAATCTTAACTTTAATAAAGTACATTCTTCGTTAATAACGCGGCTAAAACTGAACCATGGCCTCTTTCCAGAGCATCTGCATAGGATTGGAATCTATGAAACTCCTTTCTGTCCTTGTAATAATAAATCTATCGGAGATTTGAATCACTTATTTTTCGATTGTTCTAATCATAGGGAACAGACTCGAAGGCTATATTTAGGTTTAATTGATCTCAATATTAGCCTTCCAGTTAACATCAGCAATCTGTTATCTTATTCTGACAAATCTATATATAATATTCTAATCAAGTTTATAAACGATTCTAAAATCAACATTTAAACATCCTTATAACAATTTTCTGTGGCAAAAAGATTCTTTGTCTAATGCCATCTCTCTCTCTCACACACACACACACACACACACACACCAATCCCAAAAAAAAGGCAAACGCTAATAGTTGCGATCAATTCCGAATGATCAACTTATTGAGCCAGGTCCTAAAACTCTTCTTAAATATAATCCACACAAGAATATACAACAGATGTGAAAGAGACATTATTCCCACACAGTTCGGCTTCAGACAAGGATTTGGCACAAGAGAAGCACTTTATGGCTTAACTGTCACACTTCAAAAATGCAGAGATCAGCAAAAAGATGTCTTTTTATAATTTATAGATTACCAGAAAGTGTTCGATTGTGTAAATCATTCAGAATTAGTAAGATTGCTTCAGGAACGTTCGATAGATGAGAATGACCTTAAAATCATAAAGAACCTTTATATGAATCGAGTGGCACCTGTGAGAGTAGGACTGGAATCTACATCATATTTCTCAATCGAAAAATGTGTACGACAGGATTGTGTTCTGTCACTCTTTCTTTTTAATCTTTACTCTGAAACGATTTTCGATAGAGCCTTAAGTGACACTGAAGATGGAGTCAAAATCAACAGACAGACTATTAGTAATCTTCGCTATGCTGATGATAGAGTCATAATAGATGATAGCCAAGAAGCGGTACAACGACTAATAGATAGAATAACCACTGAAGGAGACGACTGGGCTTGAAGATTAATATAGACAAGACTAAGGTAATGGTTGTTAGTAGAACACAAAATATACAATTAAATATAAGAGTAAATAATAAGAATATCCAAAAGCTTCCCAAGTTCAGATATGTCGGTAGTTGGATAACTGAAGATCTAGATCCAGACATAGAGATACGTAGCAGGATTGAGTAAGCCAGAAGAGCATTTACTACTATGAGAACCTTGCTAAGCAACAGCATCCTTAACTTCGGTATCGCTTTGTAAAATGTTACATTTACTCCATACTGCTATGTGGTGTAGAAACCTGGACCATAAAGGCCAATGTGATAAACCGATTAGAGGGTTTTGAGATGTGGGTATTTCGAAGACTACTTAAAATTCCCTGGATAGATCACATAGCAAATATCGAAGTATTAAATCGAATGGACAGAGAACGAGAATTGATGCCAATAATAAAAAGAACAAAAACTGCTTATGTGGGTCATAGATTTTAAAATTTCAAGTACTTACCAGTTCTTAAAGCTGATTATTATGGAAGGGAAGATAGTCGGAAAACTTAGCTTCGGAAGAAAGAAATACTCATACATTAAAAACAAAAGGGATTGGACAAACATTGATGCCCAAGCAGTCTTTAGAGCAACACAAGTTCAAGGGGAGTATGCCAGAATTGTCGCCAACATTCACTAATTGAATAGGGCATCATAAGAAGAAGAAAAACAAAAGAATGATTTATTTTGGTGTGTAAAGTGGGGGTGCAAAAGTGTGGTCATGGTAAAAATGTAAATTTTTTGAATTCCGTTTAAAGCCCTTATTTTATTTATATTAACTTTAATATTGTTAATTACATCTCTTGATAAAATAAATTTAAGTTCTCCCAATTCTTGATCACATCCTTAGCTAACTGGTTAACTGTTTTATTATCTACTTATTTCTTGTTTTCTTGTTTTGTTTTATTTGATTTTAATCTAGTTTTAGTACATACCTTCTATATAGTTCTTCGTACCGCCTAGTTTACCATCATAGGAAAATTGATAGAAATAAACGTCGCTGAACTTTGATTGCAATTCACCATGACGGATGATGGGTCTATTAAATGACATGTCACTGTAATACTAAACCAAAATGTGGTTAATTTAATACAATTTAGATAATTTTAATAATTTTTTAGAATATGGGAAAATAATTGAATGTATAACACAAAATATTGTTCATTATCTTAATGCTCTAGATGCTCAATATTAGATTTTAGATTTAGCTATTAGATTATCTCTAGATGCTCAATATTAGATCATCAAAATTATTTAAATCCAGCTCTTACTTTTTCGTCATCACATGGCCCGTTGATCTTAAAATTAAGTATTCCTAACAATTCTAAAATCATCTTAATAAAACCCTGAATAAAAACTTACCCTGATTGCTCCTGCGTAATCATTTTGCAACAATCCATGCGTTACAATTTTTCTTATTTTCTGACCAACTTCTTCTAGAGTTTTGCTATCACTTATGCGCATATTATGGTTGACAAGGAGTTTAACGTCATCGTCGAAGCTGGGAAGTCCTGCTGCCCAGTTTTCACCTACACAAAGTCACAAATCAAAAAAAGTAAAAGAATTTACATTTTAAGTGAATTATTGTTTTAATATTAATATTTTTAATTTATCGATGTAGCATACTGAAGAGAAATATTGTTGTGTTAAATATAACGAGAAGATCGCCACAAACAAAGATACAATGAACAAGAGAAAGTACCCTGATAATACCTATTATTCTTTCTTCACTACTGGTCATTTAAAAGAACCTATTGGGAAAAAGCAACTAAGTTTTAGTCAAAGATCTCCTGATAAAGTGGTACTGCTCTACTGCTCACGTCTTGTACGTATGTCACGTCTTGTCTCCGCCGTATATGTTAAGATAGGTCTAATTGCTGCTTTATAGATTTTTATTTTTGTATCTTTTCTTAGGTGTTTATTCTTCCAGATTGTGTCATTCAGAGATCCCGCCGCTTTACTTGCTTCTAAGCTTTGTTCTAGTACTTCTTCTTCACTAGTTCGTAACTAGTTCCTAAATATCAAAACCCCAATATCTAACAACTACATGTGTATTCCCAAATATCTAAAGCTTTCTGCTTTATTATTTTCCCATCAATTTCAATTTTTCACCGTAGTAGGTATTGTGTGTAGGGTGTGTTAATCTTTGGAGATTAGTAATTACATGTCTGTGTAACATCTTTAACCACTTTCGTAATCGATAACCATCACCTTTACGTACTGCTTTTATTATTTCGTCCATTATTATATTAAATAGAAGTGGGCTTAACGAGTCACCCTGTCTGACTCTGCTTTGTACTGATATACACTGTGTTAGTTTGCCATTTATCTTTGCCTCTATTCGATTATGGAAGTAGATGTTTTCAATGGTTTGTATAATATTGATTGGTATGTTTCTTTTATACAGTAGGTGTAAGACGTCTTCGACTTGGATGCGATCGGAAGCCTTTGTCAGGTCTATAAAACATGGATATGCTGGTTTATTGTATTCTTTTGTGATATTTGTGATGATTTTGTTGGTTAGGACTTTTGTGGTAAGCTTAAGTGCGGTGTTCAGTAGATTTCCTCTAGATTCCTCCAGATTCCTTCAGAATTACCTCTATAATTGTTGGGGTGATTCTCCTTTCTTGAACATTGGTATCACTATGCTGTTTCTCCATGCCTCTTGCAGTGCAATATTAGTTTTTGTATAAGTCTCTCTTACATTTTAACATACATTTAAAATACATTGATAATAGGTTGTTAGTCAAAAAGTGGCCCCCGATTCAATTAATAGTAAAGAATTTATTGACAAGAATTTCGTTCATTAGTTTTTTAAATGAAATATGCTGCTCATGACGTATATACATATTTTTTGAATCAAATTTAAGCTAATTTGTTTCTTAATATGATAATATAAGTTTTCTTGAGACAAATGGTCAAAAATTTGGGTTTCTAACTGTTAAAAACGCGAGGTATCAAAGATAAAATAAAAGACAGCTAGGGCGCTGCGCTACTGGTTAGAAGTGTGAGTTTTTAAAGCATGCGTTAATAGATATATAATATACATATTATCACTTCAAACTAGTGTCGTTGCGCCCTAACTCTATTTACTTATGTCCTATCTTAATATGCATAAATGTTCTGATTACTTTACCCAGAGTTCTGCCTAGAGCCTCTTCACTCTCGATACCAATCATTAATGGAAGCCGATTCATTTTTCCTTGTTCAACAGCCGTATACATATGTTCTGTAATAAAAGCAGTTTCATGTTCCGGTTCAATAACAGGAGCATAGAAAAATCCTTGGATGATTTCTTCGTTGCCAAGGCTGTCCTAATAAAACAAAAAAGTATATAAGTAATATTTCTGGCATAAGTATAATTCTGTAATTTTAATGTAGGCTTTTAATTAGAATCTTTAATTATAGAATGTCCTAAAGGCCTTCCGGCAGTATAAAATGTCTTATTTTGTCCTTTTGGTACGAAGTTTTTAAAAAAGTATGTAAAATATATAATGAAAGAAGAGTTGGTCGAACTTGTCCATGAAAAAGAAATGGTAATAGTCAACACGTTATACAAGCTTCCATCTAGATGATTAAGTATCTGGAATTTGTCTCAGGATACGGATGAAAAAATGGTAAGAAACCAGATAGATTATATTATAATAATACGAAGATACAGACGGAATAAAAAGTGGTAATAAAGTACAAGACAAATCTACTCAGGTTGCAAAAGACTATTAAAATAGAAAAAAAGAAGCACAATTATGTAACGAAATGTATAAGCAAGCAACTAGACTGCCAAAAAAGGTTAAGTCATTTTTATAAAAAATTGTGTCAACAGGTATGTGTCCAATGAAACTAAAAATAGAAAGCAGAAAAAGAAAAGATAAAATAATGTAAAAAAAATAATATTTCTGAGTTGATATCGGAAACAAGCGGATCAGAGGAGAGCACAAATCAATCCACTGGGAATAAAATAATTTGTAAAACAGTAAGTGAAACAAAGATGTGCTATGCGAGATTGTGATAATTAAAACAAATCAGATAAACACCATAAATAATACGAGATAATTTAGAAAAATATTCCTCCTCAGTCCTAATCCCTTTTAGGATGTGGTGACACCATCAGGGCTTTACAGTTTTTTCACAATTTTTCTCTATCCTTCCCTATCCTGGGCTAGTTGTTCGGCTTCATGTATTGGCTAATCAATACTTTTGTTTGATCTACGCAACGGCTTGAAGAACTTTCCCTAGGTCTCCTTCCTTCAACTTTTAGCCTCGACTATCAGTTTTTCCATCGTACCTGTTCTTCTAGCAATGTATCCAAAATACTACAAATACGTTAGTGCGATGGTCAATCCAGGATATTCTTAACATGCGGCGGTAAACCCACATTTCAAAAGTGTCTAGCTTATTTTTATCCGCTTTCTTTAAGGTCCACGTTTCGGATGCATATGTGGCCATAGGAAAAATGAGTGCCCTTGGTATATGACCCCAGGTATATGAAACTATTTACTACTTCAAACCCCCCAATATTTTTAATGTGTTGAAGATTATTTTGAGCTCTGTCTACTATCATGATATTTGTCTTACTCCTATTTAGCTTTGGTCCATATGTTTTGATTTTCTCCTTCAAACACCCCATTACCTCCAGACATCATATTATGTCAATATCTTAATCGCACAAATTTAACGAAACTTAAAATTAATAAATAGTTAGATATATATTTACCCAAATAGCCCTTGAAGAAGCGTTGTTTAAGACATCAGCAGGAACAGATCTTAAGTAAGCGACTAGTTCAGCAGTTGATGCAGATGGATCGAATGATGGATTAATAAACTCTGCTAATTTATATGCGATAGCCTTAGAGTCTTTTTGATACGCCCATGGTGTTAATAGCGATCCACTTCCAGCTATACCTGCCCAGAAGAGATCTGGAAATATATAGAAATTTTTTAGTTAAAGTGTTACCCATTCACCTCATTTATTTATTTAGAAAAGTCCGGATTACAATGATTATTTGAACTATGACCAAAAAACGCTGAATTACAAAATTTCTAATTACACATAATCTAAACCGTTTAAAACTGCTTCTTTCTAATTGCACAAACACGTTCTTCAAAACTAGGCAACTTCAGCTACAAATTCCACCTAATGCCGTCTTCGTGGAATCATTTTTGGTGACGTAAGATTATTTATGATATGAAAGTCTAAATTCAGCGTTTTTTAGACATGTTTCAATTGTCTACCCCTTTTATATTTTGGAAACACAATATGAATTTCCATTGTTTTTACTTAAACTAATATAGACACAATAACTTACCCCTAGACTTTGGACTCATCAACTGGTACGTCACTGAAGCTGCTCCAGCACTAGTTCCCATAATCGTTACCCTATTGGGATCACCACCAAAATATTCAATGTTATTTTGGATCCATTTTAGTGCAAGGCTCTGATCTTTAAGACCGTAGTTTCCTGGACTGGATAAATCATCTGTCGCCAAGAAGCCTAAGGCAAAAATTATTACGTAATAGTACATAAAAGAACTCGTCTGCCTGTTTGATAGTTTAAAATCAGATCTATATTGGTTAATATGTTAATTCTTATTGTTATTGTTATTACATAAAAATGGCTAAGAAGTTTTTAGAGAATATCCAAGTTTTCTTGTTTATCAATCAATTTTTGCCTCAGGACTAAATCAAATAAGTTTGTTTGTCCAATGCGGCTGTTACCAATTACTCATAGAGGTCTTTTCATTGAGAAAAACCTAAAGTTTTGTGTTCAAATGTACGGTTGTTGAAACCTCTACCTGCCTGACCTACATACATATTTGCGTGTGTATAACTGTTAATGATTTTGTCAGTATCTAAAGTTTAGTTTTTACTATTAATACCTATTTAAATACATAAAAATAATATTTGACCTATATCTAGTTTATCAGATAATAGGAATAAAATACCTTGTGATGATGGTGATCAAAGAGAAAAAGAAAGAAATAAGAAATTGATCATCAACAAAATTAAATTTTATTTTGTCTGCAGCAGTTCTGAAGAATTCTATTGTTTTTGGTCTTTAGGAGCGCCTCTTTCTTTTCTTGTTTTTTTGCTTACTTCGATATATTGTGTCTTGTTTTCCTTTATTTGTTAACCTTATTTCTTGCTTTGCTGCTGTCTTTTTACTTATTTGTTATGTGTTGGATCAATCTGATGAGTATTTTTCAAGATTTGCTCGCAGGATGTTTAGTAATTCATTCGTAATACCATTTAAAGTGATATTATTCCTATTTATGATTTGACTATGTTGACAGATAGAACCAAATTTATCAAGGTAAGCGCGCAATAAAGAGTAATGATGACTTACCAAAAGGACCAATACGATAACTGATAGTTACCACCATTACTTCATTCTCCATAAAATAGTGAGGTCCTGCTTGTTCAAAGTTGGAAGCGCCGGCAACGAATCCTCCTCCATATATCCATACCAGTACAGGAAGGTTCTTTTCATGAACTGGTTTCTAAAATAAAATTATTTAGAGTAACGGAATTCAGCGTTTTATTTTTTGACAATTCAAGAATTAATTCAAAAAATTTGGCAAAAGCGTAAAATTTGACAAACAACTTGATGCGAAGCTGCAAGTCCTCATCTCTTTACTCTTTTAGTACTGCTCCACCACTGCTCAATTAGACATTTCCGCTCAAGCATCTCGACAGTAAAGCGAATGAGAGTCAGCAGCCTATCCCCACTTGTCTATCTGACCTTGTTTTAAAATATTTGAAAATTTTTGTAATGGCCAATTCTGAAAATTAATCATAAATTTATGTTCCGAAAACTAAAATTATAGCAAAATCGTTATTTATTTACAAATCTTATAAAAATCAGCGTAAATCTTTAATATTGCGTTCATAGTTGCGTCTTGCGATTAATAACACCTCAAAATTTCAGATGGATCCATACAACAAAAACATCCTGCAAAAACTTCGTGTTAGTCAAATCAATAAGGAACTGGTTTTTTACTACTTTTACTGACCAGTAAAACTGGATTGAGGTTCGTAAATTTTTATTGGCGAACCGATAGTTTTGAGTGTTATTGGTCACAACACCAACAAATAACTGCTGAATGTATTGTTTTTATAGCTATATGAGTAACGCTTCAATATTATTCGATAAAATTGTAAACCCATGAAGGAAAAAGGGCGTGTCACTTAGTTATAGGTAGTAGTAAAATGAGGGGCAGGTTTTTAACTCACCTTAGCTCTAAAACCAGATTCAAATTTTTATATCTTTATTGGTGAATCGATTGTTTTGGGTAGGACTGTTTGTTACTGGTTAGACCACTGTTGAATCACTGCTAAATGTACTGTTTTTTATAGGTGTGTGAATATCGCTTGAATATTATTCGATAAAACGGTAAACCAATTAAGAAAGAAAGAGCGTGTAACTTACTTATACGTACTGTAAAGCAGGTTTTTTATTCCTCCTACAGGTAAAACCACATTTACGTGTTTACATTCTTATTGGCGAATTGATAGTTTTGGGTAGGACTGTGTATTACTGGTCAGACCACTGTCGAATAACTGCTTAATTTAGTGTTTTTTTTTTAAGTTATGTGAGTAAAGCTTGAATATTATTCGATAAAAATGTAAACCAATAAAGAAAGAAGGGGTGTATAACTAATAGTAAATTAGTAAGTAATAATATAAGGTGACAATTTACCTATATTCCTAAACAAACGATAATTATAAATAATCGAAAAGGCAGATAAATTTTGATTTAGGTAGAAATTTTTAAGAATTTTTAGAATGAAACTCTTATTCAAATTACCAATGGCAAAGAGAAACTATGGAATTTTTTTCTTTCGTCAGAACATCAAAATGAGATTATAAACTGGTTATAACATCAATAATTAGAACAACATAAAAAATACCTACTTACACTGCTCAGATAAAAGTTGGTATTTAAAATTGGGAGAAACCATTATAATTTATTATATCCTGATTAATGCAGGTTACATTTGTCAATTTTCTTCTTTATTGGACCAGGTTTCGTCATTAAATGGTCTGCTAGGTATACAGTGTGTCTCATAATTAATATAAATAAATATTATTGAATCATCCTGTAGAACAAAAACTAGCAACATTCTGCCTAAGCAATTTGAGCTCAAACGCTTTATTTTGATGTCAGCTGTCAAATACTAGCTAATGTCCAATTAATTATTGGACAACCTGTATAACTAAGTTGGCTGAATATAAAAATTAACGTGTAAGAAAACAATAAAAAACGTACTCTAAGTAAGACCTTTAAACATTTATTAACAAAGCAATCAATACTTACTTTGGGTGTGTAGACATTAAGGAACAAACAATCTTCCGTTTCTATATCTTCCAAACTACCAAACCAATTCCAAACCTGATAGCAAACTTTTGTGTTCTTTGTAGCATCGAACACATCATTCCACGAGTCAGCAGGTTGTGGTTCCTAGATAATTCAAAAATATAAAAAATTGCTCAACCATAGATAGCTACTTAAAAATTATTTTTATGGATCATAAATTGCTATTATTGATAGAGGAATTAGCTATTTCTAAATGTTTTTGTTATCCTGGGGAAGAGTGCCATTTTCTTGGATAAAAAAATTATCAAATTTCATATATCTTTAAAAAACTTACCCTAAATCTTAAATCACCAACCGGAGCTTTTCCGTACGGTATTTGTTGGAATGCATAAAATGGAACTCCTGTTTTCCTCAAGGAGTACTCCATTCGTCCACGTACTTCTCCATTTAAAGTTCTTACTACTAGATCGTCTGCCCTCTAAAGACATAAGAAGGTTTATTTTAAATTATTTTAAAAATAATATAAAACATATTAGAAAGAATAATATCATCATCATTGGCGATTTTGAGTCCGATGCTGAACTTGGACCTCCCATAAATAAGTCCATTGCATCCGATCGTAATAAGCTACCACTGGAGAAGTGAAAATAGGGTACATTCGCTGGTTTTATTTTGTATGAGTTTATATTTACTTGACTTTCTAAAGCTGTAAGGCATACAGAAATAATATTATAGCCATGTTTAGATAATTTATACTGGAACCAAAAAGCAAAGTAAGAATCGAAAATATCGATTCAGAAACTGTATAAATCAAAAGAGGTATTAGACAGGGTTGTTAATGCATGTCAACAAAATCAAGACAATTGCACATAAATTTTTAAAAGTCACACACAAAATAATGGTGATAACATGCATACCACAACAGAAAGAGAGAAAAAGCGTGTTATTAAAAGTTGTAAAATTTATTTCCCTGCACAATGTGCAAGTATACTCAAAGTTACATAAAAAACTGGGATTCCCTACAATGTGAATGCAATTTGCACTCAAGATATTCATTAAGTAGCGAAATGGGTAAAAATTTTAGCAACAATACAGAAAAAGAAAAAGTTATTTGGAATGACTTAAAAATTATCAAAATAGAAAAAAATACACCCGAATATAATGTCTTATAAAACTTCTTATGCACTTGAGATACTTTCAAGGCTATTGAAGGCTATTTTAAGGACAGGTTTATTGGTCATTTTACCAACATTTGTTGGAAAAAGATGTAGAGAAGTCTGAGTCCTAGTCTGAATAATTTGTATTTATTTAATTTTGTTTCAAATTAAAAGTTTAATTTTCTAAGACGTTATTTTTATTTCAAATCCTATAGTCACCAGACATACCTCTATTTACAAAAAGTAGCTAATTTATGTCGTAATTCGAGAAAGAATATTAGTTCAATAGTGTAACAATGTCATTAAAGTTTAAATTTCAGTTAATTAATATCTAAATATTTTCATGCATTAAAATGTTCTACAGTCCTAGAAAACTTATTACAAATTATACCTACAAAAAATCAAATAATATCAAGAAATATTTAAGTACTTACAACAAAATTTAAACAGAGTGTCACACAGATAAAAGTCTTCAACATCATCTTGATAGAATGGCATTAAAAGATCTTATTCTACATTTTTATATAAAGTGTTAGTTACATAAAAAACTGAGAAGCTGATTTAATCTGTCTAATAAATGCGTCCACTTGAATTGTCAAAAATAATCAGTAATGAATAAAAAACAATAGAAATTTATTTAGTATTATATATAGCTTATGTTTATTTAATATATATTATATATTACTAAATAAACAATGAAATTTATATAACATTGAAATAAATATATAGATAATATATATAAAATATATGCAATAATAGATATACAGATAAAAATCAAGAAATATGCATATGGGCAAATACTTACAAGAACTCTTTGATGATAATAGGTCCGCACAACTTCCGTCCTACAATATGTAATGACCACTTACCAATCATATCAGATGAAGTAAAAAAAACAATATCAAAACTAAAATATCGCAAAGCTCCTGGACCTATAGTGTATTTTTATGTATGAGAGAGTAATAAAACAATAAATTATGTATGCAAATCCCTAAACTGTTGATACGGGTGACTCAATGAAAAACAGATATTTGTCAACAAGTTTACAGAAGTAGGTATATAGGAAAACAATTTTAAATTGAGTATGACCACCAGGTATAAAGGTTGGAGCAGAATAGAATACAATACTTGTGAGGGTTACTAATCCCTAAATAAGGTTGCCAGTGTCGGAGTGATGGAGGTTAACAGGTACTAATGAATTTGCAAGAAATGTAAGATGTTTATTTTATTGGTTATATATAACCAATAAAAGTTTAATAAGTACCTACCTATTTGCAAAATAAAGTTTAATTCTTTAGATAAAATAAAACGTTTTATTTTATCTGAAATGAGTGCATTTCACGAAATAAGGGTTTCAACAATCAAACATTTAATTCTTTAATTCCAGGAATCTACGACAGTAATTGACTAGATAATAACTTTCTAAACTTATTCCACAGAAAATGTGATAGTGGGTTTTTCCATTTTGTAGGAAGGTCCAAGTGGCGTATTCAAAATTCTTAACAGTTCACTAAAAGTAGGTACTTCAGTTGCAAGGTGCAGTTTATTGTGTATACTAGTGTTATGGAAAATTTGGAAGTGCCGTGTAAACGCCGAAAAATTGGTCCTTTAACAGTTAATGAAAAAACATTAATATTTAATTGTTTTAAATCATTTACAGACAAACGTTTATGTGAAAGTGTTGATGAGACCGTTGAGTTAGTTAGCAGTGCACTTGGTGTTGGGAAATCTACGATTTACAGAGTTATTAAAGAAGAGAAATGTGGTAGTTTTCAAATGCCACGTAATGCTCCAGGGAAACCAAAATTTCAAATAGAATATCATTTTAAAGAAGGACTTCGACGGAAAGTGCATGAATTCTTCTTTAGACAAGAATTTCCAACATTGGATAAAGTTCTTGTCTCAGTTCGAGATGATAAGGATTACCCAGAAATGAGTCGAAGTACGTTATGGAAACTTTTAAAAGAAATAGGCTTCCGCTGGAAAAAGAATCCCAGAAAGTCTATTTTATTAGAAAGAAGCGATATTGTCATATGGAGAAGACATTTTCTAAGAACCATAAAGGAAATGAGAAACCAAAAAAAAAAAATATTTTATCTTGATGAAACATGGATCAACGAGGGTCATACACCAAATAAATTTTGGCAGGATGAAACTGTTACAAGTCAAAGGCACGCTTTTGTAAATAACTTATCTACTAATTTAAACCCACCATTATTAAAGGGACGCAGGCTGATAATAGTATACATTGGCAGTTCAGACGGTTTTGTTGAAGGTGGTTTATTAACTTTTGAATAAACTCGTACCGGTGACTACCATGAAGACATGAACGCTGATGTCTTTCAAGAATGGTTCGAACAAATGATAGATCTTCTTCCTAAGAACTGTGTAATAGTAATGGATAATGCAAGTTATCACTCCAGACTTATAGAAGGACTGTCCACAACCAAGTGGTTAAAAAAAGACATGCAGAATTGGCTGAGTTCAAAAAATATTACGTACCATCCCGGATCTATAAGAAAGGAACTTTATTCGTTGTGTGCCCTTCATAAAGAAAAATTTAAAAAATACGAAATTGATGAAATTGCCAAAAATCGTGGAATGACAGTACTTAGATCCCCACCATATCATTGTGAATTAAACCCGATTGAACTGGTATGGGCACAGATAAAGAGTGAAGTTTCAAGAAAAAATACCACTTTTAAAATTCATGATGTAAAACAGTTGTTTTTGGAGGCCGTAAATAATGTAAAACCTGAAAACTGGGAAAAGGCAGTAAATCACACTATTAAAGAAGAGGAAAAAATGTGGAAGCTGGACAATATTACTGATAAAATGATCGAGCCAGTTATTATAAATCTTGGTTCTGAAAGTTCATCTTCTGAATCTGATTTGGATTTGTAACAAGTAGCTGTAAGTTTTATATTAATATTTTTATTCATCTATTTAACATACCTTAGACGGTTTTAAAAACTCTTTTTCTCTTTTGTAATTTTTAAAAATTAAAAAAAATGTGAATTTTTTAAAACCCTTTTTAATGTAGGCCAGTCAGTTCCAATATAGTGTGTGATAAAAGAGGTCACTTTTGTTTACATACACATAACACTTTATAACACTGAAATAATTCATTTATTTTTTAAAATTATTCAAAGTAATTTTTCAATTAATCTTGAGCACGCCCATGGAGTGGTCGGAGGTACCAGTTAAAATTATGCTAATTACTCTCTCGTTCATAAAAATAAACTATAACAATGCATATGCTGAACTCATAAAGCTATTTAACACCAATGGTACTCAACGACAACAAAAATATTCAATGACATTTATTTAAACGGAGTAATACCAAGTTTATGGCTGAAGTCAACGTTTATTACTCTACCAAAGAAAACAAAATCCGTATCCTGTAATGATTTTCGGATGATCATTTTAACGTTATTTTCAAAAATCATACATTAAAGGATATATAAACTAATCGATAGTTTTCAGCAATGTATTTCCGACATATTTAGTAGTCCTGAAAATAATATAAACGTCTTAAATAATAAATTAACAAATGCTCTACTGGAAATTCAAAACAAATTCTGTCCTAGAACTCAAAAAGAAGAGAAGATTAGCCAAAATACTAGGCAACTAATGCAGAAAAAAATAGAAATGAGTAGCGAGACGGAAACTAAAACCGACGAACTACAAAAATTAAATTAAGAAATATTCAAAGCTGTTAGACAAGACACTCGAAAATACAACCAAGAATAAATTGAACATACCATTGAGAACAATAAAAGTATGAAAGTATTGAAAAAAAGACTAAAAACGGAGACAAGGCAGATAATAAAGATTAAAGATAGAAATGGTCATCTTACAACCAACAGAGAGGAAACCCTTAAAATAGTTGAAAACTTCTACAAATTGAAAATCCACTAGAAAACTAAGTTCCTGTAGCTGGCTGTACACCATATATCACAAAAAATTTATTTCAAATCCTTTATAAAAGGTATATAATAAAATTCCCAAACGGGCTATCGCAATTAAATTACAGAACGTTTTCGGATTGTTAAATCCATCATCAGTGTAAACGGGGTATACATGCTATGAGCCACCAAAATATATGGGTCAAAACCCTTTAAATGTTATAAATTTACAGTTGTTTTACATTAGATATAGTTACAAATTAGGATGTTTAAGTTACCGTTGGAATTGGTAACATGGCGCGACGTATGACCCTACATAGGAAAAATGGTCCTGAGACGAAGTGTCTTCGAGGACCTGTTGATAAACTGTTATCAACAGGTCCTCGAAGACACTTCGTCTCAGGACCATTTTACCTATGTAGGGTCATACATCGCCATGTTACCAATTCCAGTTATCAACTGAAGCTAGGTTTCGAATTAACGGATAATGTATCAATAACATCAGATATGCGGACAACACGGTGGTGTTCGCTAACAATTATGAAGCCCTTGAGGTGCTAATAAATAAAATCACAGAAGTGAGTCAGATATATGGACTTTCACTGAACAGAAAACAAAATGTATGATGATCTTTAAGAAGGAACAGCAAATTGACAGAATGTTTAAACAATAGAAAGAGTAAAAACATACACCTGCCTTGGTACGAACGTCAATGAAAATTGAGACTATTTCCTATAAATAAAATTTAGGATAGAGAAAGATCTGCCTTTCAAAAAATGGCTAAGGTATTCAAATACCACGATTTATTAGTACTCATAAAAATCAGGTTATTACGATGTTATATCTTTCCTATACTATTGTACGGAGTTGAGTGTTGGACTCTCCCAGACACTACCTGTAAGAAAATTGAGGCCTTCGAAATATGGCTTTATCGTAGAATCCTAAAGATATAATGCAAAAAGGAAAAGAGTTGATAACAACAATAAAAACAGCAAAAATTAAGTCTACAAGGAAAAGTAGAAAATAAACCAGGACCAGAAAGGCGCAGAATTTCCTGGCTAAAAAATCTATGTACGTGGTTGAACACCACAAGAACCACAAATCTTATCAGAGCCGCAGTTTGCAAAATACAGATTCCCATGATGGTCGCCAACATCCGAAACTGATAGGTACTACAAAAAGAAGAAGATCATTATCATATCAAGTCATTAGATGAATGAATACGACTTCTGTTTTTAATCCCTTTTGATATTCGATGTACTGGAAATTAAGTATTTGGCTAGTACAAGACCTTACCGCTCTAAACACTGAGTGTTTCTCTATGAGGTTTTCCTATTTGTATGAACTGATTCTATTCAATATCAGTCTGTCATACAGCTTTAATCTTGAGCACATAAGACAGATATGACGGTAGGTTTTGAGTCATATGGATCCTTTCTTTGTTTTAATACACTTTAGACTGCCGCCATTGTTTTGGGATCTTAGCCTGGGCCCAAAATTGTTTTACTAACTGTAATACCCATTTTTCATAAAACTGCTAGTACTTGTAAGGGTTTCATTTCTCATGTCATCCAGGCCTGCTGCTTTACAGATGTTCTGCAATGCTGATGTCCAGTTCGTCCACTGTAGGTTCTTGGTCGAATTTATCCAGGTTCTAGGAACTGCTTGGGGTTTTATACCGTTCTGAGTAAACTTGTATCATTTATGAAAGTAATTAATATTGATATGAACCAAGGTAGAAGCATACAAAGAAATGTAATAAGAAAAACTGACTCTGCATAAGGAGAAAGGCAAACATAACGATGATGATGATAACTCGACTCTGGAAATAAGTATGCACGGCGGAAGACTGTAACAAACAACGTTAGAGAAAGGAAAGAGCTTCGCTTTATTTAATGTTTAAATATACCAGACACTTAGTAAATATTACAATGCATTTACGTATCTATCGAAAGATAATTGTAAAAATAATTAACTTATCTGTTTTTATTACAAAATAAATTAAGTGCCAAGGATCTTAAAAATTATCAGACAAAAGTTATCATAAGTGCGGTACGTGCTATTTATTGATTATTGATTATATTAATATTTTATTAATTATATTAATTCATTTTATTAATTTATGATATTTATTAACTAATTTACAATGATCTAGACAATTTTACATTTGTGTTAACGTTCTCACTTATATATCAAAAATTCTTTATCAAACGCGATTTATTGCAAAGGCAAAAGAGTTCTTGTCCCAAAACTTATGTAAAATTCTGTTTATATGTTTAAAATGTATTGAAATCCATGTTTTTGTAGTATAAGCTAAAACCGTAATTAATAATAAAAGAATTTCCGAAAATATAATTTTTATGATTTATTATCATCATCGTCATTCTGAACCATTATCATCATGATCATCACCCAGCCCTTTGCTTCCACTGCTGGACACAGGCCTCCCTTATTTTTGTCCATTGTGCTTTATCTTGAGCACTTTTCATTCAATTTCTTGACATTTTCTTGAGATCGTCAGTCCAATGAGTAGGAGGTCTTCCTCTACTTTTTTTGTCTAACCTAGGCCTCCACTCAAGTAATCTATTTGTCCACTAATTAGGGCGACGTGTCCTGCCCAGTTCCATTTCAGTGTAGCAATTCAGTAAATTACATCGGTAACTCCTGTTCTTCTTCCTGTTCATCACAGGCAACTCACATTGGTCAAATGTTTTACGTTTTAAAAAAATTGGTATCATCATCATCATCATCATCAGTGGTGCTACAGCTCCAGTTGAGCCTTGACCTTCCCCAGTCTATTTCGCCAGTCGTTTCTGTTCATCGCCAACCGTTGCCAATTTGCCGCGCCGATTTTCCTTGCGTCCTCGTCCACACCGTCCCTCCATCTCAGTCGTGGTCTGCCTCTACTCCTATTTCCCACTGGGACCGATAATGGAGTTCGTCTGGGTGGGTAATTCTCATTTGCTCTTGACACATGTCCAGCCCATCTAAGCCTGCCTATTTTTATGAAGGATATTACATCTCTACCATTTACTATTTTTTTATATTTCTCGTACAATTCGAAATTATATCGCCTTCTCCAAATACCATTCTCACAGAATGCGCCCATTATTCTTCTTAGTATCTTTCTTTCGAAGACGAGCAGAAGATTTGCGTCTGTTTTGGAGATGGTCCATGTTTCTGACCCATATGTCAGCACTGGTAGGATGAGTGTTCGATATATTATTAGTTTGGTTTTCTGGCTTAAGTTTCTGTTTTTTAGCTGCTTGCTTAGTCCAAAATAACATTTGTTTGCTAGCATTACCCTCCGTTTAACTTCTTCAGATGTGTCATTATCGTTTGTTATGAGAGAACCCAAATATGTAAACTTATTTACTACCTCAAAATTATATTGGTCTATACTGAAGTTTTGTTCGGCGTTTCTAGCTCTATCTCTGTTATTTGGAATAGATGCTAGCATTTTGGTTTTTTCCTCGTTTATTTTAAGGCCCATATTTTGTGCGGCTGTCAAGAAGGTGGAAGTCATCTCTTTAAGTCCTCGTGTAGTACGTGCAATCAAATCCAAATCGTCAGCGTACGCCATAATCTGCGTTGATTTATTAAAGATTGTTCCCCTATTGTGTAACTCGGCATCTCTTATAGTCTTTTCTAACGCTATATTAAAGAGAAGGCACGCCAGCGCGTCTCCCTGCCGTAACCCTACATATGTTTCAAACGCTTGTGACATATCGCCTTGTATTTGCACTCTGCAGATCACTTTACTCATAGTTGTTTTTACGAGCCTTATTCATTTATGGGGAATGTTAAGTTCATTCATGGCTTCGTATAGTTTACCTCTTAGGACGCTATCATACGCTGACTTAAAGTCCACAAAGAGATGGAACGTGAAAAAAATTGGTATATCGCTTTTAAAGATGTCATTGAGTTTTCCTTAGGCTGTCAAGTTTTTTACAAGCATATTCTAGTACTGCGGTAAACAGTTTGGGCGATAAGGTATCACCCTGTCGGAGTCCTCTGCTGATTGGGATATGATCCGTGTTTTTATGTAGTTTTACCGACATAGTTGCGTTCTAGTATGTATTGTAAAGTAACCTTGTATATCGGTAGTCAATGCGGCATGCTTGTAGTGCTTCCAGGATTTTGTCAAATTCTGCTGTGTCAAAGGCTTTATAGAAATCTACAAATCTACATTTGTTCCACATCCGGTACGAAAATTTTTTACACAATAAAATTACCTCAGCATTCTGCCATTTGTCGGATATATTACAGTCCAAAAGGCACATGTTAAAAAGGTTTTTATTTTCTTAAGTAGGCAAGCGCCTCCGATTTTGATTGCATCAGTAACTACCCAATCTTTGCCAGGAGATTTGTTATTTTTAGCTTTTCTTAGGGCTAGTTTTATTTTATCTATTATGGTTTCCGGCAGTAATTCTGATCTTCTTCTTCTTCGTCTAGCCATTCACGTCCACATCTGAACATAAGCCTCTTCAAGTCTTCCTTTCCATTGGTTTTTATTGTACGCTACTTGTAGCCAATTTTTCCCGGCAGTCCTTTTCAGATCATCTGTCCATCTCATAGGAGGTCTGCCTCTGGGTCTTTTGTGTTGGTATGGTCTCCAGGTTAAAATTGATCTGTGCCATTTGTTTAGATCGCTCCTAGCTACATGTCCAGCGTATTCCCATTTCAGCTTTAATGCTTTTTGCACCACATCGGTGACTTTGGTTTTCTGTCTTATCCATGTGTTTGTTTTCTTGTCCTTAAGTGATATACCTAGCAGTGCTCTTTCCATCGCGTGTTGAGTGACTCTAAGTATATTCATATTCTTTTTTGTAATTGTCCATGTTTGTGCCGCATAAGTTAATATCGGAATAATGCGTGCATCAAAAACTTTAGATCTAAGATGTAATTGAATTTATTGATTTCTGAGTATATAGTTAAGTTTACCGAATGCTGCCCAAGCTAACTTTCTTCTTCTTTTTATTTCTTCAGTCTGAATTTCCCTATTTAGGATTATTTTTTGTCCCAAGTATATATATTCTTCAACTTTTTCTATAACTTTATCGTTTATTATTGTCACGGTGTCTTCGGAGTGCATGACTTTTGTTTTGTTTAAATTCATTTTCAGTCCTATTTTAGAAGATTCGGTATGAAGTTCTACGAGCATGGTTTGCATTTCTTGTAGGTCAGTAGCTATCAGGATTATGTCATCTGCAAATCGTAGATTACTGAGGTAGCGGCCATTGATGTTTATTCCCTTAGATTTCCAATTTAGGTTTTTAAAAACGTCCTCCAAAACTAAGGTGAACAGTTTGGGTGATAAAGTATCTCCCTGTTTGACTCCCCTGTTTAATGGTACAGGGTTCGTGTGTTCATTTTCATTTAGGTAGTATGTAGCTGTAGCTTGGTTCATAGTTTCTTTTATTAAGTTAATATATCTGCTGTCTATTCTACAATTTTGCATTGCGTTTATTACGGCCGTGTGTTCTATGGTATCGAAAGCTTTTTCGTAGTCTACAAATGCAAGGAAAACTGGAAACTTGTATTCGTTACATTTTTCTATTAATATTTTTGTGGTTAACAGGTGATCGGAAGTTGAATAGCCTTTTCTAAAACCTGCCTGTTCATATGGTAGGTTTTAGGAAAGGCTATTCAACTTCCGATCACCTGTTAACCACAAAAATATTAATAGAAAAATGTAACGAATACAAGTAATTCTGATTCTTGGTTGAAAATTACTGATTTGTTTGTTATTATTTCTGGTACTTTATCTTCTCTGCTATTAGAAGTGATAAGGTTTTAAGCTTTAAAAAACCTGTAAAGGTTTTAAATAATAACTAGAGGATATAATAAACATCTTTATTTATATTTTTATTTGATTAAAATGTATCATAAGGTTTGACAGCCATTTCTTCGTATAAGTTGACCCATTTTGGATAAACATCGTTCTTTGGATTTCTTTGCAACGTGATGGTTTCGTTTATATCTAGATACTGAAAGTCATCAGGCTTTACTGTAGGCCATGTGATATTATCCAATAGTTCACTTGGTTCTGGTGTAGGGTTCCTAAAAGAAAGTACAAATATACAGAATAAATTCAGGGTCTTAAAATAAAATAATAATATTACTTGATTCATTTGCCGAATCTCGTTACAGCTAAAAATAACAATTCGATACGTTTTGTAGCATAATTAAAAACATTAGTACAAAATTGATTCCCAATTAATCCCCTTCCAAGTCATGTCTTATCTGTCCTATAGATATCATTTCAGTATTGAACCTGCCTTAATTATTTTTACGCTATGACATCTCATTTTAGCATCAATTGGTGCTAAATTCTTTTTTTGTTTCGTTTTCGTTAAGTTTGAAGATCAACAATACTCTAGTCTAACTTAAAATATTTGTTTAATGTTATTCCATTAATATTATACACTGCTAGTAAAATTTATTGCTTTTAGATTATAAAAGTTTAATACTTACAGATATTTAGCAAAATTCGTAAACAGAGTTCTATATCTGTCACTCGTTTTGATATCCAACTCAGGATATCTATCTAGGTAAGAATGATTAGAGGAAACCCATAAGTAATGGTTATCTTCAGCGTGTCCAACTCTGTAAGCTCCTAGAATGCAAGGAAAAATTATGTGAAGTACGTAAAACATGTAGATGTCAAAATATTATTGATGTGAAAACGAAATATTAAAAGGAATAGCTGGTCGTTATTGGCTATGTGTTTTTATGAAGCGCAATCCTCAAATCAGACCTAGGAAAGCACAAAACTTAAATCCGGCTAGGGCACAAAAGCTTAATAAATTTATTGTAAAAGATCATTTTACTAAGCTGGAAGTTATTTTAAGAGAAATGGACATACTTGATAAGCCCGAACGGATATATAATGTAGTCGAGAAAGTTGCAGGTTAACACTTCACCACCAGCAGAAAGTTTTGGCGCAAAAAGGGGCTAGAAGAGTACATGTTGTTGCAAACGAACATGAAGAAAGTGTTACCATTGTTTCTTGTGGTAATGCTCTCGGTACAGCAATTCCTTCAAATGACTGCAAAAGGTAGCATGAATATTGAAACGTTTTCAGTTTGGCTCCAACACTTTTCAAAATTTAAGGTTGCTGGTCCATGTATTATCATATTTGATGGTGCAAGATGCCATTTGGATCACACTATTGTAGAAACTGCCGAAAGATACGAAATTACTCTATACTGTTTACCTAGTAATACTACTCACGAGCTCCAACCAATGGACAAAGCTGTATTTAGAGCCTTTGAATATTACTGGGATGATAAAGTTATAAAATATTATTCTATCCATAGTGATCGTGTTATTACCAAACAGAGATTTGGGGCAATTTTTTCTACAGTTTGGGACAAAACAATGACACCATCTAATATAAAATCGGGGTTTTCATTCAACCCAGAAGCTATCCCAGAGATAGCGTTTGCCCCTAGTACTATCTCATACCAACATCAGAAGATAAAGAGAATGTCACATTATCAGAAACTAACGCTTGTAATAAAGCAGATGATTTATCCATGCCATCATCTTCAGGCATTCAACAAAAATATTACCGTTGTCATTCTCCTTTGGGATTACAACCGAAAAATAGCTCAAAAGAAGTATGTCTCGAATGTATGTCCATCGAATTATTAAAACTCATCGATGAAGATGTTATTGATGTAAAGGTCGAACTCTTTAATCTAATATATCAGACTGCCACAATCCCCAGACAATGGCTGCAATCAACCTTTGTAGCAATTCCCAAAAAACCAAGTTCAACAACTTGCTCAGACCACAGAACAATAGCTTTAATGAGTCACACACTTAAAACATTTTTGAAAATAATTCACAGCAGAATTGTTAAAACTCTTGAATATGAGATTAGTGACACACAATTTGGCTTTAGAAATGGTATGAGTACAAGAGATGCTTTGTTCGGCTTGAATGTGCTGGCTCAGAGATGCATGGACATGAATCAGGATATGTACTTATGTTTTGTAGACTTTGAAAAGGCATTTGATAAAGTTCAACATAAAAAGCTTGTAGATATATTAAAAAGCAAAAATATTGACAGTCGTGATCTGAAAATTATATCTAATTTATATTGGAATTAAACTGCCAAGGTAAGAGTTGACAGCCAGTACACCGAAAATATCAAAATACAGAGAGGAGTCCGCCAGGGTTGCGTGCTGTCCTCACTACTTTTCAATGTCTACAGTGAAGCGATATTTCAAGAAGCGCTCTCAGACTCAATAGAAGGTATATCTATCAATGGAGAAGTTTTGAATAACTTACGTTTTGCAGCCGATACAGTAATAATTACGGATAACAACAATGATTTACAGAACCTAATGCAACGCCTTAATGAACGCTGTCATGAGTACGGACTGAAGATAAACTTAAAGAAAAACTAAATGCATGATCATGACTAAATCTGCACATGCAAATATCCAATTGACTATTGAAGATACTGCAATTGAGAATGTTAATAACTATAAATATTTAGGAACATGGATAACATCAGATGTAGACCAAACCAAAGAAATTAAGACACGTATTGAAATAGCACGTACATCATTTATTAAACTTAAAAAGTTTCTTTGTTGTCGGGATATAAGGTTAGAACTACGCCTGAGAATGCTTCGATGTTACGTGTTCTCTACTCTTCTTTATGGTCTGGAAGCTTGGACACTAAAACAAGTTCATCTGAATAAGCTGGCCGCCTTTGAATTTTGGTGTTACAGAAGAATCCTACGAATATCATGGATTCAAAGAATGTCAAACATGGAAGTAACTAGAAGGATAGGAAATGAGGCGGAAATAATATTAACTATTAAAAGACGAAAACTTGAGTACTTGGGAAATGTGATGAGAGGGCAAAAATACGCATTATTACAACTTATTATGCAGGGCAAAATCCGAGGAAAGCGAAATGTGGGAAGACGAAGAATATCCTGGCTTAAGAACTTAAGGGAATGGTTTGAATGCAGTAGTGCAGAACTTTTTAGAGCGACAGTCAACAGAGTCCGCATAGCCATGATGATTTCCAACCTTCGATAGAAGATGGAACTTAAAGAAGAAGAAGACACTGATAGTAGCAACTCTGACTTATCCTTTAGTTTGCATGATTCTTGCAGTGATGAAGTTATTGATTCAGAAGACGATCACAGTGATTTCTCAAACATCCAAAATACTTCATTCACAATTATGCTCGAAACACCTGAAAATGCAGCAATAAAGAACGATAACAAAAAGCCTAAAAAACCAGCTATCAACAGTCGAGCCCAAGTTGTTACTACAGATTTATTCGGTAGATGTATTGGAAAAAGTGATTCTGAAAATATTGAAGCCAATACGCATACTACAGGTGGTAAAAGAGTTTCGTCAATGCTACGAAAATTACCCAATCCAAAAAAAAATTTAAGACCTTGCCTGCTAAGAAAAGGAAACAAAAAAACAAGAATCTTGGTTCTGCAAATTATGCAAGGAAGACAGGATGGTAGATATGAGACTATGTAGCGTATGTAGCACTTATATCCACGAAGAGTGCATGGGTCTCACAGCTAAAGACAAAATTGATACGTTCTTATGCCTTGATTGTGAAAAATAAGACAATATTAAATTTCTGTACTGTATATGCTTAACATGTAATAAAACTGTTAAAAAATCTGAAACTATTTTATTCTATTTTGTGTCAAGCTTCATAATTAGATATAAAAATTTACTTTCTGTAGAGTGGCCATATTAGCGACACCATGTTGGTAATATGGCCAATAGCAGTATTTTTTTAATTAAGTAATAAATATCATATTTTTATCAATTTTTGAAAAATTATACAATAAATATATATTTAGATAACCCATGTAACTGTAATAACAGTTACTTTTTAAAAAAAAATATATTTGGCTACAAATACGGACAAAAGTTCTTAAGGTGGCCATATTACCTACACATACCTTACTACCAATACTTACTACTGAAGTAAATTAAGCAGTCCTTATATTAACCTATATCTTAATTTTTTTTGTCAATACATAATCTATTTGAGACTGATTTTTCCACTTTTGAATGAGATAAGACTTTCTTTTAAAACAATTTGTGTTAATATTCCTTATATCTAATTATAGAGAAACAAAAGATAATGGCTGCTCTAATATAATAGAAATTAATTTACCTTACACACAATTTTTTAATGAATTTAATTTACATACCTGGAAGATTTGGTCTGTTTCCACCAATTTGTCCATGGTAAGAAAATTGATAGAAGTATACATCACTAAATTGTGACTGTAATTGAGCATGGTGGATTATACCTCTTGTGAAGGATGTATCACTGAAATACTGAAATGGTGATATATTAATTAGTAAATATATTAATGGTCTGTTTAAAGTAATGAGTAAGAGAGGATCTCTCACTCTCGTTACGTTTGTATCCTATACTACACTTTCTCCCGTGTGGTGAATGTTTAAATTGAATAACCAATGGTTTTTGTAAAACGTTTAATTCTAAATGTAAAAAAAAAAAATAACTTACCCTAACAGCTTTTCCAGGATTATTTTGAAGTAATCCATCTGTGTATATATCTCTTATTGCTTCTCCAGCTTGTTTCTTAAGAACCGGATCAGATAGATGCATATTTCTATTAACTAATGTACTAACATCATGCTCGTATTGTCTGACAATAGACAAAAAGTTGTCGGCTAAAAATATGACCACAAAATCTCATATTAAAAAATAATCTACTTTTATTTATTATTATTAATTACTTTTACCTTTTACTTCTGTACTTTTTAGATTATATTAGAACTTAAAAATTACAAAGAAAGGTGTACATTATTAGAGATAATCTGAAATAAACGGACCCAACTTCTAGAAGTAGAAACTTTTGGAAATTTATTAGTCTCTATTAAATTTGTAAAGATTACCAAAACAAAATAGTTAAGCATAAGATCGACATTCAATAATTTTCGCTAAAGCCATTGTTGAGTGCCTTGCGTTAACATATAACTGACCTAACGAACTACTAAAGTAATCAAGTGTACTCCATTTTGATGGAGTACATTTGATTACTTTAGCAATATTTCCCATTGTGTTATTTCCGTAAGCATCAATTTTACATCACAGGTCCCATCATATTTAAATAATTAATATTAAGTTATATATATTTTCTCCATATTTGACTGAAGAAAAAATGATTCACTAAAGATCTGCGTAAAGCTGATAAACTTATTACTAATGATACGGGAATAAATAATATAAAAATAACCTACCCGAGGCTCTTGCAATGGATTCTTCAGAGCATATACCGATCATTAAAGGAACTTTGTTCATATGCCCCTTTGAAATAGCATCGTACTGATATTCTGTGATAAATGCATTTTCGTGCTCAGGTTCAATGGCTGGAGCAAACCAGAATCCCTGGACAACCTGCTCATTACCAATAGCTTGCTGCAAAGAATAAAATATATATTTAATTAGTATATACATTTATTTTAACCTAATGACAAAATTTCCGCGATAATAATGATTTTCCTACACCTACCTTAAAGCTACTTGCTACTGTATTAATCTCTGCAGCTGATTTTCCCCTTAAAAGATCTAGTAATTCTTGTGGAGAGCTGGTATTTTTAAAACTAGGATCTAAGCCACTAGCCAGTTTGTAAGCCATATCACGATATTCCCTTTGATACGCCCATGGGCACAAGATGGAACCACTTTGAGCAATGGCTGCCCTAAATAGACCTAAAAATCACAGTAAAAGTTTAATTCTAATTTAAAAAATCTAAATTATAGTATAAAAAAGAGTTTTAAAATCGTTACAGTACAAACAGTTTTCAATTCTTCTTCTTTATGTTTTTCTTCTGTCAGAGATTGAATATCACTAATGTTCTTCTAATCTTAAGTGCTATTTACTATAATATTTCTTTAACGAATTGCAATTAACGAAATAATTACCTCGTAATTTTTGAAGTTTCTGTCCATGTCCTTTAGTAAAAGTTGAAGTTGTTTCGATGTTGTTATTAACAGCACAGTATTGCCTATATATATATATATATATATATATATATATATATATATATATATATATATATATCATAATTAATGACTTCCTCACTGACGATTATTCAGTTATTTGCAGTTAATAGAACTTTCCGGAAAATGTGTTCGCTATGGATGTTAAACAACAGTGGCGAGTATTCACTCCTGTCAGACTCCTCATCTTATACTTATTTGGGATAGGATTGTATATTTGTCTGAAGAAACATACTTGCAGAATGTTCTTGACTGAATTGCTGTATAAGCTCTTGAAAGACGTTTACAAGTCTATGAAATAGGTGCGCAATACATAATTAACATCCAAGCATTGCTGTATAAGTACTTTTAGAGCAAACAAAGCCTATCTATTAATCCTTTTTTCAATTCCAAACGTGTATCGCTAATATATAAACTAAGTTCCTATTTCTGGTAGACATGAGCATACTATTTTAAAAAATATCTTGAGCAAATCACTAATTAATGAGATTGTTAAAGATAAATGTGGATAATAAAAGATATTTTCAAGCATTTTAAACTAAAACTCTTAAGCAAAACTAAGATGGTATATGAGAAAGAAATATAGCTTCATAACATTCAACAATGCTTAATATGAAGATTTAAAATGCTAAAAATAAAATGAAAAAAACTTATAATTGAATATAGTCTTACCTTCAGACTGCTTGCTCATCAAATGAAAGGTTACTGATGCGGCTCCAGCACTTTGTCCAAAAATCGTTACCTTGCTTGCATCTCCACCGAAATATTTGATATTATCTCTTACCCATTTAAGTGCCAACAGTTGGTCTTTTAGTCCATAATTGCCAGCTATCGTTGTATCTCCAGTGGTAAGAAAGCCTAAAAATTATTAAAAAGAAAACAAAATATTTATTTATTTGTACTTTGTGATTTGTGTTCTAGAAGTAAGAAATCCGAGATCATCATAAACTTTGTTGCCTTTCGATTTTTAATTTTCATAATTGTGTATTCCATCTAGTTGCTTGTCTATTAGATCTTTTTATGCTAAACAAACCATAAGCATGGTTCGTTCTTGTTGCCATGTTGTTCATTACTGGATTTGGTATTTATTCTACCCCCTTTCTGTTTACATAATTTAAAGAAGTATATGAGATACTTCTGCGGATTTCGCCAATATAAATATTATCTTTTCCGTGAACTCCTTTCATATCTTCATTTCTAATTTTTTTCTAGTTTGGATTTATATGTTGATCTTATAGAAAAGTCTGTTACCGTTACAAGTAGTTTATTTCCTGTGCAGCATACATTTGATATTTCGATATGAGCGATGGTAGGAAGTCCCCATCACATCTTAGAATTATTGGGCCTTAATAAGACCAAACAAATCTTATCAGTGTTTAATAAAAAGTTTGGTCATAATTGGCTTTGAATTTAATTCACGTTAAAGTATCTTACTTACCAAAAGGCCCAACACGATAGTTAATTGTCACAACAATCACATCATGCTCCATCAGATAATGAGGTCCAAAGAAGTCGAAGTTTCCTGCTCCATTTACAAATCCTCCCCCAAAGAAGAAAAACATTACAGGTAGTGCATTATTTTGAGATGGTTCCTAAAAGAAGTAGAAACAAAACTCTTAGTTTCTTATCAGAACTAGACAAAAGGTTTGTTTATTGAGATGAAAAATATCAGCTTATGGAAGTGAGAAACTTCCTCACTTTCATAAGCTGATATTTTTCATGGGATGAGGGCGAGGAACATTAATTGACACTCTAAATTCCCTTGTATTAAACTAAATAGAAAAAATAGTCAAAACCATGTATCTATATCGGTATAATTGCTATAATTACCTCAATATCAAAATCATTTCTCAAACCAACCCTTAGTAAATAATTGCTTCTACCTTTTTCGATCTCCATCCGCAAGATATACAAACATTCTTGGACAAAGCAAACGAAAATTGCTCTCTCTTATTTTGATTGCCGTAGATGACAGACGTTTATTTTTGTCTCTGTTACCTGTTGGTTTTATATAGAGCAGAGGTTGTTTTTGGTCTCTCTTGCTTATTGGATCCCGTAGAGAACAGACGTTGTTTGTGGCTTCTCTTAATTTGGTTTCCGTAGAGGATATACGCTTTTTTCACCTGTCTTAGTGATAACGACCAGTGACGGATACACATGTATTCGCGAAAAATAAATTAAAACTCATACGAGAAATCACCGCGTGTGAATACCGCTAGCATATACAACACTAATATTGGTAAGTGTTTTCATCTCTGCTGTTTCTGCTGCTTTACCTTTTTGTCTTCTCTGCGTCAGGTCGTGTTTCTGCCGTGTGTGTTATTATTGGTCTGGAGCAATAACGTATGGAGTCTAACGTATGGAGCAGAAACATTGACCCTTACCAGAAAAGTAATCAATAAAATAGCGCACAGATAGCGATGGAGAGGTCAATGCTGAATATATCCCTCAGAGACAGACTATCAAATACAATAGGTAGGAGAAAATCTGGTGTTACTGAAGCAGTTCAAAGGATTACAACATTGAAATGGAACTGGGCGGGGCATGTTGCCAGATTAAAAGATGGAAGGTGGACGAAGAAAATTTTGGAATGGAGACCTAAACACGTTCCTAATCGTAATCGAGGACATCCTCTAACAAGGTGGTCAGATGACATCAAGAGCATTCAGCACAACTGGATTCAGGGTGCTCAAGATATAATGCATTTGAATTATTTACGGAAGGCATATGTTCAGCAGTGGACTCAAAACGGCTGATGATAATGAAATTTGCTATTGTAATCATGCATTTTGTTTGATTTTTTTTTTGGAAAATTGATATGCAGCATACGTTATAAATCATCTTCACTTTGAGAGAAAAGTATTGCGTCGTCTGCATAGCAGATTATTTTAAGTTCTTGTTCTCCCATTTGGTATCATTTTTAGTTCTTACTTTTTACTCCTAATCATTTTGGATCAACCCTATTGTACTGATAACTCGGAAATTATTTAAATAACTTCGCAAATTTCCAAGATCTAAATTTGTGCAATGATACTCATATTTCAATTAATATTTTTATTTAACAATACTCGTTCAATAAGAAAATAAAATAATATAAAACAAATTGTAAACAATGCACTAAATTACACATCCAAAAGAAGTGTTAACAACTTATTCAATTACTACTATCCCTTCAATCCCCACCTATTTAAACTGAATTTATACCCAAGTAAAATTCGATTATATAGATCAAACATTCTTTGCAATATGTACAATCAAATTTTAACTAAATGTGTAAAAATAATAATTGTATATACTTACTCTTGGAGTATACACATTTAGGTATAGGCAATCTTCGTTTTCCAGTTCCACGAGATTCGGAACGTTATACATATTGCTCTGCTGGTAACATATTTTTGTATTTTTGGTAGCATCAAGTATTCCGTCCCATTTTTCAGCTGGTTCAGGATCCTAAAGCAAAAGACCCAAGTCACCTCGTTAAATATAATGCTCTGGCTATATATACGGACTTTTCAAAAAACATTTAATGTTACAGATTACGCTTATTACATTGTATATTGTCTGTGGAAACTTTGTTATACTTAAAACATTGAATTGGTATTTTAAGACACACATTTTGCTTGTTCCATAATATTATAATGTGAAAAATAATACCGCAAAATACGCAGCAATAATACAAAATAAATGTACAAATAACGCAAGGAAAAACGTGTACAAATATTTGTGAGTACCAATATTTACATCCTTCTTTATGGTCTCTAACAATTCTCCTCTACAGTCGACTGTCAAGGAGATTTCTTGCGCCCTTATCTGAATCATATTCCTATCATTTTCTTGATCTTCCAATGGGTTTCTTTCCCTGCAGTCTTGCATTCAGCAGGTGTTTTGCAACCCGTCTTTCTTCCTAAATATATCTGTTCATTGAAGACGCTGAAAGCCGAAGTGCTGAAATAAAGGTGGTTTTTTATATATTGTATATATCATATTTGATTTGCAATCTGTTGATCTCATTTTTAGAGCTTAGTATTTCCTGTCTCCAGGGGGAACCTGTAACACCTCTAGGTCCGACCGGTTTATCGGTGGGTAGGAGGGAAATAAAATACTTACCGTAGATCAAGTGGTAACTTATCCAATGATTTCCGGTTTAAGAAATCCCCTACTTAATGACCAACGGCTTTAGGCCGATGTTAGTAAGTGGAAGAGCACTCTTTTATAAAGGGGTTGAGAAACTGGCCCTTAAAGTCGGATGAACCAAAAAATAGATCAACGGCGTAAGGATTCATTAGGCAACGGGAAACCACTAGTTTACAGATTTTTGAGTTAATACCAACATTTTGCATCCATAGTTAAGAGTATCAATAAAATAAATTAATTCAGTAATACGGTTAAATTGACTTAATAATAATTAATACCTACCGCAAAACGTAGATTCCCAATAGGTGGTTTTCCATAAGGTATTTGCTGAAAAGCATAGAATGATGTTTTTGTCTTCCTCAATGAGTATTCTTTTCTTCCTTGTATCGCTCCATTTGGAATTTCAACTACAATGTTTTGAGCTTCCTAAAACAGAATTGTTAATACATTTTAAAACAGGATAAAGTGAACTTTGGAGTAACTATTGAGTCAACTGTCAAGAACAGTTGAATTCGATTTATGAAAAGAAGTCTGCAGATTAGCCAAAAGATCAATTTAGAAAATTATAATACATAACAGGAGACTTTGAAGCCAGAACTTGACCCGTCAAAGACCACACAGAAACCGTAAGAACCAACAGAGAGATGATATAGCAGACACATGAAGAATATATTGCCAGGATCTATACAGGGCTTTTCAGATAAAACTATCAGCCTTAAATAACTCTTGAACCTCTAATTTTTTGGAAAAACGCAAAAACACGTCAATTAATATCTGAAGGGGGAGACATAATATCATATTAAAGGTTGCTGGAAAATGCACCCTCTCACCCTCTGTATCAACCCTTTATTTTTTTTAAATTACTTCCCCCCTTTTTTATTTTATATTTGGATTCTCCTTTTTGTACTGATTTTAAAAATGTATAATACCTTTGGCTTGAAGTGATTAGTTTATCAGATAGACAATTTTCCTGTTAACAAGACAGTTACTCCATCACCTTAATTGACTCTAACAAAATAGGTTGTAGCATAATTTAAACTCTTTAAATATTTAACCGTACTATTTGTAGTACCTTCAAAAACCAAGAAACAAAAAAAATCACTTATTATTCAAGTTTTATCAAAGGTTTTCGCTATCATTTTTACATTTGTTTTAATCGGTTAATAGCGACAATTTGTTATAACTTGTAATTAACAGCTTATTTTGATACGTGTGCAATTTGATCGCTGAAATGGTGTACACTTTGCAAGAAAGAATCGAAATTGTAGGTTTATACTACAAAAATAATAATTGTGCAAGAGCTGCTGCTAGAATTTTTAATGAAACACACCACAATAGACATGCAACTCATAAGTGTGTGATTGAACTGATGCAGAAAAAATTAGAGCAAGAGGCTCAGTTTGCAATAAAAAACATAACCGACAGGAACTTGTAAATAAAAAAGCAATCCAATTAGCTGTTTTAGATACAGTCACTGTCAACAATAAGCAGAGCAATCGGTGTTTCATCTTCTACAGCCTTCCGAGTCCTCCATAAATTTAAATTTTATCCATATAAAATTAAATTAGTACAAGAGTTAAATGAAGAAGATTTTGATCGTCGTCCCGAATGTTACGAATTAATGATACAATGCATCATTAACAATCCACAATTGTTAAACAATATTTGCTTCTCGGATGAATGCTCATTCTCATTAAACGGTTTGGTGAACAGATATAAATGCCGATACTGGGCTGAGAGTGATCCACATATTGTACGCGAATTTCACACACAGCATCCTCAAAGGTTAAACGTATGTTGTGGTATCCATACGTAATCCATTATCGAACCCTTCTTTATCACTGGAAACTTAATTGGTGCATCGTATCTTGAATTATATAGGCAAGTGGTTGATGGTTAGAACAATAGTAGAAAATGATGATAACCTTTCCGATGATTTGGTTGTATTTCTTGATGAACATGATGGAGCTTCTCCACACTTTGCTTTACCTGTGCAATAATTTTTTAACGAAACGTTTCCCGGTCCGTGCATAGGTAAAAGATGACAGATGATCGATTGGCCACCTAGGTCACCGGATTGAACACCCCTAGACTTTTTCTTATTGGAGCATTTAAAAACAAAAATTATGCTACTCAACCAGAATGTCTAGATGATTTACATCAAAGAATAGAGGATGAATGTCGACAATTAAATGCAGACGTGTTAAGCAATGTCAGAGAAGAAATTCAAAATAGATTGTACTATTGTATGGAAGTAAAAGGCAGTCATTTTGAACAATTATTGTAAAAATTTTTAGTAGTGAAATGTTTGTTCCAAATGTGTGTAATAAAATTGTTAAAAAATAATTTTTTTTCAATCCAATTTTCTTGTTTTTGTATTTACTTTTCTCATAAACTAATCACTGCAAGTATCATGTATTATACATTTCTGAAAGAGAATCCAAATATAAAATAAAAAAGGGGGAAATAATTTAAAAAAAATAAAGGGTTGATACAGGGGGTGAGAGGGTGCATTTTCCAGCAACCTTAAATATGATATTATGCCTCCCCCTTCAGATATTAATTGAAGTGTTTTTGCGTTTTTTTTTAATTAGAGGTTCAAGAGTTATTTAAAGTGGATAGTTTTATCTGAAAAGCACTGTATAAAGACTATTAAAGCACTACGTGCATATGATAACAGCAGAAATGTTCAACTTTGCAGAAGAAACCCGAATAAAATTGCTAAAACAGAGAAAATTTGGAACAGAATGAAGGTAGAATGCAGAATTTCAAAAAAGTTATAAAACAGAGTTTTTCAGTGGTAGAGGCATGTATAAAGTTGCCTAAAAGAAAATTGGACTGGAACCCAGTAGAAAGAAGAGGCAGATATACTACATAAGATAATAATTAAATTCAAATTCAAAATAGATATAATTGTATACTCTTACATTTATTTTTTGACACGTATTCACAGAAATTTAACAGACTATGTATCAGGCAATATACGAGATATTGTGTTATACAGAAATCTGTTGAAATATTGGGCAAAACCAAATCAGAAAAAAGAAATCATTGGTTTGATCATCAGTGCAAAATTGCAACAAATAGAAAGAACGCAGCATATCAAAAAACCATTGACGTAGGTTATTCACGGGGAAAAAGGAAGACTATAGACAATTATCCGATAAAAATAAAACAAGGAAATACTACAAATCCTTAAATAATAGCCGTCAAGAGTTTAAACGAGGATTAAAAATTTGTAAAGAAACTAACGGTGAAATTCTATATGATAAAAACTCTTTAACGAAAAAAAGTTCTTAGCAGATCAGTACATTTCAGCGAATATCTAAATATAAACGATATTGAAGATGGCACAACATAGATAATCAACAAAATCTACAACATAAACTACACAGTGAAGACCCAATAAGAAATGTGCCAAAAAGTGTCAAATGCCATCCTAAAATTCAAAGACAATAAAACCTCAGGACTCGATAAAATCTATTAGGAAATTTATAAAAAAAGTTAAAACTAGTAGTAATTATATGGCAGAATAAACTGGTACTAGAAGAGTGGCTAAAGGGAGTAATATGTCAGTTGCATAAAAAGGGTGATACTGGAGTATAAATACTATAAAGGCATTAATATATTAGCATCTGCGTATAAAATGTTCGGCAATGTATTGTTTGAAAGACTTAGACATTTTACAAAAAATATTGTTGGTCAATATCAAGGATTTACTGCTGGAAAGTCAACTACACATAAAATTTAAGCACATAATCAGATTCTAGAAAAGTCACTAGAATATAAAATACATACAAGCCATCTCTTCGTCGAATTCAAAGCAGCCTTTGACAGTGTGAAAAAAACTGCATTATATAATGCAATGATAGAGTTTGGGATCCCACCTAAGTTAGTTAAGTTGACCTAACTAACAATATAAAACATATTCAATGCGTTGGAATTGAAGGAAAAAACTCTACGTTTTTTGAAGTTAATAATGGTCTAAGACAAGGGAACGTGCTGACGTGTTTCCTCTTTAATATTGGCCTGGAAATTGAGGCACTGGAATAAATGGACTATCACACAGATACAACTTTGAACTACAGTCCTCTCTCTATAACGATATGCAAGGGACCGGGAATTTTCATCGTTATAAGGAGAGATCGTTATACAGAGAGAGACAAAATTCGGTACTGTGATATTAATAATACTGTACTAAATAATCTATTTTAAATTAAAAAAATTATCAAAACGAATATAAATGAATTAACACTGTATTGTACACAACATACATTTATTAAAAAATAATATAAGCAATACAGTATAAAAAAAATGACTGTACAATTAAAACATGTGAACTGTACAATAACAAATAATATGCTGGTATAAAATATAGCCTACATTATCAAAAAAGTCTCTCACCTTGGTCTGTTTCCTTTTAACTTTCCACAGAACTGACGTGACCTTGTCCTGAAGACGCATATAATCTTCTACAGCAGTCATATCGTTTTCATGGTGGATGAAGAATCGATGCAGTACTTTTGCCGCATCCAATGCCTGCTGAGAGGTCGGAGCTGGTTCTGGCTCTGCTTCCACTTCCGGATCACTGTTTCTTTTTCTTCGACACGAACTGCTTTTAGGATGTCCTTGTCAGAAAACCCAGATGTTGTAGTTACATTTCTTCAAAATCTGTTAGCTCTTTCGGTTATAATAAGTTCAAACTGTCTGGCCAAAACAACTAATGGCAGGTAATCTTCGCTTCACCGAACCTGTCATGTTAGCGACCCCTAAAACTGTAATGCTTTGCTTTCCAGCTTTCCTCCAACGCACTTTTCCGAATTAAATTTTAAAGTTCTGTTTGGTGTCAATCAATCTCATTAGCATTGAAAATGTCGTCTGACGCATATCATGCCTTCAGTCCACTCCACACGTTTTCTAGTCAATCATCCGTTACGTTTTTGTTAACATCGCGAGCCTCTCCGCTGATTTGTCCGTAGTTGATCTTGTGCCGCAGTTTCCACTTGCTCAGATGCCTTGAAATTCTCAATTCCAAGCTCAGTTGCAAAAAACTCTCCCTTTGTCCTGACCACAGGCCCAGAAAGTGAAATATGGTGCATACGCTCCTACTGCAACCACTAAAGCATAACGCGAACTAAATCTTCGTGCTGAGGTTTCCGCAACTTCTTTCTGCTACCGTCCTCCATCTTCGCTGCAAGCCACTTTTTTCTGTCCTTCCATATCTTAGCCATAGTTGACTGAGACAGCCCCGTACGGCGAACGACATCCGATTACTTTTCATCTTTCTCTATTGCTCGAGTTATCGATTACTTTTCCTCCACCGAGAGCACTTTACACTTTCTCGAAAACATTTTGACACACTGAGAGACAACTTAAACTGGAAATGAAAAGTCGTCAATAGATGACAACATATGTGTGATAACAGGTAGTCACGCCGCCCAGAGAATAAAAGCGAGCCGCTGGACAATGACCCTGCCACTCGTGACTCCGGTAGTCTGAAATTTAAACACATTTTTCATCGACTATTGAACGCTGGAAAGTCATCGCTATAAAGAGAGAACGATATCGGTATAGAGAAAAAATTAATACATTGTCCTTATGACGAACTAACCAACGTTTACTATTTTCATCGTTATAGAGGAATTATCGTTATATAGGGAATCGTTATAAATAGAGACTATATAATAATAGTATATCAATTATATGTAAACCGATCCAGATATTGTGAAATTCGTTAAAGTGTAGAGACCTAGAACACACGAAGCGAACACACGAAGAGATTAACATTTTCAAAACCAGAGGGCACAAGAAGTAGAGGACGACCACGAAAATGATGGATTGATGATGGAAGAAGACGTACAGATACTAAGGGTCAGAAGATGGACGGAAGTTGACAGTAATCGACAGGAGTGGCGACTTCTTTGTGAGCAAGTCAAGATCCAAAATGGATTGTCGAGCCACTTATGATAAAGATGATGTATCAGGCAATGACGAAATAATCAACAATATCAGATGCTCCGACGACAAAATATTACGAAATCATTGCAGACTTACCACAAAAATTGTTAGTAAAATTTGAAACACGAATAATATAACAAACATTATTTTAGCAGATTTATCTTTAACATCAAATATAAACTACAGGTCTGAATTTTATAATAAAAGTTTGTGATTGTAAACACTTCAGTGTAATTTTGCGATAACTAAATGATAAATATTTTAAATGCGATAATATTTTGAGATACAAAGATAATTAAAAGTTAAGTTTCATTTAAAATATGGTCTATATTCTTTTAATAAGTACTAATGACAAATGCCATACCAGTATCAAATGTAAATGATGTACATAATAATACATAGTGAGTTTTAAGTATGGAAGCTTCAATTAGTAAATAAATTAAGGACGCCAAAACTGCACTCCCTAGAGGGCAAATGGAATAATGTTAAGATAGTAGTACTGACAGCGGCAGCGTCGGCCCTTGGAAACAAGAAAAAGGAGAGAAGAGGAACACGGTTTGATGACGAGTGCAGACAAACAATAAAGGAAAGAAATGAAGCACACAAAATGTATATAACAAGAAGAACACGGGAAAGACAAACGTGATTTGAAGTCGCAAGACGGAAAGCAGAGAAGATATGTAAAAATAAAAAAAGAGCCTATGAAAATGAACAAATAGAAAAAATGGAAGAAAATTAAGAAAAATACCTAAAAAAGATAAAAGTGATTATAAATCTCAAACAAGTCCATGTTAAGATGAAAGTGGGCAAATAATCAGTGAAAAACAAAGTCACAGAAACCTGGAAGCATTATGGAAGCATTATATTCAGACCCTACTTGGTACACAAGTAGATATGGAAGATGAAATGGTTACAAACTACGTGAAAGACAATGAAGTAGATAATGGAGTAGAAGCTCCAACCATAGAGGAAGTTCTCGAAGCTATTAAGGCCCAGAAAAAGAATAAAGATCCGGGAGTTGACGAAGGACCAGCAAAATTGTATATGGCAGGTGGCGACCACCTAGCAAGTCACATCCACATGCTTATCAAAGACATTTGGCAAGAAGAGAAAATACCCGCTAACTGGAAGAAAAGTATAGTATGCCCGATTTATAAAAAAGAAGGCAACTCCAGTGCAAAAACTACCGTGAAATTTTTCTACTATGTACAGCATATAAAGTCCTCACGTAAACTATATAAACCAGCGGTCCCAACGACTAGCAAGAAATATTATTGTAGAATATCAGACGGTGGGGGAAGATTGACACTGGATCAAATATTTACAATTAAACAAATCTTGAGTAAATCATGGCCACATGACATTGATGTTTACAACGTGTTTGTAGAATTTAACCCTCCAGTACACGCGCGGATTACATACGTAATCCATTGAATTTTATAAAATTGCTATTCGGACCATATTGTATATAGAGTTGCCTATCTTCCAATACCTTCGGGGCATAGTATAAGGTATTAGTTCTCTGGTATAAGCATGGGTATAAGTAACTGTTTTAGTATGCGACTGTCGCTTGATGTGTGTAAGGTGTAAGACATAGATTGTGTTCTGTTACCATTGTAATCCACGCGTGTACTTACGTAACCCTAAACTAAAAATTATATTTTGTATTCGGCGGTTAAGGTAAGTTTTCTACGTGAAAAAGAGTAACAAATATTTATTTTTTATTTTTGTTTTAGTTATCAGCAATGTCCCGACCAAAAAAAGTAAGATTCGGCGACCCTAATTTTGAAAAAATGCTAATGGAATGGAACAATGAAATAGAGAACCAACAGGAGCCGAATATAGATGGTAGTGATGACGACAGCTGCTCAGATGACCATATTGTTGAGGAATATGTATCTGATGATGTTGTAGAACAAGAATGTACCATGTCTGAACAAGAATCGGAACAAGACTGTGATGGAGAGGTTCAAGGGGAAGAAGATGAAGAAAAAATAATTTCAAAATACTATCTTGGCAAAGACAAAAAAAACAAAGTGGAGTAAGATGTGTCCTGCTCCTACTTCAAGAACTCGTGCAACAAATATTGTTTTGAAGTTACCAGGACCAATAACAGAAGCTCGAAACGCAAAAACACAGTTTGAATGCTTCAAATGTATGCTAGATGATAATATAGTCAAAAAAGTTACGCGTTGTACCAACATTTATATTGAGAAGGTAAGAGTAAATTTCCAACGCTACAGAGATGCTAAAATGACCGACGTCGAGGAGATTTGGGGACTTATTGGTATACTCTTTTTATTTAGCAAAAATATTGCTTTTCCAGAGCTCCAGTACGAATGGATCACTAATGTAATCCACGCGTGTAAACACGTAAGAAAATAGAGCGCGTGTACTGAAGTGTTAAACAAGCATACGACTCAGTCAAAAGGAACAAACTCTACAATATATTGGCTAAATTTGCAATACTACACAAGCTAATTAAACTTATTAAAGCCACAATAGATGCAAATTAGGTATGTGTACGAATACAATACCACCGGACCGGGACTAAAGCAGGAAGATCGGCTGGCCACAACTTTGTTTAACCTGGCACTGGAATATGCAGTTAGACAAATGCAAACTTAACGAGAAAAACAACTGACCGACCGAACGGTTCAACTGACCGCTGATGCCGATGATATTAATATTATGATTAGAACATCAACAGGAGCACAGGAAACATACGCAGAGTTAAAAACGCAAAAAAGTCTAGGTCTGGAAATTAACACAGAAAAAAACAAAAATAATGATACAGACGAGAAGAAATATAGTCCAACAAAACATTATAGATGAAAATGACATTGAAACGGTTGGAAAGTTTACATACCTGGGAGTAGAAATCTAAACCTACCTAAAAGTCTAGGTCTGAAAATTAACACAGAAAAAACAAAAATAATGATACAGACGAGAAGAAATATAGTCCCACAAAACATTATAGATGAAGATGACATTGAAACGGTTGGAAAGTTTACATCCCTGGAAGTAGAAATATGGGCCGACGGATCAGAAGATGGAGAAATACGGAAGAGAATATTGTAGGCAAACAGTGCTTATTTTGCCCTCTCCCATATATTTCTGTCTAAAGATATCCACCAAAATACAGAGATGAAAGTCTATAAAAGCTTAATTCGACCAATAGCATGCTATGGCAGTGAAGCATGGGTCCTGAAAGAAACATCAAAAAGCAAACTCGACACATTCGAAAGTGAAGTACTAAGGAGAATACTAGGACCTGTAGGGAATAACGGAATCTTCAGAAATCGATACAACGACGAGTTTGATCAACTTTATAACTAAGCACCACTGCTAGACTTCATTCAAGTACAAAAATTGCAACGGGCCGGACATGTGATATGAATTGGAGAGGATATGCCACTAAAAAGAGCACAAAATGTTAAAATGTAAGGAAAGAGACCGGTTGGAAAGCCAAGAAAGCGCTGGGATACAATAAATAGCGACGAACACGCTCTTTTAGGAGTCCGTGAATGGAGAAGATCAGCCACAGACAAGTAAGGGTGGAGGCAAAAAATAAAAGAGGCTAAGGTTCAATTTAGGGTGAAGTGTCATAGAAGAAGAAGAAAAAGCGTCTTCGAAAAGCTGGCACGGTTTATATAATAACCAATGCATTGTTTACTTTGGTAGTCTGCCATGTCATGAAGAACACAAGCTTTAATGAAAATGCACTGCAGAAAGATATCAAAGGTTTTAACAAAAAATTGTCATTTGTAAACAAGGAATTTCACATAATTGAATCCAGATTGGTCCAGAAATACTCACAAGAAGGGATTTAAAGATGACAATAATATCATAGGTAAAGGGCTTATTAGAAAAATGGAAAAAGATGAGATATAAGTACACATGACAACATTCAAAACAACACACTGATATCTATTTTGTCCAAAACCATTTCGAACACAAGAGAAATCAAAGAACTGCATCTATAAAATACCCTGTGAATGCAACAATTTTTATGTGGGGAAAACCGCAAGACAACTAACTTTGAGGATAAACGAGCACAAAACATACATCAAAAACAAAGACTTGACAGCCACGATTTTTTTTAAATTATTTTCGGAGACGAAATTGAAACATCAAATAACAATAATAAACATATATTTCAATAAAATTAATTGTGACCTTATCCCATACAAACACATAATATTTAATTGAGACATGTTACAAGAAAACAGATTCAGAACCTTTTTAATCAAATTACTTTTTGGAACAAATTACGTTAGCGCAAACTATTTTAGAACATACACTGATGAATACTTACTACATAAATTTTTAATAAAATTTGAAGCACAAAAAATACGGTGTACATTATTTTTGGGGTTGAATTAATCTTTAAAATGTTAAAAAAAATAGATTCAAATCTAAATTATGGAAAAACAACTTTTGGTAGTACTCAAGTTAAATTTTGCAACAACAAGGATACATTTATTAAAAAATGTGTTCTTATATATCTAGAGAAGAAGATACTTGAAAGACATTTCACTTAAAATATGATTTTTGAAAATAGGGATGATGACTGAGCAACAATGAGGATGATTGAGTAAAATAATAATGATGATTAAGCGCAATTATGATGATGACTAGGCACAAATGACGATGACTTAGCAGTTATACAATAGAATACTACAAGTGGATTATAAAATTACTATATTCATTATCGTAAAGATTTTTTTCTAGATATCTTCTGTTTAACGTGCCATCAAAATTATTTGACCTTGAAGATAGCCACAATCAAGGCTTAACTGTCTGAAAGATAGTATCTTTCTTCAGACGTTAACGTTATATCAACAATATAATTTAATATTTCTTTATCAATTTATGCTCTAGACAATTTTCCACTTAAGTCCGAGTACCTAGCCGATTGTACTAATATAGTAGCTTAAGCTTAATCTATCATCTTCCCGTGACTTTTCCCTGAACATTTAGAGCCTCTTACAACGGTATGTGTTACTTTTAGGTTATTGTATTAATAATTTGTTTATATTTGGATGCCGACATTTTATCGGAAATTAATAACTAGTAACTGGACAATATAATCTAACTATAATCAATGAGAGACTGAAAACATTCCTTCAAAGAGAAATTCCACAAGAGCAAACTGGATTTACCAAAGGTAGAGGCACTCGAGAACACCTACTGAATATAAGATAGATAATCGAGAAATCTAGGGAATTCAACATCCCACTATACATCTGTTTTATAGATTACCGTAAAGCGTTCGACAGGGTCAACACTTATTGCGAATACTAAAAGAAGTAGGCGTACCACAACATCTAATTATGCTTATAACCGAACTATATGAAGACACACTACTGGATCAGTTAAAGTAATTGACACACTTTCGAACGAATTTCATCCAGAACGGGGTGTCAGACAAGGATGTATACTATCTCCACAATTATTCAACATATATGGGGAGTATATTATGTGAAGAGCATTTGAAGGATGGGAAAAGGGCATCTCAATAAATGGTAATAAACTAAACAACCTACGTTTCGCAGATGATACAGCCCTTCTTGCAAATAGTCAAGCAGAGCTGATAGAACTTATACGACTAATCGAAAACGAAAGTCAAATATTTGGTCTGCAATTAAACATATCAAAGACAAAGATCATGATAGTGGATAGACTACACAACAATCATCCACACATAACCACAATTGACCGGTTCGAGGTTGTGAGCTCATACTTATATCTGGGATTATTAATCACAAACACAGGGTTATTACAAGAAGAGATTAAACGTAGATGTGATCTAGCAAAAGTTGCCACAGCAAAAATGACCAAAATATGGAAGGACTGTCAAATTTCAAGAGCGATAAAGATGAGGTTGATCAACTGCTTAATATTCCCAATACTGAGCTACGGATGTGAATCTTGGACTCTGAGACAATCGGAGAGAAGAAATATAGACGCCACTGAAATGTTCTGTTGGAGACGAATGTTACGAATTCCTTGGACCGACCGTAGAACAAATAATTCAATTTTAAGAGAGCTTAAAGTTAGCCAACGACTCTCTAGTAAAGTCCATCTCCAACAATTAAAATATGTTGGGCATGTTATGAGAGCAAACACAGAAAACATGGAAAGACTCATAATACAAGGAAAGGTAGAAGGCCGAAGATCACGAGGAAGATCCCCAACAAGATGGATAGATCAAATTACAGGAATATGCCAAAGACCTATACATGAATTAAAAGAAATGACCAGAGACAGAGATCTCTGGAGACGGACAATACATGACATCACGTCGACCACTAGACTCCCCCTGGGGGGTCAGGATTGAAGGGAGAGAACTGGACAATCCACGAGAATTAGACATCTAATAGATTTTAATCCTTTTTCTTCTAATACCTTCTTATTTGGATAAAAAATATTCCAGTTACAGATTCGAGAATATAGATAAAGTTGAGGAAGCTATAATGATGGACACTATCGCCCTCAATGCCAGAGACCTATCTGCTAAAATAACACCCTCCTCAACTGAACCGCCCTGATTGGGACGTAACTTTGGCACGACATTTACCCGATTTCTCATTCACATACAATTCTCACGTATTGTCGCACTTTCTCACTACGACTGAACCGTTCTCTTCCTCCGTTCCTTCCTGTTCATGTTTAATCTTGAACTTAATAATAATTCTGCCTTATCTTCTTTCTTGCTTTTGGGTACACTGCCTCCCTTCGTGTTGTCTTTCTTCTTGTTCCCTTTTTATCAACGTTCTCTTTACATATCTCTGCACTGCTTTCCACCAATCTGACGACCTAAACATCTCCACCAGTTGCTTGACTAATTATATCCCACTTCCTAGCTCTATCTTAAGCAGACTCCTTTCGTTTATCCATCTATCGCTTACCAAGAGAGTACATGTGAGTATGTTTCACAGTACAGGCATTTTTCATTTTATGCCTTTCCATTTCTTTATAGGTATGCTCTGAAACAACCATGTCCCTGCCGATAACCGCAATGCATCCATCTTCTCAGATTAGAAATCAGCGTCTTCGTCTACTGCATCACCCTTCTCATCTGGTCCCTTTCCTCTTGTCCCACCATAATAGGCCACTCCCTTTCTTCTTTTTTAAACCTTGTGTTAATACGTCTTTATTTCTTCTCTCGTATATTCTTTAACTTTCCTTTATTAGCTCATGCATCGGAATATACCCGATGATAGCCTTTAGCGCCTCAAACATACTTTCTCTACGCACATGCCACCCTCAACAGACTCTTCATATCTGTTCGGGTGAGTTACTTTCTGTACGACTATGTTAAAACCGTAGTACCACAGATAAGCACAGATCAATTTAGAGGCTGATCAATTGCACAACAGAATGAAGGGCCCTCCTCCTGTTAGTTTTAGTGCCCTCTGATGTTGATCATGATCCCCCTCCAACGCAGTGGATTTCACCGCAGCTCTTTAAGCCACCGCCTTTACGCATTCTCCCAACCTTCCGTTTAACTCAGAGTTATACCTTAATACCTCAAGCATTTTTTTGGAACCAATCTCTTTTCTGCGCATTCGAATGTTATCTTGTCCATTTTCCTTAATCCTTTGAGAACTACAGCCTCGATCTCACCTGCAGTAAGTTCTACTTGCACTACCAACATAGTGAAGTCGTCCGCAAATGCGAAAGGGGTTATACCCTCTTCGTATTGTTGGCTCACAACCCTGTCATAGGCCAAGTTCCACAGCGTGAATCCTAGACCAATTCCTGAGGCACTTTAGCCTTAGAGGTTGGACCTGATTAACGTGATAATGTATCACGTTCTTCACCACTCGTTTTTCTCCCGCAATTTTCCTCTTTGACAGATAGTTCGACACCAAATTCATCAAGTACTTTGGAAACCTTCTATCGCGTAAAGCATTCATTGCCTCGTACTTTTTAATTTGTTAAAATCATTCCTGGTCCAGCGAAACTAAGGAAATTAAAGAGTCAGAAATTTTTTTACTGAGTCACTGAGTTTTAATTTAGAAAATTTTGTTTTAGGTATTTTTGGAAAAATTTTTTATATTTTTCATATACTTTTCAGACGTTGGTTTTGGTAAGTTACGATATTTGATTTTTGTTTCGACATTTGGCGAATTTTTAGACTTTCTTTTAAAATTTTTCTTTGCCGTTATTAAAATTTTTTTTTTTTTTGTAATATTCTTTACTCGAACCAATAATATTTATACTTAAAAGTTATGTAGCTTTCATTTATATTTAAAATATCATTAATAGGTCCAAGGTTAACGTGAAAAGTGACAGTTTTTTTGTTAGACTTTCTTTTGTTAGATTTTGAATGGATATTTTCTTTGTATATGTACCTATTGGTTGCTCACTATCTAACCGTGGTTTATATCTTATGTGTTGTAATGCAGTCGTTCTGATGAACCCATAAGACTGAAAACTCTCTTTCCTATATAATCCTAAACGGATGAATACTAATATTTGTATGTAATTTATTCATACCTCTGCCTTTCATTATTTGGTATTTGCATTCAAAAAGAGTCATTCTTTTGAATAATACATATGTTTGCGCATATCTGGAGCTTTGTTATTAAAACTAGACCAAAATATATTTTGTTGTTCAGGGGTGCAATTTTAATGACATTTTTTTGTACAACATTTTGTTATTGGACTAAATACTTTAGCTGGACATAAAACTCCTTTCCTGTTTCTGTAGGCCAGACTTAAATTTATTTTCTTGTTTTCCTCTGCACTTTTTCTGACACCTCGTTTTCTTTTCTTACTGGTCGGTTTTGTTTCATGAGTATTACTTTTAACTTGTTTTTCAGAACAATAACCTCATTTCTCAATTGAAAACAATTTGGTAGATGGCAAAATCAAATAAATCAACACGTTGCTTGGAAACTCATCGAGCATTCCACATATAAAGAGGAGAGCAAAACGAAATATGTTCTCATATAGGCTATTGCCATCTTTGACAAATAAAAATATATTGTTCATAAAATGGAGTAAATATAAGATATTCATTTATAATTAATTTTGCCAGCTTTCAATTAAACGCATATCAACGTGAATAGTGATGTTTATAATATATCTACATCTAGTATATTGCCACCTCCTCAAGTACCTTACTCTAAAGGTGTTATATGGAGATAAGAATATTATATGGTATCAAAAGGTCACTGTTTTAAGTATATTTGCTTTTGAAACCATTAATAACACAATACCCAAACATCTGCAGCATACCTTATTTTGCCATCTTCTAGATCTCATCACTACGAATATGTGAGTATAAAAATCTCAAAATATAAAAATGTTGACATATATGCTTTTGCCATCTTTCCACAGATATAATGTCGTTTCAGTCTTTTTATTTTTGACCATACTTGAGACGCGGAGCTATCATTGGTAATAGACAGAATAAACTGATTTTATAAACTTCGTTTACAGTTTTTATTATGTGTATTGCTTTTGCTCTAAGCCTTTTGAAATCTATTATATCAACTATAGCGGGAAATTTTGGCTTGTACAGTTAGTTTGAAAAGTTACCAATTAGCACCTCAGATAAAAAAATTTAATTATTGTTTTTGAGGACGTATACATAAGCTTTTCGAAAGAAAAACTCTAGTAAAAACCTAGATAATAGAGAAAACAGCCAAACAGAATGGATTAAATCGGAAATGGTAAAAGAGATCATGTATTTAACGCAAAAGGTAAAAACATTTTTAACATTTTGAAACGAAAACGACAATCTTTTATGTAGTATAATAAAACACTTTCGTTTAATAATATTTTTAATTGCATGTACCTACTACCTACTACAGTATACTTTTAGAATGTGTCGTACGGTTTCACCGCATAATTTTCGTATACATTTACCCATCCTTCATATACGTCTTTCTTCAAATCTTTTTTTATTGTCAAAGTTTCGTTTATATCCAAATAATGGAAGTCGTTTGGTTTTACCTTCGGCCAGGATGTTATCCCTAACAGTTCAGTGTTTTCAGAGACAGGATCCCTAGAAGAAAAAAATAATTAAGTTAACTAATTTTTATAAGTAAAGTCTGGTCACGTTTTGGTACCATTTATTGTATTAAAATTTAGGATAGACATATTAAAAACTAGTTGAAAAATGTCCACTATCAAAAAAATTCTATACACCCTTTAAAAGAGTTACTATATTTCCCTTATTCCATTTGTTATCGTTTACTTGAATACTATGGTCTGTAATTTAATTCTTAAACTCTTCATATTTTCCACAAATTTTACCCTTTCTGTATACCTTTTACTTTTCACTGACATTTCGTCTTTAAAATCTTAATAATATTTGCCCATCAAAAAAACAACATAAAAGCAACACCAACCGAAAAAATTTAACAAAATACTTACAAAGATTTTGCAAAATTTGTAAATAAGGTGAGAAAACGTTCACTGGCCAAAACGTCTCCTTCGGGATATGTATTCAAGTTAGAATTGTTCAGTGAAACCCAAATGTAATTGTTGTCATCTGAATGTGCTACTTTGTAGGCACCTGGAATAAATTTAGTTATTATTAATCAAAGTTTAAAGTGGATACAAGTTTATGTCAAATGTTTATGACAAGCAAGATGTGGTTGCTACGAACCATCGAGCAAAAAGATAAAAGAGGGAATCTAATCGTTATGAAAAGGAGACCACAAAAGTGGCCTCTGATGGCGGACATATTCGGAACTGCAAAGGCGCTAAATTTAAATTTTCCAGCACTTGTTAACAATAGCTGTAAAATATTTTTCAGACAAGAAAGTTTTAATTAAATATTAACGATAATAGTCTAACAAGTGACATAATTGGTAAAAAACTTCAATATAAATAAAATTTCATGTGACAGTTGGGACAAACAATAACATAACCAAACTAAATTTGACTTCATAAACAAGGAAAGAGACTGTCTTTCCTTGTTTAAAGTGGCCTCTCAAGATAGCACTTACTGTCTAACAATATTTTTGTCCCCACTACCTTTACATTCCCTCTTTTATCTTTTTGCTCGATGCTACGAACACACACAAAAAAAAAATTACAGAAAAAGAAAAAAACAAATATTATTTGAACATAAAAAGTCACTTCACATAGGTATTTAGTGTATGTAAAGATAATTTGCCTTTCAATGTCTTGTCTAGAATGGAAATGTCTATGTCACAAAGAGGAAGAAGAGTATCTAGGTTTTTTTGTGTATGATGTCTATTTTGTCGAATGTATTTTTGAAAAGACTGTTTACTTTTCGTGATATCTGAATCTAAAGCGAAATACTACTTAGTACTCTCGTTTCGCAAAAACCATTTATAAAACTTAAATGTATTTGGAAAATAACTGCTGTGTAAGAAGTTAGGGAAAATATCTAAACTTTTCACCTAAACACGAGACATATTTAACATTTCATCAGATATCTACAATTGTGCATTCTTTACAGACCCTCGGATTTTCAAAGAAGTTTACCCACGATTTTGTCAATATACCTTTGAATGTACTGAAAGATATCATCAAGAAGACTAAATTATGTATAAATTGTGGAGTTTCCAGTTTCCTGAAGAAACTTACACGAAAATTGAATTTTCTTTTGAAAAGAAAACCTTCTTTTATAAAAAATCCTTCCTCATTCCATTTTATAAATCGATAGAGAAGTTCTTCTTCTTATAGTGCCGTGCACCTATAGTGCGTGGCGAATTATCTTAAAGCCAGACGTCTGTCTTTAGCGGCACGCAAAAGATTGCCAGTGTTATTTATGCCTGTTCAGTTTTGTAGCCATATTCCGTAGCCACTACATTTGTTTGCGATCTACTTCCTCTTGTCTTCAATCTTTCCTTGGATGATTAGTTGAGGGATTGTGTATTTAACCGCTATTAGTATGGGAACGCAAAATCCTGCGAATTATATATGGTCCATTATATATTAATATAATTTACTCAGGTCTGAGTCCATACTCTCAGAAATTTCTTGGTGGCTATTAACGTGGATTTAGACCTGGATGGTTAGCAATAAACCAGATTTTCTTATTAAGGTAGATCTTTGAAAAAACCAGAGAATTTTATATCAACATATTTCACTTAAGGATTTCAAAGTGGTATATGGTAGCATTATACGAAGAAAGGTATATGAATAAATGCAACATTTCGGAATACTTGTCAAACTGATAAGATTAATAACGATGACAATGTCGAAAGTCACATGTAAAGTAAAAACCCAAAATAGCTGCTCTGAAGAATTTACTACAAATATTTTTATTGTTTTAATATGTATTTAATACGTGACAGCTTACCCTCTATGTAAGGTCGCACTCCTGGAATGGTTCCGTAGTAAGAAAACTGGTAGAAGTAAACGTCACTAAACTGGGATTGTTTCTTGGCATGATGAATGATTGGTCTTCCAAATGACGTATCGCTAAAAAACTAAAGTTGACTGTTACGTTGTTTGTATAACAATAAAATTGAAGAATTTATATGTTCTTAGTGAACCAGTACTTAATTCAAGTAGAATTTTATACGCGTAAGATCTGATTACATGCTTCCAACAGTAGGTGCCGCATTATGCATTAGGCATTATGAAACAGGCAATTATAGCATAAAGAATGTAGGGAATAGTCTAAGCAGTATTTCTATCTATTAAGCTGTTTCGTAATAACTTTAATCTCTACTTAAATTTGTTCAAAACCCCTTATTTACCTTGTATCTAAATGTCAGATATTGTAAAATAATATATGGTACTTACCTCCACAGCATTTCCAATTTTATCTATAAATAACCCATCGGTATACACCTTTCTTATAGCAGCTCCTACAGTTTGTTTCTGGGATGCATCTTCTATATGCATATTGTCATTAACCAGCGAGCTAAGGTTACTGTCCATTGAACTAGCAGTCCATTTGAATGATTCGGGATCTAAAAACGTATGAAATCAGTTTAGCATTAAGTTGTTATTTATTATATCAAGTGACTGCCTACCTAGGGCTCTCCAGATCATTTCTTCCGAACAAATTCCTAATATGAGAGGAACTCTTTGCATTTCTCCGTTAACTAGTGCTTCGTACATTCTTTTCGTTATGAAAGCATCGTCGTGGTTGGGTTCGATGACTGGAGTGAATTGAAACCCTTGGACGATCTGGTTGTTAATATCTGCTTGCTAAAATAAAAGTTATATGTAAAACGGGCTTCGAAACTTCACGTTACCTAGGTCTATAAACACAAAATAAGAATTGGTTCCTCATCAGTTTTATATAATTTATATCTTAAGTCTTAATCATCTTAATTCTTTATATTATAAGTTATCGTTAAAACCTAAATGGCCTGACGACGGCCCTGAAGCTTTTCGGCTTCTGCATCCCGGCGACAGCTTATCGCGAAGGTGGTAGGATAAGAAGTCTCGTTACGTCTTAAACCATCCTCCGGCAAAGGTCATTCTGTTTCAATTCATCGAAGTAACAACATGTAATATATTAATATAATATCAATTTATAGTTGTAATATTTTTTAGTTGCATTATTACAAACAATTAAGTTTTTTCTATATTATAACATTCACATAGAAGTATTAAATAGTTTCATGTACGGTCTTGTGTTCTTTATTAAAACTACGGGAAGTTCAAATAATATTTATCAATAAGTAACTGGAAGAACTCAAGATTCCCGTTATCCACTGAACACTTACAACAACAGTTATCAGAAAGGCTTTTTAAGTCTCTATAATATTGTTTACAACAGAACTATTTTAAATGCAGTGTTAGTATGCAAAAAGGTAAGATAGATTTATTCTACTACATAGTTTGACGAATCTTGGCCTTTCTTAAAAGATCTTTTCAGCATTCCCTACTCAGGGTCAGTCTTGATCATGTTCTTTCTTATTTCCAGTACCTCTAGTTTTGCTTTCACATCTTGACATCACAGACTTTTTAAATATCGATTTTCGGACTGGATCTTGTGGTGTGATGTATCACCGATGTGTAACCGATCGAGACGGACTAGTAGGACCCCGCCTACCTACACACGGACAGGACCAGTCATAAGAAACTTTGCCAAGGACCGTTCGAGAGAAGCGCGCCTGAATCGGCTATACAAGTAAACGCTGTCATCCTGGTGTATCTGGTGATAACGCATCGAACAGGAGAGTCAGTTAGATTCAAGCAAGTGACAATAGTAAGTGAGACCTTGCCAAAAGCCAAAACGTCGTCAAAATAATGGTTTTTATTAAAACCAAAATTAATTCAACGCGGAGTCAAACCTGGAAAACCACATAATATAATTTCAAAAATAAAATTCTTACCGACATCATAGCTTTGGCTGCGTCATTAATTTCCTTTGCAGTTTTGCTTTGCAAAAACTCCAGTAATTTTTGGGAACTAGCTTTTGGATCAAAGGTAGGATCTAGCTTAGTAGACAAACCGTAAGCTATGTCACGATAGTTTCTTTCGAAGGTCCATGGACTGAGAATAGATCCACTTTGTGCAATGGCAGCCCTGTACAAACCTAAAAATTAAAATAAATAGCATAACTCTTATAAAGACACATCCTATAAAAATTGTTGATGGAGGGAATTATTTTTTTATATTTAGAACGTATTTGTTCGAAGGCATTTTTGATTTAGTTTGATAGGAACATCTTCCAGGAACTGTCTACTAATAATCTATACATTAAGTGAAGATATCTTCTTCCTCTGGTGCCACTCTTATAATCAATATTTCTACATGGAAAAAGATACATACCTTGAGATTTCTGACTCATAAGTTGATACGTCACCGATGCTGCACCTGCACTTTCACCAAAAATGGTCACTTTAGTTTTGTCTCCTCCAAAATATTCAATGTTTTCTTGTACCCACTTTAAACCGAGTAGTTGATCTTTTAATCCATTATTACCAGGTATGACGGTATCTCCAGTTGCAAGGAAACCTAGAACAAATAGAATGTAATAAACCTAACTTTATTAGAAGGTTAACAAAGTAATTATGCAGCCATAATTAGATGATCGTGTGGCTCATCTCTTCAAGATGTGGATTTTCTATATTTCATGTAAATATCTCTGTTCTATTTGAGCCTAACTTTCTTCCAGGCTTCTTATTTCATGGCTACAAGGCTTCATATTTCATATTTAAAATAGAATTTGTAATAATTATTCACTTACCAAAAGGACCTACACGATAATTAACATTGACAATGATCACACCATATTCCATTAAATAATGGGGACCATGGTAATCAAAGTTGTTAGCTCCGTTAACAAATCCTCCACCGTATATGTAAAACATGACTGGAAGAGAACCATTTTTTGATGGATCCTAAAACAAAATATACTTCATGTATATATATATATATATATATAATATATATATATATATTAGCGTGTGTATGTAATTTGGCAACATATGCGAATTTTTTTTAGAAAAAAAAAATGCATGGAATAAAACCTAAGAAAAAAAGCATCAAATAGCAAATTGCATTAATTTTATACGAGGTTTGTCAAAAAATATGAATTTTTCTCAAGAGTGAAGTATATTTTAATTAGTTAATATGTCTTGTAACATTTTAGAGATGCATTTAAGTATTATGTGTGTAACAGTAGGTTAGATGTAAGTCAATACCTTGAAATTTGTTTTAATAAAAAAGTTATATATCGAGTTTCTGAAATTTTTTGGCCTTCGCGATCTCCAGATTTGACGCCACTTGATTTTTTTGTGGAGATGCCTACTAGAAAAGATGTATATAAGATGTCATTTGAAAAAATCATTAAAGAATGTGTCATAGAAGAGTTTTACTCCGGGCTATGGTTAGAATGGTATTGAAATACTTTCCTAATAGAATAATTATCTGTATTTAAAGAGAATGCGGATACATTGAGTGATTAGTGAATTTAGGGAGCTAAGGATGTTTGTTAAACGATTACAGCAAAATGAATTATTATGGTAGTACTAGTTATATAATCTCAATATTTTGAGAGATTCTCCTAGGATCCTCTTTGGTCTTCCACATAAGCTCTTCGACTTCTTGCAAGAATTTACAACTTAGCAATGCTTCGTGTTTTGTGATTAGTGTATCAACGAACCAATCCTTCATAATTGCCAAACACTACCTGTAAAAACGGCACTGCACTAAATATTGACATTACAGATGCATTTTTTGGTTTTTAACTTACCACTGGAGTGTATACGTTTAGATACAGACAATCTTCGTTTTGAAGGGGCGTTATATCTGGTCCTGGAAACTGATTTGTTTGTTGAAAACATAACCTATCATTTTTTGTAGCATCTAAAATACCATCCCATGGTTCTGCTTGTACAGGAGCCTAAAACAAGATGGTATGTGTAATTTGATATTATTTATTAAAATAGGATGCAGCTTAAGACACGTAGACGTGGGAGTGTAAAAGTAAATTGAGTCACGTTACTGAGTCAACATAAAATGTTCTTAGTTCACATTCCTGGAAAATTTATTGAATGGATTAGCTTATAGCACCGCATCTGCAGAAAATCGTATTTTGTGATAATTCTGTTCAGGCTTTTTCATTTAGCTACAGGAGCTATTGAATCTTGTAGATGGCCATAATCGTTTTCATTCCACAATTCACACCATTCAGCTTTGAGGACGAAGTTTAACTGTTTAACAAGAAGCCAAAGTGGATTTCGGGATAGCAGTTGATTTTGTTACCAACCGTGGTAATCCTCGTAAATAAGTAGTTTAGGGTTGTTTATAATATTATTGTATTCAGTTACAAGTGCTTCTTGCCTGCGCAGAGACGGTGGAGAATATGGCTAAGCTTCCAGTGACTATAGTGCTTACTATCTCAGTATTCTTCCTCTTGCTTTAACCTGGTCCATCGTCTCTTAAATCGTAACTATATCAATCTTGTTCTCTATCTCTATCTATACAGCCCTCAACATCCATCCTTGGATATAGGCCTCCTCCTCCTTCTTCCATGCCTCTCTATCTTGGGCAATTTGCATCCATTTTGACCCGGCGTGTTTCTTCAGGTCATCTGACCATCGCATTTGTGGCCTTCCCCTTTTACGTTTGTGATTCCATGGTCTCCAATGTATAATTGTTTTAGTCCATCTTTCATCTTTCTGCCTTAGGGTGTGTCCGGCGAACTTCCATTTAAGCTTTGCTACTTGGGTTGAGACATCTTTCACTTTTGTTTTATTACGGATCCATTCGTTTCTTTTCTTGTCTGATAGTTTAATGTTCAACATTTGTCTTTCCATGGATCTTTCTGTCTGCTATTTTTTCCATATTTTCCTTTGTAAACGTCCATGTCTGAGAGCCATATGTGAGGACAGGGAGTATACATTGATTGAAGACTCTCGTTTTTAAGTATTGGGGGTATTTTGAATTCTTTAGAATATAAGACAGTTTTCCGAATGATGCCCAGGCCAATCTTATTCTTCTCTTTATTTCTTCGGTCTGACTTTCTTTATTTAATTTAGTGATTTGGCCTAGATATATATACTCTGTTACTTGTTCTATTTTTGTTTGTGCCACTGTAATTATAAGTTCTTCTGGTTGATTAGTCATGGTTTTTGTTTTAACTATAATTCATCTTGAGTCCAATTTTTGTCGATTCTCTATTTAGTTCTTCCATCATTCTTTGTAATTCTTCACTTTTTTCTGTTATTAATACAATATCATCAGCATATCGTAAATGATTCAGATTTTGCCCGTTTATATTAATTCCCAAGTCGTCCCAGTGTAGTCGTTTAAAAACATCTTCTAGCGCTTGGTTAAATAACTTGGGCGAGATGGTATCTCCTTGTCTTACTCCTCGGTTTATTTTAATAGGCTCCGTTTGTTTCATTAGCTTAATAGTTGTTGTTGCCTTGTTGTATATATTTGTAATCAAGTCGGTATATCGGTAGTCTATTCTGCTGTTTTGTAGGGAATTCTGTACTGCCCAGTGTTCCACACTATCAAATGCCTTCTCAAAGTCAATAAATGCCATGTATAGCGGGATATGATATTCGTTAGTTTTTTCGATTAAAATCTTCATCGTTAAAAGGTGGTCACTTGTACTGAAGCTCTTTCTAAATCCGGCTTGTTCTCTTACCTGGTATCCATCTAATTTAGTTGTTAATCTATTTGTTAATATTTTGGTTAATAGTTTGTACATCACATTTAATAAAGTTATGGGTCTGTAATTCTTTAGATCCTTTTTATCTCCTTTCTTAAATAGTAACAGTGTTATTGCTTCGTTCCAACTGTTGGGTATTTGTTTTGTCATTAAAATTTTATTCATAAGTATGTACAAAACTTCTCTAGTTGTTTTCCCACCATGTTTTAGCATTTCTACAGTCACCCTGTCTTTTCCTGGCGATTTATTGTTCTTCATCTCTTTGAGTGCTCTTCTTATCTCGTTCTTACTGATCTCTGGTTGTAAGTCGGAATTAACATTTTTTATTTTTATTTGTAGTTGCTTAAGGATTTCTTGGGTTGGTTTCTGTTTTGTATTGTAGAGGTTTTTATAATATTCTTGTGTTATCTGTATAATTTCTTCTACATTATTGGTCTCTGTACCTTCTTTGTTCTTTATACTATTAATTTGTATGGTTCCAAGCTGTGGTTTTAAGCACTTCATGTTTTTATTTTGTTCAATTGCTTTTTCTATTTTTTCTTCCTGTACTCTCCTTTTATAATCCTTGATATTCCTTCTGATAGCTTTGTTTACCTCTTTGTAATGTACTGTGTTTCTCTTATCTTGTTCTAGTAATGTTTTTCTTTTACTCATGAGATTTTTTATTTCCTGGGATACATAGTTTTCCTTTTTTATTCTTGTTTGTGCTACCTCTTTTCCCGCCTTTGCTAATGTATCGGTTAATAGCTGATTTATTTCATCGATATTTTTGTTTTCCAAATCTCTAGTGACCGGTATACTTTCCTTTATTTTTTGTTTATATTCGTCTTTTGATTGCTTAAGTTTTTCCATATCTAGTTTCGATACATTTTCTATTTGTTTTTTGTTTCGAATTGGCTATTAATCCTGAGTTTGGCTCTGACAAGTCTATGATCGCTACCGGTTGAGAAGCGGTTCAGTACTGTAACATCTTTGATGATGGTTTTTTTCTGTTGTAAGGATGTAATCTATTTCGTTTTTTGTATTACCGTTGGGACTTATCCATGTCCATTTTCTTTGTGGTTTTTTGTTAAAAAACGAGTTCATAGCAAAAAGTTGTCTCTCCTCCAATCTTGTTATTTAGAATAATAGGTGGTCACATTTTAACCTGCTGAGTCCTATTATTAGTTGGCAAATATTTCGTGATGATTCTAAGACAAACCGATTTATTGTGATACGGATGGGTGCCCCACGGTAATGCTTTTATACAAAAATCCCCTTTATAAATCTAAATTTTATTCTACTTACTTTAAATCTCAATGATCCCACAGGTGGTTTGGCAAAAGGTATTTGTTGGAAGGCATAAAACGATATTCCCCTTTGAGAATATTCTTCTCTTCCTCGAATTTTTCCATTTGGAGTTGTGACAATTATCTCGGCATTCTAAAACAGGAAGAATGTGTTTCTTTATTTAAATTACCACCAACTTAATTGTTTTATATAAATTAAATGCATAAAAAATAAAAGTTTTATCTATAAAAGTACATAAAAAATAAGTTAAAAAAATAATTGTTTTATTTAACTCTCAAAATGCAGATTTATGTATTCACTTCAAAATTTAGAAACAATATTAACACTGTATGATCAAGTTTTAGAAAACGTTGAGGAACTTAGATTTCTAGGTATTATTTTTGATTCAAAACTTACTTGGAACAAACAGATCCAATTTCTTAAAAATTCATGTTTACAGAACATAAATATTCTTAAAGTACTAGCAAATCATAACTGGAGCGCAGACACGACACAGCTACTAAATATTTACAAATCCTTAATCCACAGCAAATTAGATTATGGATCAATTGTATATAATTCAGCTAAGGACTCAACATTAAAAAATTAAATATTGTATAAAATACCACACTAAGACTAGCTCTAGGAGCCTACAGAACCAGTCCAGTTGAAAGTCTTTGTGCCGAAGCAAATGATTCTCCACTTTCTATTAGAAGATTACGTCTCAGTTTACAATACGCAAGCAATGTATCAACTAATTCAAACAACCCAGCCTACCCCTATGCTTTCTCGACACATTACCTTTTTAATTACAATCAAAATCCTAATCTTCGACCATCATTTACCAAAAGAATTAGCAACATTTCTGGGTATTATGCATACCAATATTGATTACGTTCCCTCTTGGACTATATAAATTCCATATTGTAACACATATCCAATACTTCTACAATATTAAAAATAAATATTCATCCTGTCAACTAGTTTATACCGATGCATCAAAAACATCCGAATTGGAAACAGTAGGATCAGCCATTGCCACAGAGGATTCTGTGCTTAAGTTTCCACTAGCTAAAGACTACTTAATATATTTTACTGAACTTTTTGCGATATCCAAGGCAGTATAACAAACTCTTAATCGACCTGAAGACACGACAGTAATATTCACAGATTCCTTAAGTACAATCCAGTAAATTCAGAAAATATATCCGAAGCATCCGATTTTAGAACAGATTAAAAAAGACCTTGTGACTCTACAAAATAATCATAAATAACTACATATTGCGTGGATACCATATCATGTGGGGATACCAGGAAATGATATAGCTGATCAAATGGAGAAAGAAGATCGTAAAAATAGAGAGATCTGATGATTGAACTAACCAAATTTTTCACTCAGATATAAAAAATGCATCAATGAGTACCTACACAAAAAACTTATGGTTACGAAGATGGAAACCATTACCAAATAATAAACTACGGCAAGCAAACCCAGATATATCAGCGAAAATACCAATTTTAGTAAAGCGAAGGGACCAGGTTGTACTACATCGTATTCGAATAGGACATACCAGAATGATGCACGAACACTTACTAAGGAAAGAACCTCCTAGAATATGCTAAGCCTGTGACAACAATATAACTGTAGGCCACATTGTTATAGACTATTCATTATATCAAGCAATATAGACAATATAGACAAGCTACTGTACTACCAAGTGATTTAAAGTGCGCTTTTAGGCAGTGCGGATTGTGACATAATCATTAGGTTTTTAAGGAAAACGAAATTGTATGATCAAATATAAGTGATACTTCAAGAAAAATTCTGAATTATAATCAACTTTGTAAAACTTTATAGTTTATATTTTATATGTAGTATTATAATATATTATAATTTATATTGTACCACGCTTCTATCGTTGATGCTGGTTATTTCTAATAAAAAAAGTCAGGGGTTGGTGTATATTGGGAATAAACCAAATACTTATCGGGATAGTATTACGACGTTTTTTTTCCTGGTTTTTTCCTCATAATTTACTATGGAATCACTAATAGGAAAATATTACTGTCATCATGGCATGTAATTGTCTTCGTAAAGAGATAACAGACTAGATTTGGGCGATAAGTTTTTGAAGCGAAGCTTCCATAGAAGCTGTTCGAATTATGCCAAATGAGACCAATTGTGTCGCTAACTCCTCGGCAGAATTCAGTAGAATCTGGTTACAGATATTATAAGAGGAAGGTAATATAAGGAAGGTACCACTATTAGTAAGTTAGCAACATATCGAGGATACATCAAATTTGCTTCAAAAATGTATCTTAGATTAAAACATAACGTGGCACACTTACTAATAAATGAATTCAAGTACTTAGTTATTTTAAAAAATATTAAATATGCATCAAATTTAAAAAGGTCATTAAGATCTAATGGTTAACACAACTATCGATTTACAAAATAGTCGTGTCAGAAAATTATAGAAAAGAAGAAAAAGTATATGTTCAAGGATAAATCCTAATAACTGAAATAGATAGCCTCGATTGTTTACCATCTGGCTATAATAAAAATAATCTAATTATTACTACTCTAATTATTATAGTCTACGAAATGCAAATAAATAGCAAAATAAAGTACTTACAATATGCAAAAATCCTGCAAAAAGCCCTAAAAAGTAAAACCAGCGCATCTTGCTCACAAATAACTAGTACCAAAATTTTTTTACAAATATTTGAATCATTACGTGTACTGATATGATTAATGTAATCAGTCAATTATTCAATCTATTCAATTTGCCAGCTGAGTATGTTGTACTTCATGTTCATCTCCGGTAAACATATTTAAATGAGTTTAACTCGTTACCGATTTACTGAATAGCTGATAATGATAATAAATTACATCAACCCAAAGGAAGACGAAATGTAGGAAAAAGGATAAAATGGAAATTTTTTTTTATTGAATTTAACGTGTCTCATGGCCATTGACACAGGTACAAAAACGTCTCGAGTATTACATTATACATATAAGATTATTACATTATATAAGATGTATACAGTAAGTTACATTAGATTTGGAAAAATGTAGTGTTACAAACTTTGTTTTTTTCTAAACGCATAATGTTACAATATTTATTTTATACGATAATATAATCTGCAATATTTTAAAAAGTCAATTAAAGCACTGTACACATTTGGCACTAGTCTATATAGTCTCTAATAACTGCACAACGAGTAAGTGTTCCACTGTTAGGCGCTAAGAATCACAATGTTCACAAGCAGGTAGGTTTTCGGAAGTCATGAGGTATCCGTGAGTGAAACGAGTGTGTCAGTCCTATTCGGAGTCTTCGAATGATGAGTTTGTCCCTCCTAGTCATTGTAGGTATCCTAAATGAGTATACAGTGGTATTGATTATGTGCAGTTTTGTGTTTTTTCTTATGGTTGCTGTTAGATCTTGATGAAGTTGAATTTTTTTAGGCGTAGTTCAGAACAACTTGCTTCTTGCTGCGATATCTGCAGAGTCATTTCCACTGATTTCCACATAAGATGGGGTCCAAAGAATGGTTATTGATATTCCTCTGCTGTGATTTTGATGACAGATGTGTTGAATTTTTTGGACTATCGGATTTTACGAGTATATGTTAGCAATGGACTGAACTGAAGAAAGAGAATCGGTCCATACAGCTAGAAATTTCATATTAGGAGAAATCATTTCAAGAGCTTTAAGGATACCATATAATTATGCAGTGTGAATACTACAAGTTGTTGGTAGTCGGTGTAGAGCTAAGGTTATGTTTTCAGTACAGACAGGACAGCCAGTATTCTTTTCAACTTTAGATGCGTCGGTATAAAGAACTTGATTGTACTGTTTTGCATTTATTGCTTTTTGAAATAATTGTCTTAGGAAGTGGTTAGGAGTGTCTTTTTTTATGTCGAGTTAGACTAGTATTGAAAGCAGGTAGCTTATTGGTACATACATGGTCCATGGAGGAATATTGGAAGTACTGATGGGGCTAGTTATATTCAGGTCTATCTTCTTTAAGTGCCATCTTCGTTCCGAAGGTTGGCGATCATCAGGGCTATACTTATTTTCGAAACTGCTGACCGAAACAATTCGTTGTTGCTACAGCTACACCATTCCGTAGATTCTTAGCCAGGAGTTTCGTCTTCTTCCTATGGACTTTTTTTCTGCTATTTTCCCTTGCATAATTATTCGAAGCAGTTCATATCTTTCGCCTCTTGTAATGTGTACCAAGTATTGCAGTTTTCGTTTTTGATCGTAAATATGACTTCCTTTTCTTTAGTCATTCTTCTCAAGACCTCTCTCGGTCCATGATATTCTCAGGGTTCTGCGATACATCCACAGTTCAAACGCCTCTAATTTTTTGGTATCAATATTTTTGAACGTTCATGACTCCATTCCGTAGAACAGCACAGAAAGTACGTAACATGCCATCAGGCGAAGTTTCATTTCAAGGCTCAAATCTCTTCCGCAGAACACTCTCTTCATTTTGATGAATATGGATCTAGTGAAGATCACAAGAGATAACCAAACATGAGAACTACGAAGAAGAATAAACCTAGCATGATCAGCCTATGGAAAACTTAAGGACATCCTTAAAAGCGATATACCAATTTCTTTAAAACGTAAACCATTTGACCAATATGTGTTGCCTTTGATGACTTATAGTGACGAAACTTTGACATTGAAAGCTACAACTTCTAAAATGCTTCAAATAGCTTAAAGGAAAAGACTTAAGATGAACAACAGGATTTAACAGGCAAATAGAATGCATCATGGTTTAAGTTAGTTAGTTCAGAATCAGGTTAGTTCAGAATTCTAGCGTGGTAATATGTAAGCGCTATGAAATGTAAAGTAGGCAATTGACATGGAAAGTTAACCAACTGGCAGAATATGACTGGTTCAAAGGCTTCATGAAACGCCACAAAGAACTTTCGCCAAGGTCTCCAGAAGCTACAAGCCTGGGAAGGGCAACAAGCTTAAACAAAACCAATGTTGATATGTTCCTAAATAAGTTATAAACTATCTATGAAAAGTATAATCTTACCCCAGATCGTATATTCGACTAAGCGTGGTGAAAGCAAGTATGATAAGTGATATTTTCTGAAAGGGGGGCAAATCACTAGCCATTTTATAGTAAATGAACTAGGAATCGCTTTACCACGAGTACTTGTGTTTCCAAGAATCAAATCTAAGGAGGTTTTCTTAAATGGTGCGCCCCCGGGTAGCATTGCATTAACTAAGAAGACAGGTTGGATGTCAAGTGATATTTTTAAACAGAGTCTAAAATACATAATTCATCACACAAAATGCACTAAGCAACAACCAATATTGTTAATTTTAGACAACCACGAGAACCATGTGGGTTTAGAACTGATAATGACAGCAAAAAAAAGAGAGTTACATTTAACGTTTCCACCACATTGTAGTCACAGACTGCAGCCACTCGATGTGTCTGCTTATGCCCTATTTAAAAGTCAATATAACAGAGTTTGTAATGATTGGCTACTGAATTACTCAGGCAAAACCATATCTACTACATAGGTGATCTTGTGGGGGCAAGCGTACCTTTTGACTGTTACGCAGAAGAACATTATTGCTGCTTTTCGAAAGACTGGCATCTACCCTTTCAACAGTGAGCCATTCACCGAAGAAGAATTTCTAATACCTGCAGTAACTGACCGACCTCCTGCATCTGCACAAGCTAATGGTACTTCTTTCTCAGCAGAACAAGAATATTCTTAAATTTACCATACAGCCATTTCACATCATTATTCAAAAGATCTTTCTACATCTTTTGAAAAACCATCAACTTCTGAAGACTCTAACGGCACTCAAAAATTTATAATGTCAATGAAAATCCTGATTACACCTGAGCGAATCCGACCATTTCCTAAGGCTGCACAACGCAAAGTAGCTCGAAGAGAAAGGAAGAGGGACAGAAGTCGTATTTGAACTAGTACACCAGAGAAAGCAGAGGTCCGAAAAAATTAGCTCTCGAGAGATAAGGAAGGAGTCTGGTAAATTATCTGTAGCCATCCGCAATATATCTAATAAAAAGAACGTTTGTGAAGATTCTGTTCTTTGTCCGAGGAAGTACAAATTCCATATCAAGATACAGATGATGATCTAAAAATATCTCTAAGTTCTGAAGAGGATAGAATTTAAGAAAATAGATTGGAATAATAGTTTTGTTAATCTTAAGACTGACGATTTTGGGCTTGTTAAATTTTGTACTAAAAGTCTTGTTTATTATGTTGAAAGAGTATTGAAGTGTGATTCATTTGATAATGTTAAAGTTCAATTCATGCGTAAAAACGGAGGAATCTGGAAATAATATTTTGGGAATGTGGGGGACAATAGCATTATTGAGAAACAGGATATATAGCTTAAATTGCCTGCACCAATACCATCTGGAGGTTCAGGGAGAGCAAAATCATTGTTTGTATTTCCGGTTAAATTGTCAAAATACAATGTACAATAAAGAAAAGTTTCTACTGTGTTGAAAAAAAAACATTTATTATATCCTGTCCGGACCTTCCTAGTAGTGTCTCACTTCTCCCAGTGGTATGGGTGGTATAGGACATTTGCAGCTCCTAACACTATTCATTATACTTCATTTTAAATAATACTTATATCAGTCATTTTTTTAAATTGAGTAGGCTAAAGGGCTATCTAACATATTCTAGCATTATTATTTCACAGGAAGCAAATAAATAATTTAAAAAATATATTATTCAAAAAGTGTCCCACTTCTCCCCTATATCAATATCCGAACTTACTTAATTTAACATACTCTTCTGTTCAACTTCATCTTATGTTTACATACAATACAATTTATTATTAGTTAGATTAAAATCGACAATATTTTGAATATTAATATATTAATTAATGGGAAATGAATAAAACACTTATACACTAAACTTAAATAATTTTATATATTGATTACACTATAATATTTTAAAGCTTTGTTAAAATGTGTCATATGGTTTTATAGCTTCATTTTCATACACATTTACCCAGCCGTCGTATACGTGTTTCTTGATATCTTTTTTTATCGTCAACGTTTCATTTATGTCCAAATAGTGAAATTCGTTTGGTGTTACCTTCGGCCAAGATTTTATTCCTAGAAGTTCTGTTTTATCCGAAACAGGATCCCTAGAATAAGAAAAAAAACATTAAATTATTTGTTTGTAGTGAAAACTAACTGGACAAAAGTGATTTTGTACTATATATAAATTTTAAACAAAAGTAGTTATTATTTTATTCATAAAATGGGCAGTATTCGTTTCTTATGAACGTAATTCGACCTCATCACAAATTTTCTTCATTCTCAATATCGTATCTCTAAAGTAACTCATTTTTTTCAATCGTATGACCAGCAGCTTCTTTTTTTTTGTCATATTTTATTTGAAACATTTCAATTGATGGTTAAACCTTTCGGATTTTAATCATCATCGTTATTTCCTTCCACCTATCTTTATCACTATGTGGATCGACTTCCCAAATTGCATGTATTCATAAATTTCTATATCTGGGTACAATAATGCGTACACAGAAGAGATTAAGGCAAGAATGGGACAGGCAAGAAATTCTTTCAACAAACTTAAAAAAGTACTCTGCAGCAGGGACATTTCAATTTCTTTAAAGATAAGACTTCTGAGATGCTACGTGTTGTCCGTATTATTTTATGGGTTGGAGGTTTGGACTTTAAAGAAAGATGTTTTGGACATATTGGAAGCCTTCGAGTTCTGGGCCTACAGAATAATATTAAGAATGGGTAGATAAAGTCACGAATGTCGAGGTGTTGAGAAGAATGGGAAAAGATAAAGAGGTCTTAAATACAGTTAAAGTCAGAAAACTGCAATATCTGGGACATGTTATGAGGGGCGAGCGTTATAACTAGTTGAAATTAATAATGCAAGGAAGAATACATGGTAGAAGGAGTCGCGGAAGAAGACGCATCTCCTGGTTGAATAATTTCTTCCTCTTTAGAGCAGCGGCGTCGAAAGTGCGAATTGCCATGATGGCTGCCAATCTTCTTAGAGGAGATGGCACGTGAAGAAGAAGATAAATTTCTCTCTTGGGCCATCCCAACCCAATCAATGCCTTTATTTATCGACATGTCCTACCCTCCCCCTCAGATCTTTTCTCCTACTCGTATTAAGAACGTACAAATCTGCAATTCTCTGTATTGGGTGATAGGCATTACGAAGTTGTATAAACCCAAACCTATGCTCTGTGATTTTTGCGTCAATTGGTGAGACCCCCAAACTATTTCTAACAAACACATGCTTATCCTTTTTTGTAGTGTTGCCCAAAATCGGTCTTGGTCTTGCAGTCTTGGTCTTGTTCTTGCGTTTTTGCAAGACCAAGACCAAGATCAAGACCGCCTAATTTTAGCACGACCAAGACCAAGACTGACCTTGCAAGACTTAAGCAAGAACAAGACTAAGCGTGCGAGACTCTTACGTCTTGCAGTTAGGATTGAGTGTCGTTTTAGCGAATATCGTAGTTCAGGTATATGCTTAAAGACTCTAAAGACGCACAAAAATATACATATACCATATACACCATATACATATACAATATACAATACCATAAACATACATACGAATCAAAATATTCATTAAAAAAACACATTTGACACGTGATCAGAGGTCATAATTACAATGTAAAAATAAAATATTTTGTACATTCTTTCCAGCAGACGACTTCTTCGCTCTGGAATTAATTGTCCAGATTTTGATAAAAGATGAAAAATTTATTATTACACTTATATTAAAATTTTATTTAAATATTTAAATATTCATTTAAATAAATAAAATTGCACCAAACTAGTGGCTTTATCTTTAATGATAAAATACGAAAGTATATTATTTAAAACTGTGAAATTTTCTGTGTTGTCAGTTCGGCAATTGATTAAAGAAATTTTTAAATTCCTTTTATCACAGATAGTGTACCGAAAAGGTAACATAATATGTTTTGCGATTACTCGTATGTTTGGTGTCATCAATGCCGACAAAAAATTATATTATTTTGTTATTATTTAGACTGTTGGTATAATATTTTAAAGCAAAATATAACAATTGTTTTATAGCAAAATATCACAATTGTTTTAAAGCAAAATATCACAATGTATTTACATTTCGGAGGGGATAGACGGTTATTGCAAAATGACCAACTTATATTTTTACAATTTTGCAAAAACCGTCTAAGCCGCTTTGAGTTATTTTTGTTATAAACTTTTTTTTACTTATTTTGTTTCTGTACGTTTTTTAAGGAAGCCCTGTAATTATTGAAATATAAAAATGTGAAATAAAGCCTTCTTTTCTATCAGTCAATTTTTTTAAGTAGGTAGATACATTATGCTCATTGACTCTTAACCATATATATGTGGCTTAAACTATTATTGCAGAATACCATCCTTATAATTCTCGGTTTGTTATTCGGTACTTAGGGTATTAGATAGTACAGTGGCGCACGCAGAATTTTCCTGTGAGCAGGAATTTTTTTTTATGCTACCTCCATTTCGAATCCTTAAAATTTGTGAGGAACAGTGTCGGAATAGTGCCCTGGGGTGGTTTAACCCCAAAACTCCCCTGGATGCACTTCCTGGATTGACTTCCGTAGGGAATAGTAGATAGCTAAGTTAATTAGAGCATAGGCACGGATCACTTAGATCGTGGCTTCAAACCCACCGGGTGTCAGTTGTTTAGACATTTATTAATTTGGTTGGCCTTTATTATGGCTATGTTAATTCAAGCTTAAAATGTACTTACTCTGTTACGTTGTCCTAAGATCCAAAGTAAAATTGAATAAATAGCAATAGGTAATATAATGGGTAACTGCAAGACTTGCAAGACTCTTGCTGCAAGACCAATACCAAGACCAAGACTAGGAGTGCAATACCAAGACCAAGACCAAGACCAGGTGTATTGGTGCAAGACCAAGACCAAGACTGTCTAAGTCTCGTCTTGTTTTTGCATTTGGGCAACACTGCTTTTTTGTCACTCTAACCACTTATTCATTTAAGCATTCTTGATTTAGACACATGCATTAGTTGTTCCTCTTTCTTTTTAACTACCCAACATTCACTTCCGTGCATTATAACTGGTTTTATGGATGTTTTATAGAATTTTCTTTTCAGTTTCATTGGAATCTTTGTATTACATAACACACCACTCGCTTTAATCTCGCATTTAAGTTTAATTAACTTAAGTAAAAATTTAACAAATACTTACAAAGTTTTTGCAAAATTTGTAAACAGAGTGCGATATCTTTCACTTGTCAGAACGTCTAGTTTGGGATATGAATCTAAATTGGAGTTATTCAAAAAAGTCCAAACGTACATCTCGTCATCTGAATGGCCAACTTTGTAAGCACCTAAAATAAATTTAGTTATAAACACAATAATAGAAACGATTATAATAAAAAAATTCAACATTTATTGTTTAGAAATTTAGATAAAAGAGACATCCGACTAATAGCAAATATGTACTATAATCAGAAAACAGTTGTGAGAGTAGAGAATAATACCACTGAAGAAATTGAAATAAAGCGAGGTGTGACACAAGGGTGTATACTGTCACCAACCCTGTTTAATCTCTATTCCGAAGACGTAATGACGAGAACACTCTCTGAGTAATCCGTAGGTATTAAAATCAATGGTGTTAGATTAAACAATCTGAGATTTGCCGACGACACCCTTCTGATCGCAGAAACACTTGAAGAGCTACAGACATTGGTGGATAAGATAGCAGACTGCAGCGAAGAATATGGACTATCTTTGAACATAAAGAAAACTAAATTTATGGTAATATCGAAATCAACACAAAATGTGCAAAATTTATATTTACAAAATGAAATTATCGATCGAGTTAGCAAATACAAATATTTAGGCACTTGGAAAAGCCAGATCCATATTCACTAAAATGAAGAGAGTGTTTTCTGCGGAAGAGATTTGAGCCTTGAAATAAAACTTCGCCTGATGAGATATTACTTACATTCTGTGCTGTTATACGGAATGGAGTCATGGACGTTGAAAAAGATTGATATCAAAAAATTAGAGGCATTTGAACTGTGGATGTATCGTAGAATACTGAGAATATCATGGACCGAGAAAGTCACAAATGTCGAGGTCTTGAGAAGAATGAATAAAGAAAAGGAAGTCATATTTACGATCCAAAAACGAAAACTGCAATACTTGGGACACATTACAAGAGGCGAAAGATATGAACTGCTTCAAATAATTATGCAAGGGAAAATAGCAGGAAAAAGGTCCATAGCAAGAAGACGAAACTCCTGGCTAAAGAATCTACGGGAATGGTATAGCTGTAGCAACAACAAATTTTTTCGTTCAGCAGTTTCGAAAATACGTATAGCCCTGATGATCGCTAACCTTCGGAACGAAGATGGCACTTGAAGAAGTAGAAATGAGCAATGGTAAAAAATGTTTAAAGCATGCGAACATGTCTTTCTTCTGGTCTATTTATGTATGGTTTCCGGTTTTTATCTTCCTAACTAGTGCCGTCTTCTTCTATTTTTTGTATATGTCCAAACCATATCAGTCTTTTTATCAGTTTTTTCGAAATCGAAAACATGAAGTTTACGCAAAATTTGTCAAAATACTTCTAGTGATCACATATACCTTCTCAAATGTTTTCAAATTTTTTGAACGTATAGTTTGTCTTTTGGGGGGTGCAGATCAACCTTAAGACTCAAAATAGAAAGTTAAAAGATCAGCATAGCAAAACTCTACGGATAAAAGCTGGAAACTCCGTAAGTTTAGTATTAATTATCTCCTGATAATAATCCGAGTTAGATGTATAAATAAAAAGTAATAATAATTTAAACAAAAGGTAAGAATTCAAAATGTAAGTAAAATTCATAACTTATTAATTATAACTAATATATTATAATTAATTATAACTTTATAATTCGGATTCGGAATTTTTAAAATCTTTTTAAATTTTCGAGTTGTTTAAACCTTATATTAACTTAATAGTTTTATCTAAAAATGTATCTCACCCTCTATATAAGGTCTCGGTCCTGGAATGGCCCCATAGTAAGAAAACTGGTAAAAGTAGACATCACTAAACTGTGATTGCTTCTTCGCATGATGAATAATTGGTCTTCCAAATGAAGTGTCACTGTAAAACTAAAATTGATCGTTACTTTTATTATTTTATACAACCTACAGCAAATTTACTTGATCTTATTTTAAAAATGGAAATAGTAATACATACAAAGATCATTAAATATTATGGGCAATCGTTTCTATTTAAAAATGTAAAGTAAACTACTGGTACCACATAAGATTTTCGCCACGCCGCGTTCAAGGGTTGGAGGATTTTGGTCAGTAAAAATCCCAAAGTCCTATTTGAAATTTTTCTAATCGTGTAAACTAGGCGTTCAAAAAATATCTTAAAGAGCTTTAATAGTTATTTATGCACCCAGCTCAAATTTATAAACCTGATATCTACTGTTCTCTAGCTTATAAAATTTTAAAATGATGTAAGTACTTACCTGTACAGCATGTTCAATTTTATTTATAAATGAATCTTTGGTGTATACATTTCGTATATCAGCTCCTATATCGTGCTTCTTAGTTATATTTGAAACATGCATATTGTTATTGACCAATAAGCTGAGATCGTTGTCTAATGAACGAGCAGTCTGTTTGAATATTTCGGGATCTTAAAAGAATTAACAATGTTTTAATAAAAACAAGACATGGATCATTAAAAAGAGAGGAATACGTACCTAAAGCATTCCAAATCATTTCTTCGGAACAAATACCTATTATTAATGGTACTCTTTGCATATCTCCGTTTATTAGAGCATCGTACATTCTTTTGGTTATGAAAGCATCGTCGTGATTGGGCTCAATGACTGGAGTGAACTGAAATCCTTGGACTATTTGGTTGTTATAATCGGTTTCCTAAAACAATGGAAGTGGAATGAATATTGACAGTAGCCAGTCTTTTGGTAATTAACCAGTCTCGTAGATGTTGTTGAATAGCTTCGTAATAGCCTAAGAGCGTTAAATACCTTCGTAAGCGGTCTACAGGGCAAACATGTTCGGAAAATACTGGTTTAGAACAATATGTCTCATGAGTGACTTGATGAAACTATTGGACTTAATGGAACAGTGTAATACATTATATACAGCACAATCCTATACTAGAATCAGTCTGCATCTGTGTAAAGTCTACAAGATTGCATATACTGTCAGTTCTCATAGTTAACATATTTATGCTCATAGGTAATTTTCAAATCAAAAAAGCATCCGAATTTACAGTAATATGCGAAAATAAAAAATTTGAGTAAATGGTATTTTACTGTCATTTTTGCTACCAAATGTTTTAAATAAATAAAAATAAGTTGAAATTAGTTAGAAATATGCTTTAAAAGATCACTCCAATAAAACGATAGTTACGATAATTAGCAAAGAAAGCATTGGTGAGTGGAATTTATCAGAGAGATCTGTTACTAAACTTACTAACAAATTACCAATATTTGTATACTGTAAGAATAAATAACGATATATAAAAATTTACAAATTACATAAATGGTATAATAAAAAAAATAGTCAGACTCTTACCGACATCAATGAAACAGCCGCATCGTTAAGTTCTTTGGCTGATTTCTTTTGCAAAAGCTCTAACAATTCTTGTGAACTAGCGTTTGGACTGAAGGTTGGATCAAGAGCAATAGACAGATCATAAGCTATTTTACGATAATCTCTTTGGAAAGTCCACGGACTAAGAATAGATCCACTTTGGGAGATTGCAGCTCTAAAAAGTCCTGAAAAAGATTTTTGGCCAATTTAACAATGTTCTATTTAATCAAAAGTGGATTAGTTATGAAGACTAATGTGCTTTTTTTAATTCTACTGGAATATAAATACGTACCTTTAGACTTCTCACTCATAAGTTGATAGGTTACAGATGCTCCCCCTGCACTTTGACCAAAAATAGTAACTTTGGTTTTATCCCCTCCAAAATATTTAATGTTGTCTTGAACCCACTTTAAAGCTAGGAGCTGATCTTTTAATCCATTGTTACCAGGAATAACTGTATCTCCAGTTGAAAGAAAACCTTGAAATAGACGATATGTTTGAATATATCCTTTGTCCTTTGAGATCAAGTACATTTTTTTAACTGTCATCATTGTACGAGCCTGCTTCTTGCTTATTTAAAAAGGAGAGTACTTACCAAAAGGACCTATGCGATAATTAGCACTGACAATGATGACACCATGTTCCATTAAATAATGGGGACCGTGGAAATCAATGTGGTTGGCTCCGGTTACAAATCCTCCTCCATAGATATAGACCATAACAGGAAGAGAAACATTCTTTGACGGGGCCTTGAAAAAAAGGATTTTGTTGTAATAAAATTGGGATCATGTGTGTTTTCAGAAAAATACATAGTACTTGTCCAGGTTCATCTAGAGTCCACTGTACTGGCCAAATATGGTCAGGATATTAATAGGATGGGCAGCATTCGGAAGACTGTCATACATACTTAAAAATAAAAATATACCTCAAAGAGTGCAAACCAAAGTGTAAAATTCCTATATTCTACCTTTACTTACATATGGACATCAGAAAAACTCAGAAAGCTGTGGAACGACAGATGTTGGTATCTTACTCAAAGACCATAAATCCAATGAATAAATTCGTAATAGAACAAAAGTAAAAAATGCTGTCGAATAGGCAGCTAAACTGAAATGGAAATGGGCTGGACATAACGAACGTCCTACGGATGGCCGACGGAATAAAGAAAATGGGAATTGGCGGCCATATAAAGCCAAAAGATCATGAGGAAGACCGCAAATGCGATGGAGCGACGATATTTAAAGAACTGCAGGGCCAACGTGGAAACGTCTTACAAACAACAGAGATGAATAGCGAGAACTAGAAGAGGTCTATATTTGGCATTCGAATAGAGAAAAGGGCTTAAAAAAATACACGTATTAAGTAGTACCTGTGTAGTATTTTTTAAATTTCTCACAGGTTCTTCGATTTAACTACTTCTTCTTCAGATGCAAATCCACTAATGGATGTTAGCGATCACATTTTTCCATTAATTCTCTATTTCTTGCAATATGTATCAGCGATTGTATGTCGTTAATCCCTGTCCATTGCCTTATGTTTCGGAGCCAGGACATTTTCCTGCGTCCCATTCCTCTATTGCCTTCAATTTTACCCTCGAATTTAAGTTGGAGGAACTGGTATTTTTCATTTCGCATGATGTGACCTAGATACGGCCGTTTTCCTTTTCTTGATGGTTTCGAAAAGTTGGCGTTCTTGGTTTATTCTTTTAAGAACATCTATATTTGTGATTTTCGCTGTCCATGGTATTTTTAGAATACGGCGATAAAGCCACATTTCGAAAGCTTCTAATCTGTTTATATCCCTCGTTTTGAGTGTCCAGCCTCTACGCCATATAGCAGCACTGACCATACGTAGCACTTAGTAAACCTTAGTCTCAGTTGAAGATCGAACTCTGAACAAGTCAGTACCTTCTTGAATTTTACGAAAGCTTGTCGAGCTTGCTCAATGCGACATTTTACTTCCCTGTCCGATGCCCAGTCTTCAAAAAGCCACGATCCAGGTATTTACATTTACTCACTCTTTCAATGGACTTAGTATTTAGTGTTATGGTGGAGATTTCAAGTGCATCCAAGTTTCTGGAGATAATCATGAATTTGGTCTTTTTGGTATTAATCTCTAATCCCATTCGCTTACTGTATTCTCCGATTATAGTGACTAGTTGTTGAAGATCGACTATGTTGTCACAAATTAAGACACCATCATCAGCATATCGTATGTTGTTGATCAATACTCCATTCACCTTGATTCCCATCTCTGCATCCTCCAAAGACTCTTGAAATATGGCTTCCGAATAAATGTTAAATAAAAGAGGGAAAGCACACATCCCTGTCGAACGCCTCTTCTTATATGTATGGGTTTGGATATAGAATTGTCTATTTTTAACTGTGCCGTTTGATGCCAGTACAAGTTTTCAATGGATCTTATGTCTTTTTGGTCTATATCAACTTTCTTGAGAATCTGCATTAACTTGTGGTGTTGGACCCGATCAAACGCTTTTTGGTAATCTAAAAAGCATAGGAACACATCCTTCTTCTGATCGTAACAATTTTGGACCAGCACCTGTGTTGCTACTATTGCTTCTCGTGTTCCTAAACCTTGCCCAAACCCGAACTGGGAATCACTGCTGTCCCATTCACTTTTTTTTGTATAATCTTTGATGTAGTATTTTTAAGAATATCTTTAAAGTGTGACTCATCAGGCTAGTGTGTCTGTGATCCTCACATCTTTTTGCATTGACTTTCTTGGGCAGGGGAATAAAGGTAGAGCGTAACCACTGTTGAGGATAGCAGCCAGTTTCATAAATTAAATTAAATATTTTGTGTGGTGCTGAAATTCCCCTTTCATCTAGTAAATTGGGTATTTCTGACGGGATTTCATCTGGTCCAGGTGCCTTATTGTTTTTTAAATTTAATATTGCCTTTTCTATCTCCTCTTTGGTAATTGAAGTTGCCAGTCAGCTGGTCGTCTGTATAAACTTCACTCAAGGGTCTTTCGTCATGGAAGAGCTTGTTTTAGAGCCAATTTTATTAGCTAATTCGTCAGATTTCTTCAGGTACTGTACACGAACCTTATACACCAGATTATCCAGAGCTACTATCAATAAAAGTTTACTTGCATCTAATAGTCTTGTTCTAACTTAAACTGTTCCTATTTAATTGTTTACATATCTGCACTATAATTTTCATATTAATTTAATTTTAATTTTAATTGTAATTTTATAATTTTTCTGCATTGGGTTTTTACATAATTTGCATCATATTTTCCTATTGTGAGATACTCAGTTTTTTAACAATAGTTTTCAGAACTCCGTTTTGAGTATTCATTGATATTAGTAGTAGTAGTTCGCATCATCCTCATCTTCAGTAATCACAACTTGGTCGTTTGCAAATAAAAGAGTATTGATTTGGAACCAATTCTCAATTGGAACTCCTATAGGATTGCATTTCATTGCCCATTGTTTCAAAGAAGCATTGACATATATTTTGATAAGAGTTAGTGACATGCAGTAACTGTATCTTAACTTTTAGTTAACTAAAACATTTTTGAGAAGCCGTTCCGTGTTCTCGCATAGCTAAAGTTACCTTTATAGAATTCTTTAACAGCGTTTATTAAGTAATTGGGATATTTTGATATTCCATGGCAAGCCACAACTTATTTAGGAGTTGTTTAGTTAACAACATAGAGAAATGCTTGAGGAAAATAAATATACCTAATGCATTAATAAAAATTATAGAAAGTACTTACAAAGAGGTAAAAGGAAGGGTACAAATAACAGGGGAAAGATCGGAAGCATTTAATTGAAAGAGAGGTACTAAACAAGGAGATAGTCTCAGCCCTTTGCTATTCATAATAATAATGAACGAATTGATTAGAATCACTAGAATCAGAACCAATCAACTACAGATAATAATAGGTTACCACAGATTACAACCGGTAACATTAGAGTCTTTAATGTATGCAGACGACATAGTACTAACAGCAGATTTCGAGAATAAAATGTAGAAATTAATGGTTATATGGGTAAAACAAATAGAAGAACTAAAAATGGAGATAAACGAGGAAAAAACTAAGATAATGATAATCAGCGGCAAAGTAGATAAGGAAGATAATCAAATAAAGATAAAATGTAAAAACTCAGAATTGGAAATAGTAACAACTTACGAATACCTGGGAAGTATAATAACTAATCACGGAAAAATAGAATCGGAAATAACAAATAGAGCAAAGAAATCAAACAAGTTATACTATGCGTTAGCCCCAATAATGGGAAAAAGAGAAATTACACGAGAAACAAGAATAAAAATATATAACACAATAGTAATACCGACTGTGCTGTATGCAAGTGAAAACTGGATAATTCTGGAAAAACATAAGAGCAGGATAAACGCAATGGAGATGAGACATCTCAAGTATGGACAAGTAGTAGAGGCGGGAAAACTTAAACAAAAATCACTCGAGTAATTGAAAATAATGGCAGGAAACAGAAAATAATGGAAGAGGTGGGTAAATGAAAATTAAAATAGCTTGTCCAAATCCGACAACCTGGGGCCCGTTTCACAAAACTACAAGTGTTGTTAGTAACAATTGTTAATATTCAGCACTTGTAATCACAAGTTGTTAATAACTAGCGTTTCACAAAAAAAATATTTAACTTGTTCGTTACATGTGTAAATTTGTCAGCAACCGGTGTACTTCACGCATGTCTGTTACAAGTTTGTAAATAAACATAACCTTAAAATAGTTTTGTTGACAATTTACTAGTTAAACGTCAGTCGTTATTTATAATTCTGTGACAATGTCGAAAAGCGTCTTAAACGGTAGTAAAATTATAATTTTAAAAGAGATTAGAGATAAGAAAGCAATTCTTTTCGGCAGCTTTTCCGACAAATTAACAAAAAAAGACAAAATAGAATGTTGGAAAACTGTGCACCAAAAATCCACCAGTTTAGGGCTTGTGCCTCCAAATAAGGATTGGACTTACAGCCGTGATGTATTTTGGCAAAATTTAAAGAAATCAACAATGGTAAGTGTTAGCGTTTAATTTGCCAAAGTGTAAGCGTATCTGACACTTTTTTTCTTATTGCAGAAGAAAGTTGATAACAGGAGGAAAACTGGTTCAGGTGGAGGCACAGATTCTAAATTTACAGAAATGGACAATGTAGTTCTCGACATTCTTGGGCCGGATAATCCAATTCTGTGTAGTCTCGGCATTTCCGAAACTTGGGAGCAAGATCCTGAGAAGGAGCAAGATCCTCAGAACTTCAAGATTCTTGAACAAGAAATAGAAAATTCAAACCATTTGCAAGATCACGGTGCAACAAACAAAATTAAAAACACTAATGTGTTTATTTCTACTGGGAGCAGCAGTGTACCTACTGCATCTTGTACAAAAAGGAACAAGTCGAAAATATCTAATGAAAATGACCCAATTGGCGAAGCACTAATCGATTTAAAGAAGAAAAAATTACAACACCAAATTGAAATCCTTGCAAAAGAAAGTTATCTAAAAACATTAGACATTTTAAAACTAGAACGGGAACTACATGTGACCCCTTCAAAATTCACTGTATCTTTCGATTCTGCTGTAACCTACCTCATAAATGTAGAAGAGTCACCTACCAGTGAAAGCGTGGAATATTCGACCATTGTTTGAGAAGTTATATTATTGTTATATTTGATTTTTTAATTAATTATAAGAAAAACGTATTGTTTATAGGAATTACTTCTTTGATTTTTAATTCATTATTATGCTAAGTATTTGTTAAATGTTTTGGAAATTATTTTTTCGTTTAAATAAAAAGTAAATATTATATACTATTCTATATTTATTTATTTTATATTCTTTATTGTTATAAAGTTACACTGGAACTAGTTTCTATTTCTAAAATAATTTATCAACTCCTGTTGTCTTTGTCTTGCATTCAAAGGAGCTGGTTGTCCGGCTATTTCGTTATCGTCTTCCATTTCTTCATTATCCATTTGTCGGTTTAGATTCATTCTCTCCCGAGTAATATTATACAGCGCTGTGCAGCATTTGAAAACATTGGCTGCATATACTGGACTCAAACGAAAGTAGTTAAGACAAGGAAATTTCTCCTTTAGTACGCCTAAAGCATTTTCGACTAAACGCCGTGTTTTCTTATGTGCTCTGTTGTAGGTAGCCACAGCCTCATCCACATTCACCTCAATTGGGGTCATAAGCCAATCTAATAGAGGGTATCCAGAGTCACCTAGAATCACTCTATTTGGAATTGGATGCCAACCAGCTTCCATTCTCTGAAAAAGGGTGCTATTTCTCAGTACTCTCGCGTCATGAACACTTCCCGGCCAATTTGCACTAACATAATAGATTTTCAAGTCTGGTCCACAAACAATCATACAATTAATAGAGTGATTTCCATTACGATCAACAAAAGCAGGTTCATTTTCAGTTGGAGCATCTATTTTAATAAGCGTCCCATCAATACAACCTATAACTTGGGGAAATCCTGCTACTGCAAAGAATTCTGCAGTCTTATTTAAAATATTTGCCGGCCAAGCAACAACTTGATGAAATTTTATTTGGTTAATTGCGTGTACCACTTTTTTTACACATCTACTGACACTTGCTTTGCTGACTCCATGAGTATCTGCTATGACGTGATATTGTCCTCCACTACCTAGCCAGTGTAATGCTATACACAATTGCATTTTTGTTGCCAGTGCATAAGAGCGATTCGTTGGATGCGCTAAGACAGGTGCAATGTCTATACGAAGTTGTTCCATTTGTATAGAAGTCATCCGAAAACGTTCATTAAACTCGTAAATTGATGGAAAATCACTATTAATTCTTGGTCTGAATATTCTCCTCCTTCTTCTTTGAACAAATACCTCATTTTCATTTTCTGACGAAGAGCTGCTACTAGACAACATTTTTTCTACACTTATTACACTTGTCAAACCAACTACCTACCTTCAAAGTTAGGTAGAAAATGTTTAGTTCACTACAACTGTCAACTACAAACTTGTAAATTATTCTTGCGTTGAACAAGTAAATTGTTGGTAGCTTACAAGTAATTTACTTGTAAAATTGTAAAATTCACTAGTGGTTACAAGTGAATACTTGTGCATTCGTGAAACACTAATAACGAGATATTTTGCCAAACTTGTAAGAATTTCATTGTAACTGACAAACGTGTAGTTTTGTGAAACGGGCCCCTGATAGGGTAAAAGGAAGGGGAGAAAGAAAAAAAAAGAGAGTTTAGTTAACAAAGGGATATTTACCACTTCACTAGGATAATAAATAAAGCTATTCTTTATTTAAGAAATTATATCCACATCAATGAAATTTGGGGCGATGGTTTTAACTATACATTTAAACATATTACAAGAACAAAATGGTTTTAAATAAATACGTTGAGAAAAAATGTTTTCTTGAATGTAGTACCTAGTGATGGCACCTACCTACTATCAAGAAGTTAGAAATCTCTTAGTTTTACTTACCTCTGGAGTGTAGATGTTTAAATATAAGCAATCTTCGTTTTGAGGTATTTCTGGTCCAGGAAATGGATATTTTTGTTGGAAGCATACCCTGTCATTTTTGGTAGCATTTAGAATCCCGCTCCATGGTTCTGCTGGTATAGGAGCCTAAACAAGTTAAGTTAGAATTAGTGTGTTTTTTATTAAAATACCAAAGTTTTGGTTTTTGGTTTTCGTTTTGGTTACGTCACTTTAAAATCTCTTATATCTTGTAGCAGTAAGACTACAAGAGAATTGAAGTACTATTATAAAAATACTATCTCAATTAACCATGGGAGTCTATCGTCTATGCCTTGCCTAGCTCAGTATCTTAAATGTGAGTTCGTCTTGTCTTAAACTAGGGATTGAATCTGAACCCTTAGCTGATAGCAAATAAAACAATTTTTAACTAATCATATTTATTAATAAATATAAAAAAACAATCAACCCTGCCAATGCTTTACAATGAATTAGTAGGGATGATACTTATGGCATCGATGACCTCAATGGGTTGCTTGTGTGGCCTCCTAATTAGATGTTAGGCCCTCCAATGGTCAATAAATTTTCATAATTTCATCAGAATATGGTCCTGAATAAAACCGTCAATAAATAAGTCGATATAGTCAATAAACCCAAGAGAATGTTGCAGACCATAAAATATAGCTTACCATAATTTCTACCTTCTTTTATAAATTTCAATTATAAACAAAAAATAATCCCATCCTAAAAGGCGATTGACAGAAAGTAGGAAGGGACTACAACGAAGTATAGCACAGATGCCATATAACATATATCTATGACGGAATTAGCTTTTCTGTCAACATAGAACAGAATATTTAGTCTATCGGACAGAAAAAGAGAGGGCGAATATTCATTCTACCAGACAGAAAGAGAGAGAAAAGAAAGATAGAGGGCAACAACTACTTTTTGAAGAAAAAACAGTAACAACAAAGCTGAAGATCTTGAGTCATGGTGGTTTAAAGCTACAAGCAAGCATAAATAGATCAGGAGCAAGTAACAATCTGACAGTTTGGCAGAACAAGAAGCGAACTGCTTTATTTAGACCTCGAACTCTTCTGTGGCCTAACCTACAGTCACATAAAAAGATAATTATGTATATTGGCTGATCTTGTTTCTGGACCGTGGACATCAGACAGTAAAAATCGTCGTTTAAAAAAAACGGAAAAGAGGCGGCTTGCCATACACTAAGTAATTTTATCAGTTTTTTCAGTTATTTAATTCATATTTGTTATAATTTTTAATTAAATAAAACACAGGCAGCACGTAGTAAAGCCTTCCTGTCACCTTTTCAGTACTTCTACTCTGCCGTTCAAAAGTATTCCATTATGAGCATTGACATGGTTTGCTAGTGACTTGAAAATTTTTTCTTTTTTATATTAACTTGTTTTTAAAATTGTTTTTGTTCGTTTCCTTTATTTAATTTTTCCATTTTTTTCAACTCTGTATTGATTTGTTGCCCTTTTTTACTGTTTGAGCTTTTTTCCCTCTCTTCTTTTTACTGGATATTCTGTAACATTGCTTCTAGTCCTTCTGTTTATCAATTTCAGATACCGTCATTCTTTTCTTTGGTTACCTGTTTACATTCCTTATCAAACCAGTTGTTTCACTGCCCTTTAAGTACCCCATCCAACACTTCTTCTGCGGTCTTTTGCAGCGTGGTTTTTGTAAACTGCTAATTTGTGTTACATATAATTCGTACCTCCTGTATACCTATTATGTTCATATTATATTTGTTAAGAGTATCTAAGAGGCATCTCATCGCATCTGCAGACTACATCACATTCTATGATCTATATCGAATATCATTTTTCCGTTTGCCAGTCTACATAATTTTTTTTTTTGGTTTGGTTTTTAATACATTCGGTTTTGGTTTTTTCAGCTCTCGTAACAATGCATTTCAGGGTAGTGTTGTTATTGAAATTAAATGCTATACTATGCAACATAAACAACATTGTAGTGTATGTACAGTTGCGGTCACGGAATAGTTTACACCTTACTTTTTATATTGTAATACTGTAAAATTGCAGTGTCGTACGGATTTGATAAATGTCAAAGTCAAAAAATTTCAAAACGTCAATGCTTTCGCGAGTGTTCAACAATAAAATAAAAGTATATTAAACTCTTCCAAAATGGTTAGAATACATTTGAATTATGCGCAAAAAGCAAGAGCAATTGCCAAACTCGAAGAAGGTTGGTCACTAAGGCAAGTTGCTGCTGATTTGAACGTGAGTCATATGTGCATATGTAAGATTAAACAAAGATGGGATAATTTTCACTCTATAGCACGTTTGGGCGGTTCAGGAGGGCAGAAGATTTCCACAGATCAACAGGATGAGATGTTAGTAGATTATTTGAGAGAATCTCCTTTTGCCACAGCTCAAAAGGCAAGAGAAGAGGCAGCGTTTCCAGGCAGTATTCGCACTGCACGTCGAAGAATTAAAGCAAGTGGACTGCTAAATTGTGTAGCTGCACGGAAACCTTTTTTGACTGAGGATCACAAGAGGAGACGAGTTGAATTTTGTAATGAATTTATAAACCGCGATGAGAATTTTTGGTCTAGGGTTGTATTTTCCGATGAAAAAGTATTTCAGTCGTATAATAATGGTCGAATAAGAGTTTATAGGCCGAGAAATCATAGGTATGATAAACAGTATACGCATCATTTAAGAAATAGTGGAGGATTCTCTGTCAACGTATGGGGATGGATAAGTGCCGAAGGCCCGGGCGTTTGTTATCATGTAGAGGAGAAGTTAACAGGATTATATTACAAACATATTATTGAGCACACAATGTGCCATCGGTGATCCAGAGATTCCCCAACAACGACTTTATCTTCCAACATGACAATTGCCCGGTGCATACAAGTAGAATTGTTCGAGAATGGCTAGAAGAAACTGATGTTAATGTTCTTCCGTGGCCTTCCCGTAGTGCAGACTTTAACTCCGTCGAAAATGTGTGGGCAGAGTTAACAAAGAAACTAAATGAAAGAAACCTTAGACCACGGAATAGAATTGAATTATGGGAAGCAATTGAGCAGGCATGGGAAGAGCTTGTTAACTATAACATGAGGGGATTGGTGCTATCTATGAACAGAAGACTGCAAAATTGTATTGACAAGAATAGGGCTTCCACCAAATATTAATTATTATTTATCATTGTTTATCGTTATTTAATATAAAATAGATTTAAAATAAAATGCATATTAAAAAAAAGACTTCTTTATTTTCGTTATTAAGAATCATAATCCATTTTATTTCAAAAAACTGTTTTCTATATTTTTCATTTTGTAAAATATTTTGATATTTTAATTTTAATCTACCTATTCTAGCTAGTACAACACCACTGGCAACGTCACTTTGACGTAAAAGGTGCGTTTAAACGAAGTAAAAATTTAAAAAATGGGCTCCTAGATACGTGAACCTGTAAACTATTCCGTGACCGCAACTGTACCAGCATCTGATAGCACAGAGAAAGAAGTAAACAGCTTCTACAATGACTTAAACAAAACATTAAAAGAGATGGAGAAGTAGTAGGAGAACACGGACTGGAAACACGTAATGAAAGAGGTGAAAGACTAGTTCAGTTTTGCAAAGATAACGAACTCATTATCAAAAACACGTGGTATAAACTCCCAAATTGAAGAATATATACATGGAAAGCACCTGGAGATGATGGTGAAATTATAGTAAGAAACCAGATAGATTACATAATAATAAACCAAAGATTCCGAAATGCCATAATATCGGCTAAAGTGTACCTAGGAGCAGATATAACAAGTGACCACAAGCTAGTTCTAGCAAACATGAAATTCAAGTTAAAGAAGTTAAAAACAACTGCCAAAAAAAACCGAGAATCAATCTAAGAAAACTAAAAGAAACTGATATATACCAACAAATCCAAGAACAGTTCAAGCGCACATAGAAGTTCAAGGAGTAGAAAGGCAAAAGCAATTGACAGCAACAGATAAATGGAGTAAAGAAGAGATCTTGAAAAATATCACAAAACAAAAACTTCAAGAAGACACATCATCTAAAAATAAACAATGGATCACACACGAGATAAAAGAAGTGATGACAGATAGAAGGGCACACAAGAATAAAAACGAACAACAGTACAAAAAAATTAATTAAATAATTATACAAAAATTTAAAGAAGCTACGGAACTGTGGCTATCAGAAAATTGTGAAGAAATAGAAAGGTTAGATAAACAACATAACAGTTTTAACATACACCGGAAAATCAAAGAGACAGTTGGCATATACAAGAAGAGGGATATCGGAAATATCATGGATAAAAATAACAAGATAATAACGGAATGTACAGATAAAATAAATAGAGAAGAAAAATACATAAAAGAGCTATTCGAAGACGACGAGAAAATTGAGGTCATTGAACCAAGAGGAAGAAATGGGACACTAGTCACCAAAGATGAAATTGAGAAAGCGCTAAAACGTATAAAAAATGAGAAGCCATGGAACCAGATGAAATTCCTACAGAAATCTTAAAAATATTAACAAAAAATCATATGGGCACACTAAAAGAAGAGAGATTTCGAAAGAATGGTTAATATCAAGATTCATTCCAATACCCAAATAATCAAACGCAATGAAGTGTGAAGAGCACAGGACGACTAGCTTGATGATCCATATTCTAAAAGTGTTCTTACGAGCGATACACGAACGTATCTATAAAAAGCTATCTATGATAGCTATCTATGAATAATCTTAGATATCTAGTTATCTTAGATATCTATGAATAATCTTAGATACGCAGATGACACAATACTCCTGCAGGACAGCAGAGAAATACTACAGATCTTGGTTGATCGCATTACCCAATACTACGAAAGGTATAGAATGGCACTGAATATAAATAAAACCATACGCATGGTGGTAAGCAAGAACAAGATTGAGGAAGACAGTGTTTATGCTAAAGGAAAACTTTTAGACAGGTTGCACAGATATCTGTACTTGGGTTGCAAACTAAATAAAGAATGGGATAAAAGTACGGAAATAAAACGGCGTATTGAGATATCTAGAAGTGCTTTTATTAAAATGAAAGCAATATTATGCAATAAAAAACTCAAGATTGAAATCAAAACTAGAGTATTGAGATGCTACGTGTTTTCTGTCCTGTTGTATGGAGTTGCAACCTGAACAATTACAGAGGCGACAAAGAAAAGACTAATTAATTTTGAAATGTGGTATTATACAAGAATGTGGAAAATATCAAGGAAAGGCGGAAGGCAAAAGAGAACCGGGGAGAAGACGCACTTCCTGGTTGAAGAATCTGAGACAATGGAGTGGGAAAACGTCAATAGAACTTCTCAGAACGGCTGCAGATAGAGTCAAAAAGCCATGATGATCGCCAATGTCCTTACGGATGAAGCACGTTAAGAATAAGAAGAACTGTTGTTAGGTCTAGGCATAACCCAAAGATTCGGAGGACCATGGACTCTTCTGTTTAAGTTCCCATATCTTAGTCTGTTTTGGTTAGTGGGTGGTATTTTATTTCTCACCCACCTACCGGTCCTAGGATCGGTTTGGGTGTTAGCCTATCCACCACCTGGAAAAGGGTCCTACGGGAGAAAAACAACTCCACACGGATCCAATTATTTGAAATTCACACAATTTTGCAACTTGTGGTTTGCTTTTGCATGTATTAAAAGTAATACAGTAGTCTCTCTTTATAACGATTCCCTATATAACGATAATTCCTCTATAACGATGAAAATAGTAAACGTTGGTTGGTTCGTCATAAGGATAATGTATTAATTCTTTCTCTATACCGATATCGTTCTCTCTTTATAGCGATGACTTTTCAGCGTTCAATAGTCGATGACTATTGAAGTGACGTATTTAAGGTTCAGACTACTTAGTCACGAGTGGTAAGGTCATTGTCCAGCGGTTGTTTTGCTTTGTGCTTAAGGTATTCGGAATCCCATTCTACTCATTCTTTCTCATCAGAGGGTTAAGTGACTCGCTTTTATTGTTCGGACGACATGACTAACTGTTATCACACAAATGTTGTCATCTATTGACGACTTTTCATTTTCAGTTTGAGCATTTCATTTCATTTCATTTCCAGTTTCGAAAAAGCGTAAAGTGCTCTCGGTGGAGGAAAAGTTATCGATAACTCGAGCAATAGAGAAAGGTGAAAAGCAATCGGATGTCGTTCGCCGTACGGGGCTGTCTTAGTCAACTGTGGCTACGATTTGGACGGACAGAAAAAAGTGGTTTGAGGCGGAGATGGAGGGCGGTAGCAGGAAGAAGTTACGGAAACCTCAACATGAACATTTAGACCGCGCTATGCTTCAGTGGTTCCAGCAGCAGCGAATGAACCATATTCCACTTTTTGGGCCTGTGGTTAGGACAAAAGCTGAGTTTTTTGCAATTGAGCTTGAAATTGAGAATTTGAGAAGGCCTCTGAGGGTTGGCTGAGCAAGTGGAAGCTGTGGCACAAGATTAACTACGTGAAAATCAGCGAAGAGGCTTACGATGTTAACAAAAACGTAACGGATGATGAAAGAAAGTGGAATATCTAGCTTAAAGGGAAAAAATTCTGCTAGTAGACAATTCTCCTGCTCATCCTGTATTGTGCCACCTTCAAAACATTGAACTTTGTTTTCTGCCAGCAAACAGAACAAGTGTCCCTCAGCCCATGGACCAAAGTGTCATCAAGAGTTTGAAAAGCCATTACATGAGAAGACTTTTGATGGAATTGGTTCAGAACAATGGCGATCTTAAACTAAACATCTTGACGCCATCCTAATAATTAGTAAATCCTAGGACGAGGTGACGAGCAATACAATAAAACAGTCCTTTAAACACGCAGGATGGCTGGAAGGTCAAGGATTGACAGATGATGAAGATGAACTGCCAGTAGGTGTTTGCGCCAGAGAGTTTGAACTTACTATCAGCTACGCACCGGAAGAGCTAACAGATTTTGAAGAAAATGAAAATGTACCTACATCTGAACTTGGCAAGGACATCCTACAAGCAGTTCATATATAACAAGAAAATAGTGACCCTAAAAGTGGAAGCAGAACTGGAATCAGCTCCGACCCCTCAGCAGGCATTGGATGCGGCATAAGTACTGCATCGATTCTTCATTAACTAGAAAGACGATATGAGTGCTATGAAAGATTCTATCCGTCTAAATAATAAGGCCAGATCAGTTCTGTGGAAAGGGAATAGGAAACAGACCGAGGTGACTGACCTTTTTGGTAATATAGGCTATATTCAGCCTACTACTACAGCTACTTTACAGTAGCATATTATTTTGTTACAGTCATTTTTTTATACTGTATTTATTGTTTATATCATTCTCTAATAAATCTATGTGGTGTACAATACAGTGTTAAATCATTTATGTTCGTTTTGATAATTTTTTTAAATTAAAATAGGTTATTTAGTACAGTATAATTAATATTACAGTACCGAATTTTTTGTCTCTCTGTATAACGATCTCTCCTTATAACGATGAAAATTCCCGGTCCCTTGCATATCGTTATAGAGAGAGAGGACTGTATTTGATATTATAATTATTGCGTTGAACACCATTTTTACTTAGTATTACCAAAAATCTTAATTAAACATATAGGCATAACCAAACTTTACAATGACATGTCCAATTATAAATTTCACGTCATTATAAACTGAGAGAAAAAACTGATATCATCGCCTTGTGTTTCGATGTTTTTCGATGAAATTCTGTTTATCAATGTTATGAAAAGTGTGCTACTTACTTTAAATCGCAAGGATCCCACGGGTGGCTTGGCAAAAGGTATTTGTTGGAAGGCATAAAACGATATTCCCCTTTGAGAATGTTCTTGTCTTCCACGAATTTTCCCATTTGGAGTTGTTACAATTAACTCAGCGTTCTGAAAAAATAAGCAGCTCTGAATTATTATCAATGTAGCTATTTGTGTATATATAAACTATACACACAAAGGAATATACACATATTATTTACGAAAATTATTATTTTGGACAGATAAGTCATACCTTAACAAATTATTATTGTTATTATTATTATTATGTTAGCTTTGGTTTTGAACCTTTGACCGTAGTGACCAAATTATAGTCATACAGAAAATATAAATTAATTTCAAGAAAGAATTTGAAACATCAGAAATACTTCTTATCTTTGTAAAATACTTGTACTTTATAGACTATAAGAAGATCTGTGACAAAAAAAAACACAATATACATATTTATGAGACCAATTTGACCCAATGCTGACTATATATCTCCTTAAGAAGCGTCCATTTCGATCTATTTTGTCCTGTTTCCGCTGTTTGACCATACCTTTTAATTGTTCTTGTCGATCGATGGCCATCCATTCTGACATGTTCCAAAAGTAGATAAATGTTAAGGTTTAAAGATAGAATATTAATAACTACATGGTACTCATTGATTTAATTATAAATAATCAAGGCAGATATGTTTATTAAAAAATTAAAAAATAATTATTAAAATAAAAGATTAATAATAAATACAAATTACACAGGCCGACATGATTTTTAGTGTTTTGTGTTTGACATGTATCCTTGTCTAATACGGGTACACTGATTCTGAATATGAATTCAGTTTAAGCCTATCACGTCCAAATTTTTCACAAAATTTAAAAAAACCTTGTGGGATATTATGTACTAGTGCATACAAATACCTTATTAATATTTCGTAAATTGCATTAAAATTATTTCTTTAAAATACTTGATAGATCGATAGAAAATATTTTATTACAATATTATATTAATATCTTTTGAATGAAAACACTGCGAATCATGTCAAAATTTTCACAAAATTGAAAAAACCTTGTGAAACATATACTAGCGCAAAAAATACGTTATTGGTGTTTGTAAAGTTTGCTGATCAGGACAAACCTTGGACTCCACACAAAGTGTACTTATAGTATGTCGAAGTACTGAGAAAATGGACAAAAGGTACACTCTTTACCCTTCGGCATTCCTATGGTATGGAGAAAAACAAAAACCTATGGAGACGACTGCTACTTTTGCTAGAGCAATATCAAGGGGTTCAATTCAAAAACTCATGAACCAGGAATGCCTATTCCTCCAACTTTTCTTTACACCATCCAACAGCAATCATCAGATGAAAGTTCAGACAAAAACCTGATGAAGATGAATTCAATCCTGAGATAGACCAACCGCAAAAGTTTATCAAGCTGAACTAAATGACTTAGTGAGAGAAAGATAAAAAAGATTTAAATATATTGGCTCCAGGTATCACATTTTCATGGTATAGGCATTGTGAAAAAGAGTTCGCAGAATATTTTTCTCAAGAGGGCTCTATTTCTGTAGTCATGAAACTAGGAGCAGACAATTACGATTTCACATCATGGCGGTTATTTAATGATTCTTCTAAGAGAAGTCTAAAGAGTACCTTGTTGCACAATGGTAATACTTTTGCCTTAATGCCTGTTGCTCACTCCGTGCATCTGAAAGAAGCATATGAGAATTTTGAGCTGTTGCTAAATAAAATAAAGTATTGCGAATATTGTTGGCAACTCTGTGAAGATCTCAAAATAATATCCATGCTTTTGAGTCAGCAGTCTGGATTCACAAAGTAACCATGATTTTATGCGAGTGGGACACTCGAAAACAAAGCTTTAGATAAACAATCTGACTGCTTTCAAATATCTGTGCGACAAATTTCCTGCACTTTCTGAAGCTAAACTTAAAGAATGAGTTTTTGTAGGCCCTCAAATTCGAACTTTAAAATCGGACAGATTGTTTCAGAATACAATGACCCAGGATGAATCTGAAGTATAAAGTTCTTCCATAGAACTCATAGATGGTTTCCTTGGAAACAACAAGACTCCAAACTATAAAGAAATTGTAGCTAACATGGTCAAAAATTATAAAAAACTGGGAAGCAATATGAGCGTCAAACTTAATTTTTTGGATTCCCACGTTGACTATTTTCACGAAAATCTTGGAGCTGTCAGCGAGGAGCTGAAAGAAAGGTTCTATCAAGATATAAAGAAGATGACGAGACGTTACCGAGGAAGATGGGATGTGAGAATGATGGCTGATTACTGCTGGACCTTGAAGAGAGAATTGATCACAAAAATCCATAAAAAGAAGACCACAAAATGCAGTTTTCATGGAAAAAGAAAACAGTTTTATTAAAAAAAAAACCAAATATTGTCTAACGTAGGTTATACTGAATTCTTTTTTTTAAGAACAACTTAATTTTGCAATGTAATTGTATATTAAATAAGGTTTCAATAAATATTTTCTCAGCATTTTTGACAGTTTCTATGAAAAGTTTCAAACACACTTTTTTTGAAAACCCGACGTGCTGGAAAAAAAGTAAGTACAAATTCGTGATCAGCACATCCCATTTAATATCGGACACCTATTCAACTTAAAACACTTTTTCATGAAAATAAAAATGTAGGCCTGTGTTATTATTACTTTTATACTTTTATGTTATTATTATTACTTAATTAGCTGCAGGAAATAAAATGAAGTACTTACAATGCAAAATAATATCGAGAACAGTCCTAAAAAGTGCAACATACGCATTTTATAAATAAAATGCAACTTATCTGCGAATATACGAATATTAGATAAACATTTAATTGATGCAATTAGTGAGCTATTTATATTAAATTTATCTGCTCATTTATGCAGTTCAGGATCATCTTATGATAAACTTTGCTGATTAGGATTAATAACGATTTGCTGACTGATTACTACTCAGCATAAATTCTACGTAGAAGTATATATTTTTCATCTTCTTTCTGCTTTTTCTTCTTTACCCTATAATTTGATTTGATTTGCTTATTTTATTTCCGACTTCGTATGTCTACGTTTTAGTAGCTCTTAGTCTTCCTCTTTTCCTTGTTTTTGTTCTTTTTCCTTTATAAACCCCTTTGACCAATCTGCTTTCCGCCATCTTACATATTTGGCCATACCACCCTAATTAGTACCTTTCAATAACTTATTTTGCAAATAATCATTCGAAAGAATGTAGTCTTGTTGTAGTCCTTTATGTATCCAGAAACATTTACTCAAGCTTTCTCCTATTTTTATTTTGGCTTTAGCAGATGTGGACGATAATGAACCATCAATACCAGAATGGCGACAAACGAAGAAATATACATTGAGGAGGAGAGCTAAAAGAAGCAGTAATGAAATTAAAAAATATAAAATCACTAGGATCAAACTCTGTCGCCACCCCCCCTCAGAATTGGAAATGGGACCCCTTTTAAAACAAGTATTATTTAACAAACATATATTTAAACAATAATAGAAATAAAAAATGTAGCAAGACAGGGAGATGTGCTCTCAATGGTACTGTTTATTCTATCACTAGACAAGATAATAAAAAAGCTGTCGAATGCAAGAACTATAAACAAGAATGCAGTACAAATAATATTATATGCGAACGATATAACCATGGTATAGCAACAGATAAAGGGCATTAAAGAAAACCTGTTAAGAAATAAGAAACAAAGCCAAACTGAGAGTACTGGAAATAAATGAAAATAAAACGAAATTCGTGATCGTAAGCAAGAAAAAATGAAAATCTACAAAACGACCATAAGATCAATAGTAGTATATGCTGCAAAAACATTTACATTAAGTCTTTGTAAATGTAAGGTATTGTTTGCAGCTGTAATTCTTATATCATACTGAAATATTGAAATGCCATCTATTTTTTTTTATCATTTGCTCCATTAAACGTTGCCATTCGGCAGGAGCACTAGCAATTCCAAACATTAATCGAGTTGGTTGAAATAAACCTTTGAGGACGTTTAATGTAAGTAGATGTTTCATTTCATCTTTTATTGACAAGTGTAAGTATTGAAGGACAGTACTGGACGAAGGGAGAAAAATGGGAAAATCCTGGCTTGAAATCAAAGCACTAGCCAGAAATAGAGTTCGCTGGAGACACTTTGTGGAAGCCCTATGTTCCTCTTAGGAATCTTGGGATTAGAAGTTCATTGCCATTTTTAATTTGTATCTTTAAGTAAAATTGATCCGCGTCATGAACCAAGAGACCATTTGGGAATTCTAGATGAAGTAGAGCCTCTAGAAATAAAAAAAGATTCTAATAAATGTGCATCTTATCCCAACAGGAAGAACAGCTCAGTTAAAGGACTGAATGCCAAATTGTGGAAACCCAATTTTTGTGAGAACTAATTTGAAGAATTTCTTTTACTATTATTAGTGTTATTACTTATGCTTTTAATATTAATCGACATAATACAGCAATGTAGTATACCTACAATGTAGTAAACACCTTGTATAAAGTTGTTCAAAATGTTTAATTTAAAACTCAATAAATGATTATATAGATAAACAGTTTTGCAACAAATTTATATGAATGAATTGTTGTGATGTTTAAGTATTGTTATTATGGTGAAGGTCAAGAGAATCACTCAAAGTCTACCATAACCTCTTCGTATGCTTGTGATTAGTAAGAAAATAATCTGACATTGACCTAGAGTTGAAATTGCTTTTGTAAATATTTTTGTTTGCTCCGATTGTTTACCATTAAGTAATAAACTTGTCATAACATCTTCTAACATCAATCTTTTCTATTAGAATAAAACTATACTTACAACACACAATAATAGTATTTATAATAGATTTCTTCTATCAAAATATATCATTTTAATAATCAAAATATATCATTTTAATGGAATTCGTCCATATGCCAAAAAATATGACATATGCTGTAGATAAAAAATGAAGACTACAGGGGAAAAACACACGTAGTATCCACACATTGGATACACGTAGTACAATCCACAAATATCAAACAAAATAAAAGTGCAATAAGTCAAACGTTACAAACGAATAAAATATTTCTGTACAATGGAAGAGCGCTGCAAGTCAAGGTTAAACTAGGCAACAATGCTCTTAAGTCAGATTTAGGTGCTCAATGCACCTGTCCGTAGGGACAATTTACAACGGAAAATCACAGTCAGTGTTCAGAATTCATACAAGTTGTTTATTTAAGTATCAATATTATCATAAGTACAGTTTGTTTTTTAACGTTTGGTAAGTTTGAACTATTGTTTATTAATATGGAAAGTGAGGACAGCGAAATTGATGAGGCTTTACAGTCAAAAACTACAAGAAAACTAAAAAGTTTTGGGCGAATACGTGATGTAGCTAAAGCGCTAAAAGTACAAACGGTTGAACGAAGAAATACAATTTTTCTTAATTTTAATTCTATGCTGAATTTGGACGAGCAAAGTATGTATTTGGGTGGTCTAATATCCATACTTCCTGTAACTCAAAGAAGGCCAAGAAAAGATGAAGAGAGTTGCAACGTAAGAGATGGCTCTTTTTATTACAGAATTCGCCTTGCGGTTACTAATGATGAGGGGCATACATCACCGGCAAAAGACATTCAGGTTTGTCAAAAAGCTTTTGTTGCTCTTCATGGCATATCCACGAGAAGATTACAAACTGTACAAAAAGCCCTAAAACATGGTACAACCGCCAAGGACAACAGAGATAAACATGGCTCAAGACCCAATAAATTGTCTGAAGAAACTATGTAGTTAATTTTAAATCACATAAAATCATTCAAAGGACGCATGAGTCACTACAGCCTAAAAAAATCTTGCAGGAAGTACCTTCCAGAGGAACTTAACATTAAAAAGATGTACAAAATGTTCTTTGAGAAATATCCCAAGAGAGCAGTGTGCTATGAAGTATATAGAAAAACATTCAACACACGCTTTAATATCTCCTTTAGGTATCCCAGAACCGACACTTGCAGCATTTGTGATGCTTCCAAAATAAAAATGAGGGAATGTAAAGATGAAAAATTAATTAATTGTTATTAAAAATTAATGAAAATGAAAAATGAAAAATTAATTAATTAATTAATTAATAAATTAATTAATTAATTAAAACAGGGCAGAAACTTCACTTGCTGAAAGCACAGACATTTTACAAACGAAAAACAAAAGCTAAACTACGAGCAAGAATCTCAAGAGAATATGAAGTCATAGCCATGGACTATAATAAAAACCTTCCAATGCCTAATATTACGAGTAACGACGTGTATTATAAAAGGCAGTTGTCTTTCTAATCCTTTAATGTCCATCGACTTAGTGATAATGATGTTGTTATGTACTCGTACCCTGAGACAGTAGCTCAAAAGGGTGCCAATGAAGTTTGCTCATTTCTGTATGACTATGTGACAATCCAGCTTCCTCCTAAAGTTCGTAACTTAGTGATTTTCTGTGATTCGTGTAAAGGCCAAAATAAAAATTGGACGGTATTCCGGTTTCTACATTATTTAGTCCATAAAATAAACAGATTTGACTCTATTTCTGTGACCTTTCTTATAAGAAGTTACTCTTACATGGAGACGGATAAAGTATTTGGTATTGTTAATCAAAAAAGTGCAGCAGAAACCCCAGAAGATTGGGAAGCAGTGTTACGATTGGCTCGTCAAAAACCTGCGCCTTATAAAGTAGAAGTGGTTGATAACTACTTGGTGCGTAGCTGGGACAGTTTTTTTGCACCTATGTATGTTACAAAAGCACCTTTTAAAACTACACCAATAAGAGAATAAGCATTTCAAAGCAACATCCCAGACTAATTTATTTCAGAGACACCTACAATGGAACAATGGTTTCGGCTGTCATTAACATAAAAGTGACTGGTAGGGAACCACCGTATACTGGAAAAGAATTCGTTTTTCCTTCTCGATCCTATACTGAGTCACTGCCCATTCCAATGGCAAAATACAAAGATCTCCAAGTTTTAAAAAAATTTTGTTCAGAGAAAGGAAGAATGTATTTTGATCAGCTAAAAAAACATGACTTATTTTTTATCTTAAGAATTTTACAATGTTATTGATTCATTTAATAGATAACATTAATGTTTTTAGCTTTAGTTAAGTTAAACAAGTCTAGTTCTGCTTATTGTTTTCTTTCGTTGAATTCGTATTATATTATTTTGTCAATTACAGCGTTTTTGCCTTTTTCCTCCAGACCTTTGGTTGTTTTTTTTTTTTAATTTCTCTCGTTACCTACTGTATATGACAATTTCAATTTTATAATATCATACTCTGTATATGTGAGTTGTCAAATACTCAATACAATAGTGGTTTAGCATGTTTATTTATGAATTATAAAGTTTTGAATCTAAAAATCGCGTTTTCCAAAAATTTAAAAAATTGACTTACAGCGTTTTTCACCTGCAGTCTTCAAATACAAAGAATTTATATTATTGTCATTACACAATAAGTATCAGGATTTATAATTTTTAGCAATAATTCGATTCTGTTATCTTTTTTGAGTACCTAGTTCTACTGCTGCTTGGCTCCTGGACGCCTGCTTCAGTAAGTACTATTTTCGGAGCTGTATTTACATGTCTGTTTCGGCGTCTTCAGCAACCACCTGGCTAGATCTTGATAAGATGATGTATCATTATACGATTACACCGATATAATCGCAGCGCCATGTTTCTGGTAAGGATATATTTGTTCTTAATGAGTTCCAAGACACCTATAGAAGAATACTAAATGAAACAAAGCAGTTGGTAAGAATAACAAAAATGAACACTGAGAACAGTTTACAAAAAGGTTGGAAAGCGACTTTTATGGTACACAAAAACAAATATTGAGATTCATATGCAACCAACAGAAAGAAATCGAGGAATAAAGGGAATACAATTACATACCAGCAAACGAATAGGGAAGATATTTGACGGAACTGTTTACGTAACGGAAAGTAATTTAAAGAGCAAAAGTTTATTATGACATGGTGGCAGAAATTCCTGTTCCTCTTGACGGCCGCCTTCCTCAGAAATCTGTACTGGAATCTTTCTACAATCATTGCATTTGGTACCCTGTCCTGCCATAGAAAGTATTTGATGAATATGAAGCATCTCGCCGTTCTTATCCTTATCAGCTTCTTCCAGTTGGTTTTTACCATAGAATTCCATATTGGTAATGCATACAACATCACCGCTCTAACGTAAACCTAGTATATCTGTAAATTAGAAATGTTCGGCCTAGTGCTGTGTTATTTTTAATGATTCAACAACGTCCAACACTAGCGGTCAAGGAATGAGCCTCAAAGAGTACTTTTTAAGAGATCATAGAAAACTATAAACACCAGCTTCCATTCGAAACATTGGTGTAACCAACAGCTTATGCCAAAGGAAACCACAACAAATAATTGGACTTCGTAAGTCCTAGAATTTCACCCAATATGACCGGAAGTACAACTGAAAGTCGATATTTGAACTCTCATCGATTGATATACGATGTCGTAATTTTACAAACTTGCGGTCATAACTTTTTAACTGGAAATGACATCAAAACCGGAACTAAATATTCAAACCCGACTTTTCAATACGCGTGAAATAATATATGACATGTACTATTTCTTTGACTTAAATGTAGTACTTTCGGTTACAATTCCTGAACCAAAAGTTCGATGTATCTCAAATATCTTACCTCATTTGTCTTGCCGGAATCAAAAGCTTTTGACAAAAAGAAAAAACGTAAGATTTCTACCTGGCGAAATCGAATTCAAATCTTTACCACTGTCCTTTCTAAAACTTGCAAAGCAGACAGATTGAGGAATTATTCGGCAAGAGAATCTAAGATTGCATTCCATATGGGGTTTATCATGGTAAAAATTCGTAGTGAATTCAATTTCTGGTACTAAAAACGGAAGTTGACACAGGGATTTCCAAAGTTGAGAAACTTCTTCAAGAAGCCTTAGCCCTGGCTATTCCAAAAACAAGGTACAATCCATATACTCCAACTCTTCCGCCGCAAATCATCGCGCAAATTAAATCCAAACACAAATTGCTCAGAGAGTAAAAAAGATTCAGAGACCCCCTCATCAAAACAGAATATAACAGGCTCTCGGCGGTCATAAGGCTCGAAGTGAACAAGCTGAAACAAAAACAGTGGATGCGAGTCACTTCTGACCTCGACTACCGAGATTGCTCTTCATTCTGGAACAAACTTAAAGTCCTAATAAAACAAAAAAGTCAGCCACGATCTCACCTCAAAATCAACAACGTCTTACTAAACAATCCACAAGATAAGGCCGAAGCTTTCAAAAATACATTGCAGGCCACCCTCGTTTCACCCAACAACCCCAATTTCAACGAAAGATCCAAAAGAGCCACCGAACGGAGAGTGGAAGATATATTCTACTACCTTCAGCCACTTAATGGACCACATCCTCACCCGATGATGGCGCCAGTGTGTAACATAGGATAAAACACGTCTCCTGGCCCAGATGGCATCCACAGAAGATGCCTCAAAAATCTTCCACGGAATATCATCCCATTGCTCACCAATATAATCAATGCATCTCTTGCGCTGAGCTACTTTCCGATCCCTTGGAAGGTGGCCAGCACCGTCATGATCCCTAAGAAAGGGAAAACCCTCACCAACCCTGAATCGTACAGACCAATTTCACTACTGAGCACCCTAGGTAAAGTCTACGAGAGGATCCTCAAGGAGAGACTCTTAGAATTCCTAGACGCTCACTTATTTATTCCAAATTACCAATTTGGATTCAGGGCTGGACATTCCACACAAAATGCATTGGTTGAAGCAACAACTTTCATTTCTCAATCCATTAACGAAAGGAAGCACGTCGTAGGCATTTTCCTCGATGTCCAGAAGGCTTTCGATCAAGTCACTCTCCAGTCACAAATAGGAGAACATCTCTCCACTCTATTCACTCCACAAGCGGGAGTACCCAAGGCTTAATACTTGCTCCAATATTATACACAGTCTACAATAGCGACATCCCCCGCCCACGGCAAGGATCAGAGTCTCTTCTCCTATTCGCTGACGATATAGCCGTTCTCAGTATTCTCACCTCAGGCTCTTGCAGAGAGGGAGGGCGACAGTCTGTATGCGAGAAATCGCAAGCCTACCTTGAAAGAGTCGTGAGGTGGTGCAACAAATGGAGGGTCTCCAAAAGGTTTGGAGGTTTGGAGGGTCAAACCCCTCCAAAACTCAAACAATAGTCTTCAGACCTCCTTACAGATGAGACCTCCAGAGCCAGGTGACATTTTTGAAAGAGGACTTTATTCTCAGGAACTCAGTTCTCTACTTGGGAGTTCGTTTTACGAGAACTCTCAACTGGAAGGCTGACGTCCATGAATCCCTTGATAGGATGAGAAGAAGGTTTAATCTCTTGAAAGTGCTAGCCGGAAAGCTAGGAGGAACGTCCTCTAATACATTGTTGCACACCTACAAGGCTTTTATCAGGCCGATAATCGAATACAAGGCATGCGTTTACCTCTCTCTGAAGAGCCACGAACTCAACGCTATCACTTCCACCGAGGGTAGAATCCTACGCTTCTGCATGAGAAAAGATTGGCTGTATCCATCAGCCCACATATACGCACTAACTAACATTACGCCAATTAAGGACAGAATCCTAACCCTCAGTAGGAAGTATGTCTTAAGAACCATAGCTGGCTCGAACAACCGAGCAAAACAAACACTAAAGACACCTTGTTCACATAGAGGGCAAATACTCACCAGGCATCCTGTCAAGAAAGTTCCATTCGCTCCAGCTAAACTTCTTCACAACGGTGGACCTGAACTTCCTGATGAGTATTTTGATATTCTTGAATCTTTCCCCATTTACTATCGCAGATAAACTGCGCGCCAAAAACGCTGATAAAGAGCCATTCCTACCATATCGCTGGTAACCCCTGAAGTACCTTACACTGTATGCTAGGCAATTCCAAATTCTTCTTGTGCGTTCTATCGATTCTTATCGATCACTCAAATAACCATCTTCTTTTCCCTCTTTTTTTTAGTAGTTCTCTACTTCTTATCTCGCGTTTCGTTCAATTGACGTTTCCCCCCCCCCCCCATCCCTTGAAGAGTTCCCCATCCCTTGAAGAGTCGCAAGCCTAAACAAGGTTAAAACTTAAGAGTCAGTCCAAACGGAGTAAACGAATAAAACATATAGACGGCCAGCCAAATTTGAATTTAAATTCGATTTCGTCAGGTAAAAATCGTATGATATCTCTTTTTGGTATTAGATGGCGTAGTTACGTCCGTATATAGTTATTTTGATAACTTTGTCTAAGACGGGACTAGATTTTGTTTCGATCCAGAGAGGTGGCTAACGGCTCTGAAGAGACCTGAAGAGGTCGAAATACGTATCAGCGGCTTGTCGCCGCTCTGTATTGAAATAAAAATCTAGTACCGTCTATATATTTCAAAAGCTTTTGATTTACAGTTTTAGGAACATGATGACCAATTATAGAGTTTTTAATGCTTACAATTTATACAACAAGAACTTCTTTAAATGTTTAACCAAACAGAACTTAAACATTTCTTTTACTTTTCGAGTTAATGTAAAAAAAATAATATAAAACAGTACTTCCGGTTGCAATTCTAGTTACAACTCTGAAACTGGAAGACCGAGGTCAAATTCCTCTCCTTGAAACCATCTTTGAGCTGTAAACTCTCGTTACACTTCTTATTTCTCATTATATCCATTCTAATAATGGTGGAGTTGTGTTTACTAAAAAATTCAAGCTTTTAACTATTTTTTTTTCAATGTAAAATAGGTGAAAAGAAAATTTAAAACTCAGATGACATTGCAAACTTATAGGGCATTTTGTTGAACCTTCGTCAAGATGTTATATTGCACATTTTTTAGCTGCTCATAAGTATCTTTCTTGGAATAAGACAAATTTTGTTAAATAGTTTTTATTTTATAGAATATAATCCTTCAAAAAGTATAATAAGGCTTTGTAGCATATCTGTTATAAATATTGACCCAGCCATCGTGCCTCTGCTTCTTAAGATCAGTCTTTATAGTCAAGGTTTCGTTAAGGTCCAAATATTGGAAGTTGTCTGGTTTAACTGTTGGCCAGTAGTTTATTCCCAAAATGTCAGTAGATTCAGATGTTGGATTCCTAAAATAATGACTTATTAAATGTAAATATCAACATTTTTGTATGAAAGTGTTATTTTGTATTTATGTATTCCTAAAAAACTGATACGACTCTGAGTAAGATTTGATCATTTTGACCAGTGTATTTGATTGGTCTGACATTATATTATATTTAATATGACAGACAAATAATAAAATAAACAACAAATAAATTATATATAAAACATAAAAACATTCCTGAATTTTATAAATTGTATATAAATGATGGTTTTTACATAAAATAGGGTTTTTTGTAAATAAAAAATAACCAAACCTAACAATGAACAAGAAAGGACAAAGAATTGCATTTATAAAATACCTTGTGAATGCGATCAGTTTTATTTAGGTGAATCATCAAGGCCATTAAATGTTAGAATAAGTGAACATCAATCTTATATTAAAATAGAGAATTTGATAGATCTCAAATATGTAAACACGCATGGGATAATGAACATAGAGTTCAATGGAATAATTCAAATATAGTCCTAAAAGAAACGGATGGTAAAAAAAGAAAAATCAAAGAAGCGGCTCTAATTATGCTAAATGAGGCCAATTGTGTAGCAAATTCCTCGGCAGAATGTAGTAGGATCTGGTTACCAATATTGAAAGAGGAAGTTATTAATAAGAAAATACCAGTATTAGTAAGTCAGTAACATATAGAGGATACATCATTTATGTTTTTTAAATAACGTAACATATAAATCAGAATTTTGATGTTTGTTGAAGGTAAACTAAATTCACGAACAAATACTTACAATGTTGGGATAGTATTATGAGGTTTTTTTCCTGGTTTTTCCCTCATAATTTACTATGGAATCACTAACAGGAGAATTTTACTGTCATCATGTCATGTGTTTGTCTTTTTAAAGACGAATTACATGCTATGATTTTTTCTGACGGATATTCTCAAGTTAAAGTTGATTTCTTGTAATCGAATGAACTATCTTATAAGTAAAGTCGTCCCAGGAGCGCAACTCAACAATATTGGCAATATCATTTTAAAGTCGTCTACTTTAAAATGCATAATGTATGTCTGAATTGTCAATATAAATGAGTCAGATAAAATTAAATTATTAGAAGAATTTTTTCACTATGTAACAAAAAACAAAATTTGTTTAATTTACTGTTTGTATTTTGAGAACGATTTCCGAATTGGAAATTGAAACGTCAATTAAATGTATTTTTATCTTTAATGTGGCCTTTTTCCCAGTTATAAATAGTAATAAAATAGGGTTATTGTTATTATTTTTACTAGTATTAAGATATAAAAACAAACGATTTAACTCCAACAGTATATTAAAGCAAGACTTGTCACTAGATTAAAAGATAACTGGGCACTAATAAAGGTGGCAAAACATTTCAACCTAACCATAGCCACAGTTTTTTCTATTAATAAATAATGGAGGGAACAAAAAACTCGCGGAAGAAAGCGGGTCTCATCATCATTCAGCCAATCGCGTCCACTGCTGGACATAGGCCTCCCTCAATTCTTTCCAGTGTTCTCTACACTGGGCCGCTTGTAGCCAGTTTCCCGCTACACGTTTAATGTCATCGGTCCATCTAGTCGGTGGTCGTCCTCGGCTTCTTTTATAATTTCTGGGCCTCCATTCCATAATACGTCTTGTCCACCGTCCATCTTGTGTTCTGGCTAAGTGCCCTGCCCAGTTCCACTTAAGCGTCGTGGTTCTTTCGATGACGTCTTGAACTCCTGATCTTCGTCTGATTTGTTGGTTTGTTATGTGGTCTCGAAGGCTCACGTTCAGCATTGCACGTTCCATGGCTCGTTGTGTAACTCTAAGTTTATTCGCAGATTTTTGCGTGAGTGTTAAAGTCTCTGCTCCATAAGTTTGTACAGGTAAAACACATTGGTTATAAACCTTTCGCTTGAGACACATGGGAATTGAACTTTTTAGAATATGGCTTAATTTGCCAAATGCTGCCCATGTTAGACCTATTCGCCTCTGTATTTCATGTGTTTGATTGTCTCTGCTTATTTTGATTTCGTGTCCCAGATATTTGTAAGTGTCTGTTTGTTGTATGGTATTATTGTCAATAGTTATATTTCCACTCATTACGAGATTTGTTATAATTTTAGTTTTCTCAAAGTTTATCTTTAATCCTGCTCTTTCAGACAGACTTTTAAGCGAATGCATCATAGTAACTGTATCATGTAAGTTATCTGCGATTAATACAACATCATCTGCAAACCTTAGGTGATTTAATCTTTCTCCATCTATATTGATGCCCATATCTTGCCATTGAGTACCCTTAAATATTGACTCTAGAGCTGCCGTGAACAATTTTGGTGAAATATTGTCTCCTTGTCTAACTCCTCGTCCTAAGCTGAATTTTTCTGTGTCTTCGTGCAGTCGTATACTTGATGTAGCGTTCTGATAGATGTTTTTGATTAGTGTCGTGTACCTGTAATCTATTCGGCTTTGATTTAGGGCTTCCAGTATTGTTTCAAACTCTACAGAATCAAAAGCCTTCTCGTAATCGACAAATGCAAGAACCAGTGGTATGTTGTACTCGATGCACTTTTCTATTAAGATCTTTATGGTATGCAAATGGTCATTTGTGCCATATCCTGCCCTGAAGCCTGCCTGTTCTTTGGGCTGATAGAAATCAAGTTTAGGTGTTAGCCTCTTTGTTAAGATTTTCATAAAGAGTTTGTACATATGTGTCAAGAGGCTGATGGGTCTATAATTTTCTAATTTAGTAATATCGCCTTTTTTGTGTAACAAGACTATTACTGCATTGTTCCAGTCTTTTGGAATTGTACCCGCATGTAAGCATTTAGTAAACAGTTCGCTTACTGATTTTAATAAAATTTCTCCACCTGCTTTTATTGCCTCGATAACGAGTCCATCATCACCAGGCGATCGATGGTTCTTCATTTCCTTTAAAGCTGCTCTTACTTCTGACACAGTAATGGGTAAAAGTATTTCCGATCCCTGATTTATGAGAGTCTTTACTCGTGTCGGGAAATTGTCTTGTGGTCTTTGGCTGGTATAGAGGTCTTTATAAAATTCTCTAGTTATTTTCAGAATGTTTTGTTTATCTGTTGTTGCCTTTCCGTCTTTATCTCTCAGCTTGTATATTTCTTTTTTACTTTGCGTAAGTTTTCTTTTCATTATCTTTAAACCTTTGTTCTCTTCTACTGTTTGAGTAATTACATTAGTATTATATCTTCTTACATCTTTTCTAATTTCCGCTGAAATTCTTTTATTTAGTTTTTTATATTCTTCTCTGTTTCCCTTTTCGTTCTCGCTTAGGTTTCGTCGTATTTCCATGAGAGCCCTTGTATCTTTGCTAATCTTTTCACTTTTGGTGTCATTTTTCTTGCAAAATTTGAGTTGTGCGTTTCTAATGAGTCTGTTATTAATTTATTGTGATCGTCGATACTTAGAGGTTTGGGATTATTACTCTGTAAAGTTTCGGCTATATTTCTTATGTATGCTTCTGGATGATTTGGTGAATTCCAAACTATGCGTTTACAACTGTTTATCATCTTTGCTCTTTCTTTTTGTAGATTGATCGTTACTCTAGCTCTTACTGGTCTGTGGTCGCTTCCTACTGATAGTTTATTGAGTACAGTGACATCTTGAATAATTTGCTTTTTGTCTGTTATTATATAATCATATTCGCTCTTAGTTCTTCCGTCTGGACTAGCCCACGTCCATTTTCTATTCTGTTTCTTCTTAAAAAAGGTGTTCATTGCATACAGTTTGTGTTGCAGTAGAAAGTTGGTAAGCGGGTCTGGAAGACCAAAATTATACTTAATTTAGGTAAGTAAAAATAAAATTAATATTTTGTAACATCTCCATCAGCATTGATGGAGATGTTACGAGACTAATAGAAAAAATAAAGATGAAAATACTCCCATGAATTTCAGGGAAAACTCTGTTGGATAGGGAGAGAAGCGAAAACATAAGAAGAGCATGCAATATAGCAGGCATAAATGGATGAGTGACAAAACGAGAATAGGAGTGAAATGAACACATTAATAGAATGACAGAGGATAGGATAGTACAAACAGCACTAGATAAGTCACTAAATGGACGAAGAAGTATTGGCAGACCAAGAAAAAGGTGCGATAACTTAAACAGTTTAGGAAGCTAATTTTGAAGAAAAAGCAGTCTTTAAAACCTACATACAAGAAGGAAGAAGAAGAAGGGAATGCACTTACATAATTAAAAAAATAATATAAATTTTTACAGATACTTACAAGTCTTTTGCAAAATTACTAAATAACGTTCGGTATCTTTTGCTAGTTAAAACATCACCTGGTGGAAAGGTATTCAAATTCGTGTAATTTCCAAACACCCAGAGGTAACTGTTATCATCATTATGGGCTACTTTATATGCTCCTAAAATAAAAATATGTGAATGATAACACAGAAAAATATACCAACGCAGATATAAATACATTATAATTTAAAGTGTTTTGAGTGTACTGTAAAATATTTAAGGACTGCCCTTTATATTTTTTTAGCTATTATTTAGTTCATGCTAGCTTTTAAGATGTTTGTTTTGATCTCTTTTCAACAGTTATCTACGTATTATAATCACTTCTTTTTTTTTTCAATAATTCGGCAATTTTTACTTATCAGTCAGTTTACTTTTGGAAGAAATCGTTGATTATCGTTGGTTTTTAGGCTTAGAACAGATACTGGCATTCTCGTAAGTTGATCCATTATTCGCAGAAAATTGAACCGAAGTGGACAGATGAATCCTAAGGATATCATGGACGGACCAGATAACCAACGAGACTGTGTTACGAAGAATGGAGAAAGAAAGAGAGGTGATGTATACCATTCAAAGGAGAAAATTAGAATATCTAGGACATATAACGAGAAACTGCACTAAATACAGATAACTGAAAATATTCCTTCAAGGCAAAGTATTTGGAAAGTGAGTAATTGAGAGAAGAAGAATATCGTGGTTAAAAAACCTGTGAAAATAGTTCTCCACAACAACTAATCTGTTTAAAGCATCTGTTAATAAATAGAAGTAATTGAGAGTAATGGAGAAGAAAATCGTGTAAAAACTGGAAATAGTTCTCCACAACAACTAATCTGTTTAAAGCATCTGTTAATAAAATAATTATAGCCAGAATGATCGCCAATATTCGAAACTAATAGGCACCAAAAGAAGAAGAAGAAATGTAACTAATTTACACGCCCTTTCTGTCTTTATTGGTTGACAGTTTTATCGAATAATATTCAAGCATTACTCAAACAATACCAAATTAAGTAAGTAGGGGTATAAAGCTAGTTCGCGTCCGTAGTAGAACACTACACATGCACCCTGGGTAACGCTAAATGAACTAGCACAAAAGGCGCCAGACAATCTTGAATCTCCTGGCAATTCAATCATCACAGAAAATCTTTCCAGAAATGACACTTGTAAACGGACCTTATCAGGACCATTTGACCAAAGAACTCGGACCAAGCATACGAGTTTGCCATTTTAACATAGAAGGCATAAGCAGGGCAAAATGTCAAATCCTGCACAGACTTTTAAAAGACAACGAAGTTGACCTAGTAGCACTTCAGGAAACGCACACAGAAAACGAAGGTCAACTAAGCTCAAGAGGAAAAATCCCCGGCTATGATCTTTTGGGCGCTACCTACGATAGAGCTTACGGAGTGGCAACATATGTCCGTTCAAACATAGAAAATGCAGCATTAATCGCCACTTCTACCGAGAACAACATCCACGTGGTAACTGTGAAAATAGGCAATGTCATAATAGCTAACATATACAAACCTCCTGCTATTACCTGGCCTGTCCAAGTTCTTAATTCCTATGAACATCCAGCCATATACGTAGGTGATTTCAACAGCCACCATGAGATGTGGAAATACTCAGACACTGACAGAAATGGCACATCCCTTGTGGAATGGGCAGAGGAACATGGTGCCCACCTTCTATTTGACGCCAAAGATAGAGGCACTTTCAGATCTGCGGCCTGGAGGAGAGAATATAACCCTGATCTCTGTTTTGTTACCATTGACAACAAAGGCCCACGGTACTTTGTCCAACATCGCCCCGTCGTAATCAAGATCGGTATCAGCATTCCGATTATAAGATCGTTCCCACGCCCCAGATGGAACTTCAAGAAAGCTAACTGGTCTGCTTTCACCAGTAACCTTGACAAATGCCTAGGATGGATTCCACCAAAGAGCCAGAACTACGGGAGACTAACAGGAGCAATAATCACCTCAGCAAAAGCGACAATCCCTAGAGGATACCGCAAAGAATATATCCCTGGTTGGACAGAACAGAGCGAAAAACTGTATGAAGAATATTGCGAAGATGGAAAGCAGGAGATTGCAGACGAACTACTCCACAGCATTGATGCTGCCAGGCGTGAAAAATGGACACAGACAGTAGAAAACCTAGACTTCCAGAAGTCAAGTCGACAAGCTTGGTCCCTACTGCGGAAACTCGGAAGTAGCAACCCACCCGTTCGCCAAACCAACCTAGTAACTCCAGACCAAATAGCTACGCACATAGTGTCAACCTCTAGGGCACCTCAAAATCGTTTACATACAATTAAAGTTAAAAAAGACCTCAAAACCATAAAATCTAGTCTTGCACAGTCAACAGAATATTCCAACCCATTTACGCATGAAGAAATATCGCAAGCCCTAAATGAAATGAAAACAGGAAAAGCGCCGGGTTTCGACGCCATTCACGCTGAGTTCCTCAAACATAGCGGCAGATTCACTAGGCAATGGCTCGCAGAATTCTTTTCTGACATCCTTCAAACGGGAAACGTCCCCCACCAACTCAAAAATGCAAAAATCGTCGCCATTTTAAAACCAGGGAAAAGTAATAATTCACCGAAAAACTACCGCCCCATCGCACTCTTAAGTATGGTGTACAAATTGTTCGAAAGACTGTTGTATAATAGAATCAGCAAAACCATATTCCAACACTTACCAGTGGAACAGGCAGGATTTCGGCCAAACCGCAGCTGCACAGACCAGGTACTCGCCCTGACCAATTATGTGGAATCAAACTTTCAAAAGCAATCAAAAACAACCGCTGTCTTCATCGATCTATCTGCTGCTTATGACACTGTGTGGCGACAAGGGGCAATATATAAATTAATGCGAATAATCCCATGCAGAAAGACCACTGAGGTTATTAACGCCATGCTATCCAACAGATGCTTTAAAGTTATATTGGGAGACAAGACTAGTACCCAAAGAAAACTGAATAATGGACTTCCACAAGGATCCGTGCTGGCTCCCATGCTTTTCAGCCTCTACATAGCAGACATGCCAGAAACCACATCAAAAAAGTTTGGATACGCAGACGACTGGACGCTTGCCGCAAGTCATAAAGAATTCGAGGTCACTGAACGCATTCTAACAAACGATTTAAATGCCCTAGGGAATTATTTCCGCAAATGGAGATTGCAACCCAATCCAACTAAGACAGAAGTGTCCTGCTTCCATTTGAACAACAAGATGGCCAACTATCAACCTCAAATCAATTTTGGGGATAGACTCCTTAAATATAATAAACACCCAAAATACTTAGGTGTTACACTTGACAGAACGCTGAACTTTAAAGAGCATCTTACTAAGACTGCTGCAAAACTCCGAACTCGTAACAACATCCTGCAAAAGCTCTGCGGCACTACATGGGGCTCCTCAGCACCCACACTTAGATCGACAGCATTAGGACTGGTATACCCCGTAGCGAATACTGTGCACCAGTATGGATAAACAGTCCACATACTCACCGTGTTGATGTCCAACTCAACCAAGCCATGCGAACTATATCAGGCACAATCAAGGCCACGCCCACTTACTGGTTACCAGCTTTGAGTCATATAGCTCCACCACCCATCCGCCGGGAACATGCCCTTGTCAGAGAATTTACAAAAATCAATACTGATCCTGAGCTCCGCTCCCATGTCGGAACTTCCGCCAGAGACATAATAGGCTCCGTTCAAGACACCCGCCTCTAAAAACAGCAAAAAGGCTAGTAGATCAAAACTTTAATGTAACTGAACGGTGGAGAGAACAATGGGAGAATAACGCTGCACCAGCTAACTGGAACATGCCATGTATTACAAGCAAACCTGAGGGCTTCAACCAACCGAGACGAATTTGGACCACACTCAATAGAATAAGGACGAACTGTGGCAGATGTTCCGACTCACTTTTTAGATGGGGAAAAATACAATCACCAAATTGCGACTGCGGCGCCGAAAGGCAAACAGTAAAACACATGGTAGAGGAATGCCCGATTAGATCCTATAATGGCAACCCTTCAGATTTCCTGGCTGCTACAAAAGAGTCAATCGAATATATTTATAATCTAGATGTTTGTTTGTAGAATAATATTTTTATATTTACTCTTGTTTGTAATTTATATAATTTATATTTATATATTTATATTTATATGAACCTGTGATGTAGCCATACGCTAAATAAATAAACCAAATTAAGTAGTTATTCGACAGTGGTCTGACCAGTAACAGACAGTCCTACCCAAAATTATCGATTCACCAGTAAACATTCGCCAATAAAAAATAAAAATCTGGTTTGACAGATAAGTTGAGTTAAAAACGTGCTCCACATTTTATTAAGTACCTTAAGTTAACTGACAGCCCCTTTTTCCTTGATTGGTTCACATTTTTATCGAATAATATACAAGCGTTATTCAGACAAATTGAAAAAACACCAAAATAAATATTAGTGTCTACGATACCGGCACCAACTCATCACATAAAGTAACTTGTAAGACGAATAAAAAACCTGCTTCACAGTATTGTATATCCAAATTACAGGACCTGTCTTTCTTAATTGGTTTACCGTTTTATCCAATAATATTTAACTTGTTTGTTATTGGGTGACTAGTATTATACATCAATAAATCCGGTTTCACTGTAAAACGAGTAAAAATGCGGTTCCGCATTTGTTTGACTAATAACGTAAAAACTATAAACACCCAAATTTTGTTTACCTGTAAAAAGAATGAAAAACCTGCTTCTCACGAAGTAAGTTACACCTGTCTTTTTTAATTGGTTTAATGTTTTATCCAATAATATTTACGTTATTTGTTATTGGTTTGACTAGTTTTCATCAATAAATCCGGTTTGACTGTAAAAGGAATAAAAATCCTATTCCGTATTTATTTGTTTTTGTATGAATCGATTTAAAATTTTAAGATTTTGATAATCGCAAGTGCAATATTAAAGATTTAGCACGATTTGAAAATAAATAATGATTTTGCTCTAATTTCATTTTTCGATGCACAAATTAATTTTACAATTTTTAGAATAGGTTATTTTAAAATTTTTGATATATTTTTGAATAACTTTTTTTTATTAACATTTATATGCTCGGCAACTATGGCCACTCGCACGGGGGCAATTACAAACAAGATTACAAAAAGGATAATATCATTAATAACATATTAATAAGTTATGCCATATAAAACTGCGGTTTAAGATTTAGCTGACGTCTAACTTCCCTGCATTAATGACATTTGGTAAGAATGTGTATCACTGTTAGTTAGCACTGTCGTGTTTGACAGATTAGCCGGACATTTATTTCATCAGGAAGCTGTGTGTTAGTTTGGTGTGGCCTATACGGATTCTTCGTATCACTGTAATGTCTAGTCTAGATTGTCCTGTTGGGTCAGCATATAAAGGCTTATACAATGAGTGCTGGATTGCACGTAAGGATGTATTTAAGGAGCTACAGTAGCCTTGCCATAATCTCCTGGTGAATATTTGCAAATTTGAATGTGAGTTGTTAATGTGGTATTTGTTGAAGCCTTTTTAGCATGCTAATCTGCGAGTTCTTTGCCAGATGTACCAATGTGAGAGGAAATCCATATAAACGCAAGCTTAGTGTTTAATGTGAAAAGGTAAGAGTGATGGATATTTTGCACAAAGATAATGATAGGTAAATAATTCTGAATGCATCATATGCAAGCTAGAGAGTATGTACCAATGGAACATTTTTGTTCGAGAAGTTAATATTCTTAACAGTCTCTAAGATACTAAAGTATGTAGGTACGCTGTACAAAGGAGCAATGAAAGAAGTACAAATGAGATTGTTTTAGATGTTCTTTCTTCTTGATGTGCATATCCGTTACGAATGTTGGCGATCATCATGGCAATCTTTATTTTATCTGCAGCAGTGCGGAAAAGCTGAACCGATGTTGTATTATACCAGATTCTAGGGCTCTTTAACCAAGATGTTCTCCTTCTTCCCGGACCTCACTTTACAAATATTTTTCCTTGCAGGATGGCTTAAAGAAGAGGTTCTGTAGGTGTTTCGTATTAATTGAATTTTGTTCACTAAGTACTAGTTTGATAGGGGTGCTAATCCAAGGAAGAATTGGAAGGAATGGGTTGAAGTTTGTGAGTGTAAAGTTCATGTCAATTGTTATATGGGTTTATTACTGGGTAGGAGGTGGTATAGGTTGTTATGAATAAACAGTAAACAAGGAAAGTAGGTTATAAAAAACCGATGCATCATGGGAAAGAGAAGGTCTTCTTCTTTTACGGTGCCTATCCGTTTCGGATATTGGCGATCAACATTGCTATCCTAACTTTGCTTGCTGCTAGTCTGAATAGTCGGTTGTCGATGTATTAAACCACTTTCTCAGGTTTTGAAGCCAAGATATTCTTCTTCTCCCTGGTCTTCTCTTTCCAAATACCTTGCCCTGATGAATGAGTTGCAACAAGCCGTATCTCTGTTCATTCCTCATAACATGGCCAAGATATTCTAGTTTGCGCTCTTTGATGGTGTTAATAATCTCGCATTCCTTGCCTATTCTACGTAGGACCTCAACATTAGTCACACGATCCACCCATGAAATTCTTAAGATACGTCTGTAACACCACATCTCGAATGCCTCGAGTTTTCTTAAGGAAGCTTCGAAAAGTGTCCAGGCCTCTACTCTGTATAATAAGGTAGAAAATACATAGCATCTAATGAGAGAGATTTTGGTAGCAAGTGGTAAATCATGACTTCTGAAAAGAGACTTCATCATTATGAACGCTGATCTCGCTTTTTCCTATGCATTGTTTTATTTCACTGGAGTGATCCAATTGGCTGTTAATGTTGGTACCAAGATATGTGTAGCTGTCCACTCTGTCAATTGGATGTTGGTTAACCAAAAGCTGTGTATTTAATATTTCGCGCGTACTGACTACCATGTACTTTGTTTTCTTCGTATTAAGATCAAGTCCGTGTTCTCTACTTATATCTGATATACGCGACATTATTCTTTGCAAACCGTCCAGACTATCTGCATAAAACTACTGCTCGTCGCATATCTAATGTTGTTTAGACGCATTCCGTTGACTAATACGCCTTCTTGTAGTTCTCCCAGCGCTTGCTCGAAGATATATTCAGAGTATATATCATTAAATAACACCGGGGACAGAATGCATCCTTGCCTCACTCTCTATCTTGGATACTGTCTTCATGATCATCCTTTCACACATCACATCAGAGAGTATTGCGTCTAATCAGGGGAAGTCAGAAAATGTGACTCATTCGCATTGTCTGGTTTAATTGGGTGTCAATAATCGTCGTGTGTTTGCTATTGAGCCATACCGGGCAAGTATATTTAGCCGCCGAGTATACAAGTCCGAGAGCGGATGATCTGAGTACGGAGGCTGAGGACCATCATGTGGTGCCACATAGGTTTTGGACTATATTATTTCGCCTTTTCAATTTTGCTGCCACTCTTTATAGGTGTTTTTTTGAAACCTCTTCTTCTAAAACTGTTCTGTTCAGAGTCACTCCAAGATATTTTGGTGTTCAGTTTTGAGTGAGCAGTCTATTTTCAAAGTAAACGGAGAGTTTTTTGCTGACTTCAGCATTATTAAGATGGAAACGGCACACTTCGGTTTTCGTTGCATTGGGCCATAGCCTCCATTTGCAAAAGTATTCTTCCATAACGGCAAGGACTACCGTTAATATTGTTTCTGTACTATCCATGCGGATAGACGAAACCCGGGAAGACCACTCACAAGATGGACTGACGACATAAAGAGGATTTGTACCAACTGGATTGCAGTAGCACAAGAAAAATCTGAATGAAGGTTTTTCGAGGAGTTTAGCGGTAGACGACTATGGGCTGATGATGATGATGATGAATATTCATGTCATTATGTCTTGCTGTAATGGCACAGTCGTCAGCGTAGCCTAATTTCTGCGAAGTTGTCTCAGGCGGCTCCGCAATTATAAATTAAACATTAAGTGTGCGAAAACAGAGCCCTGTAGCAGTCCCTTGCTGAGCTTCATTTGGACACTTTTAAAGTTGCCCATTGTGAGAAAGGTCTGTCGATGAACATGCTTTAAATGAGTTTAGTTACCTTTTGACACGGGATGTCCCGGATTAGTATTAGTCCATTGCAGATTAGTCCTTGTCTCCAGACAGTTTTGTATGCAGATGATAGGTCAATGACAGTAACGGATATTTTTTACTTTCTTCGAAAACCTGCTTCAATATGTGTTGTTAGCGATACGATTTGATCTGTGCAGCTGCGGTTAGGTCTGAACCCCGCTTGCACAATAGGTATCAATTCAAATATGTTTCTACTAATTCTGTTTTAGATTAACCGTTCCAACAGTTGATAGACACAGCTCAGCAGTGCAATCTTTGCTTTTCCTGGTCATATTATGGCTATAATGGAGGCCTTTTTTATTGAGTGGGAGATTTCTCCTGATTTTAACATATGTGTATAGAACTGAGCCAGCCATTTTCTAGCATATTTTTAACAGTAGAGTAAAAATTCTGGATGGATTTTATCGGAGCCGTGTGCCTTTCCAGACTTAATTTCTGATATTGCTAAAATAATTTCTTCTGGAGTAAACTTGTCGGAATATTCAGATGTAGGCGGACAAGCAGACTTTAGTATTTTTAGTTCTTGTTTTAATTTGGTGGTGTGCTCATGATCTTTAGGTGCTCTTGATGTTGCTACACAATGTGGAAGGCCACTTTGTTGGGAGCTTTAATGCATAATACATTTGCAAGAGAAATTAACATGTGGGCTAAAGGATAAAGTCAGCAACAAGTCATTATTACCTTCGTAATATGGGCGCTCTCCTGGTAAAGTTCCTTGGTATGAAAACTGGTAAAAATATACATCACTGAACTGGGACTGAAGCTTGGCATGCTGAATAATGGCTCTTCCAAATGAGGTATCACTGAAAAACTGTAAAACAAAATTGGTCTCTGAATCATAGTAGTTTTTATTTTATAAGATTGATAAAATTTCATGCTGAAATTTGAACACATATTTATACTACGTCTAAGAAATATTTTTTATTGCTAAACTTTTCCAAATCCTATTCATAAATTCAAAAATGTATATCAAATAACAGTATCTTACTTCTAATAATAAAAAATGATAAATAATGCAAAAAATAAGGCTGAAAATAAGGAAAAATAGATTATAAATGTATATTTTTCTCTGTTCTTCTTCTTCTTCTTCTTCTAAGGGCGCTACAACCCTTTGTGAATCTTGTCAATGTTCTTCCATCCTGCCCTTTTGAATACTTTCCTTCGCCACTGCCTGATGTTCATGGTTTTAAGACCCCTCTCTACGTTGTCTATCCATCTTTTACGGGGCCTTCCTCTTGCTCTGTTACCTTGGGGCTTCCATCTCTGGACTACTTTTACAGCTCGATTATCTAACATTCTTTCTAGGTGACCAAGCCAGTTTAGTCTTTGTGACTTTACAAATCTAGCAATATCTGCACTCTGCATTAGTTCATTCAGCTCATAGTTCATTTTAATTCCCTACGAACCATCGTTGCATTGGGTTGGTCCAAATATCTTCCTTAGTATTTTGTGCTCAAATATTCTCAGTAGATTTTCATCAGTGGTTGAGAGGATCCACGTTTCACATTCATGTGACCACTGGTTTAATTACTGTTTTGTAGACTCTAAGCTTAGACTCACGATTCAGTAACTTACTTTTCATTAAGTCTTTATATGCATAAAAGCACTTATTACGGCTAAGAATCCGTGCTTGTATTTCTTGACTGATGTTGTTGTCATTTATTATTGAGCCTAGGTAAGGAAAAGTGAGAGCATATTTGTAGGTATGGTTGTCTACCTTCAGATTCTCATGTTGATTTGATTTTGTGCACTCCATGTTTTGCTTTCATTTATATATAGACCAAACGTAGCAGCTTCTAGTTTCAGTTCTATAACTTTTTCGCTTAATAACTGTTTGGTGCGGCTTATTATGGCAACATCATCCGCATATGCGCATATTTGCATTGATCTTGTATTATTACAGCCGTTTATATCCAGTTTTCTAACAACAGCTTCTAAAGTTAGATTAAAGATTTTTCTCCGTTCATTAGTGTTAAATAAATTTTGTATCTTAAGTTAAAAAATACAGCTAGTAAAAGAAAAAATGGAGGAGTAAATTTAAATTTTTTTACGGCATTGTAACGATTGTACATATAGCATCGGTAAAATCCAAAAACTTTACTTACTTCAATGGCATCACCAAGATGATCTTGGAATTTTCCATTTGTATAAACTTCTCTAATAGCAGCACCAACAACTTCTATTTGGTTTTGGTCATGTATCTGCATATTTTCATTAACGAGTCCATTCGCGTTATTATCGAGCCAGTATGCTGTCCATTTAAAGTCGTCTTTATCTACAAGAATCGATATGAGATAGTTTTCAAAACAAAAAATATATTGAAATCATGATTAATAAACAATAAAAAGGAAATAAGCCATTTAACAATTGAAACAACATTTTAGAACTGAGTAAATAGAAAACCTACTTACAATTAGTGAAATAGTACTTTGTATGACCAGTTTCAAGCACTACAATTTTATGCTTATCATCAGGACCTGCATACTGTTACTAAACCACCAAAATACAAAAAGCAGTTGCTATATTTTAAGGTTGTGGTCTGCAATTATACTAACATAACGGTGCAAGGGATGTAGCTCGTAGAAGGCATAATATATGCTGAATTAGGCCAAGACAGCAAGTATGAGGAATATACTTTTGTGTACATGTATGGGGAAGTGTAACACCAATATTTGTGTCTCATGTCTGAGTGTATGTTTCTGTTTTTGAATTTTTTAAAGGTTTATAATCTGAATGACCGCACAACTTATTTGACCTTAAATTAAGTCTCCACAATTGATCAAAGCCTTTAAAAATAGTTCTACTAGGATAAAACGATAACTTAAATAACATAACATGAATAAATTAATAAAATACATAAATATATCTCCAAAATAAAAAAATATTTCACCATCATAACTGGCTCGACAATCCGTTGTGGAGCTTGGCCTGCTTACAAAGAAGTCGCCACACATATCGATTCCTGGCAATTTACTTTTATCTTCTGACCCTTAGAATCTGTAGGTCTTCTTCCACATCATCAATCCATCTTATTAGCGGTCGTCCTCTATTTCTTGTATCTTATGGTTTGGAAAATGCTAAACTCTTCGTGTATTTGTGATCTGACATCCAGCAATGTGTCCGGCCCATCCAAGTCTCTGCACTTTAACGAATTTCACAATATTTGGATAGGTGTATAACTAACGTAGTTCAAGGTTGTATCTTCGACGCTATAGACCATTTTCATTTTCCGCCCCAAAAATCTTTCTTCATTTTGCGAGAATGCGAGAATTTATTATTATTATTATTGCAGCATCCATGTCACGTAACATAAACAATTTTTACTTATATTTCCAACATCTCTCCAATGATAATTCTTATTATCGATGTATAAAAAAGTATATTCTCCATAAACATTGTCTTTGCCTAATTGAGTATACAGTATGCTCGCCACGGAACATAGCCTTTAAACGTTTATGTAACCTAATCGGCATCCTGACGATGAGAAAACATTGTAATATTGAAACCGAACATCCAAGGTAATAAACTGATTGTGAATAAATCGCTTTATCGCTTTATCGCTTTATTTACTTATTTAAAAATGGACTAAAATGTGTAAACAATAATTCATTATTCTTAAAGTGACTTACTCATTCCATCCCAAATCATCTCTTCTGAATTGATTCCCATCAGCAAAGGAACTCGCTGCGCATGGCCATTTTCGATTGCTGCGTACATCCTTTCTGTCAAAAAGGCCGTTTCGTGTTCATTTTCAACCACTGGCGTGAAAAGAAATCCGTTAATTATTTCAGACTCATGCCATTCTGCCTGTAAATATAATATACTAAATACCATTATCTTAAATAGTTGTTATAAATCAAAAAATATATTTAAAGATTTTTTTTATTATTTAGAGAAAGGTATTTTTATGATTTTTTTCTTTATAGTTACTGTTGTCTAGTTCGTCCTCAAAAGTGCAATAGAGAAAGAGTAATTGTTAAAATGATGGCTACGATTTTCTTTCATTGTCCTGACTAAAGCTTCTTATTCTTCTTCCTAATGTGTCGTCTATTAACGAAGGTTGTCGATCACTTCTTTAAAGGCTTACCTATGTTTTGCAACGTGAAATATCTGTTTATTACTGAGGTTAGTCAAATCTCTCATATTCCTGAAGATACCTTGAGCTGCGTTTCTACTAGTTTCTTTATTTGCTTATACTTTTCTTTATTTGCATTTCTGTATTTTCGTTTTCTTCTACGAGCTTGATAATATTTGGTGTGATCCAGTTTTTTTGGCACTTGATTCTTTTATACCCACTAAAGTTTCACCAGCGTTAAGTACTGCAGTCTTTATTTTGTTCCAGGTACTGTTAATATATTTTTTGAAGCTTCTGTAAATGCTGGTGCAATTGCTTTCTTTGCATGATAACATGTAGAAGATAGTATTTATGTATATAGCCTGTTGTTTTCTCAATTTAATATTAACATTGGCAAGAAGTAAATTGTGGTCTAAGTCTACATCAGCACTAGGATATGTTTTTAAGCTTTTAATCCTATTTTGAAATCTTCTGTTAACGAGAAAGTAATCAATTTGATTTCTTATCCTAGCTTCTAATACAAAATTCTAATATGTCATTTTTAAATCATTTTATATATAACATCGTTAATGTTAAATTATTCTAAAAAGCTGTTAAAAAGAGGCTAACATCAGTATATATTTACAAATGCTGTTCTATAATCATAAAAGTTTTTATTGGAAATTACAATTTACCGTAACTGTCTAACTAAGTACGTAGTAATAACTCCAACTAAGATATAGAAAATGTCACACCGAGAGTGCAGTACGGCTGATATAGGAATGCACAATTGCGGGATTTCACGCCTTGTGCTTGCCGATACAAACAGGTCCAAGTAGTAGTCACAGAACCGTACCTCTACGCCGGGCTCTGTTATTTATTATAAAATAATATATTGATAAAATTTGCCTTCAAGTAGCCAAATAAGAGGCATGAATTTGAATAAAAAGACCTTAAGTTGTTAGCGAGAATTTCATTATAAAACTGTATACTTTATTAAACTAACAAATGTATTTTCAATTACATTTCTTGATAGCTATAAATATACCGGGTGGAACCTCCGGTAACTCGATTTCCGTGCACCCAACCCAATATCCAAGAAAAACTTTTTCTTTTGTAAATATGTGAAAAATTATCAGGAACGGGAATATCGAAAAAGCTTTGCACATTTTTTAATCCCGGCGATGTTATCAAAAAACAAGTTGCGCACGTGAATCACTGCGAAATTTTAACACCTACTATGAAATTTTTTTTTTGTGGAAATCTGAAGTGCAGTTTTTGTCTGTTAAAACATAATGCAGTCCCGCATTTTTACTTAGCTTTATTCCAGGAATTGTTGGGGAATCTCTCTTTACGGGAGTGGTACAATGCATTGTCCATTACAATGACATTCCTGCGACCATTATTTGGTAAATTTGATATTAATGTCTCCTTAAACCACGACTTAAAATATGCGGCATCCATTTCATCGTGATAGTCGCCATCATTTTTCTTTGCCAGAAAAACACGCTGTGTTCCAGGAAGGAAACCTCCTGAAAAACCTGCATGCAATAAAACATATCGTGGACCTCGTTTAGTAGGTGCTTTTAAGCCAGTACTTAAACCTTTGAGAAAAGCATCACGACTATTTGGTATTGTAGTATCGCACCATTCGTAATTTGTAGATTGGCCAACATTAACCTACGATTCGTCCAAATATATGAATTGCAATGGTCTTTTCGCAAACGTCGTATAGTTTGAATGAATAATATCCTCTCGCTCCACCATGATACTTCTTCGGTCACGTTTCTTATAAACAAATCCAATATCTTTCAGAAGTCTGTATAAAGTAGAAAGAGACAATGGCTGTATATTCCCATTACCTTGTATGAAGTTATGTATATGCTTAAAGAATGGCGGCAAATTTTTCATGAAAAATTCACAATGAACAATTCTCCGTAGAATATTTCTTACACCCTCGTCATATGTGAATATTCTAGAATTTGATTGACACACTCATTTTTTTACATTTTTTTGGCGATTTCAACGTTCCACTCTGTTCTTTTTCTTTTTGAAATTGTAAATGCTTCTTTCGCTAACACTAGTCATCAACGAAGTACGTCTTACAGCAGCACTTACATTAAGTTGTTCCGTATTTTGTAAAAAACACAACACATTTAACACTACTAGTTTAGCGCAATCCGTTAAATAATTCACCGGATTTAAACTTATGGACTCAATGCTCTCTGTTGAAACTCGGACTAAATTTTGAAGTGTAGTTTCGTTTTCCAAAAGCACTTTCACCCCTACCATCTTGGATGGGTAGGGGTGAAATAGGGAAAGCTTGGAGTTTATCAAATACTAATTATGACAAACAAGTTTATGGCCATATTTAGGTGATTATGTTAATGATGGTAATTTGTAGCAGAAGTTTTACAAAAGAAATGAAGACCTATTTATAGAAACAACATAACTGTATTTTTAATATTTTACATACAATAGAAAAAATCTAATTTCTATGCAAGAATTGGAAATTTGAATATTATATATAATATCTATAAATAATATCATTTCCAAGTTTCTAAATTCTTTCCTAGAAATTATGTAGGTTTTTCTATTTTATGTAAAAAATTAAAACTACAGTTATTGTATGTTGTTTTTGTAAAGAGGTGTTTCAAATGTTACTCTTATGAATATGATTCAATTGTATACCTCATGTTGACGTTTTATATGCAAAATTCATAGTTTTTGTTGTCAATAACTCATCAATGCCTTTTTATTCTACTGTATACGTATACATGATATAAAATATTTTACTCGTACTGCCGGCAGATGCATTTTATCCAAGCCGATCCTGTGAGACAATGAGCAATCAACAGCTGGAGAAAACCGACAACCCTGCGCGTTTATTCTCCATAAGAAAAGCATTGCCGTATCTTACCCTTACTGCACTCTCAGTGTGACATTTTCTATAGTTCTTCATACAATAGTGGACCCTATAGATCTATAATTATGATACTGATTACTTACTGGAACTTTTGTAGATGCCAATACAAGGTCTTGTACAGGAACATTTTGCAAAAAATCCAATATTTCTTGTGAACTTGCATTTGGATTAAAATTTGGATTTATAATTGTTGCTATGATGGAAGCTATAGATTTATGCTTCCACTGATACGCCCAGGAACAGAGTGCAGATCCACTTTGTGCTATAGCAGCTCTAAAAAGACCTAGAAATATAAAATCAGTTATATCTATCCATAAAAATAAAACTTTGAACAAATAATTTATAACATGGAACCTACCTCAATTAAGAAAACTTTTATACTAAAATAACTCACCTGCTGAGTTTTCACTTATTAGATGAAAAGATACAGATGCTCCACCTGCGCTTTGTCCAAAAATCGTCACTTTATTTGGGTCCCCTCCAAACGATTGAATATTTTGTTGAACCCACTTCAACGCAAGCTGCTGGTCCTTCAAGCCGTAGTTTCCTGGAATAACCGTATCTCCAGTAGAAAGAAATCCTAAAAATTATTGCAATGTAATTTAGTATTATAACGGCAATGAAAGAGCTGATGCAAGTATAGAAGAGTATCAACTACAAAATACTTCGATGGAGAGCCTGCCGGAGGAGTAATGATAAGCATTATCCGTGACATGACCAGTCAAATAAATAGCAAAATGTATATAGGACGGATATTTGTACTAATGGGGCTCAACTACTACGGAAAACAAGCATCTGTCATCTAAAAATCATAATAGTGAGTTAAAGTACGCACTTGTAGTGATGTGATGAGCCTTAGGTCTTTAGTTAGTAATTGAATTTATAATATTTAGCTTCATTACGCCAGCAGATTATTTTGTTTATAATATTATCAAATGGTAAACTAACATAATTCTAAACAACAACAATAATACTGATCCGACTTGCTGAGAATTGCAAGAATGATTGATTAAAACAACATATGAATGCACCGAAATTAACTGAAACAAAATAACAATAAGACCTCCTCTTTTGTTACTCCATGTTTATACATACTCATATCAAAATAGTCGTGACGTCTACAATGCCAACTGGTGTATTGTATATATTTATGTGCAGGCCTCCTTACTAGAAAAATGCCAGCTGTTTCATCGAAACATACGAGGTCTATTGTGGCTCACCCGTAGGTTTAAGTTCCATTTTCACCCCAGCCTTTTTAACAGTTTATTATGGCCTTTGGTGACTATTCTACGAAGTCGTTTGGCTCTTATAATACTAAGGCAACAGTGTCCTGGAGACGAGAGATGGTATTCTTTACTTATGAGGCCTTTTCATCCGTATTATATTCATTCGTATAGTTGACTTAGTCACAAAGCTTTGTAATGGTAAAAAGGAAATTGTTAAACTAAAAGACAAGCAAGGTAATATAACAACAAATAGAGAGAGAATAGTAGAGATAGCAAAAAGCTTCTATGAAGAATTATACAAAAGCCAGTTAACAGAAGAAAACAAAAACACAAATTAGAGAACGCAGAGTAATAAGCCAAGGATCCGAACTTTTGCCTACCATAACGATAGAAGAAGTGAAACGAACTCTAAAGGAAATGAAAAACAACAAGGCTCCGGGAGATGTCCAAATAGTAATAAAAGCTGTTAAAGTAGGAGGCAAGAAACTGCTGGAAATAGTAACTGAACTCAGTTAATATCAGACCTAAAGAATTATAGACCGATAAGTCTGTTGTCACATCTCTACAAATGATTTACCAAGATCATCACAAAACGTTTAGAACGACAATTAGATTTCTATCAGTCTAAGAAGTAAGCTGGGCTTAGGAAAGGTTATGGAACAAATGACCACCTACAAGCACTTAAAATACTAATTGAAAAATGTGTTGAAATAAACCACTCACGTTGATTTTCATAGACTTCAAGAAAGCTTTTGATACCGTGGAATTACCGGCAGTATTAGGAGCATTAGAACAAAGCCGAGTAGACTATAGATATACAAATTTGATAAAACATATATACAACAACGCAACAGCATCTGTTAAACTCCATGACTTTACCGATAAATATAGAATTGAGCGAGAAATTAGACAGGGCGACACCATCTCCCCCCAACTATTCACTGCAGCTCTGGAATATGCCTTTAAAAAACCAAATTGGGCTAAAAGGGGAATAAATATTGATGGTGAATAGTTAAGCCACTTGCGCTTTGCAGATGATATTGTCATTATAGCTGAGAGTTTAAAGAAGGGCTAAAGAAGCAGAAGAACTAAAACAGGCAATAGAACAAATAGGCCTGAACATAAACTTTGAAAAAACAAAATACATGATTAATTTAGTTCCAAGTGATGTTATGAGGGTAGATGGGAATGAAGTACATCAGGTCTTTGGCTATATCTATTTGGGGCATGAAATTAGAATAGGAAAAGACAATCAAACTTGTGAGATCCAGCGTCGCATAGGCTTGGGATGGGCAGCATTTGGCAAGATGCGAGATATTCTAAAAGAAACGCTACCGATTTGCTTGAAGGAAAAGGTTTACAACCAATGCATACTACCAGTAATAACATGTGGTTCCGAAACAATAACTTTAACCAAACATTCTGCAAATCAATTGAGAGTAACCCAAAGAAAAATGGAAAGAGCAATGTTGGGAATAACTAGAAGAGATATGGTACCAAATAGGATAGTGCGAGAGAGGACTAAAGTGACAGATGTCATAGAAAAAATTGCGCAAGCCAAATGGAGATGGGCTGGACATATAGCACGTTTAAATGATAATAGGTGGACCAAAAGACTCATAGAATGGAAACCTAAAGAAGACAAAAGACACCAAGGCAGACCACCAAAAAGATGGATGGACGACGTGAGAAAAACAGTCGGAAATTGGATACAGAAGGCGCAAGATCGAGAACAGTGGAAGAACATGGAGGAGACCTATATCCAACAGTGGATGCAAGAGGTTGAGGAATGATGATGATGATGATGATGTGTTGACTTAGTGTGCTAGTTTCGGTACTACCTTTGTAGTTATTTGGCTCTTGTTTACTACCTTTCTTATGTATAGATGTTACTCATCCTTCTTTTCATGTCTGTGGTACCGATTTTCCGGTATCACAGACGTGGTGAGAAGGATTTGCCTATTATAATTTTGATTCTAATTTGTCAGTACCTTTTTTAGTAGTTTTGCCAAATAGACTTACCTAAGACCCCTACACGATATGAAACTGTCACAATAATAACTCCTTGTTCCATCCAGTAATGTGGTCCGTAACTGTGAAAATTAGCAGCGCCATTTATAAATCCTCCTCCATAGAAATAGACCATAACTGGCATTTCTTGGTCTGGTGATGGATACTAAAAGCGATTTATTATTTTTATAGATAAACTAACATATTCAATTATAACAACTCGACATTCAAACACTAGAAGGAAACACAATACTTTCAATTCAAAGTAAAAAGCTGCAGCAGGTTTCTAAATACCTAATAAAGCTAGACCTCAAACAACTAATAAAAACGAGATAATGTTTGTGCTTTATGTCCTCTCATAACGAAAATATCCTCCACTCCACCTGCCAATCAAAATCTTACTGTTAGAAATATTCACGCCAAGCACCGCGTTAATCCCCGCGCCAATGTTTACGCTAACTTCCACGCCAACCTCCACCCAAATCACGTTACCATCGATGGTACAAAATGAACTGTCTTCTTCTCAGTGGCAGTAGTGCATTGGTTAGTGATCAGTATAGCAGTGTCGGGGGCTCAGGTGACTGAGACCTCGGAAGCCCTAAGAAAGACGTCAAAGAGGTCTCAAAGAGTCGTTCTCTTTTAAAATTTAGAAAAAAAATGTCACCGTAAGACCCACAACATTGCTGATAATGAGGAATGGCTCATTATATCCTTTTTTGGTGACCTTTTGACGAATAAGCCTGTCATCTTTAACTAAATATGATTATTAATATATATTTATATATACTTACCGTTGGGGTGTAAACATTGACATATAAACAATCTTCAGTAGCTCCCCATTGTTCATCGGCAGTTTGTTGATAACACATCTTATTTTCAATAGTTGCGTCAAAGATACCCTCCCATTTATCGGCAGGTTGTGGTTCCTTAAAAATTAAAAAAGTAAGTATATTTAACAATATTTATAATGTGGAATTGTGTTGTTGGTTTTATGTAGGCTTATGGATGCGTATGGATGCTGTACAATATTTAAGCAGTTTATGTGGTATTCCATTTTCACCTGTAGCTTTTTTATCATTCTTTAAATGTTGAAACTTCTTGTGTAACTTATTTATTTGTTAATATTTCCAGTGTTTCTTATTCTAACCTTCTTTGTTTTCTCTTTCTGTATAAAGCTTCTATAAGTAAAATCATGTATTCCTTTCTATATTTTTTGGGTCTATCAGTTTCTTCACGTTCGTAGTTTGTCTCTTATAAAGCCCTATATCTTTATAGACCATTAAAAATTATACTATGTTCTTCTTCTTCTTCTTCAGCCTGTGTTCGTCCACTGCTGGACATAGGCCTCTTCCATTTGCTTCCATCGATTTCTACTTTTGGCAATTCTCATCCACTGCTTGCCCGCGACTTGTTTGATATCGTCTGTCCACCTCTTCTGCGGTCTGCCTACTCCTCGCCTGTTCTCTCTTGGTCTCCAGTTTGTTAATCTGTGTGTCCATTTTTCGGGATTATCTCGGGCAACGTGTCCGACCCATTGCCACTTGAGCCTTGCAATACGTTCTGAGACATCAGTAATTTTTGTTCTTTCACGAATGACGTTATTTCGAATCCTGTCTCTCAAACTAATCCCTAGCATGGCCCTCTCCATTGCTCTTTGGGTTGTACTGAGCTGCTCTAAGGTTTTCTTTGTGAAGGCCATGGTCTCCAGTCCATATGTAGTTACAGGCAAGATACATTTGTCATAAACTCTACGTTTTAGACACATTGGTATATCTTTATTCTTCAAAATAAAGCTTATATTGCCGAAAGCTCCCCAAGACAGTTGTATGCGTCTTTTTATTTCGGCTATTTGATTTTCTTTGCCGATTTTAATGGTATGTCCAAGATATATATAGTGGTCTACATTTTCAAGACTGACGTTGTCAATAACAAGATTAGTTTGTAAATTACTCATTATTTTTGTTTTCTGAAGGTTCATTTTGAGACCTATTTTATTTGACTGCTGGTTTAATTCCTTCAACATTTGCTCCAGTTCCTTGATATCTGTACTAAATAATACTATGTCATCCGCAAACCTCAAATGACTTAAACGTACACCATCAATGTTTAGACCTTTTTCCTCCCAGTCAAGCTGTTTGAATACATTTTCCAATGCTAAGGTAAAAAGCTTTGGTGAAATACTATCACCGTGTCTAATACCTTTATCAAGGCGCATTTTTTCAGTTTTTTCGTCTTCATTGATTTTGATGTGGAATGTGGCCTGTTTATAAATGTTTTTAATGAGTGTAGTGTACCGTGAGTCTATTCGAGCATCCTTCAGGGCTGACAAAAAGGACCAAGTATCAATACTATCGAAAGCCTTGTGAAAGTCGATAAATGCCATATGTAAAGGTACATTATATTCTGTGGTTTTTTCTCTTGGTTATACTATGTTACTTACTCTAAATCTCAATGATCCTGTTGGAGTCTTAGCATACGGGATTTGTTGGAACATGTAAAATGAACTACCCTCGGTACCAGGTTCCTGGGTTCCTTTAACTTGTCCATTAGGAGTGTTAACAATAATTTGTGCATTCTAAAAAATTCAAAAAAACCATTTTGTTTTGTAAATTTATGTTACATAAAAATAATATACTTACAGTATATACACAGATTAGTACAAAACAAAAGACACTCGATAACATAGTGATAAGTTCACTGAAATATCTACAAAAAACAATTGTTCGAAAGGTATTTATCCATAGCCTGGCTTAAGCAGATTAATCAAAATTATATAAAAAAAAATACAATACTTAATTAACCATTGACGTTGCCAAAAACAAAAAGGAATTAATTTTTCCAATAATATATAGTAAAACTAAGATTTGTTTAAAGAAAAGCGAAGCTTTAAACATATATCATCACATCATCACACAGCAAATTTGTCCACTGTCAAACATAGGCCTCCTCAAGATGTCTCCACTCTTCTCTGTCCTGTGCAGCTGCAATCCAGTTTGTCACTATTCTCACACTTATTCTTTTTTTGTCTATCTGGTAGGTGGTCTTTCACGATTTCGCTTGTCTGCTCTTGGCCGCCATTCTAAAATCTTCTTTGTCTATCTGTTGTCTCTCTGTCTTGCGACGTGTCCTGACCATTTCCACTTCAACTTCGTAATCCGTTTTATGACGTCTTCCACTCCAGTTCTTCGCCGTATCTCATCATTTCGTATTCGGTCTCTCAAAGTTACGCCAAGCATAGATCTTTCCATTTTTCTTTTGCTACTTGTAACTTTTTATTGATGCTTCAGTCAATGTCAGTGTATTAGCTCCATAAGTGAGCACCGGAAGTACGCATTGGTTAAATGCTTTTCTCTTTAGCTTTATTGGGATGTTTTCCTTAAACACGTCTTTTAGCTTGCCATAGGCTGCCCATCCTAAAGCTATTCTTCTAGATAATTCGCATGTTTGGTTGTCTCTACTTATTTGTATTTCGTGGCCCAGATATATGTATTTGTCAACCGTTTCAATATGCCAGTTTTCTAGTTTCAATTGTCCACTAGGTACTAAGTTGGTCATCATTTTAGTTTTCGCAAAGTTTATTTCCAGCCCTACTTTTTGGGAGATCGTTGTAAATCTTGTAGCATTTCGTTGGCCTTCTTTAAGTCGTCGGTTATTAGAACTATGTCATCTGCAAATCGTAGGTGATTCAGCCTTTCGCCATCGACACTCAAACCTCTGTTTTCCCATTCTAACATCTGGAATGCATGCTGCATTACGGCATTGAATAGTTTTGGTGACATGTTGTCTCCTTGTCTAACTCCCCTTTTTAGTTTTATTTTTTGAGTAGGGGTGTGGAGGTTTATTGCTGTTGTGGCATTTGCATATATATGTTGAATAATGCTGGTATATCGGTAGTCGATTCTACAATCTCTCAAAGCTCTTAAGATAGCTACCATCTCGATAGTGTCAAAGGCTTTTTTATAGTCAACAAATACTAGGGCTAGTGGCCGGTTGTACTCTATAGTTTTTTCAATTAGGGCCTTTAGACAAGTTAGATGGTCATTTGTACTATACCCAGGGCGGAAACCTGCCTGTTCTCTTGGTTGGCATGTTTCTAGTTTGTTCTCAATTCTGGCAGTGATAATTCGAGCAAATAATTTATACAGGTGACTTAGAAGACTGATTGGCCTATAGTTTTCGAGGTCTGTTTGATCTCCTTTCTTATGCATGAGGAGCGTTATAGAATTATTCCATTCAGCTGGTATTACTTGGTTTTCTAAGCATATATTGAAGAGCTGCTTGATTGTCCTGATGAGAGCAGAGCCTCCGACTTTTAGCGCATCCGCCACTACTCCATCTTCTCCTGGTGCTTTGTTTTTTTTTCATTTTCTTTAGAGCATGGTAAATTTCAGCCGATGATATGTCGGGAATATCTTCTGAACCTTGATTCATAATTTTTTGTTCTGTATGTTCTGTCGGGTTTAAGTCCAATTTATTTGTGTATAGTGTTTTATAGAAGTCTTCTACTATCTCTAGCATTTCGTCTCTGTTGGACGTTAGTTTGCCATTCTTCCTTAAGTCTGATGATTTCTTTTCTGCTGTTCGTCAATTTCCTTCTTAATATCTTCATGCTCTTGTTGCGCTCGATTGTCTGCGAGATTTTCTCATTTTTATATGCCCTTATGTCCTTTCTAATTGCTTTTGAGACCTCTTTGTTGATTTTATTTATGCTTTGTTGTTCTATACTCTTATCTTTTAGCATTTCTCTTCTTTCTTCCATTTTAAGTTTGGTGTTAGCAGTAGCAGTTAGCAGTAGTTTGGTGTTTAAACATATATACCAAGAAAATATTTAAAAAATTTGGTTTTATTTGGTTTTAAAATACTAAAAATGATTTTTCCTGTATCTACTTTATAAAGTTTTATTTAAAAATCCTTTATAAAAGGTATATAACTAAAAAGGCCCTTTCGGGCTACATCACAGAACGTATTCGGACTAAAAAGTTCATCGTCAGTGTAATATTACCAGGTAGACATGAGTGAAGCCACTAAATATATGGTTAAAAACTATTAAAAAGTTACAAAAGCGATTTTGTTTTACATTATTGGTAAAAATACGTTGTGATGTTAAAGTATTTAACAGATATCCTGTATGGCAACACAAGACTCCCAATAGAAGTTGTTGCTGACCCTCAGACAATGTCTGAATGGATTCAAGATTGCAAATAATTTAAAAAAATTTAATTATTCAGCAACTGCAGGAATTTTATTTCCTTGTGGATTTTATAAAGTATTTCTTATGTATGTTTATAAAGTATCTTCTTATTTCACAGAAAATCACCGGGAACGGATGGTATACCCAATGAACTTTTAAAATATGGAGGCCCGGAACTTGCAAGTAAACTGGCACAACTATTTAACAAAATATTAAACAAAACAGAAACACCAGAGGAATGGCATAATAGTATCACAATCCCCATATTTAAAAAAGGAAAAAAAACCTGCCCACAAAACTATAGAGGAATAACCCTCTTAAATACAACAATGAAACTTTTCACGCGTATTTTCAAGGACAAATTGGAAAAGCAAATCACTAACGCTGAAGAACAACAAGGTTTTACAAAAGGGCGGTCTATAATAGACGCAGTATTTATAACAAAACAAATAAAAGAAAAAGCTATAGAGTTCGGCATGCCAGCGTATATTTGCTTCATTGATTTGACGAAGGCATTTGACAGAGTTCGCCTGGGAGACATTCTAAATATATTAATAGAAAATGAAACACCGACCAGTATAACAAAGATACTCCATAACCTAAATAACAACAACGTAACCAAAGTTAGAGCAGGAGACGAATTCACTGAAAATATTCCAACACCGGGAGGAATTAGACAAGGTGACAGTTTAAGCCCCTTCTTGTTTAATCTTCTCATGGGCAAAATTATTAACTAAGTAACATCTCTTAATCTCGGATATAGAATGGGCAACAAAAGAATTGGTATGGTGTGTTACGCAGACGATGCAGCAATTATTGCCTAATCAGAAGATGATCTCCAAAGGCAGCTCTTTTAGTTCTTTCAAACAATCCGACTACTAAATATGAACATCTCTACCAACAAAACTAAATGTATGACAATAGCAAAAGATCCGCTCAGATGTAAGTTAGTGGTTGAGGACAACCCCATAGAACAGGTGATGCAATTCAGATATCTGGGTATAGATATATCAAGCACCCACGACCCAGTAAAGGACCTGAGGAGTCAGATCAACAAAGCATCTACACTGTCAGGATGTCTGCGGGAGATAGTCTGGTCAAATCCGTATATGCGCACAGATAGTAAAATTAGAATCTATAAGACTTGCATACGACCGATCATGACATATGGCATAGAAGTGCGCGAAGATACCAACAAAACGAAACAGATGCTAAGGGTTGCCGAAATGAAAACCCTAAGAACAATAATGGGAGAAAACAAGAAGAGATAGAGTGAGAAATACAATGATTAGAAAGCAGTGCAAAATTCAAGATATTGTAAGATGGAAAAGGCAGCGTAAAAGGATGTGGTACAACCATATAAGACGAATGGATGAGAATAGACTCCCAAAAATTGCCCTAGAAAACAATCCGCCTGGTTCAAGACCCCCGGAAGACCACCTAAAAGATGGTGGGATAGTTGGCAATCTACCTCCCAAGAAATTAACCAAAGGCAGCTTCAGAATTAAACAGATCGAAAGATCTACAAAAAGTAGAAGAAGAAGAAGATTTCTTATGTATCAATTAGTGGTTAGTAAATTCAGTACATGATATACAGCTTTTTCGTTTAATACTAGAGTTTTTCTGGGTATTTCCACACTAACCTAAAGCTTAACTTAAGGTTCCTAAGAATTCCTACAGCCGCTCAACTATCTGTCAACGCATTAAATTCTAGATTATTTCTTCACACTGAATATGGAGTGTGATTAGATTTATTCTTTAATAAAAAAGTATCATTAGGCTCACCTTCGACTCTCCATGTAACATGTATTAGTTCTCCCGTGAGCGGGTCCTCTGACTCAACAGTTCCTGGTGGACAGTAGGATAAAATTGATCGACCTCTTCGAAAACAATTGTGGAGATAACAACTTGCTAAAACATATTTTCTACTTTTGTAGGCTCAAGAAACATTGGTTTTCTAAACACCTTGAATATAGCAGATAAAATTCCGAATGTACTTTCGACTACACGTCTTGCACTGCTGTGTCTGTAATTGTAAATCCGATCTGGTGACTCTTTCGGTTTGGTATCTGGGAAGGGTGTCATCATATGCGGCTGCAAAGCAAATTCCTCATCACCAAGAAATACCAAAGGTGAATGTGATGTTTTTCCTGGTAAAACTTTCATTGATGGGAGATTTAAAGAATAGGTTTCTAGTTACTGTTTAAATATTGTATTATCAAATACTCCGCCATCAGACCAAACGTAAAGCAATATAAACGTAATCAGATCAAGCAATAGTTAGCGTCCACTATAGCTAAAAGTACCATGTAAGTTCCTAGCTGAAAAATTGCTTGTAGTTGAAATAGTCGCTGGAGCTTGTAGACATATTGTGTTCTCTGTTAAATATTTCTTAAAGATAGTAGGTGCCTTCATTCGTGCATTTATTAATTGCATCAGAGATATCAGAGAAGTCTGCCAAATATTTGATCACATCTGCTTTATTTCACCAGAATAATATAAAAAGTGAAAAAGGCATAAAATGGGTTTAAGGATCTGGAATATATCTAAACCCATTTTATTTGATAAGAATATTTAATTTTTTTTAAATTTTAGATTTCATGGATTATTTCTATTTTAAAAGTTTGTAAAAAATTTAAAATGCTTATAAATAACTTATCTTTCTAATCTATTTTTTATTAAATATCAAGTGGCTTATTTATCTGTAAAGCACATCATTAACATAATATAAATTCATCATTATCCAATATTCAAAGATATCTGTAATGATAAGGCATTTTATATTAGTTGCAGGCACTTTTAATTAAATTATTATAACCTTGGTAGGTAACTTTGATAAATTTTCCACATTTAAAACTAAGTAAAATTGTGAAACAACAAGAAGGCAGGAGACTTCTTTTCGATGGCAAATAAAATTAACTGCAAATCTAAGGTTTCTGTAGGCTATTGGACGATGTTGAAAATATTCTTCTCTATCGAGAATACATCTGCAACTTAACCATGAAAAACACCATGTTTTGCACTTGTAATATAGAGAAAAGAGGTTGAAATGAAATATTGCATTTCCTTTCAGTTCAAGCGCCACCATTGTTCTACACATGTTTCACGGTTTCACCCCTCATCGGAAATACTTGTGGTAGGTCGGACTGAAATAAAATATTTCTTAATTATATGTATGTCCTTTATTTAATTAAAGAAAATACAATTGTTTAGTTTAAGTCAACGTCTTTCTTCTACGCAAAGAGTGTAAAAGGTAGTGTTTTCTCAAGGGTTAATCCGTAACCGGTGACGTAGAGTCTGAGAGACTCTTGCGAATTCAAAACCGGTTTAAAATATTGAAGCGGACGACTCTGGATGGCCTGCGGCTAAGTACCTTTCTAAAAATAGTTCATAAACCAAGCGTTTTTGTTTGATTTTGATTAGTTTACGTTTAGCCGTTTGCGAGAACAGACGTTATTGGAGTCAGCGAGACTCAACGTCACCGTTAGTTACTTTTTATTGAGTGTTTTATATTTCTTCGTATAAACTATAATGGATCATCTACCAAGTACGTCACGATCGGTTAGTGTTACAGATCCGAAATTTGAAGAGAAAGTGTTAAATTGGTTCAATGATTTGGACTCTGAGTATAGTGATATTGATGATATTGACAGTGATGCGGTAATAGAAAGCAGTCATGAGTCGGCATCTGAGCAGTCTGATAGTGAATCTGATCCAGAAGACAATATTCCAGAAACTTTAAACCAAGACTCGTCCAGTGATGATGAAAATAATATGTTGGCGTCAAGATCTTCAAACTACTTTTATGGTAAAAAACAGATTTAAGTGATCAGCTAGTGCACCAAAAAATATTCGTATTCAAAAGTATAATATTATTGTACATTTACCGGGGCTGCAAGGAAAGGCTCGGTCTCTTGGTCTTTCGGCACCTCCAAAGGAAATTTGGAACTGTTTATTTACAAATCAAATGTTAAATGTTGTAGTCGAATGGACAAATGTAAAATTGGCGAGTGTTAGGTCAAATACAAAAATGAAAAGAGGCCGGAATTAAAAAATGTCGACCAGGTCGAAATGGATGCATTTTTAGGCTTACTAATTTACACCTCAGTATTTAAGTCCAATGATGAAGACATAGAATATCTATTTGCTACAGATGGAACGGGCAGAGAAATTTTTCGGTCCGTAATGAGTGCCAAGAGATTTGCAGTTTTATTGACTTGTTTACGTTTTGATGACCCTTCCACGAGAGAACAACGAAAAGCGGTAAATTCACTAGCACCAATTCAAGAACTATTTGAATCTTTTATTCAAAACTGTCAAACGGAGTTTTCTGTTGGTGAATATGTATGCATTGATGAAATGTTAGTTGGTTTCCGGGGTAGATCACGTTTTAGAATGTATATTCCAAACAAACCACGAAAATATGGACTTAAAATTATGATATTAACAGATGCAAGAAACAACTATGTGTACAATGCGTATGTATATACAGGCCAAGATTCCGACGGAATGGGCCTTTCAGTAACTGAGAAAAAGCTTGCTAAACCTACTCAATCTGTGTTACGGCTTTCAAAGTCATTATTTGGCAGTAATCGTAATGTGACAGCTGACAATTGGTTCATGTCTATAGAACTAGTTCAGTTGTTGAAATCTAATGGCCTAACATATGTGGGAACTATGAAAAAGGTTAAAAGACATATTCCTCCTGAGTTTCTTCCTCAAAGGCATAGAGAGATTGGTTCAGTTAGATACGGTTTTACAAAAGACATTACCCTTCTTTCGTATGTTCCTAAAAAAAACAATGCCGTCATACTATTATCCTTCATGCATCATAGTATAGCCATAGATGAAAAAACACAAAAACCAGAAATCGTTAGTCTGTATAATATGACGAAAGGCGGCGTTGATGTTTTGGATGATAAATGTACGGTTTACAGTTCGTCCAGAAGAACACCACGTTGGCCAATGGCTATATTTTACAAAATACTAGATATGAGTACAGTTAACGCTTTCGTTATGTATCAGTGTTATAGAGAATCCAAACCCTTAGACAGGAAAGATTTTATGAAGGTACTGGCTAAAAGCTTAATTGAAGCACACATGAAACAACGAATGTATAACACCAGAATCCCGACAGAAATAAGAGAAAACATAAAGCGAATACTGTGCGTGGTTGAACCTCCTTCTATTTAAGAAGATCGGTTAGCAGTTCGAAAGTATTGTTACATTTGCCTATGAAAACTTCATAGGAAGATATCTTATTTATGCATCTGTTGTAAAAAACCAATTTGCTTGATTTGTTCTCATAAAATATGCAGAAACTGTAACGTTCAAAAAGAATAAAAAAAATAATCCCATTTTTTTGTCCTTATTTACCCCCTGCATGTTCCGTTACGTTTAGACTACTGATGATAATTTTTATTACCATAGATTATTCAATATTTGTTGTAATAATATTATACCTAATATTAAAACCATTTGTACATACCAAATTTAGAAATATTAAAAAAAATTAAGTTTTCCGACGTAACACCGTACTTTATTTATTTGCAACTTTTGACAAAAATGTTAATAATAAGAATCGTCAGTAACAGAAAGAACTAAAAAGGAAATAGGACATTGCAAAAATGCCTAAAGAACAGATTATTATAAACAATGTGATAAAATAATTATTTAAATTTGAATGAGACCAGCATATTTATGATGAGTCCCGGAGACTCCACGTCACCGGTTATGTTCCTAAAATCGGACGTCACCTGTTACGGGTTAATATGAATAACATGTATTATCAGAATAAAAGGTTATCCAATACCAGTCTATTTTAAGCCAGACCAATAACTACAGAGCTACAGGCCTTATAGGCCACTGGCTTCTAAAAACTTGGTTATTTCCCTCCATTTTTTTTCGGTCCCTTGCTTTCTCTATCCAATTCCCCCGCCTATTTATGACACATGCTTCCAAATGTTTACTCTTTGGACGTCCTCTTCTTTTTCTGCATTTCTCCCTCCTCTAGTATTGTTTTAACATTCGATTCTCTGGCATTCGTATAATGTGACCAAGCTATCTAGCTCTTTGTAAACGTATATTTGCCGTAATTGCTGGTTTTTCATACATCCTCATTATTTTTTTATTTTTTCGAAGATTTTTCTGAGCACCTTTCTTTCCCAAATCTCTACTTTCTTTTCTTCCGGTTGGTTAATAATCCACGTTTTACTGGCATATATCAGTGTGGGTCTGATTACTCTTTTTAGACAGTAAACTCACAGTTTAGCTGTTTTTGACATATTTTTTGCTTTCAGTAATGAATTAAATGACCTTATCCCTCTGTTTTCCTTCATTAATATTTTACCTATCTCTTTTTCTTCTATTCGTTATTGTTACTCCTAAGTATTCAAATTCTGAAACTTTTTGAAAACTATAGACAGTCTGTGCTACTTTCATTTTGATATATTTGTTGCATATGTTTCAATTTTTATTGTAAATTTCAACACCGCTAAACATCAATATATCGTTCTGTCATACATCATTTGTAGCAGCATTCACCGCAACATTCACTAGACTTTGTCCCTATTTAATTATTAAACGGGAAAAATAAAACAAAATAATTTTTAAAGGTATTTTTTTATTTAATATAAAATTTTAAAAAGTGGTGTATGGTTTTTTGAGCATATCTGGTATAAATATCGACCCAGCCATCGTGCCTTTGCTTTTTAAGATCAGTTTTTATAGTCAACGTTTCGTTAAGGTCCAAATATTGGAAGTTGTCCGGTTTAAGTGTTGGCCAGTAGTTTATTCCCAAAATGTCGGTGAATTCAGATGTTGGATTCCTGCAATAGTAGTTTTTTAAAATGGTTACATTATACTTAGGCAAAAAATAATAAAACTGTTGTATAATAATATGACTTAGATGAAGAGTGTCTGCTCAGCCTACTTTGGATATAGAATACTGTTTGCATAATAGCACTATGGCGCAGTTACTGCCAGAGATTATCCATTGATTAAAATTATTCCTATTAAAATTAATCCGTGAGAACAAACAGCTTACCATAGCTAGAGGATAAAGACAGAATAAATCTAAATCTCCCTAACTGTGAGATTAAGTTCTCTAGTATCTTGCAGAGGACTGAGTTGAGAAGTTGTCACCACAACATTGCACGCTTCTTTACCAACTGCAAATTTAAACAACATTCTTCCATTACTCGTTTGTCTGGATAACTCCTTATTCGATCACCAATGTATCACTGTTGATACAACTGGTAGAGGATATAAAGTGTTGACGAAAAACCAATATAAAGAACTATTAAAACAAGCACTTAAAGAGATTAGCCAAGATCACATAGATTTCAAAAACTAGCTAAAGAGTTCAAAAGTAAAAATAGTAAACTAAAAGAAGAAATCGCGGTAACAAAGAAAAACATATCAGAATTGGAAAAGCAGAAGCGTTTACGAATCGTATACGCTTGGTAATACGCTTATACGTATGGTAAAATTGCCACTGCAGATGAAACAAAGATATATTTCTTAAAAGAAAAACGTAAATATTTACAATAGAACATAATTGGATTTTCAGTAGACTGATTTTGTTGAATTATTATTATTAGTTGTCTTGTATGTAGCAAAATATTGATAAATTATTAAAAAATACTTACAAGTTTTTGGCAAAATTGCTGAATAGTATCCGGTATCTTTGGCTGGTTAAAATATCTCCTGGTGGAAAAGTATTCAAATTCGTATTATTGCCATTCACCCATTCGTAGCCAAGGTCATCACCATGAGCTACCTTATATGCTCCTAAAAATAATTTAAAAATTAGTAATAGCAAAGGAAACAATATAGTAAAGTATCAAACAAATATTATTATTTAAAAAGTTGCTAATTAAAGATCCTGTGTTAAATCTAACGTGTATCACTACATTTCTAATCTTTGGTATTTCATCTTCCTTTTATTGTTTCTCCTAATTGTCTGGTTGGTTTTCTTTAATATTCAAGATTGGTACTTCCAATTTTCACCTATTTTTGTATTCCACATCTTGTTTATCCATATTCGTTTGTTGGTCCTACGATTTTTCTTATTCATGGGATTTTACACCGACCAACAAAATAAATAACTAACTTCTGCAAAGTTTAACCTAAAACTACCAAATCTAATCTGTCTAATGTCAAATTGGAATATAATCAGAAAATACAGTCAGAGCATTATCACCAAATTATATTAGATCCTACAGCGCGACATTCATATATAAATATTTTTCAAATACATTAAATGTATTTTTAATTATAGCCCTAACTACCTTTAGCACTATTATTATATAAAAAATATTTTAATATTTTTAGACATCACCACAAAATATTTATTACCTTCGTAGTACGGGCGAACACCTGGGATAGTTCCTTGGTACGAAAAGTGGTAAAAGTATACGTCACTGAACTGGGACTGTAGCTTGGCATGTTGAATAACAGGTCTTCCATATGAAGTATCGCTGAAAAACTGTAAACCAAAACACCTTTTTTAATGACCAAAACTGTATGCAGAACTAAGACGCAAAAAGACGGTTTGACACCAAAACAGACAGAGTCATGTTTACATAAAAAGAAGAAGAAGTATGATTATTCTCGCAGCCTTTTTTGGGCCCCATTTACTTCGAACACGTGTACTAGATATGTGTATCATCCAGGACAGGTCATTATTCTAAATTCAAGCAGCATTTTATCTCAGCATAACTGGTCTTAAGAGGAGATGCCCAAACTTTCACAGTGATTTATAACTAAACGCGACAGTATACCTATCTATCTATCTCTTTCTTATTACTTCTTTTCTTTTCCCTCCTTGTTTTCTGCATATAATATTTTTAAAGCTATTTTTTTGGATCTGTAGCACGTACTTCAATCAAGTCCAGTCTCCAGACCAGAATAAAGTCCAGCTTTTCTTTACTCTGTTCTTTCTTCTTTCTCTTTTGTTATATCTGCCGATAATGTCCTTTATCTTAATTGTTTATTCTTTAATGATTCATTTATTACTGGTTTTACTCTTTTTGACTTCGAAAGACCAGAAGCAAAAGATGGACTGGCAACCTTCTATAGAGGTATTACTCCGATAATAAACAAGCAAAATTGCTCATAGCACGAAAAACGTAGTAAAAGGAACCAATAGTTGTAACAAAAATTCTGGAACGTGACTTTTGTGGTAAGCACCAATGTAACAAAAATATGGAGTTAGCTGATGTAGTGGCCAAATAACAAAACTGGAAGAAATGCAATCAAAACACAAAATGTGTGAGTCGGATGCATAGCCTCAGGATTAAAAATAGAATCGCCAAAACTGGCTCAGTATTGAATCAGGAAAATCAATGTAAAGCCAAAATTAGTTAACATATTATTACCAGAAATACTTAAAGCAACACAATATATAGCATACTAAATAAAATAAACTTATACTTACTTCGACGGCATCTCCAAGACGATCTTGGAATTGTCCATTTGTATAAACTCTTCTAACCTCAGCACCTACGATTTGTTTTTGGTTTGCATCCTGTATCTGCATGTCTTCTTCAACCAGCCTGGTCAGATCATAGTCTAGCCCAACGGCGGACCAATGCATACTCTCAGGGTCTACAAAATTATATGTCATATTTTAATATGGATGGATACTGTAGGCTCACATGTATTGAAAAAGAAACTAATAAATATAAATTCCATAATATATTAAATACTGTATCTAATTTAGAAATCACACCACATAAAAGAAAATTAATGTGGTTTATGCTCAGAGTAAAGTAAAAAGGAGCTATTATAAAAGGTTTATTATTATCATAACCACATATTTTTGCTGTCTGGGCATACAAGGTGGAGTGAATTTAATATTAATAAAGGAAAGATGTTTTTTGACTAACACTTTAAAAATTACAGGGTTGTAAGCAAAATCGGTTTACAACCAAGAACTTTATACGAATAGAATCAAAATAAATATTATAAAATAATTTTTTATTTATTGGTGATGCTAACTTTATAATAGAGTTGAAATAAACACATTTATAATTAACTAAGCTTCAACAGTTTGTTAAGGAGGTATACACTACCAATGCGAATTTTAATTTTAAATGTAAGTAAAGCATAGAAAATTCGTAATGACTTACCCATGCCCACCCAGATCATCTCTTCTGAATTGATTCCCATAATCAAAGGAACTCGTTGTGCTTGACCACTTTCAATTATGGTGTACATCCTTTCTGTCAAAAAGGCAGTCTCATGTTCTGGTTCAACGACTGGAGTGAAAAGAAATCCAGTAATGGGGTCGTTTTTATCCCAGACGTCCTATAAACAGAAAATACTATAAACTGAATGTTTTGACTTCTTAATATTTCCGCAAGATATTTTTCAAAAAGAATAGTCTTATATACTACTATACTTACATACTAGTTTATGTAGTAGATGATTTATATAGAAAAGCTTTGCTCTTCTTCTATTAGTATCTTATCCGTTAGTTAAGTTTGGCAAGCATGTTGGCCAACTTTGTGAGGTTTTGTGTAATTCTTAGGAGTGCATGTAAATCATGGATATCCTTCAACCCATGGCCAGATACTCTGTGGTCCTCTAATTTTTCTTCCCCCTTAATTAAGCGATCTTTCTCGTCTTTATTAAGTGGAGAGAATTATTCCAAAACTTAAATTTGTTCAAAAAGAAAATTAAATAATTAGAAGAAAACCATCAACATTTCTTTGGGTTACATTGGGTTTTTAGTCATCCACGGACAGACGTAGGTATGTTCTTTTTGAAGTAAATTAATTATTGAATTAAAAAAGATAGAATGAACAACTGAGGCAAACCTGGATGTTAGTAACAACATCTCAACCTACTCTTAATTGCATAAGCTACGTGCAAAAAAGTTTTATGGACTCCTAGAAAAAAAAAGAGACCAGGTTAAAGTTTGTTGTGATATGCAACAAAACCAACTTTTACCAAAACTAAGCATTTCTGATGTTTATTATATGCGAAAGTTGTGGTTATAATCTTACTTTTTTTATACTAGAAACAAATCAGAACAAGGAAAATTGTTTAACTTACATTTGAGCTGAAAACGAATGCAAGAATGCAGAAGAATAGACCTATTGGAAGACCGAGAAAGCTATGGAAGGATGATGTGGAGAGGACGCCAAAAATCTCCTTGAAGAGGTTTGCTGAGGAAGGCTATGGCTCGAATTGGGCTGTAGAACCATAGGATGGTGGATAGTATTAAAATCATACAGAACTCTATCTTCAAGGTCACAAAAAATACTGCCTACGGTACAATACAACTGGAAAACCAAAATTTGTAAATAAGTTAGTTGGCTAGAGACGACAAAATAGCTTCTATTTCCTTCCTAACAATACTACCAGAATAAGATATTATTAATAATTTTTTTTAAATTATACTGTTTTACTTACTAGAAGTGTCAAAGATGCATTTACGAGGTCCTGGGGAGCAATACTTTGCAAGAAAGTCATTAATTCCTCAGAACTTGCATAGGGGTTGAAATTTGGATCTATAATTGTTGCTATTTTGTAAGCGACAGCTTTGTGTTTCCATTGATATCCCCAGGGACAAAGTGCAGATCCACTCTGTGATATTGCAGCTCTGAATAAACCTAGAAAAACCAAATATGTGGATAATAAGCAGTGTCGTGCATTGACATTTAAATAAAGGGGTGCAAGTTAAATAAAATTATGAAAATGCTTGTTTTAGCTTCATTCTTCTGTCAACCCTGGTAAATTCGTTTATGACAGACCCATAAAAACTTAGATTTACAGACATTTTTTAATAGATTCTTTTTCAATTGACAAAATCGCTAGGTTAGCTACCCCTCCTTACATGTGGAATTTCTGACGTTTTCATGAAGTTTTTAATCCGCTTTAATACAAAAAAAAACTTCATTCTACAGACGCACTTGTAGCAGATATTGTAATCACTAAGTCACATAATTTTGAAACCCCACCATATGTTCCCCTCCAGTTCAGTTTGTTTAAGAAATATCAGTATTTTAAAATTAGTATCAGTTTGTACAAAGTATGGAGAAGCATACACAACGCACAATTGAAAATACAAGGAAAGAATGCCAAAAAAGTTTGCATAATGCTTTTTTAGGCAATTAAAAGTCTCTTCCGAGAAACTAGAGTTGGCATATTTATTGAAATTGCATTAGTCCGCAAATCTTAACTTACAAAGGTTTTTAAATATTTATTCAAGTTGCTATTAATCGGGCTAAAAACTTCATTTCAATTTATCCAAAAAAAAGTTCGAGAAGTGGCCAGAATTCACAGACATAACAACATGGTTAGACCAATTACTATTACTGTAATAATGATAGTAGACAAAATTAAAAAAATAGAAAATTGAAACAATTATGTGACCATTTACAATCCCTTTAGATGACAATTCCAGTGGAATATTAATCAAAATTTAACTAGTTTCAATACCGTATTGCTATTTTTGTATCTTCAAGACTATAAAAACTATATATATATATATATATATATATATATATATATATATATATATATATATATATATATATATATATATATATATATGACTAACCTGTTGATTTTTGACTTAAAAGATGATGAGTCACGGATGCTCCTCCTGCACTTTGTCCAAAAATCGTCACTTTATTTGGATCACCTCCAAATGATTGAATATTTTGCTGAACCCACTTCAATGCAAGCTGCTGGTCTTTCAACCCATAATTTCCTGGTATAACAGTATCTCCAGTAGAAAGAAATCCTAAAAAGTTTTGCAAAGTGCTGTATTATTACTATAAACATGTTCGTTTATAGATTGGTATCGATGCTTGATGAAAATTAGTTTATTTTAAGAAGATATTTTGGATACACTACAAATGGTATCCAAGATCCAGTCATGAAATTAACCCTCTCATGCATAATTTTAGGGAAAAATTTTTTTTTTCTTAGAAAAATTATTTTATTGCAAACTATTGAAAGTTAACATTAGAAAATAGTATATTAAGTGAAAAAACATAAAATTTTTTTTCTTAAACCCTAAAAAATAGTCCATCCACTCTAGTGGTCACTATGCACTTGCAGAATCGCGGAAGCCTCAGTTACTGGTATGAAAATGTTCAAAACACGATGGACACAGCGGCTCATTGCACCTTTTGCAGATGTATTTTGTTTTTCTCTTACAAGCTTTAGAGTGACATCTTCGAGCATTTGGTATATCAATTAGTTGTGGCCAGTGCCCCCAATTACTTTGTCTAATTTCAGGGGGTGCATGATGATTCGGTTTCTTCTTCTTCAAAATGGGAGGTGGTGTACCAGACGAAGGTCTACCTCGTTTATTTTCTTTCTGTGTTCCCAAATTTATTAATGCTCTGGCAATACTTGCTTTAAATTCAAGTTTTCTTCCAACAAGTGAGATGTAGTGCTAACAGTTTCTTCCATCCCCAAGTTTTAGTTTTAAATTCAATGTTTGTCCCGTCATTTAGTGTTTCTGTTTCCTGTTAATGTGTGTTTTAATTTGTCCCTAATCATTCTTAAGTTATAATAATTTTATATACTTTTATATACCTTTTTACATAGTTGACTTTACAATACTTTAATAATTTTGCCAATAGACTTGATAATTGCAAGTCAAAAATTGCACAACCACACAATCGGTACAGCTACTCTTATTCATTTGTCATAGAACTGTCTCCTTCATTACATAAATACTCAATAAATAACACACATTCCAAAAATATATCTCTGTTATAAGTGTAAATAATTTAATTAATACAATAGTAAAGAACATCACTTTCATCTGACAAACAACAACAATATACCTATCTCTAATTCATTGGATCAAATCTGTTCTCCTCAAGAACTTCCCGTTTATTGTCAAAACAACTGCAATAGCTCATTAAAGTTCTCCAATCAACAATACATGATTTTTGCAACCATGACCTACCATCCATCAATTAATAGAGTACCGGCATCATTAGTTTAACTTTGTATCTCGACCTGAAGATGCTTTGCAAATTATAGAAAGCGAAACCGGTCGTCAGATTGTTAAATTAAATTGATTGTGAGTAAGTCTTATTATTATTTCTTTACCTATTTGATATGGACTCACACAAGCAACACATTCATGATTTCAAGTAGATCTTTTTTTGGATTTCCGTTTTTCTTGTACAAAATCCATGCATTTACAACAAGAACATCCACAAAATGCATAAAAACTCTTATGTACCAGCGTTTGTTTCTTCTCCTTAGAGGATACAGGACTAACAACTGGTCCATCAGGTCTACTCCTCCCATATTTTTGTTATAAAACTGAACAGAAAATGGTCTGTTCACTTCTATAGTAGTCTTAGTAGATTTACACCAGCGTTTTGTTTTATTCTTAGGTTCTATTCCAGCACAATTGGAAACAATGTAAATAGTCTTGTTGTCTAGCCATTTAGATACAATTATATTGCCACCTTCAGTACTTGCAACAGATGAAGTTCCCCTACCCTCTTGTTTCATTTGTTTATCTGTTTTCATAACAGAATTACAATTTTGCAGTCGATTCAATCGGAGAGTTCCTGTCGCCCATATACTTCTTTTATGCAGTTCTTCGATAAGGGGAAGTGAGCAAAATAAATTATCAAAAAATACTTTATGATTTATTCTCTTCAAGTCGTCAGTTAGACGCAAAACTACATCAGCGCACGCTCCAAGTTTACTAATTTGACTTCTGTCTCCTGAGGCTCCTTGTTAAACCTCAAAACGATACATATATCCACTAATTCCAGCTCTTACCCAAACTTTGACTCCCCACTTTTTAGGTTTTTTTGGTAAGTATTGCTTTATACCTAATTTTCCTTTTAGTGGAATAATTTGCTCATCAACTGATTGGTATTCCTCTGGATCTGTGGCACCTAAGAAGTTTTTCTGAATTTTATCCAAAAATGGTCGGATTTTTCGCAATTTGTCCGTGTTATTTTGATTTACATTATCATTATTTACGAAATGTAAAAACCTCAAAATAGATTCAAATCTATTAACAGGCATAGTATCTGCAATAAGGTCCATTCTCAGGCCATTATCACTTGACCAGTAAAGCCGTATTCTGGGATACCTGATGTACGCCATCACTAAATTTATGCCCAAGAAAGCATATAACTCATATTTTGTAAAACCAAAATTTAATTTTATTGTTTTGGCCAGCATATAAATTGGTCTGAAAGACGATATCATCCATTATGTCTGCGGTGAACAGTGATAAAAAATAATCAATTGGATTGTTTCCTTGAACATGAATATTTTCTGTTCCTCTAAACTGTGGCAAAGTTGCTGGCCCATACATGCTGTCATTATTGCACCATTTCCAGTCTTTTTTCTCAGCCTTTTTTGATTTTTTCTCTTGACTTTTATGTTTTGATGAAAATGCCAAAATACGCTGAGCTAATGGAATGTCATCTTCACTCATATCATCGTCACTGTTTTCTGGCTGTATTTTCTTCTAAGTCACTTTCATCAATTTGGTCTTCAGCCGTTACATGTTCGAGCAAATACGTCTCTTCGTCATTGTAATCAGATTCCAAATCTGAACCTTCTGGTAAATCATAAATAATGTCATCATTATCAATACCTATAAATTCTTCATTTTCTGGTAAACATAAAGGTATTTCGTCCCGTATTCTGAAATAGAATAAAATTTCTCATTGAAGAAGTAATATTATGTCAATAAATAAAATTTATTTATTTGTACCAAAATAATATAGGTAAGTACATAAAAAAATGCCCTCGAAAATCCCTAAATCAATAATAAATCTTTGACAAGAAAAGCAAAAAATATGTGAACAAGAAAGCTACTACCCCTCTAAAAATTATACTCATAAAACATACCACAAGAGTGAAATTCTAAGTTACATATTGCATGACGTCCAGTCTAGTGGACATGACTTCAAGGCGATATTTTCGGTGAGTTTTCAATTATTTTGAAATTATAACAAGGGCAAATTGTGTAAAATACATAATTCTATAAGAAAAATATTTTCTTACCTTTTTGTTTGCTTTTCCATAAAAACTACGGGCACTTATTTCAGGCAATTCACAGGTGGTCATCGCGGTCAGGTTATTCATAGATACTAACATAAACAAACTTTGAATTTCAAAATAAATATTGTAGATGGCGGTAGTAGTTACTTGATTAGAGTCCACTGAAAGGGATTTCATGCATTTTGCATAAGTTTCAGAGAATTAAAATATATTTTTTGGAGTTAAAAGAATCTGTCCACTGCAGTGGACTCAATGCGTGAGAGGGTTAATTGGTAAAAGTCTACTTGAATTTTCTCCGGCGTGTTTCTTTTTCTCCTTGACCTAGACCGCTAATGAGTGAAGCTTTATTGCCTTATTACTTACCAAATATACCAACTCTGTATGAAACTGTCACCACAATAACGCCTTGTTCCATATAGTAATGAGGCCCGAAAGCGTAAAAGTTAGAAGCTCCGCCAACAAATCCTCCTCCGTAAATCCATACCATTACTGGCAATCCTTGATTTGGCCATGGGTACTAAAAACAAAACAATGTTTTTATACGTAAACTAATATACAGAGTGGCCCAAAAGTCTGGAAACGGCTAATTATCTCGTAAAATGCTAATCATAATTGTACAAAATTTGAGGTACACCTATTTTGGGATACGGAGATTCCATATTTGATATTTACAATAATGCCAGATTTGCCGTTTTTCTTATATTATTAGTAACTTTGGTTTTTCAAATACATCACCCTGTATATTCAGTCATCATTAGAATCTACTATTAAAGGCGAGTTCAACCATATGTAACATTTATGATTTTATTTAATCTGGAAGGTCATAAATACAAAAACGAATTCTGGCAACCTAAATTGTTTAAATAAATTTTTTAATACTAACTATTTTCAAATACATTAAAACGTAACAATTGATAGCTTAGAACATTTTTTAACATAGTAGTTTACGTTATTAAGTGTTCAAAATGTGCTCAATTTGTGAGTTGACAGCACCCTAATCGATGGTAGAAGGCGTCTACCACATTTCTCCATGATTGTCTAGAAATTATTCGAGAGTCATTGATAATTCGTTGCCTTAGCTCTGCAAGACTTGCTGGTTAAGTTTTGTAAACTGAATTTTTCAAGTATCCCTAATTAAAATAATCTTTAGGATTGAAATCGGGTGAACGTGGAGGCTATTTAATTCTACCTTGTCTACCAATTTATCGTCCAGGAAATATCTCATCTAAATATCGCCGAACATTTACACCTACGATCTGACGTTAAATTTCTTTCGACAAAAATGACCCCATCCTGTTAAAAAAAAAACAACAGGAGGAATATAAGAACATAGAGAAATTAATAAATTTCTCAAACAGAACAAAGATAAAGATCACGAAAGAAAAGTGGATGAATGATACATTGAAATAGGAGAGTTAAAATACAAAACGTAGGCACATTAAATATGTTAAAAAAACGCAGAGAAATAGCTTCTCTCTATCATAAAAAAACTCCTTATACAATTTATTGTAGAGTCAACAGTAAAAATGGTGATAAATGCAGAACAAATTCGGACAACTTGGTATGTACACTGCACGTACATATACCAAGAGAACTTTTTTAATTTTAAAGAACCCTACAAAAAATTGATTATCATTAGATGCTTTTGTTATGATTAGAAATATGTTCTAAAGTAGTATACAACCATTTCTTAAATAACAAATATCAAAAAAAACTTCTCCCAAAATGATGATTTTAATGAAAAATTTTCAAACTTAACATTGTAAATTTTTTCTGTGTTCTATTTAAAATTTCAAGTAATTTCAAAATTTAAAGTCGTGATTTTTAATATACAGTATTACCACCTCTATTTTGAATTACACTCCTCATTCGACTTATTATTGAATTGATCAAATTCTAGATGATGTCTTGAGGAAAAGCTTCATATTCTTCTATGAGCTACAATCGAAGCTGCTCAGTTTTTATTGGAGCAGGTATCCTGTTTATTGCCGCTGTCAATAAACTAGCAAGAAACAAATCACCCGGAATAGATAATCTTTCCAGCGGAATTATATAAAGAAGGTGGCCACGATATCATAATAGCGCTACAGCAGCTTATAAAAGAAATTGGATACAGAAGTCCCTCCCCAGTGATTGAAATATTGGAATACTTTGCACCATACACAAAAAGGGAGATATCTTTGAATGCTCTAACTATCGAGGAATTACGCTCCTAAATGCAGCGTATAAAATTTTCTCCAATATACTATGCCATCGTATGGCACCGTATGCAGAGCAAATAATAGGACAATACCAGGCTGGTTTCAGAGGTGGTAAATCAACAATTCATCAGATTTAAACCCTGAGACAAATTCTAGAGAAAACACTGTAATATGGTGTAGACACGCACCACATATTTATAGACTACAAGGCAGCCTACGACTCTGTACATAGAAGAGAATTGTTTAGAGCAATGATAGACCTGGGAGTACCAAATCAGTTGGTAAGTCTAACCAAACTAACCCTTGAAAAAGTTGAATGCAGAGTACGAATTCAGGGGAACTCTCTGAACCTTTTAATACAAATAACGGGCTATGTCAGGGAGACCCACTCTCCTGTATACTATTCAATCTAGCTCTGGAAAAAGTAATACGTACGTCACAAATCACAACTACCGGTTCAATATATAACAAATCTGTGCAAATCCTAGCATATGCTGATGATATCAATATTGTTGGGAGAACGGAAAACGCAGCACGAGAGGCGTATGTAGCACTAAAGGAAGCGGATACAAAAATGGGTTTAATAATAAACATTAATAAAACGAAATACATGAAAGTAGGTCCGCAACCACAAATACGACGGCCACTTGTTATAGAAAACGACGTCATCGAAGCAGTTAACGAATTTGTATACCTGGGAACGCTCGTCAATACTGAAAATGACATTACCGCAGAGATAAACCGCAGAATTTGCACGGCTAATAGATGCTATTTTGGGCTTAATCTCCTTTTTAAATCTACAGCTATATCAAGAAATACAAAAGTAAAACTCTACAAAACAATAATACGCCCAGTCCTAACATATGGTTCAGAAACCTGGACTTTAACAAAAAGCAATGAAAACATGTTAGGATGTTTCGAAAGAAAAATACTGAGGCGAATCTAAGGAGCGGTAAATACCAGGAACCAGATATCATAAAACACATTAAGATAGGACGTCTGAGGTGGGTAGGCCAAGTAATGCGGATGGAGCAAACCGACCCAGCTAGAAAAAACGCTCCTTGATAGACCTATTCCATTATCAAAAATTTGAACAAATCTAACAAATCTCTCAGCCATAGTTTTAAATTTAAAAATTGCATAAGTTCACCCTTTGAACAACTGTATAATAATGAAAAGATTTTTGAAAAACGGAACAGCCATATCACAGCCATATTCGAAGAAAAACAACGTACAAACAACACGTGCATTCTCCGAAGTCGTTAAATCATATCAACATGGTCACTTATATAACCCTTCATGTACCTGTCGGTACCCAGTGGCGGTACCTAAAAGTGTTTCTGCTCTGCATTGTGGGAGTTTATTTACAATAAAATAAATTGCATAAACTTAAAATTATTGAAAAAGTCTTATAAAGTTCTAGGTGGCCTCTTTTTAGTGACGTGCGGTGTACATGAACTACTACTTAATGACGTCATACCAAAAGAACAACAGACGTTAGGTGAAGACGGCCAACCAGAAATACTAAAGTAGAAGTTCTGCATGCTAAAAAGTAGGCAAACAACAGGAGAGTTGTTGGGCCGACAACATCCCTGTAGACATGTTAAAACTAATTAACGAAGAAATCATTAAATCATTGTTTTAGCTTTTTAATCCTTAACCGGTGAAATCCAAGAGGACTGGTCGAAGTCTGGATTTATAACTTTACCAAAAAAAAAAACGTCCGAAACACGGTAGCGATTACAGACTTATGAGTTACACTTTGAAGTTATTTCTACGTACATCCACAATAGAATAGGGCCTAAGCGTAGACAAAATAAAGATGAAACGGAGTTTGAACTATGATATGAATTGAAAACTAGAGAAGAACATTTTGCACTGAATGTTTAGCTACAGAAATGTCGAAATCAACGTAAAGATGTCTTTGTCGTTTTTATTGATTATGAAAAGGCATTTAATACAGTGCCATCATGTCAAGTAATTAAAATGTTATCTGATAAAGGAGTTAATAGCTGCTACTTAAGGATCATTGAAAACTTAAAATGGCGTCAAACAGCGAACATTCCTATCAATGGAAAGTCGACAGAAGAATGTAAAATTCTAAATAGAGTCAGGTAGGGTTGTCTACCACTTGGAATATGATGTAAAACTTACCGATAAGTAATTCAATGAAAGACGATCTATAGAAAGAACAAAAAAGCGGTTGTTTGCGAATAATTTAGGTAAATTTGTTGTCGTATTTATATAAAACTACTTACCACTGGTGTATAAACGTTGACAAATAAACAATCTTCATTTGCTCCCCAAACTGGACCGGCATATTGTTGGTAACAAACTTTGTCATTATGAGTAGCGTCAAAGACACCCTCCCATGGGTCGACTGGTTGAGGTCCCTTAAAAATAAAATAAATCAAAAATAACCATTATATATATGTATATATATTGAATTAAATGGACAAATATATGACCTAGGAGGACAAATTCGTTAAACTTCCCGTGCTCGAATCGGTATCAATAAAATGTTATGAATTATTTCGGCCTATTCAGGCCGAAAGACTCATCAGACACTTGGGCTGATGAGAATACAAATTCAAACTCGGAAAGCCCAACGAATGTCTCCTAAAATTTCACCATTACAGTCGTCAGAGTTCTTCTATTCTTAACCTTCCTGATGTAAATTTGGAGAATGTTTTTTCATCAAGACGGCTGTTCAGTTCACAACGCTCGAATAATTAGAGAGTACTTAAACAAAACTTTCTAGAATCGAGTTATCAGTAGAACATGCGATATTAATTGGCCTGTGTGATCTCCAGACCTTACACCAATAGACTTCTTTTTTGGGGACATTTAAAAAGCGTCATCTACGATCATCCTGAGACTAGAGCTTCAAAATTTGAATGAATTAAAAAACCGAATAAGTGAATCCTTCAATTCTGTTACAACAGAAACTCTTTCATCTGTCCGCAGAAGTTTTTATGACGGATTGGGATACTGTTCAGTCCTAGAAGGTTTAAATATTTGAATCATTTCTGCAGGGCATAAAGAATTATTTCTTATTTTATTAGGAAATATTTTTTATTTCCAATAAGAGTAAATTTTTTGTTTTGTCTTCTTAAAGAAATGCGCTTTTATTTTTAATTTAACCACAAAAAATTGTTCACAATATTAAAAACCGATACAAATGCACCGGATTATAAAGGTCAGTGTATTTTTATCAAGTTTATGTTATAAGAAATGAACCGGGTATACATAAAGAAAACAAAAATCGACGAATTGAGATGTATATCCTATGCATTGTTATTTGTTACTAAATGGTTTTCTCGTTTTCTGTCTATGTGTAGGAGGAGATCAGAGAATTACAATTACCTCGTATAAGGCAATGTTGCCGATTCTAGCGGTTTATGTAGTGTGCAATATCTAATCCAAAACATAACGTACTGCATACAATATATTATTTATTTCTTCAGTTTTTAACAACGCTAATTCTTACTTACCCTAAATCTCAACGATCCCGTTGGAGGTTTAGCGAACGGTATTTGTTGAAACATGTAGAACGGTTTACCCTGAGTACCAGGTTCCTCACTTCCTTGAACTTGGCCATTTGGAGTGTTAACAATAATTTGTGCATTCTACAAAGTACAAAAGAAAACAAAAAGATAAATAGAAATATCAAAATTAATCAAAGGTTAAGGCAAGGGATGCATTCTTTCTCCATTACTCTTTAATTTGCACTCTGAAACGATCATGCGGGATACCACGAAAATAAGCACAGTAGGCAAATCCCTAATAGTAATACTATGTGTTATTGGTGAAAATATTAATGATATTCAAAGAATAGTCCAAAAAGTAATATGCGACGTGTCGCTTGTAAACATAAACCTAAGCAAAACAAACTGTCTCCACTGGTTCCAGAAAGTTATAAGCGATATTAAAAGAGAATTCAAAAACAAAGACATGTAAAAAGCTTATTGGTAGACTATGTACACAAAGAACAGAGGAACTGCTCCATATGGACAGGAATAAATTGAAAACTAAAACAGGATATTGTCTGGGCGTGCACCAGTGAGAGAATTCCTGAATAACATAGACATTTACCATAAAGACTTAAGGCTGTTTTATCGGTACACCAAAACCTAGATACAGTGTTTTCTCTGTTATTTACCGACAATATATCTCGAAATTTGGACACGTTATTCAAAATTATGTTGCCTTTAAACTGATGGTTTTACTTTTTTAATTTTTTTGAAAGTTCTTTTGAAATATCGGATTATACAGTTTAACGTTCTATTATAACCAAACTTTTTACGCCCATCACTTGAAAGAGTTTTTTTTTCTGTAATCGTTGGTTTTTTTTTCACCTTTTTATGTCCAGTAATAATCGAGAAAAGCGGATTCAAACTTTGAAGAAAATTGCTAAAAAATACTGAAATCTAATAGTGAAACGTGTTACTCATCATTGGCATTTAGTTTCACCGTTATCGGCTGCGTGACGTCAAATCTCATGAACGTACGGTCAGATAGTTTGATTTGAAATCAATTTCAAGCTATAACTGCGAAATTGTTTATTTGTTTGTGACAACAAATTGTATTTTTTTTTGATAATAATATTTTTATGTTATTTTAAATTTATTATAAATAAACACCATGATGTTTTTTGCAGTCACGTTTCACAAATTTATATTCAATACTATATTTAGCTAAGACATATAAATTAAAAATGTGATAATTATTTTTAAAACATCTACGATAATCAAACAAAAAGGTATTCCCGACAAAAGTAATTTGAATGGAGAATAATGCATTTGTTGTCATTAAACCACCCGCCGGCCGGCGCCACTGCGAAAACAGCTGTACCCGTCGTCGGCTGGCGTAAGCAGTGAGGAAAAGTAAGTGATACGCCCATTTCAAATCGCAGTGTGTTTTGACTGCTAAAACAGCCTTAAATTGAAACAGACATTGCGATAAGAAACCAGAGTGATTGTCTTCCCATCTGGACCATAAAAGGCAAAACTATATGGTTTAATAAGATGAAACTCTGGTATATTTAGAACTATCAAATTACCTATACAAGTTTGTTTTATATTTACCAAGAGACCAAATAATAATGTCTGACTCATTATTACTAACAAAAATATCACACGTATTCAAAATATCTTGGCTACTATAGTCCATTTCCAACATATTGATAGCACATTAAGTATGCAAATCCCTAAACTGTTAATACGGGTAACTCAATGAAAAATAGATATTTGTCAACAAGTTTGCAGAAGTATATAGGAAAACAATTTTAAATTGAGTATGACCACCAGGTATAAAGGTTGAAGCAGAATAGAATACAATAGTTTGATGGTTACTAATGCCTAAATAAAGTTGCCAGTGTCGGAGTGATGGAGATTAACAGGTACTAATGAATTTGCAAAAATATAAGATGTTTATTTTATTGGTTATATATAAAATAATTTGTGGCCGTAACAGGGGCCGATTTGTAAAAAAATGAATATTATTTTAATCAAATTCCATTTCAGATTAACTGCTTTCTTCAGAATCTAAGGAATCTTCAACTCCAATGTTAATTATTACCGGTTCCAGCATTGCATCAGTCATATTATCCAAATCCCACATTTTATTTTCTTCCTTGTGAGCATGACTAACAGCATTTTTCCAATTTTCTGGAGTTACTTTTGATAAGGAATGTTCTAATAATTGTTGTAAGTCTTCTAATTTAAAAGTTTTGTTGTTGCATCCGACTTCACCCTTTACTTGAGACCATATATTTTCTATCGGATTCAGATCACAGTGGTATGGGGGTAACGTAAAATAATTACATTACGGTTTAATGCCATTTCATCAATTTTATATTATTTATAAGCTGCTTTATTTTGCCTTACAATAGGTAATAATTCCTTTTTTGTCGAGTTCTCCTTGTACTCAATTGCATGTTTATCCAACCATTCGATTATCTCTCCTTTTTTCCATGCCGTTGTTGGCAATTTTTCTGCTAGTCTTAAATGCCTGAGGGAACTTTTCACATTTCTATCAACCCATAGATATGTACAGTATGACCTTCACTTAGCCAAGTCTCGTCCAAATAAAAAATTGTTTTTCCTTCTTCTCGGTACTTTTTAATAGTTCTTAGATATTCTCGTCTCCAACATACAATGTAACCTTTTTCAATTAAACGGATTTTCTTCTATTCTCATCTGCCAACGAAATCTCATCTCTCTCAATAGTCCCCATAATTTCTTGTTGCTTATGATTGAGAACTCTTCGTTTTCTCTAATTAATGTTTGGATTTTGTCCAATGTTGGAAATTCTTTGTTAAAAAAAAAATGAGTGGACGCTGCGTCTTATCATGTTTTTATGTATTTCTTCAATTTCCAAGAGTTTTACTCCCTCTACTGTTCTTGGAGATGAAACAGTTCGTCCTTTCCTTTCTTTAGGAATCTATAAATTGTTGCTTCTTCAACCCCTGTCATATTCGAACACATGTTAACGATTTCACGAACATTACTTAAAGGGCGTTGATGTACAAGTGCATCGTGTACATTTAATATTATATTTTTCTCTTAGACTGAAGGCACCTTTAAAACTACACTTAACCGGATAAAACCTGTTGTCGACGTCATTTTTAAAATGCAAATAACAAAATATCGACACCAAAGACATATGGTAGGTAAGACATGAATAATGTACATCTACAAACTAAATGGAAGATGAAAACAATTTCTAATTTATAGTATTGGCATGAGCTGTAATTTGGCATAAAAACTACTTAAACTATCATTAGTGAAGCCTTATCAGTAATTCCAGGTAATCGTTCAAAGAAGGTATTCTTTTTGTGTCAGGCGATAACTTGTATAGAAAACAATAATCACCTTTAAATTACTGTTTACAATAATTTATTTCGTGAAACATTGAATTCTCTTCGTTTAATCACCCGTGTATAATTAACAATAATCGTGTGGCATATATACCGACGTTTTTTAACGCACAAAAAAGGTACAGTGAGATTAGTGGACACTTATTTTACAGAAGATTTTTCAAAAGATAATGATTTTCAATTTGTTTATTTCAAAACAAGTGTAGGGTGACGCCTATGGTTTTTTGACCTGTTGAGGATTTGCATACATAATGTGCTATCAATATGATAAAAAAGGACTATACTACAATGCTATTAAAAGATATAATGATTCCTCGATAGTGTTAATAACACAAATTAAAATTGCACCTCGTTTTTTGTCTGACTAAAAGTGAAAACAATTTCTTTGTAACAGAACTTTTAATTAATAACTTAAAAATGTATACGTTAAGATGTTACATATTTAGCATTTTATTATGCGTGACATAGAAGTAATTACACTAACTAAAAATGCGATGATGAAAAAGGTGGAAGGTTTTGGGATCTCGCTTTATTGTTACGAAAGCCTTGTCATCAGATCGGCGTTCAATGACCTGTGGGCTGTGTAGAAACCACTATCGACGGTTCGAGATCCCAAATAAACGGCGCTCTCCAAAGATCTAGAAGTGTCTAGAAGACTGTTCAGTGAGGCAACGGTCCGCCGAGAGACGGGAACAACGAGACAAATATATATATATATATATATATATATATATATATATATATATATATATATATTATACATATATATATATATATATATATAATTATATATATATATATATATGTATATATATATATATAAAGAAAAATAAATTGTACAGAGTTAGTTTATACACCGGGTTATACCCGGGTGTGTGTAATAACCCGGTGTCTGTAATAATAGTATAACAATATACACTGGGAATGCACATCCCACCACACGTACACATAGTAGTAGTTTAGAATGTAATTAAAAAAATAAAAAACCCATATACATGGGGTGTGGTAAGAGCAGTATATACTTGGGAATGCACCCTCCCACCACACGCACACATAGGAAAAAAAACAAAAAAAAAACGCTCACTGTCTAAATCAAACCAAAGTCTCAACCGAACCTTAAATGTCATGTGAATGCTGTTTCCCCGAAAATAAGTCATAATCAAAATATTTAAAAGGCCCGTCACGCCTTTTATACCAGCCATATAGGCTTAGGCCCCTCAGGCAGATCGTATGCAGATCCCATCGCGAATTCCGAGCACCGAGGTCATGTGCGGCATACATGTGCTCGGTGGCCGGACCACATCGGATGCTCAGATGGCGAGGAGAACAAAATTTATTTGTGCCAAATTCGGCTGCTGAGTGTCCAGCATACACATTTTTTCGGATAGTGAGTCATACGCTCAGGCTAGTGGCTGTCTGTTCGAAACACACACTTTCTTCCTTTTTGTGACACTATCTCGATGTCAAGTTAGAGTAACTTTAATAGAGTCAGTAAAGTAAATAGAGAGAAAAAACGTATGTGTGATACCCCTATAGTTAGGCGGCCTAACCACAGTCAATAAAAACGAAGGATGTTCCATTACTCAGGACATCCAAACTAACTTTCAGATCATAAGCCTCTTTACGTAAGTCACACTGATGAGGATGGGTGGAGGAAAAGCCTGGAGGTCAGATAGGTACACTTCAATAGCTCAAGTTTGACCGTTTTGACCTTCGGACATGTGAATCCCACTTTACAATGGTATATACATGTTTCATAGGGGCAGGGTTAATCTCTGTCTGTGTGTGTGCGTGTGTGTATGTGTGTGTGTGAGAGAGAGAGTTAGTTTAAAAAATAAATTGGTAGCGTTAAGTAATAAATATTGTAAATTAATTATGCTTTTTAGTGTTAGTGTAAGAAAACTTAAAATATTTGTTAATATACTGTAAATAAAAATTAAAATAAATATCACAATCCTAATAATATCTTATATCTAGTTACCAACGAAGAAGTTTTACGAAAACTTTCGAAAGAAACAGAATTGAACAATAAAGTAAGAAAATGAAAATTGCAATATCTAGGGAACGACAGGATGGGAGGTACCAAATACCAGCTTCTGCAAATTATCATTCAAAGAAAGATTATAGGAGCGATGAAGTAGAATGTCTTTGTCTGTAATCTCAGAAAATGGATCAAGTGTTCAGAAGAAGACGCTATCTTAAGAAGAAAAAATAAAATACAAATGTTTTATTAAAATTGTTGCTACAATTACATATAACTTAATTACTTACGATATGTACACAGATTAATAAAAAAGAGATTAACTGTAACAACATTGCGATAACTAAAATGTCTTAAAATCTCGAAAAAGTATTGTGTGAAAGCTATTTATCGGCAGCATCACACATTTTCAGACTGATTTAAATTTTATCATCACAAATAAAATACTTGATAACCATTGTCGTTGCCAAAGAGCGGCAAATAAGGATTGGATTTCTCTAATACATGAACTAATTAATACACAAGTGTGTTAATACACGAAACTAAAATAATGATGCATGGTTATGGCACATGAAATGAAAAAGGAGAAAAATTATATAACTTCTTTGAACAACAAAATGTTTATGCCATGAACTCACACTTCAAGAATCCAGCAAACCGAAAATTGACGTGGATATCTCCCGATAAAAAGACGAAAAACAAGGTCGATTACATCTTGTGTGGGAATAAAGACATTTTTGATATAACTGCTCTCAATCGATCCACAACTGGTAGCGATCATCGCCTTTTAAGAGCAAGGATTCTTGTTAAACAGGCGAAAACCAGTAAAAACAGGCAACATGTTGAAACAGAGAAACCAGTAGAAACAGAGTTTCGCAGGACACAATGCCCAACTGAAGGATAAAAGATGTAACCACAAAATACAACAATGGAGACCATGGTTAGGAACGAGAAGCAGAAAAAGACCACAAATGAAATGGACTGATGACGTTAAGAAGAAAGGAGGCCACAACTGGAAGCAAGCGGCGCAAAATAGAAGACACTGGATTAATTTGAGGGAGGCCTATGTCCAAAATTGGATTACTTAAGGCTAAAGAAAAAGACACAACCTTAAGTCTTAAACGTTTAGTCAGAATTGCACGTCTTAGTGGCGGAGAATATGAGGTTACTTTACAAAGAGAAATGTAAATAAGCTCATAAATTTATTATAAATGTAAGTATACCATACTCTTCAGACTAGAAAGCACCATTATCAATTAATCACTACATTCGTTATTTCATAAAGAAGCTATAATTGGCTATATTATTTGCTTTTATTATCAAGAATACCAGTTTTAAGAATTTTCCTTCTTCTGCTATGATACGTTTTGCACACCAGATGTCTAAGAATGTATTTTGGGGTGAGTCGTTAAACCTGTTACATTGTTAAATTACAAAATATTAGTCAGTAGTTTCCCAACTCTCTTACGTAGGACCTTTCTAGTCTGTTGGATCATCCCTGTTGCTTTTTTTTAATACCATGGTACAACTGACCTCACTCCAATTATTCCAATATTTTATTAAACCTGTTCGTTAAATAGCGTATCCAATTATATACTTTTGGGGGGTATATATATTCGAATAAAATTGTTTCCATAGGTCTGCATGGAAAAAAGAAATATTGTGATTTTTTCGAAATTCAATAATCCCTCACCAAATTTTTACATTAATGGCTTATGTTAAGCCCTAAATTTGAAGTCCATTTTGTAACTACAGTCGAGTCTGTTGCATTCAATTTCCGACTGTGCTAATAAATTTGCCGTGAGCTAAGATCATCAGGTCAGACTAGAAAGAGAATAAAACTTTCTCCTGTGGACAGCCTCTGGCTACTTGTGCTGATACCCTAATAATTCCTCATAGTATATTGAGTATGTTACACGGGTTCTCAGCATGTAGTCCGTACGTCTAGATTGTGTTATCGAAGGCTTTCTTCACATTATATTAAGATATCTTCTTAAATATCAAGTGGCTTGTTTTTTATAAACCACGCTTAAGATAATCTATATCATCAATTAAGTTTGGCATGTGCCAAATTTGTTTATGATTAGGAATTATCTGTAAACACATATTGATGTAACCTTGATGGAGTTTCTAAATTTAAAACTGTGTAAAAGTGTTTTAAATATATTTTTTGATAATCTTTTGTGTTAAAGTATACCTCTCTCTATCTATAATGCTACATTTGCAAAGATTTGTATTAAAATTTATTGTGTTAAAAATAATTTGATAAACGCTACTTATAAATAAAGTTTTGAATAGAAGATAACATACGCAAGTTCATTAAATAAAAAATAGAAACAAAAGCTGTGAAGATCAGTCTAATAAAATGAAATATATAGATAGAATAGGATATGGAAGAAATAGATCTCCTAAGATGCATTTTAAGAAATCTATTTATTACCTTTAGTTCAAAAACGTAACGAAAGACATTTACTATTCCTTTTATTTCTTTTATTGCATTATAGCAAAAAAGTTTAGAAAAGCTCAGAGTTATATTAAAGATTTTGGTTGATTAATTGGTTGATTTCGATTTGCGGTTTTATCTGGGTGATCTCAGAAATACTCGGCCTAACCTACAGATGGTGATAGTTGTTTGCAAAATATCACTTTATTACAAAGTAAAAAATCTGTTAAGCATATTTTTCAAGTTTGAAGATGCCACGTTGTTAAATAATTGTTTAGCAACTATCAATCAGTTCGTCTTTAATAAATTTGTGAAGGTGGAGAAAATTACTTATCGTTAGGTGATACAATATTTTATTGGACAGGCTTCAGCCCTATCAATATAAGAGCTAAATTGGACTATACTCTAAGTAAGTCTGTTTCTTCATTTACAACAGTAAAATATTGGGTATAATATTGGATATGACATTGGGTATATTATAGCATAGTTCAAACGAAGTCCCTATCAATCTATCTATCTATAGCCCAAAATCTATTCATGTGTTGAATATAGGCCTCTCCCATTTGTCTCTATTTGTCTTCTGTTTGTCTTTTCCACATTGGACCTGCGCTTTGCTCAATGTCATCTTTCCATCTTATTTGCGGTCGACTTCTTGACCTTTTTGCAGTGGTCTCCAGCGGCCAATTTCTTTATTCCATCTTCTATCCTGATATCTTTCGTTATGCCCAGCCCATTTCCATTTTAATTTCAATGCATGTTCGACAGCGTCTGTTGTTTCGGTTTTGCATCTTATCCACTCGTTCCTCTCTTTATCTCTTACCGATATTCCCAATATTTGTCTTTCCATGGCTCTTTGAGTTTTCTTTATTCTATCTAAGTTGCCCTTGGTACACGTCCACGTCTGGGCACCATAAGTCAGAACAGATATGACGCATGCATTAAATACCTTCGTTCTTAATTTTAAAGGTATTTTTTGGTAGTATATGAGAGTTTTCCGAATGCAGCCCACCCCATTCTTATTCTTCTGGTTATTTCTTTAGTCTGGTTATTTTGTCTACTCTGATAACTTGTCCTAAGTAAATATATTCTTGGACATGTTCTATGTTTGTTTCACCTATGGTAATTACTGATCTTTCTTCTGTCTTAGTCATTATTTTAGTTTTCTTTAAATTCATTTTTAGTCCTTTCTCAAGAGATGTTTTTTCTAGGTCTGAAATCATTATTCGTAGTTGTTCCATAGTTGTTGCTATCAGGAGTACATCATCGGCGAATCTTAGATGATTAAATATTTCCGTTTACACAAATCCCTTTATTATCCCAGTCTATAGATTTAAAAATGTCTTCCAACGCCAGAGTAAATAGTTTGGGTGAGATTGTATAAAAGTAATGTATTATAAGGACAATACACCAGCTACCAGATCCATTATTGGAATGGGCAAAATTCATGAATTAAAGTTTGACTTGTTACCACATGCAGCCTATTCGTCAGATTTTGCTCTTTTGGATTATTTTCTGTTTGCAATCTAGAAAAAATGGCTCAGTGGTCAAAGATTTTCCAACTGTGAAGAAATAATGTCGGCACTTATTGGCTATTTTGAGGAGCAAGGCAGTTTTTATTATAAAAAATATCAGAAACTTTATTATTAAGATTTATAAACTTTATTTATTATTCCATTTTATCCCACAATAATATGTTAGCAAAATAAATAGTTACCCAGAACCCAAACTAGTTTTTTATTGTTCGTAACAAAGAAGTTCGACCGGTTTTAATTTCTGTAGTATTTTCATCTCTGTTGTTTCTAGTAGTCGTCTTCTTTCAGATGTATCAGGTTTTGTCTCCGCCGTGTATGTTAATATAGGTCTAATTGCTGCTTTATAGATTTTTGTTTTTGTGTCTATTCTTAGGTGTTTGTTCTTCCAGATTGTGTCATTAAGAGATCCCGTCGCTTTACTTGCCTTTAAGCTTTGTTGTCGTACTTCTTCTTCAATATCTCGGTAACTAGTTATATTTATTCCCAGATGTCTAAACCTTTATTCCTGCTTTATTTCGTTCCCATCAATTTTGATTTTAGTGATAGATGATCATAGTGGTATTTAGATGTTGTCATATACTTGATTTTTTATGCTGGTATTATCATATTGTATTTCTTTGCTGTTGTATTGAAAATGTGTGTTTCATTGAAATGTATGTGAAAATTGGAGCTGATCTTCTGTCTCGGCGATTAATACGTCGTCGTCTGCATAACATAATATTTGGATTTCTTTGTACACCATTCTATAGCCATGACCTTTACGTACTGCTTGTATTATTTCGTCCATTACTATAATAAAGTTGTTAATTATTAGTATCTTTATGGATAATTTGTACACCTGGTAGAGAAGACTGATTGGATGATAGTTGGTTTAAGATCTGAACACAAGAAAACAGTTTCAGAACGTATTTAGAAAAGTTTTCTCAGATGTTGACTTCATTTGCTTGTTCCTTGTTACAAGTGTGTTTCTTTCCCTTTTGTCTTTATTACTACTTTTATCTCATATTTCAATTGGTCAGTACCTATTCAAAAATCATTTAACAAATTCGTACCTTGTACTATTAATTTTTTTTTGGGAGTTTTTTAGAAAAGGTATTCATACAGCGATCGTGTTTCTTTTTTGTTTCTTATAAATGTTTCGTTGCAAACCAAGGATAATTTTTATATTTCTCCTTTTTCTACCATTATTTTCGGAAAAAAAATCACCAAATATTATTGCATATTAAGCTTTGTAATTATTTATCTTACGAGTAAAATAAAATATGTTACATAGTGAAAAATTCTTCTAATAATTTAATTTAATCTGACTCATTTATATTGACAATTCAGACATACATTATGCATTTTAAAGTAGACGACTTTTAAATGATATTGCCAATATTGTTGAGTTGCGCTCCTGGGACGACTTTACTTACCTAAAGAGACCTAAATACACCTAAGATACTTCATTCGATTACATGAAATCAACTTTAACTTGAGATTATCCGTCAGAAAAAAATCATAGCATGTAATTCGTCTTTAAAAAAACAAACACATGACATGATGACAGTAAAATTCTCCTGTTAGTGATTCCTTAGTAAATTATGAGGGAAAAACCAGGAAAACAACCTCATAATACTATCCCAACATGGTAATATATATCACAAAGAGATTTCATAAAACAGGAGCAAACTACATCCTTGATTTACACTTTTCATAATGGAACTTTTTATGTTTTTCTCTTCAGTCAATACAAGTGTCTTTTTTTCAATTATTTCGTTACAAGTGTATTCATAAATTGGTTTTACAATACCTCTTAAAGATATTTTACATACTGGTCAAAACAAGTACAAATAAAAAACCATTCAAATTTATTTTTTATTATTATTCAAAATTTGAAATATCTAAAATGTGTCCAACGGTTTAATAGCGTATTTTTCATATATCTCCACCATCTTTGGATGCACATCTTGTTTAAGATCTCGTTGAACGTCCAAAGTGTTGTTTATATTCATGTATTGGAAGTTCTTTGGCTTTACTGTTGGCCAGTAGTCTACCCCTAAGATGTCTTTGTGATCAGTGACAGGATATCTGTAAAAATAAACGTAGGAGTTGATTATTTATTACTCAAAATAAACATATTAAAATAATATTATTAATTTTTTCTAATTGAAAGGATTTTTCTTTCAGTGACATTTTTAATTGGTTTACATTTTTAGATTAGTATTAGGGATGGCGGTTTTTTGACAAAACACCGGTTTTCGATTATACCGGTTTTTTTGCTTACGGTTTAAGCTGGCCGTTATAACCGGCCAAAAAAAAAACGGTTTTTACAAAAACCGTTTGTAAAAACCATTTATTATTACACCAAATTTTTAAATTTAAAACCATTTATTTTATTTATATATAAAACCATTTATTTATTTTAAACCAAAAATTTACAATGCACTTTAGTTTGCTATTACTTGAGAATAATAATCATTGGAATTCAAAATAATACCCAACCTAATAATCCTAATGACCGTAAAAACCTAATAACCGGTTTTTACTTTAAAAATAAAAAATCAGTTATAATCTGGACAAAAAAGCAACCGATAAAACCATGGACGTCTTTATTTATACGTCCATGGATAAAACCGATTATTGCGAAGTAAAAAATTGGTTAAAACCGGCAGGTTTTTTCCATCCCTAATTATTGTCATTAACTGGCTGTCAGACTATTAGAATTAGTAGGACATACTTAAAGGGATTATAGCAAAGATTAGCACAGTGGAGGCAAGACCTTTAAAAACAAGATTTTAAACTTAGTGGGACAAAAGCAAACTATCTCATATATTAATTTATTTATAAATGGTTGCTATTACAGATAAGGGTATTGGCTAACTGGTGGCTTGACAGTAAAAAACGAAGAATAGTAATATAAGTATTATATATATATATATATATATATATATTATATCCGGTTTTTTAGGCGTTACGCCCGTCCGGTAGGGATCTATGGAGGAGTATCACCAAGCCGCAAGCCCTTATCTCTTGCCGTACTGCTCCACCATAGGCCGATCAGATCCCAGCATATCCTAGTCTAAGCCGCAGATTCATCTAGAATTTTAAACTGCTGCGTTAGTTTTTTTGTTTTCAGTACACCGAGCTGGGGCTCGAACCCACATCCACTGAACCATTCGACAGTGAAGCGAATGAGAGGCAGCCGCACAGCCCGCTGAGCTATCTGACCGACGATATAAGTATTATGTGGTTAAAATAAGAATACTGAGACGGGAGTAAAGTGATGTTAAACTGTAAAATTTTAAATGGATATATATCGAGAAGTACAAAGGCAACAGTGGACCGGAAAGCTTTTGGACTATCATGCATAAGGCCGGGATCGATTACCAGCGCTGGCGAAAATATCTAAATATCTTTGCAATAATTACTAAACACGATATGTTTATTTCATATTATTGTTAGTGTAAACAGACTTTGAAGACGTATATTTAAACACGTTCTATTTTCAATCAACAATTCTAATTCAGTACAAATTACTGAGAGACGTTATGTGGGGCCGTAAGCCGCAACCTCCTCTAATTGTAAATAAGTTAGAAGTTTGTACTAACAATTAAAAATAAAGTATGTCTTTTTTTTGGTGAAAATGTTGATCTGAACAGATCAGCGGTGATCTGATAGGCCAGAGCAGTGAAAGCTTAACACATGGCAATGCATTCCACTCTTTGACTAACACCATAGACTCCTATAATCCTAAAGGTGCACCAGTGGTTTAACGGTAGACTATAATTATTATTAAAAAGGTAGTACAAATTGATTCAAAATGGTTAGAACAACTAATCATCCGTGCAAAGAACTGGTGAGTTGCATATGCCTGGAAGATGTTTCAAGAAAACTAGAAAATACCAAAGAAGATTAAGTGGAGAACGCTTAGGCAGGACATGTGTGTAAAGGTAAATGCCATTCCAGTCGCATTATAAATGCCTTGTTACCAATTAAAGCAAACTTCATTATTTTTAAAGGAAGTTTTTAATATCAAATCACTCGCATTCAAATTTATCACCTTTTAATTATTATGCTTATTGTATAGAATGCCCTGATTTGTATAAAAATAAATAGAGTCACTTACAATCCTTTTGCAAAGTTGGTAATAAGGATCCGTAACCTTTCACTGGCTAAAACGTCATCTTTTGTGAATGTGTCTAAATTTGAAACGTTATTTTTTACCCAAAGATAAGGGTCTATATCGGCGTGGTTAATTTTATCAGCACCTAAAAATAAAATAATACAATAATGAAAATTTATAAAACAGGAGTCCAGTAGGATTCTCTGTAGCGATGAAACTTAAGTCTTTTTTCTGAATTTCACTATGATTTTTAGTTAAAAAAATATAGTACTAACGAAAAATAATCATATGCGCTATAAAAATGATCTCAAATGATTGATTTTCATCAGAAACCTTCTATACCGGGCGGATTTGATATCGAAAAATAAACATAACGCTACGCAATATGTAAAAACGGAAGAAGGTCTGTAGGGCGGCCTAGAAAAAGGTGGAAATATGCAGTCAAAGAAGATCTAGAGAAAATGAGAGTGCGACAATAGGAATTGTACTTCAAAACGTCACGTAGTATGTTAAAAGTGACATAATCTGTTAAAACGCCTTGTAATAAGTTGAAAACATTAAGTATGATAATAAAAAGTCAGATATTATGTCAAAATGTCACAAATTACATCAAAATATTACGTATTAGGTTAAAAGGCCACATAATGTATCAAAACGTCACGCACTATTGTGAACACATCAATGATTGCGTCAAAACGTAACATATTATGTCAAAAACGTTACGTATTATGTCCGAAAGTAATGTATTGTACTAAAAACGTCAAATATTATATCAAAAGGTTACATATTAAGTCAAAATTTTACATACTATATCAAAACGCTACATATCGCACCCACAGTGCAAGACTGCAGTAACTCAAAATTGTATAAAAATGAAGTAATCATGGAATTCGATTGTAAACATGCATATCTATCCCCTGTAAAACTTTAGTAACTTTATTAGTATATACTTTTATTAGTAACTTTAGTAACTTTAAACATATTATCTCAAAACGTCGGGTATTTTGTCAAAACGTTACGTACAAAGTGAAAAGCGTTAAGTATAATGTCAAAACGTAAAATATTATGACAAAAACTTGACGTATTATGTCCAAATGTTAAGTATTGTACTGAAAACTTCACCTATTACATCAAAATATCACATATTGTGTCAAAACAACACGCATTGTATCAAAAGGCCACGTATTATATTAAAATGTGGTTTTTATATGCTAATAAATGACGTTTTGGCATAATACGTGTTCTAAATTATTGGTGGGACGTCTCAACTAATGAGATCGTTACCAAAAGCTTATTTACTGACCTGCGCAACACAGTTCTGGAATAAATATTACAACTAATATACATAATATTAATATCAACAATTTATTGTAATAATATTGATACTATATTTACCTGCAATTGTTGGTCTCCATCCTGCAAAATCAGGACCGTAATAGGAAAATTCGTAGAAATAAACTTCACTGTACTCCGACTGAAGGAGGGCATGTTGAATAATACCTCTAGCGAAAGACGTATCACTGAAGAACTAAAAATAATTTATTTAATAATAAATGTGTGTTCAATTTAAAATTTTTTTAAGACATTCTATGTGGCACACTCTACAGCAGTGGTGGCTCGTATCACTTAGTACCAGATTTCGGGCAGCTGCCGAAATTTTTAGTAACGGGTTCACGATATTGTCAAAAAAGGAATAAAATAGAAATTTAAAAAAAATGTGCGCGGATACTTTTACATTATGTCGATTTCTACTAACTACTTGTCAAAACAGTTACAATAAAACCGATGATCATCCATCACCAGCAATCCAGGATAGTTTGAACTATGTTTTCCGAATCATTAATTAATATTTCTTGTACCAGCATGTAAGTAGTATTATCTTATACCAATTTGTGGGTTTTTACTTTGTCTGCTTCATCAATTTTATTCATATTAATAATCACAGACATGTAATATTGGCATAATTACTGTAATTGTTATCTTTATAAAACAGCACCCTAATGTGGGTCTTTGTTATTTCAGCACTTAATTTACCTAGTACCGTTAGACCTGAAGATGCTCAGCAAATTGTGATAAGCGAAACCGGTTGTTTTGGTGGTAAAATTAAATTGATTGTGAGTAAGTCTTATTTTATTTCTTTTTACCTAGTTTTCTTAAATGTAGGACAGCAAAGGTTTTGTCTACTTAAACATTGTTTTTCAATTTTTAAATGGGATGTAGGCCTACATATTTCATTAATTTGTAGTTTTTTGACCAAAATTAACAGGCAGTAAGGATGTAGTGCCATAACTCTATGACACTACCTCACGAGCCGCCACTGCTGTACAGTATAAAATGTTCCCAGTGTTAACATCTTTATTTCCGTATAATATTATCCTCGAAAATACAGGTCAATTTTATTTTTAAATGGAAAAACTTTACTGATTTTAGCCATTTTTACCTTACTCTTTAATCCCTTATAAAACTAAATGTTATCTTTACGACTTTATATGGGAAGAGGACAAGTGGCATATCATTTTAATAGGAATTTCTTCGGTAGCAGTTTAATTTACTATTTTTGATAGCAAAAAAGCGTTTTTAAAGGTTATCATAGTAATTAGAACTTGCTACATTGAGATTAACAATTGAAAAGTTATTATGTAAATAAAAATGATTTTATAGAGACTTATTTTAGCTGAAATGGAAAGTAATAATGATGCAAAGTTAAAAAAAAATCCAACTGAAGTAAATAGAAAAGATTGAGTGAAATTAAATGCTATTAATACAGCTTACCTTAACCGCTCTTCCAAAATTGTCTTGGATCAGTCCATCTACGTAAACTTTTCTAATAGCGTTACCAACCTCTTCTCTAACGGTTTGGTCAGTCAAATGCATGTCATCGTTTACAAATTTGGTCACGTTATTATCGTATGTTTCCAAAAGTGCTTTAAAACTAGTAGCGTCTGAAAACCACAAACATTACGAAGAATCCCTCAGTTAGATATACATATATTACAATATATATATATATATATATATATATATATATATATATATATATTTATTTCGACTATATAAGTAAGTAAACACAAAATGTTTTTCACTAACTCTACTTTTATCGTGCTTAACTTGTCTTTGAGATTTTACTTCACAAAAGTATCTATTATATTTAGTACCAGATTTTTTCTTATTAGTATTTCTTTTAAATCTTTTCTTTAACCATAATCAAACTTATTCCTAAACTTTTTACTAAGCCAAGTTGATCAATATTATCCGTGCCTTATTTAGAATGAGATACATACCTCAAGATGGAAAAGTGACAGGGGTAATTATGGTAACGAGGATATTAGTAGTATGTTTTTTTCCACTCTGTATAAAAATGAAATTTGCGTCTTACAAACCTTCGAAAAATAAAAACGAGAAAGAATACTCTAAATGTTTATTTACACAGCAATCACTGTCTTGCTTTTAATTCGTTTTTCTCTAAAAGTTCCTATTAAACACTTTTAATTTGCATCTCAAAAAACTTCGACTAGACTAAACATAACCCAACTGTTTATTTATATTGACAGAAGTCAATGACTTTATAAATATTTAGTACTACTTGACTATCGCCAGTCAAATGCAAGTTTAGATGCAAGTAGATTTTAGTGATAGATGCAAAAAGAACACTGATTACTATTTTATTAGGACAAACGGATAGCAAATAAAGTTGAATGATAGTCTATCTGTCCATTACAACTTTACTATTAGAAAATAATGTATATACATAATCAAATAAAGGTAAATAACACTCAGATATCCTATGGCAATACAACAAAGGATTTCGGTCTCGGAATGCTAGTCTTCGTTGGAAAATAGAAATCAAAAACTCCACTTTGTCTATACATAACAAATTTTGTATACAGTAATCATGTTTGTGGCTGTGCCAGTAAAAGCAACATTAAGCAATTTGTTCAACGATTAGTAAACAAAGTATTAAAAAATATTCGATACACTTTAAGATAGTAGCAAAGGAGGTCTTTAGAAGAGGATAATACCAATCTAATGAGAAAAGTGGAGAAGACTACGCCTTTTGAATCAGTTCAGTATGTTGTTCAATAACAGTTAATCAAATCAATGTATTTTTACAGAAGCTTAATTTTCACCTCCGATATTTAAAAAAAAATTAATGAAATTAAACATATTACAAACCGGTGAACACAGTTTTTGTTTTATAATAATAAATTCCATACAAGACACACTGTATTGTATAACTACAAAGTTCCTTCTGACATCTGTCTTTTAATATTTATACCATAGTTATCACGTAAGTCATATCTGTGTGAAATTTTCTTTAAGTATACTTATTTTGAGTTACCAAAAAATTATTTTTTCCACTCCACTACAATGCATTGTTATAATAATGTTGTATATTCTTATAATGTTTATTATATTGCTTCCATTAAGAGCTCTATATAGTGGAACTCTAGGGGTAGTTTACCCTCTGCATGTGGTTGATTAACTCAAACTTATTGGTTACTCATAATAACTTTATTGGTTCTCTAAATATAATAATAGAGAGAGTACCCAGTTGACGGATGACAACACTAGCTTCAATGTTCACTCTTAATTCTTAATTCTTAGTGAATCTATTTCCGTTATTTTTCGGGTATTTAACTCACGTGCGTTTTGTTTATGTGTTCATGTTTTTTAAATATAATTTGTACACATTATTTAATAAGCTTTTGATTACATTGCAAATTTCACTAGGTCAGCGCGTGTTCTAGTTACACCGATATTTTTAACGTCATAAACAAACAAACGCATTTAGCAATAAGCAATGAATAATATTATTGAAAGGATTTTAAATTTTAAACTAAATTGGGTTACTTAGATCTGATTTCTGGATGCTTAATTAAATCCCGTTACAGTGTGTATTATTTTTTCATCATAGAAGATTTAATTACAATACTGTAATTTTTATCGTTAAAAAAACTATCTTCAACTACATTTTTTACTACAATTTAACATTTGTCTGGTACTTTATTTGATATTTTAATTTATAAAACTTGTAAGAATAGAATTGGACATATTTAAAAGGAAAAATATTTGTTTAATATACCATTGATAAAAACTTACTTGCAGCATCCCAAATTCTTTCTTCAGACGATATGCCAATAATAATTGGTACTTGCAGCATGTGACCATTTTCAATTGCAGAGTACATCGGTTCAGTTATTAAAGCATCTTCACCTTCAGGTTCTACTACAGGGGCAAACATGAAGCCGCTGATCAATTGGTCTTCAAACTGAAAAATATACCAATTCAAATAAACAAAGTTTTTTTTGGAAAATATGTCAGTGTCAGTATTCTTTCGAAAGTTATATAAATATATTATTAGGAGAATAAAATGATGATTGTACGTATAAGTAGTGAGAAGAAATATATGATCATCTGACGTTAGAATCAATATCAATGCACATCAGTATCAATGTATCCTCGATATGCTATTGACTTATTTCTTTTTCAATATAGGTAATATGATCGTATTACATTTTGCCGAGATATTAGCGACGCTATTGATTTAATTATATTAAAAGCAGCTTCTTTAATTTTTCTTTTATTTTACCATCAGTTTACCATATATCATACGTTTAATTGCATTCTATGTTCAGTTTTTCCTGCATATTTAAATACCTGAGATCCAACAAATTCTTTATTTTTCATATAAGATATTTATGGTCTATTAAAATATATATATAACATATTTCTCTATGTTTACTTTTTCTAACATTTATTGGTCTTGATGTTTCACGTAAATAAAAATGTTCGCATTCACAAGGTATTTTATAAACACAATTTCTTTTTTATTGTTTATTAGGTTTGACTTTAGGTAAAATAGATTTCAATGTCCGTAAACTAATTTATATATATATATATATATATATTATATATATATAATATATATATATATATATATAAGCGAGGTTCCTACAGCCTCTGCCGTTTCTCGCATTTCGACCGCCATCGTTTTCTGTCCATCCATTCGTCTTCTCTGATGGCTCTATCTCTCATTATGTGCCGTACATTATCTTCCCAGGCAACTGAAGGCCTTCCCCTTCTTCTTCTTTGTTGTGGTATGTAATTTAAAGCTTTCTTTGGCCATCTATCTTCATTCATTCGTTTCACGTGACCATACCACACTAGTTGCCTCGTTTCAATTCTATCTACACTGGAATATACAGTATTTGTCCTCCTTCTAATATCTTCATTCCTGATGTGATCTTTTTTGGATATACCACACGCTCTCCTTAGAAAATCCATTTCTACTACTTCTATTCTTTTTCTATCCTTCTGCGTTATCTGCCAAACCTCTGCCCCATAAGTCATAATAGGCTCTACCAAGGTTCGATAGATTGTCAATTTCGTTTCTTGTCTAATATCTTTAGACCAAAGTAGAGAGTTTAGAATGTTTACCACTTTTTTTCCCTGCTGTGTTCTGTTTTCGATGTCTCTTTTGGTAGTGCCTTCTTTAGATATTATAGATCCGAGATATTTATATTCATTGCATGTTTTTGTGTTTCTAATTTCTAACTCTGGATCTTCTTCACCATCTCCTATTTTAAGATACTCTGTCTTTGCCATATTCATATTGAGGCCCCATTTTTCATATTCTTTCTTTAGTTTTCTAAACATGTAGTCCATGTCTTCCTCGTCATTCGCTACGACTACCTGATCATCTGCGAAAAATAAAGCTGTTAGACATTCACCACCGCCTATGTCTATTCCCATTCCGGATACTTGTTTTCTCCACTGCTCTAGCGATGATTGAATATATATTTTAAACAGGGTCGGAGACAGACAACATCCTTGTTTAAGCCCCTTGGTTATTGGAAATGATTCAGATATAAAGTTTCCTTCTTTAACGACACTTCTTGCATTTTTGTATATATTTGCGATAGCATCCACATACTCTCTACTGAGACCTACTTTCGTCAATGTATAAAACAGCTTTTTCAAAGGTACCGTATCATATGCCTTCTCTAAATCTACAAACAATAGGTGGGTAGATAGATTCCTTGCCTTCCGTTTTTCGATTACCTGCTGCAGAACGAATATATTATCAATGCACGATCTTCCTGCCCGAAATCCATTTTGTTCCTCTATGTCTTCATATTCTGATTCAATTCGTTTTTTTATTATTCGACCGTACAACCTCCCAACTGAGCTAGTAACAGTTATTCCTCTATAATTAGAGCAATTGCGTTTATCCCCTTTTTTGTATATTGAGCTGATGTATCCAACATTCCAATCATCAGGGATATTTTGTCCTTTTAAGCATTTATTAAATAGTTTAACCATCATCTCGTGTAATATTTTTGGTCCATACTTTACCAACTCAATTGGGATGTCTCCAGGTCCTGCTGCTTTACCGTTTTTTCGATCTTTTGAGGGCATCGCTTAACTCTCCGGTTGTTATCTCAATTATTTGTGTATGTTCAGATATTTCTTCCATTTCGATATCTTGGAATTTACGTCTATCCTCTGTCAATAAGACCTCATAATGCTGTTTCCACTGTTTCAGATCTATTAATTTTAAGTTAGATTTTTCCTTTCCTTCCCTCCGGAGAGACTTTATCACCTTCCACGCTTGCCCAACTCTTGTTCCACCCATATACCTATCCACCTCTGCACATCTTCGATCCCACATCTCATTTTTACTTTTCACTACTTCTCTTTTTACATCTCGATTTAATTTCGTATATACCTTGTGATCTTCCTCCTTTCTCGTTGACATCCATTTCTGATAAGCAGTTTTCTTCTTGTTTACTAACGTTTGCATATTCTCCGACCACCATTCTTGATTTTTTGTTGCATGTTTGTCTTTATACCCCAAAGCTTCACTTGCAGCCTCATGAATGTACTTTTTAAGTTGTTGGTATAATTCTTCCGCTGTTATATTTTCTCGATCCACATTTTGTAATTTTGTGGCCAGTCGTAATTTGTAAAGAAATTTTGTTGAATCTTCTTTTAAGCTTTCTAGGTTATATTTAGGAGATGTTACTTTTTGTCCCTTTTCTATATTCTGTACCTGAGTGTTATTGTTTTTGCGATAGTTAACTATCACATTGGCCATAAGTAAATGATGGTCGGATCCACATTCTGATCCACGGTATACCCTTACGTCAGTTGTTTTCAGCTGGGAAGTTTGACGTTGGATTACAAAGTCGATTATCGAGCGCAGATTCCTAGTAGGTTGTATCCATGTAAATTTGTGGATGTCTCTATGTTGAAAAAATCCATTCATAATTTTGAGAGACATTATTTCACAAAAATCTCTAAGACGCATTCCGTTGTCATTGGTTATTTGTTCTCCATATCTTCCTACGACTCTGCTATTTTCTTCTGTCCCTACTCTGCCGTTTAAATCTCCTAGTATAAAGATTTCACAGTTTTCTTTAACTTCAGAGAGTATTTCATTCATATTGTCGTAGAAATCGTCTTTACTTTCTGGATTTGCATCTTCGTTTGGGGCATATACTCCGACAATTACGATATTGTGCCCATTCTTTTTCATTTCCAGTATTAGTAGTTGTTCATTTACTTCAGTCCACGATTTAATGTTGTTTTTAAGATTTTTTCGAATGGCAATAGAGACTCCCCTCTTAGCTCTGTTATCTTTACTCACTCCGCTGTAGATATGTATATATTCTCCTATCTCTTCATTTCCTTTTCCCTTTTTCTTGGTTTCTGTGAGAACACATATATCTATTTTTCTTTCCGCTAATTCTTTGAATACTTCTGCTTGTTTGGTTCTCAGTCCTTGTACATTCCATGTAGCCAATATCATTTTCCTTTTTCGTTGCATTAGTCGTCTTTGTGTTGATCCATCCTTTGTATTCCGAGGCTTTTGGTCGAAATTTTTAGCATTAATTTCTTTTGACAAGGGACGAGTTGCTAGCCCATCGCCTCAACCCTCCTCCTTTATCCGGGCTTGGGACCGGCATCGGCATTTACTGAGCTACTCAATTCACCCAGTACTTACTGAAGGCGGAGTTTCGTAAACTAATTTTAGAAACCAAATTCAGATGTTTGCTTTAATCTGTGCCTTCGAAGAATTGCAAGGCAAAACAGACGTTGATAAAGATGTTATTAGAGACATGCGGAATTTATAATTTGCATTTCACGACATATCTTTTTAACTAGGCAAACATCCTTAGCGAATTATTGTATGTAATAATTATTGTGTTGAACCACGTACATAGATGGTTCAAACAGAAATAATTAATGGTCTTCGTTTTTCTTCTACTGTTCCCTGTAAAATTAGTTGCAGCAATCCATGTCTTTCACTGTTCCTCACGATGTGACCGAGTTATTTAATGTTGGCTATTTTTATAGATCTTGCTTTCTCTATTCTACATTTGATTTATAGGGAGTAGTCCCAATTTTCATTGGCATTCGTACCAAGACAGTTATGTGTTTTTATTCTTTTGTATCTAATATTATTGGTACATTTTTCATTAATTTGAATTCTGGCTTTACCTCTCTATAGGTGTATAGGTATAGGTATAGGTCTCTCTACTGCTTCTTAAAATATTTCCACAAAGTATATGTTATATTAGCAGGGGTGATAATGTTCAACCCTATCGGACCCCACGTTTGATTTTGGTATCATTGGATTCTCCTGCCTCTTTGCAGACAGATAATGTTTGATTTTATTAAAGATTGCTAGTTATTCTTAGATCACAGGTGTGAAACAATATACAATGTAGTTATATTATCTATCTCCCTGCTACAGTCTATATTGCAAGGTAAAGTCAAAGGTAAGCGAGGACCCGGTAGAAGGAGAATATCAGGGCTGCGGAATTTAAGAACATGCGGAACATGAATTTAAGAAAACCTCAACGGAGCTGTTTCGAGCCGCAGCGAGCAAGGTTATGATTGCCAATATGATTTCCAACATCCGAAACGGATAAGAACCAGAAGAAGAAGATATTATCTACAGGGTGATTGATTAGTGCGAGGAAGCTCAATAGATCTGTTATAGTAAAAATTACAAAAAAAAGTTATTAACAAAAATTGTAGGCAGCTTTAAACTCCATATTTTAAAATTAGTTACAATCCTACAGGGTGTTCCATAAGATGGTGGCAGACCAAACTTATGTTTTTTTAAATGAAACACCCTGTATTTTATTTTAAATTTAAAATCTGCTTCACTTCCACATTACAACAATGTAAAGTTTTATTATGTTATACCGGGTATTTAAAAAGTTATAACCAATATTACCTGAAAATCGTATCAAGTTTAACTCCCTGTATAATTAAAAAGGATTGTAGGAACATTGATCTATTGCAACCATAGTTTTTTAATAATTGTTAAAAACTATAAAACATATTCATTTTTCAAATATTCGTTAAATCAAATACAGGGTAAGTCAAAATGCAAGTACATTATTTTCTTGGTAATTTTAAATAGAACACCCTGTATTTTATATCACTATCGAAAACAACTAATATCGTACTTCATATTTTATGAAGTACTCCCTATACCTAAAGTTATTAGTTTTAAAGATATTTTTATTTTTCCATCAAAGTATTAATTTGGTAGATATTTTAACGTTTACCAATAATTATTGTGAGTTGGCCATGATTGATTTGTCAGAAACTGACAGTTTGACATTAATATTTATTAATTCAGTATTGGGGTACACCGTAAATTAGCAACAATTATTATTTAGTAATTCAGTAATTGATTCAATTTAAATTAGCAATAATGAATTTTACTACTGATGAAATGGTAGATATGATCTGGATATTGGGGGAATGCAATAAAAATTCATTACTATCAGCTAGAATTTATCAAGAATGGTTTCCAGATAGGCGACAACCTAGACAAGATACATTTGAAAAATTGAAAGATCGATTTAACCGCACTGGTTCAGTGAATTATGAAAAACATGAACGAACAAAAACTAGTGTGACAGAGGAAAACGAAATGAGTGTGTTGATGGCGGTTACAGAAAACCCACACACAAGCATAAGGACTATTTCCAATGAACAAGAACTTAGTTACTACTCTGTTCAAAACATTCTATCTAAAAACAAGATGCACCCTTATCATATTCAAAAGCACCAAGAATTAATTAATGATGATTTTCAGAAACGATAGTATTTTGTGAATGGGCCTTAGAAAAAATTAATGAGCAGAGAGATTTTTTTGATTATGTCCTATTTGGTGATGAAGCTACATTCCATCGAAACGGTTCTTTTAATGGGCATAACTTTCACTACTACTCAACAAGTAATCCATACCACATAGTAACACTTAGTCAAACAAGATGGTTTCTAAATGTGTGGGAAGGTATCGTCGGTAACCATGTAGTAGGACCATATTTTTTTGAAGATAATTTAAATGGTGAGATTCTTTTAGATTTTATCGTAAATCAGTTACCGATATTATTAGAAGAGGTTCCACTTAATATACGTGAAAAAATGTGGTTTCTACATGACGATGCTCCTGTGCACCACAACGAATTAGTACGTGGTGAACTTAATAATCAGTTTGGGAAAAGATGGATCGGAAGGGATGGACCGGTAAGGTGGCCCCCAAGGTCACCAGAATTCAATAAAATGGACTCATTTTTTTGGGGTTACGTTAACAACGAAGTATATAAAATACCCCCAACAACAAGGGATGATATAAAAAATAGAATCCGAATTGCATTTCAAAATATTTCTTTACAAATGCTTAGTAATGTAACCAACTCTTTCAATGACCGTTTTCAAGCATGCATAGATGTTTTGGGAGGTCATTTTGAACACCTTACTTAAGTAAGATAAGTTAAACTTACTGTTGTTTTTAATTTTTCTATGTGTTGTTATATATATTTTTTTTGTGTCGTTAATTCGTTACTAAATTATTAAGCAATAATGTCAAACTGTCAGTTTTTGACAAATCAATCATAACCAACTCACAATAATTATATTGTGAGTTAGTAAACGTTAAAATATCTACCAAATTAATACTTTGATGAAAAAACAATAATATCTAGAAAACTGATAACTTTAGGTATAGGGAGTACTTCATAAATTATGAAGTACGATATTAGTTCTTTTTGATAGTGATATAAAATACAGGGTGTTCTATTTAAAATTACCAAGAAAATAATGTATTTGCATTTTGACTTACCCTGTATTTGATTTAACGAATAATATGGAAACGAATATGTTTTATAATTTTTAACAATTATTTAAAAACTATGATTGCAATAGATCAATGTTCCTATACTCCTTTTTAATTGCACAGGGAGTTAAACTTGATACGATTTTCAGGTAATATTGGTTATAACTCTTTAGATACCTGGTATAACATATAAAACTTTACATTGTTGTGATGTGTAAGTGAAGCCGATTTTAAATTTAAAATAAAATACAGGGTGTTCCATTTAAAAAAACATAAGTTTGGTATGCCACCATCTTATGGAACACCCTGTAAGATTGTAACTAATTTTAAAATGTGGAGTTTAAAGCTGCCTACAATTTTTGTTAATAACTTTTTTTAGTAATTTTTACTATAACAGATCTACTGAGCTTCCCCACACTAATCAATCACCCTGTATATACCTCATAAGCATAATTTTGGTTTTTCAGTAGAGCTCTGTGCAACTTATACTATCTTAAGCGATTATGCTTCCTGATTTTTTTTTGTCTTAAGTGATACAGAAAGGTAGTAAGGTGAAAAGTTTTTGTGGCGCTACTTACTGCTGGTAATCTCCAACTTGCAGATTTCAGATCGTTTGCAGATACCCTTAAAAATAAATCTCTAACCTCTCGCGAAGGGGTATTTTCATCGATGCTTGAATTTAAACTTTTAGCCATCATATAAGCATACTTCCTAGCATTTCGTTGGTAGCTCCACGGCGACAACGACGAACCACTGAGCATAACACCTCCCCAAAACAAACCTATAAAAAAATATTCCGTTTCAAACAAATCATTTAGAGAAAAAAAACTAACTGATAAATATATAAAACATTTTTAGACTTACACAAAGCATTTGGCGCATCACCAAAAGTAAACTCTGATAAGTCTTAAAAGATACAAACATAAATTATATAAATTACTATTTAACTAGGAATAAGCCACAATTACAGATAAAAATACGTTTATTGACGTTTCAATTTCCACTTCGGAAATCGTTCTCAAAATACAAACAGTAAATTGAACAATATAAATTATATAATCTATACTAAGGAGCAAAATATATAGTAAAATTGTAGTAAAATGGGGAAAATATATCAAGAGTATTTTTAGAATTCCCAGAACTTTACACTTTAAGTTTGCAGCTATTTGCTTAACAAAAAATATTATGTTGCTGTTAACTTTGAGTTTACCTTGATTTTTCTTGCTCATGAGTTGATATGCTACAGAAGCACTACCAGCGCTGTGTCCCATGATCGTTACTCTAGTTGGATCTCCACCAAATGACTTAATATTTTCCTGAACCCATTTGAAAGCGAGATGTTGATCTTTCAGACCGAAGTTTCCAGGTATAGATTCATCTTCAGTAGATAAAAATCCTAAAAAATTGTGTTCTATAAAATTGTTGTACTAAAAAAAAATATTACAGTAGGCGTAGCACTGTAGATCAGCACAAAGCTGCATAATATGTTTTATGTATTTTCAAATTTTTAATAATATTCTTAAAATTGAGTAAAGTTTATATTTAGTATTAATAAAAAAATGTAATCTATTATATAACAAAAAAATATTAAAATCCTAAAACCTGTCGCTCTTTCCCTCAACTTCTTCTATGCTACAAATGTGACGCTGATTTGGATTAATAATGCCAACATAGTACTATATTTGTAAAGCCTGCGTGACTTTTATAACACAAGAATGCACTGCTGGAAGCACAGACCTTTCCTAAGCCTTGGAGGACATTGAGGTTAGTACTGCACCCCAAGGCTGGGGAAAAGTATCGCCCTAAGTAAAGGGCAGCACGGGAACGGGGCCAACTGTTATGGAAATTAACATGGAAATCGTTAAGGTTCATTCTGCTCATTTTTGTCTCTTTTTGTGGTGGGGATAAAACGGCTCGTCGAATCGAGACGTGTAGGGTATCGTTGGAAAGCGGTGGTGACGGGGAACACGTTGAGATAAAAATCTACAAACGTTCTGAAGCTGTTCAAAGCATGTTCAAGACCTGATCCAAAGCTGTTCGAGACCTGATCCAGAGCTGTTCAGAGGTTAATCGAATACCTACATTTTTACGATGAATAAAGATTTGTTGAACAGCTTTGAACAGCTTTGAACAAATTTTAAGCAGTTGGCATGACCGGAGCGTGGGGTGAAGATTAGCGCCGTTTTGGCACAGTCTTTGGGTTTGATTTTTATCTCAACGTGTTCCCCATCGCCACCGCTTTCCAACGATACCCTACACGTCATGATCCGACGAGCCGTTTTACCCCCACCACAAAAAGAGACAAAAATGAGCAGAATGAACCTTAGCGATTTCCCACGTTAATGTCCATAAGAGTTGGCCCCGTTCCCGTGCTGCCCTTTTACTGCCCTATCTGTCTCCTTTCATGCATCGGTAAGCTGTAGACAAGTACGCAATACAGCATGATTAAGAGGTCAGGTGGTCGATCTCGAAGGCAATTTGGTTTTTGTATAAGGAAAAGCATGGGGGAATGAACATCGCTCTGCGGCCCTGCTGTTGTTCGATGTTAGGAATGCATTCAATACACTGCAGTGGAACGAGGTAATGAAGGCAATGGAGGGGAGAGAATACCCTTTTTACTTGATAAATGTTGTGGCGGAGTATCTGTCTGAGAGAAGGATTATGGTGGAGAACTATAGTAGTGACTTTGCACCAGAAGGGAAAATGAGAAGAGCAAGTGCAGGATGTGGACAGGAAGGCTACGAATATTGCGGCTGCGTTAGGGAGGGTAATGTCAGGGTAGTGTCGGTACCAGTCTGGGGCGAAGCAGTAGAGGTAAGGCTTATGACACAAGTGGACAGAACAAGTCTGTTGCTTGTGGCATACACCTACAGGACTGTGTTTGTGGGAGCCTTGTGGGCCATCACAGGATGTATTCTGTTGCATGTTTTGATGGTGGAAAGAAAAAAAGCTCTATAAGTAAAGAAATTCAAACCTTACTATGGTTGAGAGAAGACAGGGAAGAGAAAGGTCAATTAAAAGATGCTGATCCCGAATATAAGAGATTGGATGGACTCTGGATACAGATGACTGGAATATTTCCCAAAGCAGGTGCTCACAGGACACGGGTGTTTTAGGGCCTACCTCTCTAGGTTCGAAAAGGCTGACACAGATGAATGCTCATACTGTGGACACTCGGACACTGTGACACATAGAGCAAACTCAACTAATCTTGCAGGGAAAAGTAGAAGGAAAACGGGGACCAGGAAGGCGAAGGATTTCCTGGCTGAAAAATCTACGAACGTGGTTCAACACAACAACCACAAATCTTTTTAGAGCAGCAGTGTGCAAAGTGCAGATTGCCATGATGGTCGCCAACATCCGAAACGGTCAGGCACTACAAGAAGAAGATGCAATCAATAGAATTTATCACTTCCATTGACCAGTTACAGGAAATTTACATTTGGGTGGGGAATTTATGGGGAAGCCCGAGGTAGAAGTGGCAAAATTTGTTGCATCCAAAATTGACATGTTTTGTAAAATTTAGCTTATTCGTATGATTTTTTGAGGTTCAGTGGTATTTTCTCTCTGACGGCTAGAGTATATAAATTAAATATATTTGATGATTGAAATGGTATATGTTTTTATGTCGATAAGCACTTAAATAAGTATATTTTTTACTCAAATGCTCTTTCTATGTTTACAAATATACACAATGTCACTTCTTTTGACTTCGTAGCATTTTCACGATGGTTATTAAGACAATTCAAGTTTTCCTGGCAAAGTATACTAATAATGGAATAATATATGATAAACATCATAGACCATCAGTTGTACTCACCCATTAGGCCAACTCTGTAATTTGCTGTTACTACGATGACGTCATGTTCCATCATGTAATGAGGACCAATTGTGTCAAAGGTTGCATATCCAACAACAAAACCTCCTCCATAAATAAAAAATATCACAGGAAGCGATGCGTTTGAAGAGGGATACTAGAAAAAAAATTTAAACAAAAAACAAAATAAAATATTTAGGAATAATAGATTTCTTGAACCTCTAGAGGTTCTCCAAATGTTAACCGGATCTTTCAGAGAGATTCTTAAGAAATGATATTTTATTGGGTTTTACTAAAATTCATTCTGTCAATCATTATCTACGTCACTAAATTTGAATTTTATAGAACATAATCAGTTTTAAGCAAAAATATATTTAAATTTGGAGAATTGACACTTAAAATTAAAAAGATGCAGGTACTCTGCTGTTGTTGCTTAAAGTATATATTTAGAAATATTAAATACATAATATATATTAGATTTTTATTGCCAGATAATAAATCCTAGATACTAGAAACACTATATTCTTACCGTAGGTGTGTAGACATTCAAATATAAACAATCTTCTGTTTCTTCTAGAGCTGGATCATTCACCACTCCTTGTTGTACGCAAACTTTTCTGTTTTTTACCGTATCAATAACGCCTTCCCAGCTATCAGCAGGTTGTGGAGCCTAAAAAAATATAGTAAATTAAGTTGCTGGTGTAGTACTACGTCCAGGGTTTTATACTTGGATGAGGTACTATAAATCAAATACTAAACGTATCAAATACTAAACAGATCATTGAAAAATTTAAGGGAATTCAACATCACAACATAATATTATATGGATTTCAATGATTAGAGCAAGACTTGATTTGAAGGGTCTTTGAGTTGAAAAAGTTGTAGTAAATTTTCATTGAAATAAGAATGCTAAACCTCAATAAGTTTAAAAACTAAGTAAAACTTTCCTGTTATTAAGGAAGTAACGCAGTGTTGCTATTTAGCCTATGAGGGGAATCGATTATCCATAAGGCTAGTGTGGAAGATAGTTAGAATAACGATGCCACTAGAGATGGAACAAAAATCTTTAATGTACAATATATAGATGACAGAGCTATTCGTATAGAGAGAATTTCTTGGACAACCCAGCACGCAGAACAAATATATCAGCCGTAGAACAACTAAACATCAAGAAAAGTTCAGAGCACATATAACAAAAAAAATAAAATCCTATTTTGGTAAAAATGTAAAGGTAAAGGTAAATGTTGTTAAAGGTAAAAGAGTCAGAGGCAGATCCCTACAAGGTACTAAAACTAAGTCGGTTAAAACCCACGAAGTGTTGTAAGTAAGTAAGTAAGTAAGTAAGTAAGTAAGTAAGTCTTTTCAGCATTCCCATTTAAAGTCGGTAAAATAATGGACCGGAAGATCGAAAAGATCGAGAAGATCGAGAAGCTTTCGCAATGGTGATCGCCAACGTCGGATAAATCTGATATGGCACGCGAAGAAGAAGAAAATAATGGACAAAACAACAATAAAGATTAAAAAACATAAATTTATTTTATATTCGCAGCTAACATATATTAATTTAAAGCTATTAATATTGTGTCCTTCTAGATTATCTATATGTGTGTGTGTTTTAATGTTCGTTCTTCGTTCGTTGTTAAAGCTGCAGGTGTGGATGATATATGCAGTGAACAAATAAAGCATTTAGGCCAAGGAGCAAAAAACTGGATCTTGCAATTTTATAACACGTGCTGCAAAACCTGCAAAATTCCAAAATCATGGAGGAAATCTAAAGTAATAGCCTTGTTAAAACCAGGAGGGATCCAGAAAACCCCAGTAGCTACAAACCTATTTCGCTATTGTGTCATTTTTTTAAACTATACGAGAGACCCATATATTTTGGTGGCTCATAGCATGTATACCTCGTTTACACTGATGATGGATTTAACAATCCGAAAACGTTTTGTAACATATTTGTCATAGCCCGTTTAGGCATTTTATTATATACCTTTTATAAATGATTTAAGATAAATTTTTTTGTGATATATGGTATACAGCCAGCTACAGGAACTTAGTTTCCTAGTGGAATTTTATACGAGAGACTCATACCCGCCAGAATAGAACAAAATCTCGATAAGCACCTCATCCCACAACAAGGAGGATTTAGACCTGGCAAATCTTGCACCGGTCAAGTCCTCGCATTAACAGAACACATTGAAGAGGGCTTTAAAGAAAAACTTACAACAAGGCTGCTTTTGCAGATCTGACAGCAGCCTATGACACAGTAAGGCACAAAACATTGCTCCGCAAATTATACGACACTCTCAATGACCACCATCTGGGAAAGGTCGTATATTCCTTACTCCAAAATAGACGTTTTTTCATTATGCTGGAGGGTAAAGTAAGTAGGTGGAGAGTTCAAAAAAACGGCCTCCCACAAGGAAGTGTTTTAGCACCAATGCTCTTCAATATATACACAAACGACCAACCTACTCCGACCGAAACCAAGCACTTCCTCTATGCTGACGATCTTGCAATATGTGCTCAAGGAAATAGTTTTGAAGAAGTGGAGAAGAAACTCGAAACTGCCTTAAAAACAATGACAGCGTACTACCTGCAGAATTCTCTGAGACCCAATCCCTCTAAAACCCAAGTCTGCGCTTTCGACCTTCGCACAAAGGAAGCCAAGTGAAAACTCCAAATTGTGTGGAATGGTAATGCATTAGAACACACAAACCAACCTATATATCTTGGAGTAACTCTGGACCGGTCCCTCACCTACAGACAACATTGCATAAAAACAAGAGGGAAAGTAACAACTAGGAACAGCATACTCAGAAAGCTAACGGGAAGTAAATGGGGCGCACGTCCTGGCGTTTTAAGAACAACGGCACAGGCACTGTGTTTCTCAACTGCTGAATATGCGTGCCCCGTTTGGAGCAGATCTACCCACACCAAACAAGTTGATACTGCGCTAAATGAGACATGCAGGATAGTAATGGGGTACATGAAACCAACGCCACTTTCAAATCTATATAGAGCAGCGGGTTTTGCAGAACCCTCAACACGCAGAGGCGCTGCAGAACATATAGAGAAAATTAAATAGATCGCGGACGATCGGCATGCCCTATACAAAGCTCGAACACCATGAAAGCGACTAAAATCTAGAAAAAGCTTCCTTGGAACAGTGCAGGATGAACCGCCTAAGTATTTTCCACTTCCCCAGGTTCAATGGACCGGCCAGACCCTAGAGTTTAAAATGTGAAAAACCTTGAATAAGATAAGAACGGGGGTTGCTACAGTAAAATCAAACATGGCAAAATGGGGAAAAATAGACCAAGATTATGTAAACTGTGACTGTGGAGAAACACAGAATATGGAATATCTTCTTACATGCAGAAACTGTCCTCATCGATGTGCCCTTGAAGATTTGTGGCTCGCCAACAAAGATGGAACCGACGTAGCCCGATACTGGGCCGAAATTTTATGAATGACATGTCCGGACACGATAAAGTAATGTTCGTTCTAGTGTTTTAAATATGCAAATTTTTTGTTTAGCATATCATCATCTTCTTCTTCTTAGTTCAGGCGAGATTCTTAAATCTCTGGCATTTGTTATAATACATGTTTATACTTATAGACTTTTGCATACTATGTTTTTTTTTTATTAAATTCCAGTAAGTCCTGTGGTTTTAACAATTTCCTCACTGGTAGTTTTAGGATCTCTTCTGATTCAATCCTAGTTGATTGAACCTGACACATATCACTTACATATTGGCATATTATATTGCAGCCTTATATTTGATATTGCACGTGTCATACCATTGTCAAATTTAAGCTAAATTGAGGATCTTTATGCTTTCGAGAAAAGTCTTAAAATATTTAATGAATGGATTTTTTAAAAGTTTCTTATTTTAACACATTTTATCTAAGTATTCCAAAAAGATAATAGTGAAAAAACTTATTTAAAGGAAGTAAATATTTGTGCTTACCTTAAATCTTAAATCTCCAACTGGAGGCTTAGCGAAAGGAATCTCTTGGAAAGCATAAAATGATATTCCCCTTTGGGAGTACTCTTGTCGACCTCGAATAACGCCTTTTGTTGTCGTGACCAAAATATCTGCGTTCTAAAATGTAAAAATATGTTATTTTATGTAAATAAAATAATTTAACTAAAGTCAAGTTGATTAAACTTAGAAAGAAATATTAGTGCAAAATAAACAAGACTGATTGCAATCGATGCAAATTTTTAGCAAAGCTATATTAACAATTACTATAGAAAATTTTTAACTTACCACAGATATAAAAATGCCTAGAAACAATAGCAATTTTATAATATACATTTTGTTGTACGAAAATAAAGTTATAAATATTGTTTATATACAATTTTTAATTATCTCTGAGAGGTTCTTATTTGTTTAAAGATATGTTCTAATTTTATACGAAGTGCACTTAAAACAATAGTCCACAATTATGTCAGAATGATGAAGAGTGTCGATTAATATTTGATGCAAAAATATTTTATGAACCTGTTGCCGCAAACATTTTCTTTATTTTTTGGATAAAACTTTTTTATTTTTATTTTTTATGATGTGGCAATATACAACACAGCTCTAAATTTTCACCCTTCTATCACTTTCTTTAGGGTGTCTGTCCGTTCCGAACGTTGGCGATCATTTTGGCTATGATGACTTTGTTGTCTGCTATACGAAATAGCTGTGTTGAGGTCTTTCTGTACAATGCTCTCAGGTTAGCAAGCCAGGATATTCATCTTCGTCGTGGGGCCCTTTTTCAATTTTACCTTACAAAATGCATTGGAGTAGCTCATATCTGCTTTGATTTTTACTGCATGATATGTCATAAGTACTGCAGCTTACGGCCCTTCACGATATTGACCAAATCCGCGGTTGTGTTAATCCTTCGTAGTACTTTTTCTAAATATAGATATACTTGGGGTTAGCGATATACAATGGTAAGGAAATGGAAAAATATCAATAAATAACCACAATATTTATTACACTGGAGGAGACAAAACTCATTATCGATGCGGAGTAGCTTTCATCATAAGCAACACTATTAGAAAATCAGTGCAAGGTATAATTCAAATCTCAAAAAGAATAATACTGCTAAAAATTCAAGCATAGACCTGTAATATTAATATGATTCAAGCCTATGCTCTAAAGTTTTTTCAGAATGGCACAATACAATCAAGTTAACAAAATATAGAGATATTACTTACATTTTAGGAGACTTTAATGCAAAAATTGAGTAGGTACAGTTGAAAATAACTAAGTTCTATAAAGATCTGGAAACAGCAATAAGACTAACAAAGAAAGAGGACATAAACATAATAATGGGCGACTTTAACGCCAAGGTGGATAAAGGAAGATATGAAGACATAATTGGAGAGTACGGCCTTGGAGTTAGAAATGAAAGAGGCGACCTGCTGTGTGAATTCTGCCAGGAGAACGGTTTTGTCGTCATGAACACTGGTTTCAGCTCCCACCTCGTAAGTTATATAATTGGAGATCACCAAGAGACCGTTCAAATCGAATAATTAGAAACCAAATTGACTACGTTTTAATAAACAGAAGATTTCGTAACGCTATCAAAAGAATCGCAGCATATCCAGGTGCTGATATTGCATCCGATCATAATCCGCTAATAGCAGATGTGAGGTTAAAACTAGCAAAAATTAAGAGAACAAATACAAATACCAGCACACCTATAAATACAAGAGAACTGATGAGAGACGAAAATCTGAAGAAGAGTTATGCAAATTAACGAAAGAATGCGAGTAATAGAACAAAATGATGATATCGCAGAGATGGTTAATGATATTAAAGGAACGATTCTAGCAGTAAACAGGGAAGTTAAAACACAGATTAGAAAGAGAAAGCGTAACGAATGGATGACGGACGAAATTATGGATCTAATGGAAAAGCGAAGGCAATATAAACAACAACGTAATCAAGACAAATACAAACAGATACACAAAGAAATCCGTCAGAAAATTAAGAAAGCAAAAGAACGTTGGATGGTGGAAAGGTGCAACGAAGTAGAACAATTGCAGGAAAAATGAGATAGTTTTGGACTGCATAAGAAGATCAAAGAAATATCGAATATACACAAAAGCCACCACAGAACAAGAATACGCAACGACAGAAACAAATACATAGAGTCAGAAGAGGAGATAGCAATGGCGTGGAAAGAATACGCAGAAAGTCTTTTTAATGACGAAAGACCAACACAACCAACGCGCAAACTTCATTCCGAAAACTTATCAGGGCCATCAATAATGCGAAGTGAAATAGAATATGCAGTTAGAACCACAAAGATGCATAAAGCAACAGGTCCAGATGAAATTAATATAGAAGCAATAAAACTACTAGACAAGGAGAATATCGAAATCTTGGTAAGGCTGTTCAATAGAATTTATGATAGTGGTTACATTCCGCGAGAATGGCTGCAGTCATCCTTTGTGATGATCCCAAAAACAGCTAATGTCACAAAATGCAATGAACACCGCTTAATCAGTTTAATGAGTCACTTGTTGAAACTCTTCCTTAGGATATTACACTCAAGAATGTACAAGATGTTAGAAGAACTTAGCGGGTCAACACAATTCGGTTTTAAGGGAGGACTAGGAACAAGAGAGGCAATTTTATGTTTGAACACCTTAATACAAAACTGCTTAGATCAACGAAAAGATGTCTATCTCACCTTCATCGACTACGAGAAGGCATTTGACAATGTTAAATATGATATCATGATGGAACTACTACATAGGGCCAACATTGACCAGAAGGAGATCAGAATTATTCAGAATCTATACTGGAACCAAATGGCAAAGGTGAGGATTGATCAAGACCAATATATGGATAAATTTGAAATCCGAAAAGGTGTCCGCCAAGGCTGCATACTCTCTCCAATGCTTTTTAATTTATATGTTGAAAATATATTTGCGGAAGCATTAGAAGATATGGAATTAGGCATTAAGGTGAACGGCATACCAATTAGCAACCTACGCTATGCGGACGATACAGTGATTATAACTGATAATTTGGAAGATCAGCAGTTATTACTTGATAGGGTGAATAGCATAGGTAAAAAATATGGCCTCAAAATTAACATTTTGAAAACGAAATATATGGTCATTAGCAGAAACCCTCCAGAAAACCCGATAATATGCATAGGTGACAATCGTATAAATCGCGTGAAAACTTTTAAATACCTTGGCACCACAATCAATGACCAATCGGATCCACAACACGAGATAAAAACCCGAATACAAATGGCAAGACAAGCTTTTGTGAAATTTAGACCGCTCCTATGTAATCAACACCTAAACTTCGAAATACGCTACAGAATGGTCAAGTGCTACATATGGTCCATCTTGCTTTATGGCATAGAAACGTGGACTTTGAAAAAATGATCTATGAACAAACTTGAAGCATTTGAAATGTGGTCATTGATAAGAATGATGCGCATACCTTGGGTGGATAGAGTTCGAAACGATGACGTCCTTAATAGAGCCGGCGTGGAAAGAGAACTCTTTGAATTAATTAAAAAACGCAAGATTGGTTACCTTGGGCACATATTGAGAGGAGCAAAATATAAAATACCACAGTTAATCCTACAAGGGAAGATCGAAGGTGGGAGAGGAGCCGGTCGCAAACAATTATCCTGGTAAAGAAGTAATAAAGAACGGACAGGAATACACAATACAGGTGAGCTGTGTCACGCCGCCAAGAACAGAATTCTAGTAATGAGATAGTCGCCTACACACTTTGGTGTATGGCATGTTAAGAAGAAGAAGTTGAAAATATAATTGGACAGTTCGGATTAGGAACGACAGAGGAGAAAGGCTCATAGAATTCTGCCAAGAAAATATTTAAATATGGTAATTGAAAATACTGGGTTTCAGCTTCCTAAAAGGAGACAATATACATAGACGTCTCCTGCACATGCAGAAAACCACATTATATATATAAAACAATTTGAAACTGCTTTCTAGACGTTTTATTGATTTACATTCGATTACATATTCTTACAGATTATTATAACATTAAATATTTATTAATTTTCGGAAAGTAAAAGTTAATAGTAACTATAAGCAAACAAATCATCAAAAATATCAACAGAATCTCTAACTATGTAGACAACGTCTTATTAAAACGATTATTGTTGTGAACTACTTTTAAAATAATATAATAATTAAAATAAATAAATAAATAAAAGTGAATAATTTATTGTCCATTTTAAAAATTTTGTTATTTCCTCTTAGCATATCTTTATATGTACACAAAACACAAATCGAACGAAATTAGAGCTACCACTATCACTATTACCAAAACTTACTCAATGTTTTACTGAAAATAATTATACTGTTTGTTCAGAAACAAAAATAGTTACTATTAACTTTGCTACTTTTTACAGATGATACAATTTTAAATATACTACAGTTTAAGTTGATTCCTCTTCTTTCGTTGGGAAACCGTTAACAAAGTGACCACACTTTGTGCAGACTTGCTTCATTTCGATGAAGTTGACCGCTTGTTGATCGACTGATTTGGATCTGTTTTGGCTGTGGTATGGAAGGTCCAGAGGTTCACTGACAGGTGATTGCAGACACTCAAAGTCGCTTTCTAAACAAAAAAAATCATTTATTATTATATAAATCCAATTTTGGAAAATTTCATCTACAGTGATGTCCTCTTTCATAAAAAATATTTTATGTTAATAAGTTACGTATTCTTTATTATATTATACAAATTTCTTATTACCTGCACAACTAGTGTCTTCTGTTTCGTTAGTGTCTTCAAGTAATGGCAGTTTTTCACTAGTTTCCGATCGACTGGTAGATTCAATGCCGTGAAAAAGATCTAATCTTGAATCTAAGGAGAACTGCTTTCCTGACATCAAGATCCCTTTTATTCTTCTTCGCATTGCTAAAAGGTACAAATCAAAAATTTAAAAATACTTTGATATAAATATATAAGGTATTTCTTGATAGGTTTATTAAAAAAGCGATTAGTGAATAAAAACTCTTTAAGGAACACTTCTACGCGTTTTTTATAAACTTACATATAGAAAATAATTAGATAATGGTCGTTCATTTAAACATTTATTTTGCTTTTTTCTACTAGCCGACAAAACTTTTAGACAAAATTCAACTTTATTTATTAACTTAGGATCTTTCTTGCAAGTGGTACATTACATAGCAAGCAATACACTATTGTAGTGCTTTTTTAACACCTTGGTGACTTATAAACAATTTGTCTCAGAATACATCTCAATTTTCGCAATAGCGTTTTCAATGGATACCGATTTCTTTTCCAGGAGTATCTTTTAAAGATGGTAGTTAAAGGCTGATAAGGGTCTTGGAGGCGACATGAAGCTGCCGATGCTTTTGTCGTAAGAACTCTAATAAATGTTTACTGTTTTCCAACGAATGAGTTGGAGGTTTTAGGAATAAAACTTAGCTCTGCCAGCAAATCCTACTCTCGCGTACGAAGACATACCATTTCGCGTAACCACTGGGTGCATGGCGTACAATGGGAGTGCGTTATATAGCAGACGAGAGAGGGTAAAAGGCGAGTCTCTGGCGCCTAAAAACTGGAACTTATGGGCTAGGGGAATAAATCCCAACAGAAAATTCGGTCCTCCAAGGATGGGGGTTAAGTCGTAAGCTCAGCGACCTTACACTTGTGAAAATTCTACAGTGCTAAAAAACCCAATGAGCTTCGGTTACCGGACGGAAATTACAGTAAACGAAAACAGCAACGAAAATGGACCATGAATTACGGAATCTGGAATATACAGGGAATCCGGAACAAGCAACAAGAAATTATGCAGGAATTCGTAAATCGAAAATTACATATAGCCATTCTCTCCGAGACCAAGCAAAAAGGAAATGGAAACGAAAAATTAAAAGACTATGTACATTTCTTCTCAGGAGTGAGAAAGGATCAAACAGCAAGAGCGGGGATATCAATATTTGTACACAAGAAATTCGAAAAATATATTAAATCTTGGGAAGCATACAATGAACGTTTTATTAAAGTGACGATTCTCCTAAGAGGAACACAAATAACAATTCTGGAAGTATATGCCATAAATAATGACTACTCCGTACAAGAAAAGGAAGCTTTTTAAGAAGACTTTAAAAAAATCCTGAACGAAATTCCTAACAACCACAAGATTAGATGCGGAGGAGACCTTAATGCCAGAGTAGGAAAACAAGTACAAAGTAAAGTGGTAGGCATGCATGGAGAAGAAACTGTTAACAACAACGTAGAAAGACTCATCAATATATACCAACAATATGAGTTAAAGATTTTGAATGGATTTTTTCGCATACAAGAACATACATAAATACACCTGGTATCAGCACACAAGAGGTCTAAAATCGATAATAGATTATTTCATAACAAGACAACAAACTAAGTTAAGAGTACAGGACGTAAAGGTGCATAGAGGAGCAGAGTGAGGCTCGGACCACTGCCTGATAAAGGCAAATATATAAAGGAAAAATATATACATCAGTCGTAGACAGGAACCACACAGACATCAACAAAGAACACAGAGAAACAATAGAAAGAACTACGTACACCTTAGACCAGGGGTGCTCAAACGGTCGATCGCGATCAACTGGTCGATCGCGAGTGCTTTTTGGGTAGATCTCGAGAAGAAAAAAAATTTTAATAAGTAGGTAGGTAAACTAAACTACTGTCAGCAGAGTTAAACGTTTTTATTAATACTGAACTATACAAATAATTAGAATGTTTGACTAAGCATCATTGCAATTTAAAGAAGTGGGGATAACAAAATACTGTCCACACAGCATATTTTACATTTACATAATTATATTAACTAATTATTTTATTAATTCAATATTTATTATAATTATTAATCAAATTTGGGATGATATTCTATCAACTACAAAAATGTATTACGTAATAAAATAACACTGCTTGCGGCAAAAGGTGGCTTTATCAAAGGAACGCGCGGCACTTGTCAAAGAAAAGCCGTGTTGTTTCTAGACGAAAGACAGTACAGTCTAGTTTCGGGCCGGCGCGTTTGACGGGAACATTCGAGACTTTCGTTCACGCCGATATAATCCGTTGCGCCTGCAGGAATTGGATTTATTCTGAATTGTAACTTGATAGCGATCCTACGTCGATACAAAATTTATTATTAAATAATGGAAAATGAGTGCAGTGAAGAAATCTAAAACGTATCATTTTAATAAGAATTGGGAGGAAGAATTTTTCTTTTCTATGGTGAAGGATAAGTGCATTTGTGTTATTTGTCGTGCGTCAGTTGCAATACCTAAGCGTGGTAACTTAGAGAGGCATCATAAAACGGTTCATAAAAACTATGAAAAGGATTTTCCGCCACAGAGTGAATTAAGAAAACGAAAAGTAGTGATTTGATATCTTGTTTGAAAAAAGAACAATCCATATTGATAAGACCAGCCAAACAATCAAAAGTTGCTACGATCGCGTCATTTAAAATATCTCATATTTTGGCGAAACACAGGAAACCATTTGAAGATGGATCGGTGGTGAAGGAAGCATTTATTGAAGCGGGTGAGACTTTATTTGAAGATTTTAAAAATAAAACAGAAATCATGTCTGCTATTAGAGAACTTCAGTTATCTCGTCCGACTGTCACAAGGCGTATTGAAGTCATGAGTCAAGACATCGTAGATAAACTAAAACATGATATCATGGAATGTATATACTTTTCTTTACAGTTCGACGAATCCATCGATATGACAGACACTGCACAGCTGTGTATTTTTATTCGGATGGTATTCAATAACATGTTGGCTAAGGAAGAATTTTTGACAATCATTCCTCTGAAGGGGAAGACCCGTGGCGAAGATATATACGTTTTCTTAAATTTTTATAAAAAACTAGGAGCTACCAATATATAAATTAATGTGCATTACAACCGATGGAGCACCTACAATGACTTGAAACAAAAACGGTTTTGTGGCATTGTGTCGAGCTAATGAAGAATTCCCTTCATTTTTTTTCATTCCATTGCATTATACATTAACAAGTTTTGTGTTCAAAAGTTTTAAACACGGAGGAAATTATGGGCATTGCAACAAAAATTGTGAATTCCATCCGTGCACGTAGCTTGCAACGGCGGCTCTTTCAGTTGCAGTTGGAAGATAGGGAGTCAGCTGAACACACTGATTTAGTTCTTCACACGGACGTCAGGTGGTTGAGTCGCGCAAAATTCTTAGAAAGGTTTCAAGAATTATTGCCCGAAATAACAGCTTTTCTAGACGAAAGAGGTGATGATACTCAGATTTTGAAAAACGAAAAATGGCTAAATGATTTGGCATTTTTGACTGACATCACAACGCACCTAAACACCGTTAACTTGGAGCTTCAAGGTAAAGGAAAAACTATTATTGAGATGATTAGCGCAGTAAACGCATTCAAAAGTAAATTGCAACTTATGATAGATCAACTGAAAAGAAAGGATCTGAAACATTTTCCGTCTTTGAAAGCAAGGATTCCTCAGTTGAATTATGATACGTATGAGGCTGAATTATCAAATATTTTGGGACAATTCGAAATGCGTTTTTATGATTGCAGTAAATTGGAAAATATAGCATCATTTATGAGTTATCTTTTTCATGTAAAAACATTGAGGAATTAGCTACTGAAATAGCAAGTCAGTTTAATATGAACTCATGTTCTGTTGAAAATGAGTTTGGTGCAGATTTATATCAGATATACATCTCAAAGCTACAGTATCTGATACAAATTTCTGGCGTTTTATATCTGAAGATAAATATCCGAATGTAAGGCAAATCGCCCTTCAACTGACAGCATTTTTTGGGTCAACTTACTTGTGCGAGTCTGCATTTTCTGAAATGAAGATAATTAAGTTAAAATATCGCAATCGACTAACTGACGATCATATGACATCATGCTTGCGATTAGCACTCAGTGGTTACGTACCATCTTATGAAAAGTATGCTGAGGACATGCAGTGCCACGCTTCAACATCCAAAGCCACTCCTATAGTTAAGTTTAACACCATATGTAACTCTTTTATTTTGTAACAACAAATAAACTCGCAATTTTGAATAGCTATGAGTTTTTTCATTGATATTGTAGAGAAGAACCTAAGTAAACCTAACCCAAACCTTGACTAAAATAATGTACCTATATTGTGCAGAAAGCTAATATCTATATATGCTACGGTACGCCCTACCTGGGTAGGTAGGGTGTATCGTGTATGTATGACAACTCTGCATCACACACACTTGCAGTCTCTCAGAGTCGATCGTAAGTAGTCTAAAAATATTGAGGTAGATCGCCAGTAGTTCAAGTTTGAGCACTCCTGCCTTAGACAATCTAGAGAAAGAGAGCACACAGATACTTTACTCCTGGAGACTAACACAAAAACTACAGGAATCCCACAGATCAACAACGGATAAATACGAACATATAAAAAAACTGCATGAAAGACCAGTGCTAGAAGACTTAGGGCCACAGATACGGAGAGTAGATAAATCATATTTGTGGAATAAAGAAGTGGAAGAAAAAGACAAAAAAAAGAAGTATATCAAAAGTTATTACAACAGGGAGACGAACAATCAAAACAACAATATAAAAACTTGAATAACGAAGTTAAAGGAGAAGTGGTTAAAAAGAAAAATAGTGCATGAGAACAAAAATGCCAATACCTAGACAACCATATAGGAGGGACAAAGAGCTCTGAAGCCTGGAGAACTATAAAAACGATGAGAACAATGACAAAAAAAATCGTAATAAATAGAATACCAGAGAACACATGGGTAGAGCATTTTGAGAACTTATTAACAGGGAGGAAGAATAGAAATATCGATAGAACAAGAAGAAAAAGCAGTTAAGGGAATGAAATTAAGAAAATCTCCAGGTCCAGGCGGAATACATATGTGACCTAGTCTTGAAATACGACAAAATCAAAGGCGTGCAATCCTGCAAATATTTGAGGGTCCTGAAAAAATTATATAGAATATACAGAAATTACTGTACCTTTAGGTATAAGTAACTAAAGTATTTTTATATATTTGGGTCATCACATGCAGCAACTTAAACTTATTAGTTCGTGAGGTTTTATTATGCAATTTATTTAAATTTTGCAACGAATTAATTGTATGTTTTATTTTGTTATATTGACGATTTATGTAATTTTAGTAAATTTTAAATTAAAATTGTCATTTCTCTGAATTTTTGTAAGCTTTGTCCATAAAATTGTACAATTTTCAGTGAAAATAAAGCATATTTTTGTTCTAGCTAATTTATTAATTTTTGTCTAACATGTATACAGAAGCTTTTTCTGTTTTACCTCTTGCCTTCGTTCTTTCTATTTTTTATTTACGTTTTCTATTTTTATTTTTTCTGTAAAATTTTCTTAAAACATTATTTTTAATTCTACAACTTTTTCATATGATTTTCTACGAGTAAAAGTAATACTGACCTGGACTGTCTTTGGCATCTTTTCTTAGTCGAATAGTCTTCAAAAACTCATCCAATACGTCTCCTTGATCGTATATTGCTGCAAATGAACCGTTCACTATCTTGGGAGAAGTAGGAATGTTTGACAAGAGGAGACTGGTGCCAAAATTTTCATTTCTATCACGCGTTTCTAGAAAATGAAAGTTTTAATCACAAAATATGGTAAACAGGAACATTTTGGTATATTTATTATTTAATATAAGTTTGTATGCTAAACCTCTGACAAACAAGTATAAAATTAATGCGTAGAAATAATGTAATGACATTGTTAAAATTTTGACGTATTTTTCGTGAAATATGTGTTTCCATTAAGTATTCGTATGATCTAGATGTTTTAGTTTTAATCTTTTATTATCTTAAATCACAATTATTATTTAAGCAAAAAAGATTATCAATTTCCAAAAACCTATGATACCTCTTCAATCCACAACTCTGCACAATGGACAATATCTATTTCTGCTATCGATATCAGTCTTGCAAACCTAAGACTCCTTAGTTAATTTTAAATTGTCGTCAATTACAACTATCTTTTCAGCTGAATTATTCGCAATTCTAAAAGCATTGTCGTTAATACAAAACAAAAACAAAGAAAGATGTATAATAATTACAGATTCTCTAAGTTCATTATCCTCACTGACTCAATTGTATTGTAACAACCCCCTTCTACTTCTTATTAAAAAAGAACTTAAAAACATTTCAAATAAGAACATCCAAGTTCACTTTTTATGGGTGCCTTCTTCATGTCGGAATTGAAGGTAACGAAATTGTAGATAAACTGGCTTAAAAACGCACCAACTAACCCGATGTCCGAAGAAAGTAACATACTGGTACAAAACGATTTATACCATACTTAAAACAAAAAATAATTCAAAAATGGCTACAAACTTGGAACAACACTCCATCAAGGCCATGCGAAGTCAACAAACACCCACATCTTTGCAAACCAAAAATAAAAGACAGAAGAGCAAGTGATACTTACCCGTCTCCGTATCGGCCATACACGACTTACTCATGACTATTTATTACAGCGCAAAAACAAACCAATGTGTGAAGTGTGCAACAGTGTTCTAACAGTAAAACACTTTTTAATACAGTGTCACAAATATAACAGTAAACGACTCAGCATACCCAACTCCCTAAGAGATGCCCTAGAAGAAAATACAGATACCCAAAAAATATTTTCTTATCTTAAAGACTGTCAACTTCTTCAAAAGATCTAAAACATACATTGTAATACACATACATATTATTATTATTATTGTAAACTAATGTATACACGCTAATTGTATCAACTGTCACATTAATCTAAATACGCTAATGACCCTATGTGGTTGATGCGTTATTAAAAAAAAGATTAACTTTGTAAATTTATTGTTTGTGCAAATTAAAAGATCATGACTGAAAAAAATTATCCCCACACCAATATTATCTTAGCTAATCAGAATAAGATGTTTTTGTTGGTACTTTTTGACAGAAAAGATGGTACGGAAATCCAGATGTGTCACATTTTTAAAACTTTAAAGTACAAACTTTAATGTGGCGACTGCCCAAAAACTTACATCGGTCAAACTGGTAGAAACTTTGATAAACGAATAGCAGAACATAAAAGGCTTTCAAAAATAGAAAAACAGATTCGACATACGCACTTCACCTTCTAGATCATAATCATTCTTTTAATGACAAATTTAAAATTCTTCACATTCAAAATAAAGGCCTTAAGCTATCTTTGTTAGAATCTATGAAAATCAACAAATTAAACAACACAGATATAATTCTGAATGACCAACTTGAGACAAACAGTTCTCCCCTCCTCAACCTATTTCATTAAAGACTTAAAGTGTAAACGCATGTCAAAAATAGATCACTTGAGAAAGGTAATTAGCCGAAACAGCTGTAGTGATAAGATTTAAAATAAATTTTGTGGAAGTTTGAAAACAAAGTTTTCAGTGTTTTATTGTTACATAAAATGAATTTCCATCAAATAACGGTCGAATCCATCAACTATTTAAATGGAATGACTTTAAAAACGAAGAAAATGAGAATATGAACTGCTGATCAATACAAATCACAGAGTATACTACACACTCCAATACATGAAAAAGAAATAAAGAAAACTTATCTATCATTTTTACATCGACAAATATTGACTCAAAATTTATTTCTAACTCCAACTTCTAATTGTAACAAACTTAGACCAACAAAAAAACCATATGTACATTTTTTTCCAGCCATCAGAACACCACAGCTGTGGTGTTCTAGCCAAAGAACACCACAGTATCTGAAAAGCAACGTAATCATTTAAGAGGCCTACACAGCACATACCACCTTGAAGGAAAGCCGATGAAAGCTGAGAAAAAGCTGAAGAAGAAAAGGCGTCAATCTTTGCTGTACATCTCTTACACGTTTTTGGTACTTCTTCTTCTTTGGGTGCCGTGTCCGTGTTCAGACGTTGGTCGTCATCATGTTTACAATTTCCTGAAACCTTTCTCTGTCGGCTGCTGCGCGAAATAATTCTTGCTACTGTGGAACCACACAATTGTCTAATATTATGCAGCCATGAAAGTTTCTTTCGACCAATCCATCTCTTTCCTTCCACTTTTCCTTGTAATATAAGGCAAAGTAGATGGTATTTAGGTCCTCTAATTATATGACCGAAGTATTCTGTTTTTCTTCTCTTTATGGTGTTTATGAGCAGATGTTCTGAATTGATCATTTAAAGAACTTCTTCATTGGAAGTGTACGAAACTCACGATATCTTTAGGATTCGTCTATAGCACCACAATTCGAATGCTTCTAACTTGTTTAGCATTGTGGTTTTTAACGTCAATGTCTCACAACCATACAATAGGATGGACCACACATAACATTTCAGGACCTTCTTACGAATATTCATCGACAGGTTTCTGTTGTATAAAACTGGTTTCCACGTCATAAAAGCCTTACGTAATATTTCGATCCTGGTTATTATCTTTTCATCAGAGTTACAATTTACATTTAACCAGCTGCCAAGGTATTTGAAATGATTTACCCTTTCTCCTTATAAGAGAAATCAGACCTTGATCTATATTGATCTTTTCAACTGTCATCCACTTTGTCTTTGAAATGTTGATTTTAAGGGCTCTCCGATAACTTTTTGGTGCACCTGAACTTAATAACAATGATAACGAAGACCAAGTTAAAAATTTCTTAGACACTCCATGCCCAATGATTTTACCAATCAAATGCTTTACTCCTAATAATGTAAAAGAATGAATTTCTAGATGCAATAACTACAAAGCACTAGGCTTCGACATGATCACCGGGCTAATATTAAAAAAATTACCGAGAAAAGCAATTGTCCTACTAACAATAATATATAATAGTGTCCATAAGATAAGCCTACTTCCCCATTAATTGGAAGTTGGCACAAATAATTATGATTAGTAAACCAAATAAACCACCAAATATTATTACTTCATATAGACCTACTTCATATATAGATTATAGAAGTAAGCTGATTTACTTATACTACAATAATGTCAAAAATCTTAGAAAGACTTTTGCTCCAAAATCACAGAAATCAACGAAATTAATTTATTGATCCCAACACAAAAGTTTGGTTTCCGCGAAGCCCATTCAACTCTACAACAATGTCATAGGATTGTTAAAAACAGTAATGTATCCCAAAATCATCCTTTCCCACTCGTCACTATCTTCTCTTAAAATCATATCTCACATAACGTCACTTACAAGTCAGATTCCTTACAGAAACCTCTCATTACTATTCCATAAAATCCGGTGTCCCTCAAGGAAGTATCCTGGATCCTCTCCTATACTTCATATGCAGCCAACTTCCCAGACTCTGTAGCTGACTTATTTAGTCATACAAATGGTGTTTTATCTTATATATTTCGTTAGGTAGGACATAACTAGTCTTTTTTTTAGACTAGTCTAGTACCTGAACATCATGACTGGTTTTAGAGTCACGCTGACAACTCTCTGACCGTCAGCGCCGACTACTGCCGAAATATATAAAATTCAAGGAAGCATTTTTGAATAATGCGTTGAGGGCATGAGCGCTGACCATTGTACACGCGCCTGTGTCTTTAGTGAGCGGTTCTAGTGTCGAACCGAGTGGACGCCGTCAGTGTGTACAGATAGGTCCAATTACAATATGGATATAGACACAAGTCGAATGATTGATGAAGTACGTCTGAGAAGGTGTTTATGGGATACATCTAACGTACTCTATAAAAATAAAGACGCAAGAAACAAATCATGGGAGGATATTGTTGTCACATTGTTCGAAATTGTTTCGGAGGAAGAAAAACAACAACTATATAAGTACTTTATTTTAATATCTTAAAACACCTACGTTACAGGAAAAGCAAAGCAAAGAGTTTCAAATATACACGAGTCTTATCAGGGCACTTTATCAATAGGGCTCAAAAAGTACTCAGCAAAATGCGCAGCGAATTGCCAGACCTCTTTGCAGGTACAATTCATATTTCTACCATACCCTCAATTGTAAGTGTATCCTCAATACTATAACCATCGCGAACTCTTATAAAATTTAGCTATACACAGCATGCTAAACCAATTTTTTGTAACATAAAACCCACATTAATAAGTCTATGAAACACTCTAAACTTGTTTGAAATTATACCAAATGTTGATTCTATAATATCGTTTACTACGGCTCAGTCTATAGTTTAATATTGTTTTTTTATGTCATATTAATTCGCGCATATAACCTCATATTTTTTTTAGATATTCCAAAAGCACCATCACTATCAATTACATGTTCAACTAGAGTATTTGTTCCAGGTAGTGGCTTCGATCCTGGGATATTCAAAGTATCATTCTCTAGGCTCCTGTATAGTATACTGTCTTGAAATACAGATGAATCCGAGTTTTTCCATATGATCCAATGTTTACATATGTAAAACAACAATCTGCTATCTATCCATCTAATTAGCCTTCTTCGGTCCATGTTTGGACATAGGCCTCCCCAATCCTTTTCCATTCTTCTCTGTATGTCGCTACAGTCATCCATCTACAGCCCACGTGCTTTTTGATATCATCTGCCCATCTCATTTGGGGCCTTCTTATCCATTAGTCTTATGTGCAACATTTGTTTTTCCATTGCTCTTTGGGTTTTTATGATTTTGTCCATGTTTGCTTTTATAGATGTCCACGTTTGGGAACCATAAGTAAGAACAGGGAGTACGCATTGATTATATACTTTGGTCTTAAGATGCTGTGGATATCTTTTGTTTTTAAGAATGTAGCTTAGTTTGCCAAATGCCGCCCATGCCAGTCTAACTCGTTTCTTGATCTCTGCTGTTTGGTTCTCTTTGTTAAGTTTTATAGTTTGACCAAGATATATATTATAATCCTTAACTTGTTCTATTTCATCTTGTCCGATTCTCATTGTGATGTCTTCATCTGTATTTGTTATAGTTTTGGTCTTGCTGTAATTCATATTAAGGCCTATCTTTCCAGCTTCTACGTCCAGTTCTTTCATCATTTCAAATAATTCTTCTTTTTTATCGGTTATCAATACGATGTCATCAGCGTACCTTAGATGGTTCAAGCGTTGTCCACAAATTTTTATACCTTTTTTTTCCCATTCTAATCTTTTAAAAGTATCTTCAAGAGCCTGATTGAAAAGTTTCGGTGATATTGTATCACCCTGTCTCACGCCTCTACTTAGTTGTAATGATTTTGTTCCTCTATATACTTTAATTGTTGTTTTGGCTTCCTTATATATATATTATTGGTTATTAGTTAAGTATATCTGTGGTCAATTCGGCTGTTAATCAAAGAACATGCCCAATATTCGACACAACAATCTGCATTGCAGTAAAAATTGGAGTAAAAATTTTTGTAATTGTAGAACATTGATCCACCACCATCTGGATTTATGACTCGAATATGCTTACCATCGATAGCTCCGAAGCAATTTAGAAAGTTGATCTTTTATAGAAACCCGTTAGAAATATATTGTCACATATCAGAGGTTTTTGATGGTGGGCATTCAGCAGGTGTGTTTCCCATATTACCACGATTACACTTATTGTTGCAATTCCAATCTTAAATGAATAATGTAGATTTGTATATATCCAACGTGTAGTTAAAAATCTGTAAAAAAAAGGTTTTTATTGTTTCAGGAAAATTGATCCAACAAAGATCGAAAACAGCTAGATAAGCATAATTTAGAACAAAGAACGCTAGGTAGGCTATCAAACAACTAGCCGTAATGATCAATAATAATATGAAAAAATGTTCTCTTAACACTAAATATGATAATTACATTAAATGTTTTTTTCTTACCTTCAACTCACCATCAGTCTTTCAATCAGTGGTATAGGCACACGTCGTATACTGGCATGGACCAGTTTTGTCTGTCTTCGCCAGTAATTCCTCGAAAGTGCTAGTTGACATGCGAAAATAATTAAATAATATTTTGTTTCGTCAGCCCTCAAAGTACCATATAACGTAACAAATTCTCCAGCGATGGCTCTCTGCTCAATCAAAGGATCAACATGAAGTCTTCGTCACAGTTTTTTCTTTCTTTTCGATATGTAGTATAAAGCAGCAATGATTATTGCTCTTCGCATTTTGTGCCTGTCTGTACTTCGCAGCGATCATCACCATCACGATACTGAAACGTCCCTCGCTGATCCTCGGCACTGACCAACTACACTCTGAGCTGTCAACGCCGATGGTCAGTGCGACTCTTAAACCAGCCATAGTCCTATCTGAGTGTGGCAAAAACTAAGGGATACTTGCTTCCTTTCACCCCCAAGAGGACATGTCGCTGAGGCGGATCCATAAGAGATTGTAGCTCGCTCTCGAACACTCTGCCCACATTGGCGGACAATCTCAGAGTCCTTTAAGTTTCTATCTACGAATAATTCAAAAAAGAACAAGAATGGAAAGTAAAGAAATTAAATAATATCTGAAAGCAAGTGAGGGTGATAGTCCGACCTTCAGTTTACATCTCTGAGAGTAACTCCCAGTTGAGAAGGTTGCAGCTGTAATGTCAGGAGAGGATATTTTTTTAATCATTTATGTTGTGCTACTACTTTTAATTTATTAAGTTTTTAATATCTGGCTACAGTGTGGCTACACGCAACACACAGATGATGGTTTGAAAGGACTTATTAAGCAGAACTTATTATTCAACTAATCTTTTTAGATGATTTTTAAATGAAAATAACTTTATCACAAAAAAAACAGTTTTAAACATAAATTTTTATACTATTTAATTAAAATTATTGATATTATTAATACATGCATTAATTCTGTCTAATGTTTAAATTTTACCTGCAAGAGGAACTTTCGATCTAGCCGATATTGCAGCCTTTTCCTTTAGTAAGTCATCAGCAACTGTAACAATTTCTTTCCAAGCTACGATAATATCCTCAACAGTCGACCTCGGAGAAGTAACTGTGAACCTGAAGCATACAATATAAAGACGGCACCATTCAAAGGATACCAATTGTAACGTGACCAGTGATAAACATCTTTTTCAACTAGCATATACTGTGGCATGAGGATATTCAGCAGTTTTAGAGATTCAAATTAACATCCATTTACATTCGATTTAAAATTACTTAGATACCAAAACGTACTATTAGAAAAGTATATAAAAAAGAAAAAAACTGTATCTCAAATGGTTAGCTACAAAAGATGAGGAAGACCGAAAGAACTATAACAGATACAAATACATAGTAAAAAAGGAAATTAAAAAAAACAAAAAAACATAACCTGGGACAACAAGTGTGCAGAAATAAGCTCAATGGTAGGAGGATCTAGGACCAGACAAGCTTGGAAAACTATCAACAGTCTTAGAAAAAATACAAACGAAACAAAAAAATAAACCCCATAGACATAGAAAGATGGAAAAATTATTACGAAAATCTATTAAATGAACAACGTACACAGTTTCTAGACACACATATAGATAGAGTTGAAACGGGGTTAAATGAAGTGGCGATGATTACCGTAGAAGAAATAAAAAACGCATTACAAAACATGAAAAATAATAAAGCTCCTGGGCCGGGTGATTTACCTATCGAGTTATTCAAATATGCCACTGCAATAACATTAGAATTGCTTTGTAAAATGTTTAACAAGTGCCTACAAGGAGAAAGTATCCCAAGAGATTGGAAAGTCTCGTACATAAACTCCATCTACAAAAAGGGAAACAGGAAATGACTGCAGTAATTACCGAGGTATCAGCATTACGTCATCCACTGGCAAACTGTATGAAATGTTCTGAAAGCCAGAATAGAAAAAGAAGCCACAGAGATCGAAGAACAAAGTGGATTCCGACCAGGGAGATCTTGTGTCGACAACATATTTACTCTCAAACATCTAACAGAAAAGAGTTAGCAAAAGGACTAGAACTTCATGCCACTTTTATAGATCTCCGTAAAGCGTTTGACTCCGTACCACTGCAGAGACTATGGACAACATTGGAAAACGCAGGTATAAATGCAGTATATATAAATGCCGTGAAAAAGCTATATCAAGATAACCAAGCTTATATTAAGGTTGGAAACTAAATTTCCAAGGGTTTCACCCAAACAAAGGGTGTCAAACAGGGCTCTTGCCTCTCCCCAACCCTATTTAAAATATATCTTGGTAATGCTTTAAAATATTGGATGAGAAAATGCAGCCCAATGGGCATATGGGTAAATGACACTCCTATATACACAATCCTCTTCGCAGACGACCAGGTAGTTCTTGCCGAGGACCTACAAGATATGACGTACATGATAAACAAACTAATAGACGAATTCAAAATATGGGGATTAGAGGTTAATACCGAAAAGACACAATACATGAATATAGGAGGCATCGGTCAAGACATGGAAACAGAAAGCGGATTAATTAAAAACGTTGATCAGTACGAATATCTCGGAGTTACACTAAGCGAAGACGGGAGAGACGACAAAGATATAACAAGAAAAATAGGAAAAGGAAAAAACATGATAAAAACACTACATCCGATCCTGTGGAATAAAACTTTAACTAAGAAAACAAAGAAAAATATATATCAGGCTATGATTCAGCCGGTGCTGACGTATGGGTCAGAAGTGTGGGTCTTTAACAAGAATATGTCACAAAAACTCCTCTCAACGGAAATGATGTACTGGAGAAGATGTTCCGGGTTAACTTTGTTTGACCACATAAGAAATGAAAACATAAGAGAGAGAATGAAAGTAAAGAACACAATAATGGATACGATAGCCGAAAAACAATTAAAATGGTATGGACACCTGAGATGGATGAACGAAGAAAGGATACCACGAAAGGTTTGGAACTGGAGACCTACACAGAGAAATAAAAGGGAAAGGCCAAGAAAGAAATGGATATCCAAAATTCATATAGAAATGGAAAATAGAGGTCTTCAAGAAGGAGACTGGGCCGATAAGAAATTATGGCGATTGGGATGCGAGAAGCGACAAAATTAAAGTTGCAAACACTCGCTATATATATATATATATATATATATATATATATATATATATACGTATATGTATATATATATATATATATATATATATATATATATATATATATATATATATAAAAGTACGAGAATGTAATATTGTTATTATAATGCATCAGACAGACATTTCCTATTGCACAACATTGAATAAGTTATACATTAAATTATAAATAACAATCCGTCTTTCTTTTGGGAAAAGTAAACATGAAAAATCAGTTGTGCTGACAGCGGGAGCTCAACACCATAGTACATTAGTACAGATGTGAACATGTATAGATGTGACTGAATATACAATTTTAATCCAGAAAACCAATCGTCAACAGTCAACCAATCCACTGTATAAAGAGTGACGCACTACAACTACCTAACTACCATAATAAATGAAGAATGGACCAACAGCCAGGAGATTAGAGCCCGCATCGGAAAAGCTAGATCCACCTTCAATCGGATAAGGGCCTGCTTTAAGAGTCACAACCTCTCTCTTGATACAAAAGTAAGAATGCTGAGATGTCACGCAGCATTTTTTACACAGCTATTCTTCTCTGTATACAGACATCTAAAGAATGGCAAATCACCTGGCCCAGGAAAATTTAGCTCCGGAACTCATCAAACATGGACCCAAAATACTAATTCAACGGCTACGACAACTTTTGCAGGAATCCACAAATAAACATGAAATACCTGAAGAATGGAAAGAATCGCATATGAGCACCATCCATACAAAGGGAGATAAATCGAAACCTGAAAACTATAGAGGAATTGCAGTTACTAGTAGTATTACCAGAATATATGGGAAAATAATAAAATACCGAATGGAAGAAGAATATTAAGATATGGAAGCTGAAGAACAGGCTGGCTTTCGTGCAGATATGCTTCTCTTCGTGCTTCTCTATTACTTAGATAATTGAAAAGAAAGTTGCTCGTGACCAAGAAGTCCACTCGACGTTCGTAAACCTTAGGAAAGCATATGATAGTGCCCGCTTGATAAATTATGGGAGGCACTGGGAAAACAAATATAAATATAGAATTGATTAAAGCGGTAAAAATGTTGTACTACCAACAAACAAGAAGAATTAAAACAGGAAATCTAATAAGACCGGGATTTGAAGTGACTAAAGGACTAAGACAAGGATGCTGTATATCCCTAACATTATTTAAAATATACCTCGAAGCAGCACTCAACAAATGGAAGAAAAAATGTGCGAATATGGGCATACCATATACCACTAGTGGACTTAACTTTATAGACTCTGTGCTTTGCGGATGACCAGATCATCATCGCACAGAACTCTGAAGACCTTAGTTCACTACATGATGCGAAAACTATTAGAAGAGTTTACAGAGTGGGGTTTGGAAGTGAATATGAAAAAACTGAGTACATGGTAAGGAGGAGATCAACCTAACCTTGTCATAAAGGAAAATCAAGATATCAAACTATGTGACGACTACAAATACCTAGGAGTAAAGATAACTCAGGAAGTAAAATTAGATGCAGCCATTAAGAAACGAAATACACAGGGAATGAAAAGCATAGCCTTACTGATCAGCGTTACTGTGGGATAAAAGCATCTTTAAGGAAAATAAAAGAAGAATATACAACCCATAATAGGAAGTATCACAACATATGGATGCGAAGTGTGGTCCCTAAAAGGCAGAACAGAGAAAATGCATAGAGCAACCGAAATGGACTTCTGGCGCCGCTCGGCGGGAATCTCTGGACGCGACAGAAACAACACGAGAGAGTCCGAGAAATCATGGGGCTTAAAAATAATATTGTTGATGACATCAAAACGATATAACTCAGATGGTACGGACACGTAAGAGAATGCCGGAGAATAGAATACCAAGACACATTCTTGAATGGCAACCAAGAGGTAGGCATAGACCAGGAAGGCCTAGAAAAAGTTGGAGAGAAGGAGTTGATAAAGAAATCAGGTAAATAGAACTAAAGGACGATCTACGAAACGATAGAATGAGATGGAGATTGGAAATCGGAAGACGTCAAAGAAAGTTGTAAACCGACATATATATATATATATATATATATATATATATATATATATAATATATATATAATATATTATATATATATATATATATATATATATATATATATATGTATATAATATAAAACTGTTTTGGATGGGTTGGAGTCAATAAAAGGGGCTATTTGTTGACTATTTTTTACTCGAGCTTTCAATTGTGATTACAATTATTATATCAAGAGCTTCTAAAAAATACAAAATATCTTACAAAGTTGAACTAGACATAAAACATTTTTTTATTAACTCACCAAATAAAATTAGTTTTTTATATAAAACTGCTGCTTACATATTAATTACAAAAAATATTAATAAAAAAATGTCCTATTCTAATAAATGTTTTTCTAAAAAATTTTGATAAAGTTTCTTAACAAAAACAATTGAATTTGTAAACAAAAATTGAATAGCTACAAACCAGCCTAAATGTCATAAATACTAACTTTAAAATTTTTATTTTTGACATATTGTCAAAAATAAAATTTTGTTTAAAAAATTCTTCTTTGTTTAGTAACAAAAAAGAAGATTTATTCACCATTGATAGATGCCCGAAAAAAAAAATTACATGAATTACGTACCAAGGCTTATAATATTTTAAATTTCCACACATTTAATGAATTTAATCGTAGACAAAGAATTAAATACAACACAGAATTTCATAAAAATCAAAAATTTACAAATTAATAAGTTCAATAAATTAAAAATAGAAGCTTTTGATAAAATAAAATTTCAAGAAAAATGGTTTAAGAATCTAACATCTATTTAGTTTCCTTTTGAAATTAAAAAATTTTTAGCATTAGGACCTAAATTTTCTTTATGTCCTTCCAAATCTGATATTGGAGTTCCTAATTTACTCTCTGATATTGAATCAATAATCAGACCACTTAATGACAATCAAAAGGATGTTGTTAGATCTAATGTACAAACGCCATTACAAACTTTTTACATAAAGAAGTTAAAGATCATTTTTTAAATAAATACTATTTACAAACTAAACTTTTTCTTAAAAACCATCCTGAAATCTTTATTGTCAAAAGCGATAAAGGTAACGTAACTGTTCTAATGTATAAAGAGGATTACCTACAAAATACTGGAGAACTCTTAAATGATACTAAGTATTACACTCCACTTAAAAGGGGTCCTGTTTGTACTTTACAACAAAAAGTAAATTGTCTAGTATCAAAATTAAACAGTAAGAAATTTATTGATAATAAAAAAGCAAAAGAACTCAAAATTTATAATTCTATTGCACCACGGTTTTATGCTCTACCTAAGATACATAAACCAACTTTATCTATGAGACCAATTGTTTCATTTCTATGCCCTCCAAATGGACCAATAGCACAGCTCCTCACTGACATCTTAACCAATGCTTATAATTTAAACAACAATTTTTACATAAAAGATTCATTTTATTTTAGTTCTTTCATTAATAATTTCAATTACCACAAAATTATGTTTTAGTTAGTTTTGATGTAACATCTCTTTTTACCAATTTACCCTTAAATTTAATCATAAGTAGTGTTGAAAAACATTGGAATGGGATTTCGCAACATACTAATATTGACTTATTACATTTTAAAACACTCATCAACTTTGTTTTTGATTCTAATATTTTTATATTTAATGGTGTTTTTTATAAACAAATTTTTGGTAGCCCTAGGGGATCTAGTCTTTCACCCATTCTAAGTAGCTATGTCATGGATGATGTTATTAGTGATTGTATCAATAATTGCACTTTTTTCATTCCATTTATCAAAAGATATGTAGATGATCTAGTTGTGGCACTTCCTAAACACAAAATTCTTGAAACAGTCAACATTTTCAAACAATCATAGTCAACATATACAATTTACAGTTGAGGAAGAGTTAGATAATTCTCTACCATTCCTTGACATGAGAATTGTAAGAAATACAGACAATATGTTGAAAACCAGATGGTTCAGAAAACCCATATGTAGCAATAGATTTATAAGCTATTACTCTAATCATCCAAATAAGATGAAAATGAACCTTATAACAGGATTAAAGGAACGTGTTTTAAAACTTTCTCATCCAGACTATCTACAAGAAGATCTTCATCTTCATTTGTTAAAAAATATTTTAATTGAAAACTCTTATCCTCCAGATATGCTACATAGGATCTTTTTTCTAATTTATTAAATATAAATAACTTAACACCATTTTTTGCTAAATCTCAAAACACTGTATCCACCATTCAAAACATATATTATCATTCACTACCTTTTATACTATCGTTAATTCCTAAATTAATACAAACACTAAAGGTTATTGAAAATATAAAAATAGCAACAAAGAACATCAAAAACCATTTCATCTTTATATTCCAAAACTAAATATCCTATAGACAAATTAGATTAAATAAATGTAGTATACAGCATTGTTTGTACTCAGTGTGAAGCTGAGTATATTGGTGAGACTGGAAGAAATCTCTCAAATCGCATTATTTCTCACAAGAGTGATTGCAGAATTAAGAAATCATCTTGTGCTTTGGCAGAGCATGTAATAGACAAAGACCATATTATGGATTTTGATAATATTAAAATTTTATGTAGTGAAAGTAATAAATTTAAAAGAACTTTTTTGGAAATGGTTTGTATTAGCAAAAGTGATAATAATTTAAACAAGATTTTTCCATGTATTGTTACATTTTTTTCGGGCATCTATCAATGGTGAATAAATCTTCTTCTTTTTGTTTCTAAACAAAGAAGAATTTTTTAAACAAAATTTTATTTTGACAATAAGTTAGTATTTATGACATTTAGGCTGGTTTGTAGCTATTCAATTTTTGTTTACAAATTCAATTGTTTTTGTTAAGAAACTTTATCAAAATTTTTCAGAGAAACATTTATTAGAATAGAACATTTTTTTATTAATATTTTTTGTAATTAATATGTAAGCAGCAGTTTTATATAAAAAAACTAATTTTATTTGGTGAATTAACAAAAAATTTTTTATTTCTAGTTCAACTTTGTAAGATATTTTGTATTTTTTAGAAGCTCTTGATAATAATTGTAATCACAATTGAAAGCTCGAGTAAAAAATAGTCAACAAATAGCCCCTTTATTGAATCCAACCCATCCAAAACAGTTTTATATTTTTTCCAAACGAGTCACAAGTACTTCTTTTTTCTTAATCTTATATGTATATATATATATATATATATATATATATATATATATATATATATATATATCTGTCTCTATCCTTTTTTATGGTGTTAAATCGTGGACGTTGAACGAAGATATGTGCAGAAAACTAAAAGCATTTGAGATGTGGCTATACGAAGATCCCATGGACTGACCGAGTCACAAATGAGGAAATCAAATCTCGAAAGTTACAATTCTTCGGACTTATTATGCGAAATGAATCCAGATATGCTCTTCTTCAAGCCATCCTTCAAGAAAAAATATTTAGAAAACGAGGTCCAGGAAGAAAAAGAACATCTTGGTTAACGAACATCATAATCTGGTCCAATAAAACATCTGTGCAGCTTTTCTGCGCTGCTGTAGATAAGATAAATATTGCCATGATGATCGCCAACATTCGTAACGGATAAGCACATCAAAAAGAAGAAGACGAATCTAGAAAAGTTTGTTTTTCTTGAGACTTTATATAAGAGCTGAATGGTAAATCCCAAGTGTAAACCACTGTATTTGAGAGCCAGTGAAGGACTAGATTAGACGGATTTGACGTACACTGAGACAATATTAACTTAAAAATTTGCTAGATATCTGAATAATCATTAGACAGTATTAAATACTTTCTTTTTTTGTTGGCTTATTTTTCTGAATTACTTCTCCCACACCGATCACGTTACAACAGGTGATCTGTAGTCTATTTTGTAAATACCTTATAACATATTTTCCTTTTAAGCTTGCTGGTACGCAGTGAATCTTTCCTCTGGCGTTTAGTCTTTTCCAGAGAGTTTCTGTTATGACATTGTCCCCAATTAGTCGAAAAACAACCAGACCTAGATGTCTAGAGCATGGAATTTCGAATCGACTGTCCCCTCGGAGTAAAGACTCGAATTTTTCCGCTAGACGCACTCCCTAAATAAAAAAAATTATTTAAATCATGTATTAATGCATTAAAATTAAAAACAAAGTATATTAGTACTATGTATATTGGTTACAAAACCATTGGATAAGTACATAAGTACAAAAATTTGTACTTATCGAACAATCCCGGTATTTAAAAAGTCTGGTCGCTCCTTAAATAAAAGTTAGACCAGCCATTGATGTAAACTCGTCTAACTTGCTCAGTTTCATATTCATTGAAGTTAATTAAATGCACAGCTGTAGTAAATCAAATGCAAATTAAAACAATAAACAGACAGACAATTACCTTGCGGATGTGCTCTTGCAATCCACTTATTCCATAGTTTCTTATAACAAACCACAGCTTCAGAGCACGGAATCTTTTGCTCAGAGGAATTTGCCAATGCTGGAAAATTATAATATAGTAAGGATTGCGTTAAAATCGTCTTGTAAATATACATCATAGTTTCATATTTGTACCTATTTATACTAGTTTACGAATATGAAGTGAAAAGACAGGTGAAAAACTAATATTTTGGACAAAATTTGTATAATAAAATAATATAATAAAATGTATTCGATATATAAATCACATAAGCAAATAAGACGTGCATAAAATGTTATAAAATTTCAGAAAACAGTAAGTTGATTCATGGAAATTGAATGTTCTTTTGCAGTGTTCTTGTATTAAACAGTACAAATAAAAATTAAAAGATACAATGCTACAAAAAAAATCAGAAATAAACCAATCAGCAAAATACAAGAATATGCATTAACATTTTCGGTCCTTGAGTTTTCATTTGCCAACATTAATATTCACAATGAAGTTGTAATGGCGCCATCTATGATATGGCGCTCAAATTATAAGAACTACTTTGCACGCCATGTACACTTTCCTGTAAAATGCATAGTACCGGCAAAAATAGAGTTTTTAAAGTTGTTTTTTTTTATTTATTTATATCTTTAAAGTACAATTAGTGAACAAATCCCCTTCGTTGGCTCAGTGGAGATGTTCGTTCAGTTGTAATGGAAACACCAAATAATAGTAGCAGAGTTTATTGATGAGACGTACACTATGGGTGTTGACCCGGGCATTACTTTGAGTAGAGACTGTTGCAGTTGATCGCTGAAGACTATCAAGTTTGTTGAGTGAATATTGATTGAATGCTTCTCTAGGCAAGAGATCTTAGTTTTATGTGTTTTAATTGGGTCAATATATTCGCGGACCTTGCGTGATATGTGTGTCTAATTTATGTGAATTGTTTAACTTTGTCAGCACTTTTGACTGATGTCCAAATTATATTGTTGATAATTGACCAAATCCGTATGTAACCTAATTAACTACGTGTGTGTATTTAATAACAAATAAATTCATTCGGTCTACTGGGTGATAAAATTATACTGTCCAATTTCGGATATGAATTCTGAAGATTTGATATTGGACAATTAGATGTTGCTATTATAATTAATACTATATGTTAAATACATAATAAGGAATGTATACAGTGTGATTTGTGTTATTAATTTATAACTACAATTTACATGAAAAATATGTACCTACTTAAAAAAAATCAAAGTTAATTTTTGTTTTTTGTTACAGAAAGTGAAGTGCCAACAATTGGATTTTTCGTCCGAAATCGATTCAAAACTACATTGAAGGAGGCAGGTATTTGTTTTAAAAGATGATTCTTCTTGAGTAGGTACAGAATCAAATGAGGAAGACGAAAACGAATATCTCAAGAGATTCGTTCGTTAATGATAGCGAATAGGATCAGAATGGGACAGTTTCTAAAAGCTAAAACCAAAAGCAACAGAAGAAAAACTTCAATTACTTGGGTGAACTGCAATTATGTACCGCAACATACCCATTTACTCTAATAAATAAAAAGGGCACTCTGTTCTCCTGAGATTAAACCATCGGAAGAACCATCGGCGGAAAAGCACTAGGTCCAGACGACATATACATAGAGGTTCTAACAATGTTGATTGACGACAATATAGACACCTTGGTAAAACTTTTTTAATGACATTTATGGGTTCTGTCAAACACCACAGGATTGGCTTCAATCAACCTTTATACCAATCCCAAAAACGCCAAACGCTACTAGTTGCGACCAATGTCGAATGATCAGCTATTGAGCCAGGCCCTAAAACTCTACTTATTGATAATTCACACAAGAATATACAACAGATGTGAAATAGACATTAGCCCCACACAGTTCGGCTTTAGACAAGGACTTGGCACAAGAGAAGCACTTTATAGCTTAACTCTCCTACTTCAAAAATGCAGATATTAGCAAAAAGATGTCTTCTTATGCTTTATAGATTACCAGAAAGCGTTCGACTGTGTTAATCATTTAGAATAAGTAAGATTGCTCCAGGAACGTTCGATAGATGAGAATGACCTTTAAATCATAAAGAACCTTTATATGAATTAAGTAGCATCTGTGAGAGAAGGACTGGAATCTACACCATATTTCTCAATCGAAAAAGGTGTACGACAGGGTTGTTTTCTGTCACCCCTCCTTTTTAATCTTTACTCTGAAACGATTTTCGATAGAGCATTAAGTGACACTGAAGACGGAATCAAAATTAACGGACAGACTATAAGTAATCTTTGCTATGCTGATGATACAGTCACAATAGCTGATAGCTAAGAAGCGCTACAATGGCTAATAGATAGAATAAACACTGAAGGAGAACGACTGGGCTTCAAGATTAATATAGACAAGACGAAGGTAATGGTGGTTAGTAGAACAAGAAATATACAATTAAAATAAGAGTAAACAATAAGTACATACAAAAGGTCCTCAAGTTCAGATATCTCGGTAGTTAGATAACTGAAGATCTAGATCCAGACATAGAGATATGTAGCAGGATTGAGCAAGCCAGAACAGCATTTACTAATATGAGAACCTTGCTAAGCAACAGCAGCCTCAACTTAACGTTTCGATATAGCTTTGTAAGATGTTACATTTACCTCATACTGCTATATGGTGTAGAAACCTGGACTATAAAGCGTTACCCTAATATTACAAGGTTCTATGTAACATTTTTTACTAAATTAAGTTTTCAATATTACAAAGTTCTATGTGACTAGCACTACATCGCAATTTGTAGGGAAATTAGTTTGCTCACATACACCTCTGGTAATATTAAAAAAACCAAGGGTGTATGTACAAAATTATGCTTTATATAAATAGCAAAGTTCTATGGTAAACATAGAACTTTGGAATTTAAAATTTGATTAAAATCTAAATATTACATGGTTCTATGTTGTAACATACAACCTTGTTATTGTATTTTTTGTAAAAGTGAGGTTATGTTCCTGTATTTATAATACAAATCGCAAGCGTTTTCGAGAGTGTTATTTGTGTCTAGAATTAAAAAAAATGAGTAATTTAAGTGATGACTATGTCCAAGACTCTGATGATGATGAGGATTACGTATTACCAGTTCAAAAATCATCGAAGATGAAAGAATGCAGGTAAGATTTTTCTATATCTTATATTGTGAGGTTAGGTTTTTATTTTTTATTTCTTTTTTTACAAAAAGTTCTTTGTTTCAGACTTAAAATTCGTGGACGTGTTATTAATATTCCCGTGTCAAGAAGTAGCAGCGAAAGTGATGACGAAACTAACTCAGAAACGGATTCAAGCAGGTAGGCATGATTTGCTAAACAAAAAAAATTAAACAACGTAACATTTTATTAATTTCTTTTTATAATTTAGCTTGTTGTTACTATTTAAAAACTAATTTGTTTTAGAAAAGCTCCTAGTTCGTCTTCCACCTCAATCATTCACACTCCAAAGAATAAAAAGGCCCCAATCATAGTTGTTAGCAATATTAAGATTAAAAATGCATCTAACTCTGGTTCTGGTGACTTGCAGTCTAACTTAAATAGGTAATATTTTTGACAATTATTTTGTTTAACTAAATCGCGAAAACATTTTTTTTTATTTTTATTTTAGAAATGTACCTAGCAGTTCTACAACTTTAGTTCCAGAATTCACCAAGAAAATCCCGTCTTCAGAAGATAACAAAATTAAGATTCTAGAACCAGACCATTCTGATTTCGATGATACAAATAATATTGGACATATTTCCGAAGAAATTTTACTAGAAGAAGCAACTCATAATATAATAAAAGATAAAAAGATATTTACTAGAAAACGACAGAAAAACACTTCTGAATGGACATGTAACAAAAGAAAATCTTTATTTGATCAAGGTCTAGAGTATATTTCTTCTCGAAAAAAGGTAGTACCTGCTAGAAAGATTAGGAATAAAAAAGATTGTGTACAAAAGTGCAGAATGAAGTGCTCGCGTCAAATTAGCGACGAACAAAGGAAGGAAATTTTTAAAAACTATTATTTACTCTCAGCCATCGAAAAGAAAAACTATATTTTGCATACCACAGAAGCTGAGACTCCTTGGAGACGAAGAAAAGGCAAAAATCCAGAAAATTCGAGAAAAAGCAAAAGTTTTAGGTTTTATTTTGAGATAAATAATCAAAAGATCCAAGTTTGCAAGGCTTTTTACACTGGGACTTTATGCATAAGCCAGAAACCAATTTATACGGTGCACAACAATAAAACTTCCACCAAAACCTTACCCGAAAGTAAACAAGGCAAACATCAAAAACGGGTAACATCACTCGAAGATAGTAACTTGGTCAAGGAGCACATTAACATGATTCCAAGAGTGGAATCCCATTACTGTCGCAAAAAAACTAATAAAGAGTATTTAGAAAGCGGATTTAGTATCAAAAAATTGTATGAGCTTTATTTGGATTTTGCTGGAGAATGCAAAAAAAATCCAGTTTCTTTTGCTGTCTACAGAAAAATATTTTGCAACTATTTTAATATAGCTTTTCACAAACCAAGAAAAGATAGATGTGATACCTGCGAAGAAATAAAATTAAGAAAAATGGAGAAGAGGGAAGACGAAGAATCACAACGAAGATATACTGATCATTTGAAAGAGAAAGAGTATATGAGAGAAGAAAAACAAAGAGATAAAGAAAGCGGAATACCTTTATTATGTTTTGATCTGGAAAATGTTTTGACATGTCCAAAAGCAGACATAAAAAATTTCTTTTATAAGAGCAAATTAAATGTGTACAATATGACCGGTCACCTTTCGGTTGGGAAAAAGGTGTATTGTGCCGTGTGGACAGAAGCTTTACATGGAAGAAAGGGAAATGACATTGCAAGCGCAGTTTATAAAATAGTAGGAAAAGTGTTGGAGGACCATCCAGAGTTTACAAAAATCATTTTGTGGAGCGATAGCTGCGTTCCACAGAATCGAAACAGTCTTATGAGTTATGCTCTCAGTTACCTAATTCAAAAACATCAGAATGTGCAAAATATTTCCATGAAATTTTCTGTTCCAGGACATGCTTGTATTCAAGAGGTCGATGCAATCCACAGTGCAATTGAAAGAACGTTGAATAAAGTAGAATATTATTCTCCTATATCACTTCTGCGCTACCTTTTAAAAGTAAACCGACAAAATCCATATACAATAATTCAAATGAAACAAGAACATTTTATAGATTTTCAGTCTTTTTCCAGCCAACTGAACTACAACGCTGTACCATTTTCAAAAGTAGTAGCATTAGAATTTTCTAAATCTTTTTTTGAACTGAAGTATAAAGATACTTTTGATCCAACCAAAGAGCTAAAAACTGTAAATTTACATCAAAGAAAATTACGAAAAGGTCATGTTAAAACCGAAACAGAACCACTCATTCCGCTTCAATTAAAAAAATGTGATAAGGCTGTTGTACTTCCCCCAAATAAGATAGATGCCCTAAAATCTATGTTCAAGTATATCCCTGAAGTTGATAAGGAATACTACGAGTGTATTTTCCTCCAAAAATAAGATTTAATTTGTTTTTTTTTTGTAGTTAACAAAGTTCTATGTTAATTTTTTAAATAAGTAAAATTTTCTTGCTATATCAAGGTTCTATGTTTTTTTTTCAAATACCTTTTCTTCTAATACAAAAACCAATTTTTTGTTAATTTTTTCTTTAAATCACCTTTAATACATATGTACATTTTTAATTTAAATTCAAATTTAAAATATATAAAACAATTTGATTTTTATGAAAGCTCATTTTTTTAAATCGATTTTTCTCAAATTAGCAATATTGTTACATACAACCTTGTAATATTAGGGTAACGAAAGGTCAATGTGATGAACCGATTGGAGGCTTTTGAAATGTGGGTATTTATAAGACTACTTAAAATTCCCTGGATATATCACACAACAAATGTCGAAGTATTAAATCGAATGGGCAGAGAACGAGAATTGCTGCCAATAATATAAAGAAGAAAAACTGCTTATCTGGGTTATATATTACAAAATTTTAAGTACCAGTTCTTAAAGCTTATTTTATTATAAAAGAGAAGATAGAAGGAAAACGGAGCATCGGAAGAAAGAAATACTAATGGCTTAAAAACATAAAGGATTGAACAAACCTCGATGCCCATGCACTCTTTAGAGCCACACAATATCGAGAGGAGTATACCAACATCCCCTAATTGGATAGGGCACCATGAGAAGAAAACTGATTATCATAAACATTCGATGCAGTAAAGCATGACAAGCTGATGGAGATATTAACGAATATTGGAATAAACACATGTGATCTAAGAATTATTAGCAATCTTTACTGGAATCAAATATCGCCTATCCGTACAAAGGCAGGAGAATCCAATGATATTAAAATCAAACGTGGGATTCGACAGGGATGTATACTATCAGTCCTGCTGTTCAACATACCTATACTTTGAGGAAATCTTTCAGGAAGCAGTAGAGGATGTTTTGTAGTTAAATATATATTATCTTTCATTAATTTTTTGTTTTTTTTTCATTAATTAGTAAAGTTTTAAATGGATCTACTTACCATAAAATCTATCGCAAAACCTGTTAAACATAGGAAATAAAATACTTTGTATCATTTAAGCAGAGTACGTGTGTTACCTGAGTATTCATGTGTTAAATAGAGAGGGTTGACGTTGAATGCACCATGTAAAGCACCACTATTTTTGACCCTGAAACAGAAACAAAACAGTATTTGTCGAATGTGTTTATATAATACATAAGTAACTATAAACAAAAATAATTCAATATTATTAAGAAGTGAGACACGCATATCAAACAATTAACCTCATTGAAGATGATATTTTTTATTATTCTCAGGTTTAGGCATTTATTAACTATTGCTTCTACTGTAGGTATGGTACTTTGTTATAAAGACATGTTATATGCTACTCAGAATATTTGCTACGTTTTCTGCATCTCGTTCTGCACCTGTTTGCAGTTTGACCAGATAATATACCATTAGATCAGGAAAATATACGAGAGAGAGTAGTAGAGAATGATTATCTCTCCTGCTGTCACTCACTATGTTGTTTCATCAAATTTAAAGTTTTGTCCTTTGTCTAGTGTTGTGTAAATATAATATTTAATGTTTATGACATTCATAAACTTGTTGGATAGATTATAATTTTCACGAAATGCCCCTGAATATTATCTGAGAGCAAAAATACTTATGCAAGATTTAATAAAAATCTGTACTCAATATCTGCCATTTTATTTGATTAAAAAAATATAATATGTACAATTTATATACTACAGTATAATTTATATACATATCACTTAAACTAAAATATCCGGAAGTTCGGGTACATATTCACAGATTTCGACAGACTCTAACTCTGGAACAGGATCCAATGAGTGACCAACTACAGTAAAAACTAACTCAAGTAATTTAACATTTGGTGGTGCGCTTTCGGCTAGCAGTTACAGCACATACCACTTGTTACCAAGTTTTTATTTTGGTAACTACATCCATCGGCGACCAGTTGTACCTTCTTTAAGATGTTGCCAAAATCGGTGTCACTGAATCGATGAAAGACTGCAGAGGAAATTTCATTGATCCTTTCCCAAAGATGTCCTCAGTCCAACAGTGTGAAAATATATTTTACTATGAAAGTGGAGACTTTGAGGAAACCTTCAACAACAGTAACGTTATAAAAATAAAGCTGCCTAGAATAATAAGCACTTTGATCAGGAACTTTTTTTGCAGTCAAACGACAAAGTGACAATAGGTTTTCTCTGGAGTGAAACTCTTGGACTTTTAAAGCTCAAATTATATTTTCTGTTAAGTATATAGCGAAAATACCATCTCTTTAGAGTCTTCGATGGAATTGTCTGGGCAGCGTACATTAAATACAATTTTGAGGACCTAAATTCATATGAAACATACATTATTTTCGTCACTGAACGGCAGTAATAGGATTTAGTACATTGTAATTGGTTTATAAACTTTTGCACTCCTTCCAGCTTATCCCGATATTTCGTAGTATTTCGATCACCACCTCTGCACTGTTGGCCTGTTTCATTAAATCGTATAACGTATAATACACATGTAATCGTACACATAGGAAAGCCTATGTTTTGTTATCCCCACCACGTTGAAAAGAGCTGCTTGACACACTGGAACTTTCTCCTTGGATAAAAAATTACGGATAAAATATTTTACCTAGTGCTTCTTTGGACAATATTAGATATGCCGACGATACCTTAGTCCTTGCCAATTGCGGAGAAGACCTTCAAAATCTAATAAACAAAATAAAACAGACTTGTGATCAGTATGGATTAAAACTCAACGTTAAGAAAACTAAATATGTGATAGTTAGCAAACAAAATTATATACATGATGACGGTATAAAAGTCGGAGATGCCACACTGGACAGAGTAGAGAAACTCGTGTATCTCGGCAGTAATATCAATGGGAGCTGGGATCCAACCGCAGAAATTAAAAGCCGAATAGAACAAGCCCGAGCTGCCTTTGTAAAAATGAGAAACGTACTTTGCAGTCACGATCTTAGCATTGGCCTTAGAGTTCGTATGATATCTTGCTACATCTTTCCTGTCCTGCTGTATGGAGTAAAAGCATGGACCCTAACTGAGGCTATGCTTAAACGCTTGACAGCCTTGAGATGTGGGTATACAGACGACTACTGAAAATAAGCTGGGTCGACAGAGTTAGAAATGAGGAGGTCCTTAGACGGCTGAACCAAACAACACAACTGGTCAATATAATAAAGAAACGCAAGCTGGAATACTTCGGTTATATTATGGGACACCCTGAAAAATATGATCTTTTACATCTGATCATTCAGGGAAAGATCCAAGGTAATCGTGGTCCTGGTAAAGAAGAACATCATGGCTGAAAAATCTAAGGCAATGGTATGGAAAATCAACTACATCGTTATTTAGAGCTGCTGTCAATAAAGTCACGATAGCGAATATGGTAGCCAACATGATATCCAACGATCGATAACGGTCATGGAACTAGAAGAAGAAGCTTCTTTGGAGAATACTTTTCATTTCATACTGTCCGACGAGGGACAGAACGATTCACAGTGCAGTATTTCAAAATAAAGGCATCTTGAGTCGATTTATCTTTGGTCTCATAGAAAAAACTATGAAATTCCTGTAAATCGTTTATTTTCAGCAAGCACACACTTTTTTTTTTTGTATTGTGACCACATGTTGGGTATATTCTGGCATATTCTTCGCAGAATATCTACAACAAAAAATAATTATGAACATAAGTACTGAAATGGGCTCAAATTTTAACAAAAACGAAAAACAAAATATCAAAATTCAACAAACGGCTTGAAAGTAGAATCATAACATTCACAAAGGTACTTACCGTAGACATTTTGCAAGGTTTTTCTTCCATTTTTCAGGTTGTCTTATTCGCTTCCTTGCTTTTGTTGGTGTGACAGAAGAGGCATTAATCTCCATGATAAAAAAATGAATACTTTTTTTGTATATAAAACTATTTTCTTAGACCCAAATATACACTTGCGTGCATAGAAATCCCCCACTGTAAACTTTTGACTTAACTATATTTTTTTCAAGAAATATTTATCAGATCACAAAAACAAATATACTGTTTGAAAGACAATTTAATATGCTTTAATGTGAGTATAAATTTATCAAGAAGGCTTATCGTTTACATGCGTAGTAACCGGTAAACAAATGAAACGTGTTTATGTGGTGATTTTCACGAAAATAACAAATTTGTTTAATTGTAAAAGTATTGCCTTTAAGTAAAATTTGCATATTATTCGTTTTTTATAATCTCAGCAGTGTATAAGTTTGTTAGTTTAATGCATACTACACCACAAAAAGCCGCCCAAGTTATTGCTCTAATCGAAAATGTACGTCAGCGAGCTGTTGCTAGACAATTGGATATGACATGCGCAGCGGTTCGAAGAGTGTGCCAACGTTATGAGGAGACTGAATCCTTTCATAGGCTACCTGGAACAGGCAGACGGCGATTTACAACCGCTCGTGATGACCGCTTTATTGTGTCAACAACATTAAGAAATCGTCACCTTAATGCCATTCAGGTGCAACGACAGCTTCGTGAGGTGCGAAGAGTGGCTGTTAGTCAGTGGACAGTGAGACGAAGACTGCGGGAAAATAACCTGACCCCTAAAACACCTGCGATTGGTGCAAAACTTACTCCAGCTCATCGGCAAGCACGCCTGCGTTTTGCACACGATCATCGGAATTGGACGTTGGAACAATGGGGATCTGTTTTGTTCTCAGATGAGACCAAAATATGCCTCTATGGTAGCGACCGAAGAAGAAAAGTGTACCGGAGACCAGGAGAGAGATTTTCAGAATGCTGCTTTAAAGAGCGGAGTGCATATGGGGGTGGTTCCTGCATGATCTGGGGTGCAATTTCTATAGGAGCACAAACCGATCTTGAGTTCATTCGTAGGGATGACCGCGTTTACGGAAGAAGAGGTTTAACGGCTGCCAGATATATCAAGGAGACTTTAGCAATTCATGTAGTACCTTACGTCGACTACATTGGAGACGAATTTATCTTTATGCATGACAATGCAAGGGCAAACACCGTAAGAATCGTGCAAGATTACATTGCAGAAGTCAGTTTATAGGTTATAGACTGGCCAGCAAACAGTCCTGACCTAAATCCGATCGAACATTTATGGGATGAGCTAAAACGAAGAATTCGAGCTAGACTTCATACCCCAGACTCGATCCCAGAGCTTATTCTTGCAGCAGAAGAAAAGTGGCTTAACATCCCACAAGCAACAATAGCAAACTTGATTAGATCTATGCCTAATCGTATGAGAGATATTATTAGGGCAAGAGGAGGTCCATACGCATTATTAAAAAATTAAGTGTTAAATTTTAAATAACCCTATTTATGTTAATAATAATAAAGCTTAATTTGCGTAATGAATTCATTTCACTATGTTAAACATCGGAAGCCAAAATAAGTTTTCATAAATTTATACTCACATTGAAAACTTCACATTTATACTGCACTTGAAAACTCCACCATAACACTGAATACTAAGTCCATTGAAAGAGTGAGTAAATTTAAATACCTGGGATCGTGGCTTTTTGAAGACTGGGCATTGGACAGGGAAGTAAAATGTCGCATTGAGCAAGCTCGACAAGCTTTCGTAAAATTCAAGAAAGTACTGACTTGTTCAGAGTTTGATCTTCAACTGAGACTAAGGTTTACTAAGTGCTACATATGGTCAGTGCTGCTATATGGCGTAGAGGGCTGAACACTCAAAACGAGGGATATAAATAGATTAGAAGCTTTCGAAATGTTATCGCCGTATCCTAAAAATACCATGGACAGCAAAAATCACAAATATAGATGTCCTTAAAAGAATAAACCAAGAACGCCAACTTTTCGAAATCATCAAGAAAAGGAAAACTGCGTATCTAGGTCACATCATGCGAAATGAAAAATACCAGTTCCTCCAACTTATAATCGAGGGTAAGATTGAAGGCAAGAGAGGAATGGGACGCAAGAAAATGTCCTGGCTCCGAAACATAAGGCAATGGACAGGGATTAACGACATACAATATCTGATACATATTGCAAGAAATAGAGAATTAATGGAAAATGTGATCGCTATATTTGTTTTTGTGATCTGATGATTATTTCTTGAAAAAAATATAGTTAAAGTCAAAAGTTTACAGTGGGCCGATTTCTATGAACGCAAGTTTAATTTAGAAAAAGCACGAAAGCAATGTATCGACTCCCAAAACTAAAACAAATTATAATAGCACGATATAACGGCAAATCTAACCATGTGTTGATCACGTGCATGCCCTACGTGGTTTTTATTGGCCGCAGCGGAGATTGCCGTGTTTGGTAAGCACTCAGCTATGGAGATTGGCGCTTTTGATGCCAACATTAACTTTTCACTGCGATTTGTATAACATTAAGACGGCTTTTAGTTCGTACAAATACATAGTTTAATCTAACAGATAATAAAAAAACGCTACAGATGGCGTCCCTAACCCAAAACAAGAAAAAGTTGAGATTGCCGCCTTTGATTTTACACCCCTCATCTGCGAAGGGGTTTAATATTGATGTGATCTAAGATAGAACATGAACAAATATAGTAAGGCAATATGATCAAGCATTAAGATAAATGCCCAGGGAAAACGATGACTAAGTAAGTGAAACAAGCTATGTGATCACGTTGCCAATGCTAAATACAAGTATTTAACAAGTTACAAGTTAACAATGCTGAAGTCAAATTACTAAATATTTAATTTTTTAAATGATTTCAACGAGAGCAACAGTGAATTTACTTTTAACAGTTTTGTACTTCCCTGATGCATCTGTTATCATACTTATTCTATTATCTACACTATAAATAATTTCTTACAATTTTCCCTCTGTCAAGCTACGTTTGACCGAAATATTTTTATCAATTCAACACTTAAATGAAGTACCGATCCCGTATAAATAAACATTTCTTACCACATAGCCGTACAATCAAAATGAACCATCAACCACTTTGAAGGATTAAATGCTATAGAGTTCACTTTATCTATTCCCTTCAACCAAACCCTGTGTTCTGGACAAATAAAAGCAGATCCTGCGTAAGCTGCGTCGACGTGGCACCATAACAGTTCCTTTTGGCATACTGCTCCAATTTCGTCTAAATTGTCAAATGCGCATGATCCTGTGGTTCCTAAAGTAGCGCACACCTGAAATAAAAGACAACTTATAAACATACACATACATATACTGAAACTTTAATGACAGTTAAAACTTCTCAAGTATAATCTTAATTTGATAATCTATGGGCTAAGCTCTGACTGTGTGTTGTCTGTTTGACGCAATCTGAGACACCAAAGTAGTCTTTTTTTCTGTGCGAACCTCCTACCAAATGAGAAATATGGAAATACGTGCTTGGCGGAGGAAGGCGATGGATAAGGACGACTGGAAGAAAATTCTTGGGGAGGCTAGGACCCATACAGGGTTGTAAAGCCAAAATGATGATGATGACCTCCTACCAAACCAGTTAAACAAGTTTTACGTTATGAAGATGGTATCGTAGCACCATCTATAATTTTATAAATTTGTATTATTTTAAATGAACATACCACCACCCAGTGTGTACACCTCCTTGACACCGCAAATTCTACACTTTCATGACATGTTCAGATAGATTTATCACCCAAATACTACCCTCTTAAAACATCGATCCCAACAGTTTTTCTCTTGTCACAAAAAGTTTAGTTCTCTCTCTTTTTCCCTCTCTCTCCCTACCTTCCGCGCACCCGTGCGTTTCTTACGATACACGACCAAAGTAATTTATTTAATAAAGTGTATAGTGTTTTGTATTATTAATTAATCAGTAAAATAAAACTGCAGTGTATAATTTCATCCCCATAAGATACCTGTTTGAATAATTTCTTAGACTGTTGAAGATTTCGTATGCCTTTTCGTCCATTGTACGCAGGATCCTTTTTGTTTTGAGACCTTATATAAGTAGGCCTTAAAGGTACGTATTTGGGAATTCCCATAACATCTCTAATTACATCACGGTTTTGCTTTGTTTGGGTCTTCTTCCTATTGGTCTTGTAGTTATGGCCCCATGCTGCTAATGAATACTCCAATATTAGTAATATTAAGCTGTTTGCCATTCTGATTTTTGTTTGGAATCTTAATTTGCTTGTCCTACCTATTAGTGAAGAGCGTTGATTTTTAGTGGTTTTGCTTTGTAGACTGTTTTGTTTTAAGTGTTCAATGAATGTTAATTTCTTGTCTAGTATTTCACCAGTAGAACCAGTAGACTCAAATTTGACAGATGTAGCTTTAACAATATGGCCGCTACTGTTAAAGTTCAGAAGTCCCTATTGGGAAGACTCATCTTGTATTTCGTTAACCAGAATTTTTGTTTAGTTACTCCAATTAAAATTACAATATATCCAAAAATAAAGAATAATAAGTATGTTGTTTGTTTACACAACTTGTAGGAGCCAGTGGCGAGTTCTTTTCCGTTATTTAGTAACTATAAAGGTAATAAAATAATAAACCTTGATCAAAATTATCATATAATTAAGGTAGAATTTAAAATACAGTTGGTTTTGCTTAAAATCTGCAAATGTTCAAAAACAGAACGAAGCAGGGAAAAAACGGAACATTCTGAACTCTTAACTATGGTCTAAAAATATTAGACAAGAAATGAAATTGACAATGTATTAAACCTTGGAAAAGCCTACTATGACTTATGTGGCAGAAGTTTGGCAGATCACGAAAAAAGATAAAAAAAGAATAAAAGTAGTAGAAATGTATTTTCTAAATAGATCGTTTAGTGTATCCAAAAACGGTCATATCAGGAATTAAGATATTAGAAGGAAGACAAACACTGTATATTCCAGTGTAGATAAAATTGAAACGAGACAACTAGTGTGGTATGGTCAGGTGAAGCGAATGAATGAAGATAGATGGCCAAAGAAAGCTTTAAATTACATACCACAACAAAGAAGAAGAAGGGAAGACCTTCAGTTGTCTGGGAAAAAAATGTACGCCACATAATGAGAGATAGAGCCATCAAATAAGACGAATGGATGGACAGAAAACGATGGCGGTCGAAATGCGAGAAGCGGCAGAGGCTGTAGGAACCTCGCTTATATGTATGTATCTGTGTGTTAGATCATTTGGTTTGTGAGTCCATACTTAACACTGTAACTTAGTAGTTTCTATTACCAAAGGTACTTCCAGTTTTTATTTTCTATAGAGGAGGATGTAACATCCAATGAACATTTATTATAGACCTTACCACTTTCTTCTAAGAGCGTAGCAGGTTTGAGCGATAAGAACTGCTAGCTGTGTCCCATATCTGAATACTTTATGTCCAGATGTGCTTAAGGATCGCTTTGTATATTATATAGTTTGTTATTCAATGTTAGAGTTTCGACCAATCAACCAATACTTCTTCTTCTTAACGTGCCCTATCAAGTCCCCTTGACGTTGGCGATTAACATGGCGAAACTGTCTCTGTCTCGAGCTATTCTAAAGAGTTGCTCAGCTTTCCTTATTTCTGTCCACTCCCTGATATTCTTCAACCAGGAGGCCTGCTTTCTACCAACTCCTCTACGTCCTTCGATTTTACCCATTATAATAAGTTGAAGAATATTATATCGGTCTCCTTTTACTGCGTGTCCAAAATAGGCCATCTTTCTACATTTGATGTTATCAAGCAGCTCGCGAGCAGCATTTGCTCTCTCAAGGACTGCCACATTTGTCAGCATAGTCGTCCATGGAATTTTTAGTATACGTCTGTTATACCAATACATTTGTCTAAATTTAATGCCCAGTTGTTTTCTTTTGGTAAAGACGTGCTTTTCATTTACTCTAATTCGCCATTTTTTAGCCATGTTTCTATTTTACTTAGGTTTTTTGTAAATTTTATGATGCTTTTATGGGACTAGAATCCATGGCCAGTATTGCGACGTCATCTGCAAAAGTAGCAACTTTTGTGTTGCTGCTGAATGGAAAGATTGTAGTGTACATTGGGAATAAAATAGATCCTAATACGCTTCCTTGCGGAACATTTGCTTCAATAGAATGTAGCTGAGTGTATTTATCGTGCTGCTTTATTAGGAAGTATCTATCCGACAGGTTAGATTTTAGAAGTGAAAAGAAAAATTATGGCAATTGTTTCTTTATCTTATAAAGTAGGTCTTAATGCCTACCTTATCGAAGGCTTGGCTGACGTCTAGGAAGGCTGCTAAGAGGTAAGATTTCCTTCAGCGTATAAGAGATGTTTTCATTATTCTGTGTACCAGTTCGATTGTCCCATGCTGTAAACTGAAGCTGAATTTTTGGTCCAGAATTTTTTTTAAGATTGGAATCATATTAATAGAAGCTTTTCGGATACCTTTGATAGAACGGGCAGCAAACTTATAGCTCCATAGGATTTTAAATTTTCTCGGTAATCTTGACAATTCGGTAAGCATGTAGTTTTTAACCGGTAAGTCAAGTTGAAGTGGGGCTTTAAAGAAGTTATGGATCTCGCTATAATTGTTGTTGAGATCTGGTTTGTTTGGTTCCAAAACTTTTGTTAGTTGTTCAGCAAAGGACTGCGGCTTTTTCTTTGTTATCTCTTGCTCATTTTCCCTGTCTGTCTCTTATTGGAGGACAATATTGTTATGGCTGTTTTAGCTTTCTTGTTGCCTTCTAAAGTGAGTACGTAAGTAATCCTCAATAATATTATTTAGTAACTTTATCAGACCCTTGGCTCTGTTTAGTTTTGCTTTATCGCTTGAGCATCTTGATATCTGCCATTTCTTTCGTAGCTTTTTTTCTCTAGTAGTTGAGCTCAATTAGAGAATATTTATAAAATGTCTTGGAATAAAAAAAATTACATAAAAATGCTATATTTACCAATGGTCTTGTAGAAATAAGTTTCATAGCTTGATAATCGATCTAATTTGAATAAAAAGTTGAATCTAATTTTAATTTTGTGTTTTAATTGATTGTATAACTGTCATTTTAAATCATTGTAAAAAAATCAAAACACCAAGCTGATATTTTAAATCAATTAAAAATAAACATAGAAACTCCTACACAAAAAGCACTTCATCCATTTAAATAACCCCTTCCCGTTATTATTGAGAAAAATATCACGATAAACCCAGAGAGTCAAGCCAACGTCTCGAAAAAGGATTATGGTTATGTATCAACTACGATATTTCCACAAATACCTAATTGGAACAATCTTCTTGGAGTAATCATCAAGCTTCCGGAAAATCCCAGCAGACGCAATTAATTTTAGCCGTCTTTCGCCATCTGGTATTTATTTTTGTTTGTTTCTTATTTGAATCGGCTGATACAGATTTTATTTGAGGAGTTTAAAGGACAACACTTCATGTAAAATTGTAAAGGACGTTTTCAATAGTTCAACAGTACCATACTACACATATTTAACTAAAATTGCCTTATATCTTGTTGATCACATTTTAAACAGGAAAAAATATGTAGTTCTCTAAACAGAGCTCTTTTTAAATTTTTTTTGCATTATTGCAATAAATTAACACACATTTCGAATATATATCTCTTGAATAAATATAAATAACTTTAATGAATTAAATAATATAGAACATCACTTTCATTTAACAAACAATCACATTATACCTTATTTCTACTTCATTGGTTAATATATATCTCCTCAATAAACTTCCCCGTTAATAATCAAACAGTTAGTAGGTCCAGACCAAATCCCTATAGAAATATTAAAATGCATGAATGATGAAACCTTAGATATTTATAGTAGACTTATTTAAACTCAGTATACAATTAGTTACTCTCCACCTTTTGTGCTATCCCTAAAAATACAAACAATAAATATTGCAGTTAATACAAAAGAATATCACTAGTAAGTCACATTCTCAAATTATTCTTGAAAATAATACATGGTCGTATAAATAAAAAACTGGAAGAAGGAAGAGATGATAATTTGGGTTCAGAAACAGACTAGGTTGTAGCGTTATAACTGCTACATTGCCTGCTTTCTTTCTTATGTTAATATATTTCGTTAATTATATTCTCCAATTTCCATATCTTCTGTCATAATTCATATTCTTCTATATCCTCCATTGTATCTCTTATTTTTCTATATATTTTCTAGGATATAGATTGTATCAGAATTATGTCGTTACTTAATTGATTCATTATTCTCTTTTCATTTTTACTGGTATTTGGTATAAAAACCATTGGCGTCCAAATCTATCTTCTCTCTATATATATATATATATATATTTTAGTATCTACCTTTCCTATTTTCTTAATATTCATCATTTTTATCTTTTACTCAAGTTTCTAAAGAGTAAATTTTATTTTCATCTCTATTTCTGTTACTTTGGAACGAGAGGTCCCATCTTTATTCTCTGTCGACATTTCCCCCTTCCCGTTCGATACAAAAGTCGATATAAATGGCTTTTATTTCTGAAAAGGTCGATTTTCTTCATGACTTCTCTAAGAGTAGAATAACCAATTGTTGTGTCGTCTCCAGATTTGGAGTCAACCTCCGGGATACATTTCTCAGGTGCGGGTCAAGTTCTATTAACATCCAGAAGACCAACCGGCCTGAGAATGGAACCATCATTCCAATAGGAGAGTTGACTCCGGGACAAGAAAATCCAAAAATAACAACATGGCTTGCTAACAACCAGAGCAGAAAAGACCAGAATAAAACTTGGGATTTGGTGACAAACATTGTTCTTTCATATAACTAATGTAACACTGTAGCAAGAAGTCGAATAATTTTTATTTAAATTCAATACGATACTTAACATTTATTTTTTTTGTTTTTTTTTATATTTTAATAAACATGTGTTAATTTAACTATGTATTGTTTCTTCTTTTACTTATTTGTGTGTGTTGCTCCAGAGTAGGCCATATTCACGTCCTGAGTGAGCTAGCCAGGGAGTGTTTCGTATAACGTCTAATGTAGATTAGGGGTTATGACGTTAAAAATTGGTCCCAACGGGAAACGATTTGTCACTCCAACGTTGTTACTGATGTAAGTCAGGTTGTAGCAGCAAACTAAGGTTTGCGGTTACAGGTTGACAACAGCAGCTCAACGTTGGGATGTTACAAATTGAGCCTCGAAGGGTTACAAATTGGCATCCAATGAATGTTCGTTGGAACGTTACAAGGTACCAGAGAAGCGTTCTTTACTTTTAATGTGTTACCTCAAAGATGCATAGATATGAATGGTGATCTGCATGTTTGTTACGTTGATTTTAAAAAAGCGTTTGACAAAGTAAGACATGACAAATTAGTCCAAATTCTAACGACAAAAAACGTAGACCATAGGAACAAATAATAACAAACCTCTACTGGAATCAAAGTAGTCAAATCAGTCCAGAAATTGAAATCAGGAGAGAAGTTAGGCAAGGATGTGTTATGTCCCCATTACTATTTAATGATATGGTGAAGCCATTTTTTAAGAAGCATTACTATCTCAAAGTGAAGGAATAATAATTAACGGAACATCTATTAACAACATAAGATATGCAGATGACACCGTGATTATGACAAGCTCTGCTTAACAACTCCAATTACTGCTAAACAAAACAAACAGTTTCTGTGAACAGTATGGACTAAAAATGAATATAAAAAAGACCAAATACATGATAATAACCAAGAAAACAAATATACCAACAACATACATTTGGGAAATATACCGATAGAAATGGTTGATACATACAAAATAGGAACCTGGATTTCAGACAATAATGATCAAACAACCGAAATAAGAGCCAGGATAGAAATAGCAAGAAATGCGTTTGTAAAAATGAAAACAATTCTCTGCAACAAAGACCTTAGATTAGAACTGAGAGTAAGAGCACTGAGATGCTACGTGTTTTCGATACTGCAATATGGACTTGAAAGCTGGACATTGAAGCAAGAACACATAAATAAGTTACAGTCCTTTGACATGTGGTGTTACAGGAGGATGCTTAGAATAGCATGGATACAGAGGAAAACTAACACGGAAGTATTGCGAGAAATGGGCAAATAATGCGAAATAATAAACACAATAAAAATAATAAAGTTACAATATCTGGGACACGTAGTGAGGGGACAGCGATATGAACTGCTAAGGCTGATAATACAGGGAAAGATAAGAGGAGAAAGGAGTATAGGAAGAAGTAGATTGTCAGGGTTGAAGAATTTAAGGGACTGGTTTAAATACAGTTCTATAAAACTCTTAAGAACAGCAGTAGATAGAATAAAGATAGTGATGATGATATCCAACCTCCAATTGGGAGGTGGCACTTAAAGAAGAAAGAAGAAGCATACAGTAGAGTTAGGTGGGATAGATGAGATGAATTAATCATGAAATTTGACAATTTAATTCTAAAGAAAATTGTCCCTGATAAAAGTTTAAATGAAGAATAAACCTGACCTATTGACAACGATTCTACTGCTTCAAATTGTAAATATCCTAGAACCTAAAAAAATGTACTTTCAAATAAAAAACATAGCCAACAAAATAGGATGGACAGTAAAAAAAAATAAAAACTAAATTATGTAAAAAATCGATTTCTTAGTATTAGTAAAATATTTTTGGTAAAAACCACTTAGCAAACTTACCCAAAAGGGAATAAGACCATTATCTCTATCTTCCTTTATGGCATTTTGAAGATCCTTCCCCCTCATAGAGTAGTTTTCATCCGATTCGATATATCGTAATGTTACAAGACCTATCAGGGCTGCCTTTTCGATACTGGAATGTGCTTGATCAGAGCAGTAAGCTACCAGTTTGCCATGGATTTCGTGTTTACTGGCGTCTGGATAGAGGTCCATATAGAGCTTCAAGGCAACGTATCGACCTGCTAGAAGACTAATGAGCGTGCTTTCACTTGCTGTTGTCTAATAAAAAGAAGAAATATGGAGTGTATTCACTAATAAGAATATTTTATTTAAATCATATTGTATTTCCTCAAAAGTTGCTCACATAAACTAAAATTTTATTAAAATTGTTAAAATAAGTTCGATGTCTCAAAAACAGAATGTCTTGAAAACGGTATTCCACAGGGCTCAACCTTAAGCCCCACTTTATTCTTAATAGCAATTAATAATATCGCACAAGAGATAAAGCTACCTTTGAAAGCAGGTCTGTATGCAGATGACTTAGTTGTATATACAAGTAGCTGCAATATTACACTAGCCTCAAACATTTTGCAATCATTTCTGCATAAACTAGAAGACTGGTCCCAAAAGACTGGTTTTACGTTCTCAGGTGATAAATCTCATTTCATCGTATTCAATAAAAGAAAAACTGATTGCAAAACAACACTTACTCTAAATGGTATCAACCTAGAACAAGTAGAGAGCATTGACTTTTTTGGCCTAAGACTGGACAGTCAGTTAACATGGGCAGAACATATTAAAAAGCTAGTCGTATCCTGCCAATCTAAAATAAATCTCCTTAAAATGCTATCAAACCGATCTTGGGGAGCGGACACCATAAAATTGCTGCATATATACCAATCATTAATCCGAAGTAAACTGGATTATGGTGCAATATGCTATACAACTGCGAGTAATTATATACTTAAAAAACTAGACATTATACAAAACACATGTTTAAGACTAATTCTGGGTGCTTACCGAACTAGTCCTGTTTCAAGTTTTCAGGTTATCCTAAATGAATCTCCCCTATCAATACGAAGACAACACATTTCTTTAAAGTATGCCGCGAGATTGTCTTCCAACCCTAATAATACAAACTATCCACTTCTTTATAAAATATATACACCTACACATTGCCATCAACAAATTTAATATCCACCCCTTAAAGAACGTCTAACGAGATACGGTTTTGACATGGAGCAGCTCACACATTCTTACCCTACACAACGAACTATACCTCCCTGGACTATTAATTTTTCCACTATTGATCTAGTCCTTACGGCCTATCCAAAGAGTACCACAAATCCCATAATCATTAACAAATTATATCAAGAACGGATATTAGAATACACTGGCCATAACAAGATTTTTACCGATGCGTCAAGAACTGAAAACGGACACGCAGCGGCCTTTATTCTAGGAAAGTCTGAATATGCAGTTCGCATCCCTCAATTCTGCAGTATTTTCACGGGAGAAGCAATCGCCATTTTAAAGGCTTTAGACATGTGTAAGAGTCATGCAAGCTCAGATTTTCTTATCATTACTGACTCTTTATCTGTTCTTCAGAGCTTAAGGCAAATATATCCAGTACATGCTATCCTGCAACAAATACAATTAGCACTTTATCACCTACAAAACAGACACGTGAACGTTACATTTTTTGGGTACCATCACATACAGGTATCGCAGGAAATGGAAAAGTAGATGAATTAGCAAAGAAAGCTGCTACTGACTAGCAAACTGAAATTTTGAGTACAATTCCATTCAGTGATATCCAGCTCAATATTAAACAGTACTGTGTAAAAAATTGGCAACAAATATAAAATTCTACTAAGGCTAACCTTAAAAACGTGAAAACTAGGATTGGCACTAAACTACAATTTCCAGAAAATAGAAGGCAACAAGTGATTATAAACCGACTAAGAATTGGACACACAGCGTTAACTCACCAGCATCTCATAACAAAAGAACTACCACCTGAATGTTCCTATTGTGAATGTCCAACAACTGTTCAACATGTATTGATTGAATGTCCTCTTTATTCCTACGAAAGAGCCATCAACAACGTACCAGAAGAAGCAAAGAAACTTAAAGATATTTTAAACAGTAATGTATCTAATACAATCAAATTCCTTAAGGACATATGTTTACTACACAAAATTTAAGTTATATTATATGTATCTCTTTGTAATTTGTAATTTATTATGTGTAATTTAATACGCAATTTGTAATTAGTAAATTTGTATTTGTAATAACAACTGTAAAATCTGTAAAACCCGCTAATAACCTTTAATGGTTGATGCGGAAATTCTAAATAAAAAAAAAAGTTCGATGTCATATGATGATCTTTTAACTTTTTAATATAGATATCACTCCTAGGGAAAAGAAAAGGATCATAACACTTAGTGAGCATACACCAATGACTCAGAGGGACATTGCAAAGGAGTGTTGTGTAAGTTTGGGTGCAGTAAACAAAATAATTAAACAAAAAAAGAAAACTGGGTCAGTTGAAATGCAGCGGAAAGGAAAATGTGGAAGAAAATGGAAGACTACTTCTCGAGATAAAGCCTTTCTTTTGCGCGATAGCAAACTTAATCCCAGAAAAAACAAGTTATGACCTCCAGCAAGATTCAGAAAAGGCTGGAATAAAAATTCACGACTCAATGGTACGCAGACATCTCTTAGAAGGAGGGAGAAGAGCCGTGAGACTGCAGAAGAAAAAACTTCTGACAGCGCCTATGATGAAAAAAAGACTAAATTGGGTAAAAAAATACGCTCATTGGAGTACAGAAGATTGGAGAAAAGTATTATTTTCTCATGAGGCCCGCTTTCTAGTGCAAGGCCAGCGATCAAAATTTGTACGAAATGCAGCCAATGAGTCACTTTCAGCTAGAAGTCACTTTCAGGTGGTCACACAGACCAACTGCTGTCGTTTTAACTGACAAAAACTACGTGTTCAAACCGAGCAAGGAGACATGTAGCTCCTCAAGTATTAATTTGTATCCAATGTCATCGACCTAAAGTCACAGTATAATTTAAATTTGGAATGATGTTAAACCATATATGAATGTCATAGCTAAAAATTTAGTGTTAGCTTCAAGTACATAAGAAGGCACTGAAGATGATCTGATTAGATCGAAAACGTCACGTTATTTATTTTTACGCATAAGTTAAGTCCTAGGGCATTTTTTTACAACATAATCCTAATATTAACTAATTACAATTAGTTTATTTAAACAAAACTTTAACTTAAATATGTATATACAACATTCTTAACTACTCTGAAGGACCTGGTGTACAATATTTCCCCATTCGCTTCTATTTTGTGCTTTTCTTTTCCAGTCCCTTACATTCACGTGTTTAAGGTCTTCCTCCACTTTATTAATCCACCTTGTTCTGGGTCTACCACTTCTTTTTGGTCGATTAATTTTCTGGTTATTACTAGTTTAGGCATTTTGTTTGCTGCCTTACTTTCCACATGTCCCAACCATTTGATTCTTTGTACCTTGACGAACTTGGTAATGGTAGGTTCTTTGTCTAAAGCTAATAATTCATTGTTGGTGCTTATCTTTTAACCATCTTCTCTCTTTTGTTCTCTGAATAAGCGTCTCAATATTTTCTTTTCCCATCTTTCCAGAGTATCTTCCTCTTCCTTCTTACTTAATGTCCATATCTCACCGGCATATGTTACTGTGGGTCGAATTACTGTTTTCTATACTGTAAGTTTACCTTGTCTAGAAACGTATTTTGAGTTCAGTAGGGCTCTTAAACTACCTATTTTTTTATTTCCTTCTGCTATTCTGGCTTCAAGCTCCCATTTTTTTTCCATTTTTATCGAAAACTACACCCAGGTATTCAAATTTGTTCACCATTTTAAAACTATAGCTTTTACCACTTACAGACCTCACACTAGTCTTCTTGTTTCTCTTCTACCCCTCCCATGATCATATATTTGGTTTTATCTTCATTTAGTTCCAATGCTAATTTCTGTGCTTCTTCGATGATTTTCTTTTAACTCTTCTTAATTCTTTCTCGGTTGTTGCTAGGAACCTTGGATCGTCAGCAAATGCCAAGCACTGGTGCTCATTTTTCATATTCGTTTCTTCCACCTTTATGCTGCATTTTCTGATTACAGTTTCTAACACTAAGTTGAATAATGTAGTGGATAAAGGATCTCCCTGTCTCAAGCCTTTTGCAACCGTAAATTGATCTGATATGTAACCCTGCCAAGCAATTTCACACGTAGAGTTATTTAATATCATTTTAACTAGCCGGATCAGTTTCTTTGGTATACCTAAATGTTCCATTGCTCCATACATTTTGACTCTATCGACTTTAACATGTGCTTGTCTAAAATCCACAAACAAAACATGCAGGAGAACTTTACCTTCATAACAAGTCGTTTGTTTCTCCTTTAATGGGAAGATTTGGTCTACAGTAGATCTGTCCTTTCTAAATCCGGCCTGATATTCATGCAGGATTCTTTCCGTGTAGCAATTTAATTTGTTTCTTAAACGTCACGTTATGCTACTGTATAAATTTTGACGACACGTTTTAAAAGTTTTAACTATATGTTTTTTGTAGCCAACTACTGGGATATTCCCATTAATTTTTTATATTTTTTCCTTGAATATATCACCAAAATATCAGCGTATAATCTCGCCTCAACAAGATTTGGAAAGATTTTGTTTATCGATACTAAAAATAGTATTGAACTAATAACGGATCCTTGAGGTGTTCCATTTGGTCCTTAGTGCTGGATATTGTACCATTTATCTTAATTTTAAATCGTCTTTTGTTAAGAAAATTATGAATTCAAAATAGCATATTACCCTTGACACCCCAATGACTCAGTGTGTTGAGAATGTTGTATCTCCAAGTCATGTCAAACGCTTGTGTTATATCGAAAAAAAAAACAGCAACACATTCCTGTCCAATTGCAAATTATTCATGTATTACGGACTCCAGGTCTTTCTGTAGGACTATCTATAGTGGATCTATTGATTATTAATTTTTTTTTTTTCAGAAACCACTTTAGTCTATAATTCACCATTTTTTATATTTTGCACATTGTATTGGTAAGAAAAATTGACCTATAGGAGTCAGGATCAGTTCGTGATTTATTTGGTTTAAGTAATGGAATTATTATCGTCTGTATCCATTTTGTGGGTATAAAGATCTTTCAACACATCTTTTTTGACCTTTCTCTTCTAATTCTTCCAAAGACTTAATACTAAACAGGTCTTGTTGAGTGATTCTGATTTTGTTACTGGATGTACTTCACCAAGTTTGAAATATTTTCCTTCATTAACCCTGTCTTCATTATAATTTCGTTTAGTTTTCTAGTTTGTTTTACTAGTACATATTTTTCACTATTTTTAAAGCCTCTTCTATGTCTTCTGTGTCAAAAATTTGATTTTCCATCCAAGATTTAATGTCAACAACTTTATCTGACTTTATTTTTAAGTTTATGTCATTTATAGCAAATGGCTTTATCTGTTTATATATTTTTTTGAACCTATTCTCTATCCTTCCATTGTTAGATATAGGTCTCCCCAAGTTCTCTCCATCTTTTCCTATCTTGAGCTGTTCTCTGCTATGTGGGACCTCCTTGTTTCCTGATGTCATCTTTCCACCTCATCTGTGGTCTGCCTCTTGATCTCTTTGCATTGTATGGACACCACTTTCCGATGGCATTGTTCCATCGTCCATCTTGGAGACGTTCATTGTGTCCAGCCCATTTCCATTTCAGTTTTGCTGCTTGTTCTATCGCGTCTACTGTCTTTGTTCCGGTTCTGATCCACTGGTTACGTTTTCTATCTCTAAGTGATACACCCAGCATTTGTCCCTCCATCGCTCTTTGTGCTTTCTTTATCCTATCCAAATTGGCCTGTGTAAATGTCCATGTCTGTGCTCCGTAGGTGAGCACCGGTATTATACAGGAGTTATATACCTTGCTTCGTAAGTAAAGAGGAATTGTTTGATTTTTTAGAACGTAAGAAAGTTTGCCGAACGCTGCCCATCCCATTCTTACTCGTCTCGATATTTCGGCTGTTTGATTTTCTCTGTTAGCTCTGATTGCTTGTCCTAGATAGATATACTCATTTACCTGTTCTATTTTTTCTGTTTTTATTTTTATTGCCTCTTGGTCTTCCGTGTTTCTCATTACTTTTGTTTTGTTGAAGTTAATTTTTAGACATTTTTGCAGTGATTTTTCATGAAGTTCATTCAGCATTAATTTCAGTTCTTGTCGTTCGGAGGAGATCAGGAGTATATCTGTTTATATTGTCTTATTAATTAAAAGTAAAAACCATACTCAGCATCTCATTTACCAGATATTGAACATAAATCCCTACATATATAGCATCGGAATATATTATAACAGTAAAAAAAAATAAAAATTTTCAATCAGTTGATAGTTTCCTTTTATATCCTAACATCATTAAAAGAAACAGAAAATTTTACCTGTATAACTCCTCCTCCCGTTCCACCTTTTTTATGCAGAAAATCGTCGGGTAACCCAATCATTTTCGCTAACCAGTTCATCACCATCATTTCAAGTTCTGTACATGCTGGACTAGAAGCCTGCAGAAAATTATTTATTATACTTATTTTACAAGATTTTAGAGACTCAATATGATAAATTAAAAGGTAAACAAATAAGGGCAAGATCTCTAATAGAATAGAATAGAATAGAATAGAATAGAATAGAATAGAAATATGCTTTATTGTCACTGAAAATTATTGAACAATTTTATGGACAAAGCTAAAAAATAAATCAGTGAAATAGTACAAAAAGTATAAAACAAAAACAAATATAGTAAAAAACAGAATAACACAATTTTAAATTAGTAAAATTATTGTATAACCTACATAATTTGTACAGACAACAACAAATGAGACAAATTGTAGCCCTGCTTGAGACACCCAAATGTAATTATAAACAATACTAATTTTGTTTCTTTGTTATACATTAAGAAACTCGTCAACTGAATAATATGGTCTTTCTGAGAGATAAATTTTTGTCACCTTACGAAACTTAATGAAGGATGTTGCGGATTTAATTTCTCTTGGAAGGTGATTATAAAGTTTCTTTGCACGATATAGAATAGAATTCTTTACTAGCTGAGTGGACGGGATCGGCAAATAAACGTTACAATCCGAATTTCTAATGGAGTAGCCATGGTCAGGTCTATCGGGAAAAATGTTTAGATGCTTTCGAATCAAACAAACCGTTTCCAAAATAAATAAAGAGGGAACGTCAAAATTCCGTGATTTTTGAAGTAGGTCTTGCAATGTGTTGTTTGTTTGAGACCAAATAGATAACGGATTGCTCTTTTTTGCAACTTTAAAAATAGTATCAAATTGGGCCGCTGTACTAGAACCCCAAAATGGAAGCCCATATCGAAGATGGGACTCGAACAATGAGAAATATGCCATTTTGGCAGAAGATAAATTTAGTTCCTTCGAAACAGATCTGATTGCAAAGCAAGCTGAGGCTAGTTTCTTCCTTAAGGAGTCAGTATGCAAGGACCATTTGAGATCACTGTCAATGAGAATACCTAGAAATTTTCACGGAATTTACGATATTGATTTGGCTCTCATTCAAAAGCAAGGGTTGCATGACTCCTTTATAAGATAATGCTACAGTCTTATCCACGTTAAAGCTAAGTAAGTTGGAGTCTGACCAAGCCTTGATTATAAGTAAATCAGCGGTTATAATTGAATGAAGCGTTGAAATATCAGAGCTGCTCCAAGTAATACTGGTATCATCAGCAAATAGAAAAATTTTCCCTTTAATTTTCAAGTAAGTGCATTAATGAAAAGTAAAAAAAGAATGGGACCTAATACTGAATCTTGCGGTACTCCACAATCAATATCTTTACAACTAGAGTCGGTGTCATTTATTCTAACCAATTGTTTCCTACCTACCAAGTAAGTTTTGAACCAGTTCAAAGACACACCCCGAATTCCATAGAAAGTTAATTTTTTTAATAGAATGTCGTGATTTACGCAGTCAAAGGCTTCGGAATATCGCAGAAAACGGTGGCGGAGGAGAGGTTACTGTTTAGTGATAGATATACATCATGTAACACAGAAAATATGGCATCACTAGTGCATTTATTAGACAAAAAGCCGAACTGATTTTGCGATAAAATATTATATTTAAGGAGAAAGGGCATAAGTCGAACTTTTATAAGTCTTTCAATAATTTTTGATAGTGCTGGTAACAAGGCAATAGGTCTATAGTTGCAGGCATCAGATTTTTCTCCACCTTTATGAAGAGGAATGACGATGGCAGTCTTTAGGCAGTTAGGGAATGTACCTTTTTCAAGGGAATCATTTACTAGCGAGACCATGACCTCCAAAACATTATGCGGTAGATTTGAGAAAATTTTAATAGATAATCCATCTGTACTACAGACGATGTGCTTTTTATACTACGAATTGTTGAAATGAGTTCCGTCTTATCAACTGGTCTTAAAAAGAAGGTATCAGCAATGTTTTTTTGAATTAGAGAGATAGGAAACTGGATCTTGTTGTGGCGAAATAGTTGAGGTTATATTTTTACTCACATTAACAAAGTAATCATTTAGATTTTCGGGGTTAGGAAAAGAAAAGGTTTGATTCGCTGTACTGGTTTTATTTCGAAAACTCTCTAATCTTCAAAGACCTATCTTGGATATCTTTTGTAAAAGAAATGACACTAATGTAGTGCTAGGTGGCATGAACGCATGAATCATCATTATCATCAATTATCCTATATTTGTTCACTGTTGAACGTAGGTATCCCGTAAAATTTTTCACCTATTTCTATCTTAAGCTTCTTGCATCCATTTTGTGGTGATGCGCTTGATATCATCTGTCCATCTAGTCGGTGGTCGTCCTCTGCTTCGATATGCCTCTTGCCTTGATCGCCATTCCAGAATCTTTTTGGTCCATCTATCACCCGTTAGTCTGACAGCATTTCTGGCCCAAGCCCATTTAGCCATGGCTATTTTTTCAACTGCATTTGTGACTTCTGTTCTGTTCTGTTCTACTTCTATTTCTAGGTTTGGTACTTTATCTCTGATTGTAATACCTAACTATTGATCTTTTCATAGCGCGTTGTATAACTATTATTTTATATATTGCACTATTTTTGTCAGAGTCAGTGTTTTTGCACCATATGTAAGAACCGGTAAAACGCAGTGGTTGAAAACCTTTCTTTTTAAACAAATGGCTCTCAATCAGAATTTTACCGCTGACTAGAAGGTTGGTCATAAATTTTGTCTTTGAGGTGTTAATTTTAAGACCAATTATTGTTTTTGACACTTTATAGAGCGTGTGCAGTCATTTTGTAGCTTTATCAACCCTATCAGATATTAAAAAAATGTCATCGGCAAATATTAGGTGGTTCAGCAACCTTCCCCATTTATATTAATTCCCATATTATGCTCTCGTTCCATTTGCTTGAGCATATATTCAAGAACAGCTGTAAACAATTTTGGGGAGATAGCATCACCCTGTCTAATTCCACGTTCTATTTGGTACAATTTGAGATTATTATACCGTTTCAGACAAGTTTAAATATCAAATTTTGTGCAAGCTGAATTTAAATACAACTTGCTTCTTGCTTCACTTATGTTAGTTACTGCTATCTCCATCTGTGTAGAAAAAACGCAATCAACCCCCTATGGTTGAGTTTACCGAAAGTACAAGCTGATTATTAGAAATTTTTTAGCAATTACCCTTTGATAGATTAGGGGATAGATTTGGCAATCATCAAATCAACAGTTGCCAAATTACAAAAGATGTTTTCAAGTAATCTCGAAAAAAAAACAAATATTTACTCGTTATTATTTCATAGAAAATAAAAATTGCAGAATTCATAAAATAGTATAATCAAAATGTACTTTTTAAAAGCTTTCTCTCTTTATATTTGAAACATACAAAATATGAATTATAAAAACATCCCAACACTGTCAAACCCAAATATTTTATTTCATGGTTAACATTTGCAGCTATATTCAGCATGTACTTTCGGTAAACTCAACGCACTCAATATTTATATTATGTTTTTGGGATAAAATTTCACGCCAAGCTGGTATAAGATCTAGACTAATCTAGAGAATCAATTTAGGGAACTGTAATTTCCTTGTAAATATCACGTAAACCGTAAACTTGTGTCGGCCAGCATGACTCATAGCTCTTTACAAGATCCATTTTAACTTTTCTATTTTGTACGATTTACTTAAATTTTTTGTTTACTACAGCTTTGTGTGTGTATTGTAATAAGTAGCCTTAAGAATTATTTTGTACGATTTACGTACATTTTTTAGTTTTATTTGAAATTATAAAAAATCTCCTGTTATCTACTGTTTTTTTTATGTTCTATTCTACTGTTATGAGAAATTTTCATCTGGCAACACTGGCACCTGTCTCGACTCATTAGGACTATGTATTGTTCCTTGCTACAAATTGTAACATACACAATTCAAACAATAAATGTATTTTCCTATAGTTTTAAGTTTAGAATGATAATTATGTTTTTTTTTGTAATAAAAAAATGATAAAATTGATAAGACCAATGTTTTTCCTAATTATACAGCGATTATTGTTGGTTGTTTTGTCTAGATTAGCCTGCCAGTATACTGGTGTTCAATATACAGAGTGGCCCAAAAGTCTGGAAACGGCTAATTATCTCGTAAAATGCTAATCATAATTGTATAAAATTTATGGTAAACCTATTTTGGAATACGGAGATTCCATATTTGATATTTACAATGTTGCCAGATTTGCCGTTTTTCTTATATAATTAGTAGCTTTGGTTTTTCAAATACATCGCCTTGTATATTCAGTCATTATTGGAATCTCCTATTCAATACGAGTTCAACCATATGTAACACTTATGATTTTATGTAATCTGGAAGGTCTTAAATACATAAAACAGAAGTCTGGCAACGCCTAAATTGTTTCAATACATTTTTTAATACTAACTATTTTCAAATACATTAAAACGTAACAATTGATAGTTTAGCACATTTTTTAACATAGTAGTTACGTTATTAAGTGTTCAAAATGTGCTCAATGTGTGAGTTGACAGCACCCTAATCGATGGTAGAAGGCGTCTACCACATTTCTCCATGATTGTCTAGAAATTATTCGAGATTCATTAATAATTCGTTGCCTTAGCTCTGCAAGACTTGCTGGTTAAGTTTTGTAAACTGAATTTTTCAAGTATCCCTAATAAAAATAATTTTTAGGATTGAAATCGGGTAAACGTGGAGGCCATTCAATTCTACCTTGTCTACCAATTTATCGTCCAGGAAATATCTCATCTAAATATCGCCGAACATTTACACCAACTATCTGACGTTAAATTTCTTTCGACAAAAAATGACCCAATTGAATAAGTAACTACTATATCTGACCATACATTTAATTTTGGTGGTCTTTGAGTATGGTTTTCACGCATTCAGTCTTCAGTGTGAATTTACGTCACACCAGTACCTTAAATTGTGTCGATTTACACTTCCACACAGTGTAAAAGTTGCTTCATCGGAAAAACATATTCTGTTAACGAAATTTTAATAATTTTCAATTTTATCCATCATTACCTCAGTAAACTCTAATCTACGACCAAAGTCATCTTCACTTAATTCTTGCAATAAGTTAATTTTGTATGATTTAAATTTATTTTTACGTAATAAACGTAAGACTGAAGAATGACCTACATCATGTACTTGTGCAACCCTGCCTGGGGATGTATGTGGATCTTCAACAAAACTTTGCTTATATTTGAAGTTTTGTTGTCATTGATAACTCGTTTCGGTCGACCTGATGGGTATCTATCTTTTACTTCTCCAGATTCCTCAAATCGCCTTACAGTTTTTTGTACCGTCGTCTTATGAATAGGAGAACGGTTGTAAGAACGGCATTTTAGAGAAGCAATTTAAATTGCAGAACTTTTTGAACCATAACTACTGTCAATTTTAGTTCATAATTTAAATGGTGAACAAATGTCAAAATCACAGCATTCTCCATTTAAAATATTTAAATTTATTAAAATCTACATATTTTGCACTGTTTTATGTATTTAAGATCTTTCAGACTACATAAAATCAAGTGACATTGTTAACTATTGAATGCTGATCGTGTGAAACACTCTAATGCTAAAACCATACTCAAAGACCACAAAAATTAAATGTATGGTCAGTTATAGTAGGTACTTATCTAATTGGGCCATTTTTTATCGAAAGAAATTTAACGTCAGATAGTTGGTGTAAATATTCGGCGTTATTTAGATGAGATATTTCCCGGACGATAAATTGGTAGACAAGGTAGAATTGAATGACCTCCACGTTCACCCGATCTCAATCCTAAAGATTATTTTTATTAGAGATACTTAAAAAATTCAGTTTACAAAACTTAACCAGCAAGTCTTGCATAGCTAAGGCAATGAATTATCGATGAATCTCGAATAATTTCTAGACAATCATGGAGAAATGTGGTAGACGCATTCTACCATCGATTAGAGTGCTGTTAACTAAGTAGACTAGCTAGGTACCCTATTTTACCCAATAAACAATTTATCATCGCAAATAATAAAATAACAATCGCAACCCGTTAATTTTTTTTTATGAAAAAAAACTGTTTAAAAACTTTTATTTCCAACAACTTACCCAAGTGAATCCTAAACAATTTATTGCATTTGTGATCATCTCCCCCAACATTTGACGGGTAGCTGTTCAGTGCCGGGAAGTAAGCGTGCATGTGGGGGCTCTGCCAGTGAGTGACGCCAGGCATCACGATTTTTTCGACGTCCTTAAAAATATTAGCCCATTTTTCTCCCTCTACAGGGCTGAGTCGGGAATTTGTTCGCCGATGAACCCAGGTTTCTTATCGGGAAAAACGCGCCTTTCTCGTATGTTTTCCAAATAGTTTACGATGTAATCTATAAGTATTTTACCTATAAATAAAAAATTCTTTAATCTTAAATAATCTTCAATAAATAACTTCATTTATATGTTTTGTGAATGCAACCATTTTTATCTGGGAGAAACTCAAGATGACGTAGTATTAGAATAAAATGAGCCTGAAACTCACATTAAAAAACAAAGACTTCGGCAGATCTTAGATATGCTAACACTAATGAGTTAACAAGAGATCAGAGCCTTTAACAGGTTCATATTTTGAGCAAAATAGCAGAGAAAAATACAAAAGAAGAATACAAGGAAATGTAAAAGTGTAGGGTGTGTACAGTGAATAAAAAAAGAGAAGATACGATTTATGAATGTTTTATTTGTACTATCAAACCTGGTCTTTGCCTAGGCGCATGCTTCGTAACATACCATGAAGGCCGAAAATTGGTCTAGTTGGTGTATTTTTTGTACTACTTAGTACCTATAACGTTCAAGTTGCTCTTATTATATTATTGTTATAGTTTATTTTTATGAACGAGAGAGTAATTAGCATAATTTTTACTGGTACCATCCGACCACTCCATGGGCGTGCTCAAGATTAATTGAGAAATTACTTTGAATAATTGTAAAAAATAAATGAATTATTTCAGTGTTATAAAGTGTTATGTGTATGTAAACAAAAGTGACCTCACCTATATTAGAACTGACTGGCCTACATTAAAAAGGGTTTTAAAAAATTCACATTTTTTTTAATTTTTAAAAATTACAAAAGAGAAAAAGAGTTTTTAAAACCGTCTAAGGTATGTTAAATAGATGAATAAAAATATTAATATAAAACTTACAGCTACTTGTTACAAATCCAAATCAGATTCAGAAGATGAACTTTCAGAACCAAGATTTATAATAACTGGCTCGGTCATTTTATCAGTAATATTGTCCAGCTTCCACATTTTTTTCCTCTTCTTTAATAGTGTGATTTACTGCCTTTTCCAGTTTTCAGGTTTTACATTGTTTACGGCCTCCAAAAACAACTGTTTCACATCATGAATTTTAAAAGTGTTATTTTTTCTTGAAACTTCACTCTTTTATCTGTGCCCATAGCAGTTCAATCGGGTTTAATTGACAATGATATGGTGGGGATCTAAGTACTGTCATTCCACGATTTTTGGCAATTTCATCAATTTCGTATTTTTTAAATTTTTCTTTTAAGGGCACACAACGAATAAAGTTCCTTTCTTATAGATCCGGGATGGTACGTAATATTTTTTGAACTCAGCCAATTCTGCAAGTCTTTTTTTAACCGCTTGGTTGTGGGCAGTCCTTCTATAAGTCTGGAGTGATAACTTGCATTATCCATTACTATTACACAGTTCTTAGGAAGAAGATCTATCATTTGTTCGAACCATTCTTGAAAGACATCAGCGTTCATGTCTTCATGGTAGTCACCGGTACGAGTGTTGATTACTGCGTCCCTTTCCTGTATGGTGGGTTTAAACCAGTAGATAAGTTATTTACAAAAGCGTGCCTTTGACTTGTAACAGTTTCATCCTGCCAAAATTGATTTGGTGTATGACCCTCGTTGATCCATGTTTCATCAAGATAAAATATTTTTCTTTTTTGGTTTCTCATTTTCTTTATGGTTCTTAGAAAATGTCTTCTCCATATGACAATATCGCTTCTTTCTAATAAAATAGACTTTCTGGGATTCTTTTTCCAGCGGAAGCCTATTTCTTTTAAAAGTTTCCATAACGTACTTCGACTCATTTCTGGGTAATTCTTATCATCTCGAACTGAGACAAGAACTTTATCCAATGTTGGAAATTCTTGTCTAAAGAAGAACTCATGCACTTTCCGTCGAAGTCCTTCTTTAAAATGATATTCTATTTGAAATTTTGGTTTCCCTGGAGCATTACGTGGCATTTGAAAACTACCCACATTTCTCTTCTTTAATAACTATGTAAATCGTAGATTTCCCAACACCAAGTGTACTGCTAACTAATTCAACGGTCTCATCAACACTTTCACATAAACGTTTGTCTGTAAATGATTTAAAACAATTAAATATTAATGTTTTTTCATTAACTGTTAAATGACCAATTTTTCGGCGTTTACACGGCACTTCCAAATTTTCCATAACACTAGTATACACAATAAACTGCACCTTGCAACTGAAGTACCTACTTTTAGTGAACTGTTAAGAATTTTGAATACGCCACTTGGACCTTCCTACAAAATGAAAAAACCCACTATCACATTTTCTGTGGAATAAGTTTTAGAAGGCAATTATCTAGTCAATTTACTGTCGTAGATTCCTGGAATTAAAGAATTAAATGTTTGATTGTTGAAACCCTTACTTCGTGGAATGCACTCATTTCAGATAAAATAAAACGTTTTATTTTATCTAAAGAATTAAACTTTATTTTGCAAATAGGTAGGTACTTATTAAACTTTTATTGGTTATATATAACCAATAAAATAAACATCTTACATTTCTTGCAAATTCATTAGTACCTGTTAACCTCCATCACTCCGACACTGGCAACCTTATTTAGGGATTAGTAACCCTCACAACTATTGTATTCTATTCTGCTCCAACCTTTATACCTGGTGGTCATACTCAATTTAAAATTGTTTTCCTATATACTTCTGTAAACTTTGTTGACAAATATCTGTTTTTCATTGAGTCACCCGTATCAACAGTTTAGGGATTTGCATACATAATTTATTGTTTTATTACTCTCTCATACATAAAAATACACTATAGTATATGTTTTGTTACTTTTCAAATAAAACATAATTTTTTGTAGCCTTTTGCGCGGATCCGCGTCCTTTTGACATTTGCTCCCAAATGTGGCATATAATGCCTAAAACATCATATAAAATACCAACAACCAACTCTTATCACTGTTAAAACAAAATTCCTAGCACCTGGCATGTTCCTATTAGATTACGTACGCAGTGAACCTGTTAATAGAATTTAATCTAACCTAAAAATATATCCCTGTAAAAAAAAATAAAATACCTTTAAATTGATATACAATATAACTTAAGGATTTATGATTAAAGATTCTTGAATAAGTTAACAACCCTTTTACTAGAAAAATCTCTTGTATTTAAAGATATTTTAGATTGTACAGATGTTTTAATTGGGCCACCCTATATATGTGTTTCTTGATATCGTCCCAAGGAAAACAATTTGAAATATCCAGATTTGTTTTCGCATTTTTCTTTTTCGTATATGTTTAAAGAAAATCTTTTTAAAGTATGTGATTCGCCCAGATTCAATTCGAACTCAATATTAGTAAATATAGGTTAAATTTTCTATACTATAACGATTTCTTAACTTAGAAACAAAACATAAATGTCGCTTTAACCAGTATGTATCTTTCAATATCAGCCGCATGCAAGATTTTATTGGGTAATAAAAGAAATTGACTCTGTCGAATGTCATTTATTAGATTGTAAATTCCTATGCAAGTCAATACTCCAGCTCTCGTTTGTTTTCGCAAAACTAAGTTCATTTACATATTTGGTTTGGAAAAAAGAATTGGATTTATTTCTTGAATTAGCGATAAATAATAAAGTTTATTCTAAAACTTTCTATCGTGATTACAGCAAACAGAAATATATCATTAGCTAAATGAGAAACAATCGGTAGAATTCAACAAATTTCTTTTTGATGGTTTTATTGACCAAACGGATTCTTGGAGGATAGTCTTTGGAACTAGAAAGGACGCTGGAACTGATATGAACAAAATAAATTATTTCATGACAAGAAAAGCCAAATAAGTTGCTTGTACTGAATGTATGTATGTACAGCGTTAACAGGCTTTTTAGGCCCATTGCTGGATAGATAATTTCCATCGTTTTCTATTTTTTAGCTATTAGCTTCCAATCTATGATTATCAAGTCTCTGACATTTTCCATCACTACATCTCTCTGTTTCTTTCTTGATCTTGCTCTCTTTTTTTTGCCTTCAGGTACTTCATGTGGAGAAATTCAGGCAAACTTTCGATAAACGGCACCAATTATACGGGTTGACGAACCGCCAGGAATCAGCCGACTTAAATCAAGGAAAAGGTTTATGAGAAATGTCAGCGTCGAACCACCCGAAGTGTTCCCCCTACATCCAGAACGACCTAATGGAATGAACCTGGACTGGAGAACCTGGCGGGCACTCAACCGCATGCGCACAGGTGTTGCCCCTGTAAAACAGAACTTCATTAAATGGGGCATCAAGACAGATAGCGAGCACTCTGTGAATGTGGGGAAATACAGAACGTGAGAGCACCTGAGAGTATGCAGACTTTGCCCATCACAGTGCACCCTCGATGATTTATGGCTCGCAAATACAAAGGCTGTAGACGTAGCCCGATATTGGGCAGAAAACTGTAGTCGGATCCAGGCTCAAAAAAAGTAAAAGTAAGTATACTTACTCTTATTATAGTTTTGTATACTTATTTTTGTATAACGAGATATATATATTTGGCCTTAATTATTTTGCTCATAGCTCCAGCACACCTGTTGCTCTTGGTCAGTCTCAGGTTGATTTCAATTCTACAACTGATCTATCATCTACCTCTAATTTGAAGGAAGCTCTAGTGTTTATTTCTTTTTTGTTTGAGATTTTTATCATATAGTTCAATTTATTAATATTAACTTTCATTTCTTTATTTTTGTGCTTTCCCGAATCAGTCTTTTTGCTATATTTGCCAGTTATTTTCCATTTCTTGCAATGAGAACCACATCATCAGCGTATGCTAAGCATTGGTGCGCCTTGTATAAAATAGTGCCGGACCTATTTATCCCACTAACCCAATTACTACAATTACTTACAATTACTACAATTTTTTCTAGAACTATATATAATAGCAATGTAGACAACGGGTCTCCTTGGCAAACACCTTTTCTCACTTCGAATTCTTCTGATTCTTCTGTCTAATTGCTATTTTTACTAATCTTACTATTTTGTCTGGTACTTGGAAATCTTTTAGTGTTTCTATTAATTTGTTTCTGTCTATTGTATCGTAAGCGGCTTTCTAATCAATGAAAAGTACTTGTGCTGAAATATTGTATTCATAGAAATTGATCAGCATTTGTTTTAGCATAAAAATTTGATCGATTGTTGATTTTCCTTTCCGAAGTCTTCCTTGGTATTCTCCTAGATTCTTTTCTACATATATTTCTAATCGTTTTTTAATTAGTATGGCGAGCACTTTATACATTACCTCTAATAAGGATATTCCTCTATAGTTTGCGATTCAGTTTTATCTCCCTTTTTGTGTATAAGAATTATAATCGACTTGTTTCATTCTTGAGGTATTTCTTCGGCATCCCTCACTTCTAGTATTAGCTCACTAAGTTGGTTTATTAAAGCCTCTCCTCCATATATTTAAAGTTCTCTGTCACAATGCCGCTCTCCCGGCTTTTTGATTTTTCATATCTTTTATTATTTCTTCAATTTCTTCTCTTGTGGGCTTTAGTATTTATTACTATTTGAAGTTTAAGAATTTTCTTCAGTAGTCAGTCCGTCATTTATCATCTCAAAATATTCTTTCACCTTTCACATATTTGGTCTTTGTCCACTATCAGGTTTCCTTGCTTAATTTTCTTCAATACGCTTTACTTTATCATCCATATACTTTCGTTTCCGATCCCTTAGGATTTTCTTTACTTTTTTTCGTATTACTATTAAAATATTTGGTAAAATCTCAGTGAAGAAGTTTGAAAATAAAGAGGCTTTATTTTCACTTAGAAATGACCATTCTTTCTAAGTGTTTCTTGCTTTTTTTATTTCCTGTGATTCGGCATTATTCATTTAATGATTTTTATAGTAGTTTTGTTTTATAATAATCATAATATTAATTTTCTTCTTTTTATATCTGTTTAGACACTCTATTTCCATCCGTTTGGTCAACATTCCGAATTTTATTCAAGTTTTTTATCTTTTTATGTCTTGTGCTTCTGTTCTATTCTCCAAAACACCTACTGTTTTCAAACCTTTGTCTTAGATCTTCTTCTTCTACTACTTCCTATGGATCTCATACGCAAGAGCATCTTCGCAATTCGTCTTTTTCTTCTTGTATTTAATATAATAAACCAAAACACTTTTGTATGTAACTCCTTGTAAAAATGTATTTAACAAAACAGCTTATGAATCCCTAGACAAGAAAAACAAAATAAGAAGCAGAATGAAAATACGAGAAATACGACAATGAAAATAATTACAAAAATACAGTTATTAAAAAGAAAAACTCTAGAATGAAAAAGAAGAAAATGTCTTACTCCCTCTAATACCTGTGCATGGTGTATGTAAATAAAAAAACCGGACATATTTAAATACAAATTTATTAAGCTATCTTATAATCTATCAAATCTTACCTTCCTTTCTAAATTCTTCAGCATCCATTTTGTTAGCTTCCTTAAACAAATATATATATGATCAAATTTATGTTACATAACGTTAATGACAATTTGATTAGAGTATTTTTAAAAAAATAACCACTGAATCTAATTTGTATTCGACACAAACTAATCCTAGTAAACCTGCAATGCTTACTTCTAATGATATAAAATAATATGTTGCATCTGTATATACAATTATACATGTCGTTAGTAAAAATGCCAAAAATTTTGAGGTTACTAGTCCAATGTTTTAGGACTTCTTCAAATAAAAGAAGTTAAGCCTCAAAAAAGATTTGCAAAATTCGTCAATATTTACATTTTAATGACAAAAATTTGATGGTACCAAGAGATCATCTTCATCATGATCATTGAAAAACAGGCTTTGACGCATTGTTGATGCACTCAATGAAAGTTTCAGTCAGTTCTTCTTCAAAAATATTTATCTGTTGATGAACAGCTGTGTGGGACCAAAGTTCGATACATGAAGCAATATCTTTCAGCGAAACCCCATAACTGTTGATACAAATTATATGTTCTTTGTATAACGGATGGTTTTTATCTAGTTTTGAAATTGACACAGGTGCAAACAACTATCCGAAATTTCTCCAGATAAATAAATACGACTTAAGAACAAGTGCCAACGTTGTTAGACTTTGTCGAATAATACCTTTAACAAAAATTCAATACCTTTGATGGTCTACCTATTGCAACATGGTATTTACTCGTTGAGAACGGTAAGACATGTAGGTTTTTACAAATTAAGCAAACAGTTTCTAGAATGTATAAAGAGGGAAGAGTTAAAATCCCGTGATTTCTGAAGTAGCTTCTGCAATGTGGTATTCTACTGAGGCCAAAAATATACTGTATTGCTCTTTTTTATAATTTAAAAATAAGATTAGATTGGTCAGCTATACGAGAACTTCAAAAAGAAAGGCCATATCGAAGATGAGACTCGAACAAAGAAAAATATGTTATTGTGGAGGATGCTGAGGCTAGTTTCTTATTAAACAAATAGATATGAAAGGTTCATTTAATGTTACGTCTATAAAAATACCAAGATAACTACAAAAAAGAAACAAAAAAGGGTACTTACATTAAACTCCTAGACAAACACAATACAAAAAGGTTCTTAAGTTATTTAAAATAAGAACGCAGATTAAAAAAATCTTCGTGTTGGATGAAAGAAATGCTCTTCCTTCCTGAATTTCACTACTTGTTTTTTTTTTCATTAACATTTCTGGGGTTGAAACTCCACTCAGATGCACTGCAACACAAACAACTGCGAAAATAGTCTTAAATGACAACCAGGGACAAACAAAATGAGGCTGGAAGCTGGGCACTGGGACGCAATCTTCAAAACTCGGCTTCTTTAAAAATCAGATATAATGGAACCATTTGGGTATCCTTCTAAATTTGTTAGAAACGTCGTTTTACAAATCTCTCAGATGAGAGATGTCACGAAACAAAACAGTGGTTACTATTTCAAATACTGACACATTACATTCGAGTATAACTCGCTTTTTTACAACAAATTTGCCGGTTTGTCCAGAAAGGCCGTCCCATGGTGGAACAACTCCTGTAAACTTGCAATCAAATAATACAAGAAGATGCCTTCGATACTACTAGTGCCTTCGACACAATAAACAGAGCTGCTATTATTAGAAAACTTGAGCAACTTAATTTATAAACAATTTCCTACAAGAGAGATCATTCTAAGTAGTCGAAAACGGGAAAACATCTACGCCACATATCTCACAAAATGGAGTCACCCAAGGCTCAGTTCTCAGCTCCACACTATTCCTTCTTAGCATTAACGATATAAACTCTCTTGTTCTTCCACCAATAAAATACTCAATATACGCAGATGATCTTGTTCTTTATTGCCAAGGTAAAGTTACAAGGAGCATATGCTCTTTACTTTAAAACACTCTTAACAATCTTCATTGTCCATTGAAATTGGAGTCAAATTTTCATCTAGAAAATCTAAAGTCATAAACTTCTCTAGAAGACATCACACTGACCCTCCTCTACTTCACTATATATCTCTATATCAAATCTTCAGAACCTCCCCTTTACATAAGACGGCAACGTACTTCTGTCTTACTTCTCTAGAATTTCTGCTAATCCAAAAAACCCAGTAATAAAACTAATTAATACTCCCCACCCTGTCCCAGATAATAGTCACCTTCGAGCACATTATCTCTTACAAATTTTAAAAACTTTACTAGAAGACATAGACCTAAAACTCACAACTCCATTTAGTACGTCCAGAATTCACGCGTGGACCAAAAAGCTACCTACTGTCCTTACCAGCTTGAACCGATACAAAAAAGAAGAAATGCTCAGAACTCTCTTGGTACGAGCATTTGAGGAACTTATACAGACACAGCGTGATGACAAAATTCTCTACACAGATGCCTCCAAAGAAGGACAGGCTGTCGGTTGTGCCGTCAGTACCACAAACACAACAGTAGAGTCACATCGGCTTTCTCCCAGATGCAGTATACACACAGCCGAACTGTATGGAATACTCAAGGCATTAGACTCACCCATTGCTAATGAGAAATCATTAGTAATATGCACCGATTCTCTCTCCGCCATTGACTCAATTAGAAATATATACTCCATACATCCCATTGTACAGTGCATCTACAGTATTTGCCTACAACAGTCAAAAAATGGTTTTTCAGTAACTATCATCTGGGTACCATCCCATGTTGGTATCAATGGGAATGAGAAAGCTGATCATGCAGCAAAATCGGCCTGCTCCTCAGAAAATATGGAAAACATACAACTTCACCAAGACCTAAAGGCCAGTATCAAGAACAACGTACTAAGCACTTGGCAAACACATTGGAACATGCACAATACAAAACTACGCACAACTCAACCAACTGTTACCTCCATCACCATGACTCAAATGAGCAGAAAAGAGAATATCATTATCAGAAGGCTAAGAATAGGTCAAACTCGTCTTACTTATGGATATCTGATGTCTTCTGAAAACCATCATCGCTGTGAACATTGTAATGAGTTCTTAACAGTCCAGCACATATTACTAGAATGTGTCCACTACAAACCTCAAAGAGACTACTATAACTTTCAAAATAATATAAATGATCTACTCGGTTCTACAAACATATACAGTACCATAATTCGTTTCCTAAAAGACTGTCACCTTTACTACCTTAGTATAATTTTATTAGATATTGTTAATGTATCCTAACTTGTATATAAACAGATTGTATATGTATGTAAACATGAACATATTGTAATCAATTTTGTACCAGTGTTAATGGCCCATAGTTGTCGAGACACTTTAATTTAAAATAAAAAAAAATGGCTGGCACAAGCAACAGCGTTATTAAGATTTAAGTTAATAAATAAAATAAATTTAATACAATTTTAAAACAAATTAATTATATCATCATGTAACGCATAATTCAAACGATATTTGACAATACATATAATTTTTACGCTATTTTTCCAGAAGTGATAGCATTTTTTATTTCTATAAAGGTTTTTTCGGTTGATTAAAAAGTTACAAAATAATTATAAAACATTTGAAAACTTTTAAAAAATTACAAAATTTATCATCTGTATACCAGTAAAACATTCCAAGCCTTGAATTACTTTATTTAAGCTGCTAATAACTTCTTTTCCTATTTTTCGAACCTAAAGGGGTAGTTTTTAAGAATTTTAAGGGTAGTAAAGTAATTAATGTCACAAATCATATTAAAAAAAGTTGAAAGAGATTGTATCCAATATGTCTGAACAGGAATTGAATATTTAAAATATCTTTAAAACCTAGCCTTTTAAAGTTTTTTCATACAAGAGTAGTTTTTACTTCCATCGAGACGATAGAACTGTTGAAGTAGAGGATCATATGAGCTGCTATAATAATTTTCAGGCAAATCTATACAATTTTAAAAAATTGATGACTTTAACTTTTTTTAGTCTTCATTGACTATACTAATTATGTAATCTGTATTGAATGGTTTAGGATTGAGCAATTTTATTGAACTAAATATATAACAACAAAAAGATGGATATGAACGCTGTAGTTATATTGGGAGAATAAAAATTATTATTAGTAAAAGTTTTTGTACAGACATGAAAATAAAAATTGGTAGACATATTAAATAATTATTATTACCTTCAAAAATTATTAAATGGATAATTCGAAATGGCAAAAACACACACTAACAAATACATACATCGAAATATACACAAACGAATAGATATCCAAGAAGAAAATTTACAAACAAATTGCACATAACAACGACATCGTCCATATTACATGACAAACACTGGGTAAATTTCAGCAGGACAGTGTTATTAAATTACAAAATGAAAACTTACCGTAACACTCTGAAAAACTATGTGACACAAAAGCAAAACAAATAAGCCGAAGCCAAATGAAGGGAAAGCACTGTCTCGAAGCTTTTATATAAGGTTTCCCACCACCCTTTTTTATTGGAAAATTAAATATCATACCAACTGTGGAAATCTCCATGATCATGGATAAATGATTAGGAATTAGGAGGTTCTGTAAGGTAATTGTGGAAGACAAATATTCGTCAGTTTATACGGGGTGTATTAAAATTAAATAAATCTAATTGTAGTTATTTATATTGAAATATGAGTGAACAAAATGTTGCTGTGGAAAAAGACATAATGTGTTTAAGTTAATTTTGTTGTTGGTTTTTGCTAATACTCTCATTATTTATTTATATTTTTTTATCAAAATCGACACGTAGACATAAGTTTAGAAAGATTATAATAATATTATATTTTCGTAGAGGATGCATCACCTTTATAAATCTTAATGGATCGAAATTTTTTGTGTATGACAAATTTTCAATAAGATAGACTATAAGGGGAGCTACCCGCATCTCTGTCATTATGATCCAAATGTTATTCTACTTTACTTGATCAGACATTTTGATAAAACCTTGTCGATAAAACCTATCTACATTACTTTGTTGAATTCTTTTAACTTTTATATAATTTGACATGTCTAATATATTATATAAAAATTAATGGGAAAATCCCAGTAGTTGGCTGTATACCATTGTTTAAAAAATATACAGAAGTTAAAACACTTCACAATTATATTTAGGTATAAAAAACAAAGTTAAAACTTTTAAAAATAAATATTTTATCATTTAAACAAATTTAATTTTAACTACAGGTTCATTAATAGGATATTATTACAACAAAATAAATTTTATAATTTTTAAAAATTACATTAGTCTCGGAACACACCCATACCTAGTCATATTTAGCTGTCTTCTTAAATTATATTCCTGTCCCCTCAGCCAGTTGGTCTGTGTCGTTTTAACTGACAAATACCACGTGTTAAAAACCGAGCAGGCAGACATGTAGCTACTCAAGCATTAAATTTTATCCAATTGCATCGACCTAGAGTCACAACATAATTTAAATTTAGAATGATGTAAACCCATGTATGGATGTCACAGCCACAACTTTATTGTTAGCTTCAATTTCATAAGAAGGTACTGAGGATTATTTGATTAGGTCGAAAATGCTAGATAAAAAGATGGAATGATTTGTAATGCTGGAAAAGACAAAAAAAACTTCCTAGAATAAGAAAGAAGAGGAAATACTTACCCAAAATCGAAGAAAAATAGTTCTTTTATCTTGATTGAAAACGTAATGAATTAAACATCTAAATACACGGAAAAGGGACAATTCAAAGGTACCTGCCTTGGTAAGGAAGAAACCGTAAGCTTTTCATTGGTAATTACTTTTCTTAGTCTTGATGATAGAATAGATGACAGAAATATTTTAAATTGAAACTTGTTGAAATGGAGGAATATTTCAATGATTTGCGAGCGAGTTTTAAATCTTAATATGTAAAGATTTAAAATTATTTTAATTTATTTTTAAATTCCATGTGGTTCAGAAAGCAGTAGCTTTTATGCGACCCTGTATAAGGTCTTAATTCGGAGTATTCCGCTTCTAAATTTGAATGTTAATTTTTTTTGTAAACATTTGAATTCTGAACAAGAAGGCCTACTAAAGGTGTTTATTTCTTTAAGTATTATCTTATAAATAAATATCTAAATAAATCTAAATAAATCATGATTATTGCGTGTAACGGGAATTTTTACCGGCGAAAATTAATCTATGCATGAGAATTGAGATTATTACCGATAGAATTTTTAACCAAGTCACTAGTCTGGCAGTCTTTCACCAGGTACTGAGCCTTTTGTGTCCTAATAAGGTAGGTTCGCCAAATAAAGCCCGGTTCCTAATAAAGCCCACTCGCCCATATTCCTCAGGATGGACAAATAATGGCAGTATGCTGCAATGTACAGATGCAGTAGAGCCATCTAGGTGCAAATTGTTACACTAAGTTGAGCAGCGACGCGAACTGTCGCTTTTAAATGATCATTCGTTTACAGTGGTCAATGGGTAAACATCCAATCTAATATTGAGGTTAGTATGCTTTTGTAATTGAATACGATTATGAGTGCGATTTTTTTTATTTTGCATGACATTTGTGTACTACATAAGCCCACCTGGGCCTTATTAAGACTACGGGTGGGCCTTGTTAAGACCACTACAATAACACGTTTTATAAGTTTTTAACTTTGTTTCAGAAAGAATACTAAAAAGCTTAAGATGCCTAGACTTTATGGAGTGAAGAACAAATGGCTTTGACCTTGCAAGCAGTTAAAAATGGGATGTCAGTAAGAACAGCCGCCAAAGAATTTAATATTGCCCGTCGAACACTTAGGAATCATTTGCTTAGTGGAAAAGCGGAAAAGAAACTTGGGCGCCCTTCATGTTTAACCCCCCAACAAGAATCTGAGTTGTGTGGAAAAATTTTTAGGCTAGCTGACGTTGGAATGCCTCTGACATCAACAGTGATAAGACGATCTGTCCATGAATATTGCCAAAGAAATGGCATATCTGCACCTTTTATCGATAAAAACTTAGCTAGTCGAAAATGGCTCAAACTTTTATTAAATCGACATCCCGAAGTAGTTAAAAGAAAATCTCAATTCATGAATCCAGCTAGAGCCGCCAAATTAAACAGATTCATAGTCAATGACTATTTTGAAAAGCTACGCGAAGTTATGTTGAAGCTTGATATCCTGCAAAGCCCTCAAAGCATTTTTAATATTGACGAGAAAGGTTGCCGCCTTAACCTACGCCAGTTTTCATTAAGTGGGTACAACATTTTGCTAAGTACAAGCCAATAGGAAGAATACTGCTTATTTTTGACGGGGCATCGTCCCATCTGGATGCAGGTATTGTTGATGAAGCCGAGTCGCATGAAAATTACGCTTTTTTGCCTGCCAAGTAATTGCACACATGAACTGCAACCTATGGACAAGGCGGTATTTAAAGCCTTCGAATCTTACTGGGACGACGAAGTTATCACCTACTAGACAAATAAACCAGATCGAACGATCAATAAATTTTCGTTTGGCACAATTTTCTCAAAAGTATGGCCAAAAGCAACTACAGCATCAAATGTTATTTCAGGTTTTCGTGCTACGGAAATATACCCGTATGATCCGAGTGTCATTCCTGACATAGCTTTTTGCCCATCAGAAATAACAGAAAATAAAATTAGACTCGGAAGATTCTGCTAGTCCATCAGCTTCGACTTCTGTAACGAATAATCCTATTGGCAGCTCCACTCCAGACAGAAAAAGAAAATAAAAGCTCTAAAGGAGAAAAATACGCAAGATACCTCTGAGAGTTCTGACGGTTCTGACAATGAATTTTCAACACATGACAGCTCAGAAGAAGAAAACGAAATGTCAGTAAGTTTTAACGCAGTGTTAATAACACCAGAATTGTAAACTGGAAAACGCAAAGGTGCTAGAAAGGAATCCCTGAACTATCGAGCACAGGAAGTCACAAAATCATTGTTTGATGAAGCTGGTTTAAATGACCCTAAAAACCAATCAAGAAAAGGAAAAAACTTGGCAAACGGAAAAAATAGTCAAAAAACAACTAAAAAAAGGAGAAGAGAAAAATAAACACAGCTCACTTGAAACCTCAAAAAACAAAGAAGAACGAAAAGATAGTTGGTATTGTTTCGTCTGCAATGAGGATGTCGTTAAGGATATGAGACTTTGTGACAGCTGCAAAAGATAAATCCATGAAGAGTGTGTAGGACTTTCAGCAGATGATAAAGACTTAGTTTTCATATGTCCAGACTGTTTGCAATAATTATTTTAAGTACCTATTATTTTTTACAAAATAAATGTCCTACATGTCATCTTTGTTTAATTTGATTAATGTATAGTTGCACCAATAGACCTTAAGCTTAAGACGTACGTGGAACGTCAATGCGACATAATAAGCTGAACTGGGCTAAACTGGAGCTGAAGATCTGTTGGTACAATTAGGCATAATGGTCATATTTAAAAAGTGAGCCTTATTAAGAACATGGTGTTCCTAACTAGGCCCAGAAGCAACTATTTTTTAAAGACTAAAAAGTAACAACTCATAAAACTTTTAACAAAATTTAACAATCTCATATTAAATTTAAATATGTGATTTATTTTCTCTGTGGTTTTCAGGTTTATATCGTGATTTTATTTATCAAAAAACAACTAACAAACATTAAGTGGGCCTTATTTGATCAACTTACCTTATCAACAATTTCCAGTTCAGTCTATTAAAAGTTAAGTAAAAATATATGTATTCTTTTACTCTCCAGAAATGGTAGTGGAAACATAAGTTCTTTTGGTTTTTTATTGCTGAGACAATCTTTCTTCTGTTAAAAGAACCCGCAAGTCTTTAGTGAAAGTAACTATAATGACACAAAGACATTCACACTAAGTTTTTACCTTTTTTATACTGCTCCTTTCTTTTACTTCCTGCTTTTGTTGAAAGATGAAGGATATTTTTAGGTCTAAGATTCCAATGTGTCTGAGTATTTAATCAGTGTATTTTGCCAGTGATGACCTACGGCGCAGAAATCCTAACGCTCACAAGAACAACAGTGAGTAAACTACAAGTTGCGGAAAGGGCAATGGAGAGAATAATGTTAGGGATTTTTCTACGTGATAGAATTCCCAATGCTACTATACGCAAAAGATCAGGAGTAGCCGACGTTATTGAAATGATAACACTAAAGTGGAATTGGGCAGGTCATATAGCAAGATCACTTGATGACCGGTGGACAAAAAGAATTTTGGAATGGAGACCCCGAATACAAGCTAACAGATGACATAAAAAGAGTGACTACAAATTGAATTCAGATGGCGCAAAATCGGACTAAGTGGAAAGCATGCGATAGGCCTATGTTCAACAGTGAACTTAGAGGCTAGATGATGATACTGCTCTAGCAGATAATTATTAAGCTGAATATTTATGTTAGGTAGTCAATATGAAAAACAAAGCACCTCATTATTTATTATTTTTTGTCAACATACACCTTGTGCAGTGCAGTGTTAGCGTTTTTTGAAGGAGTACATCTCGTATATTTTTTTAATGTTTTGATCACTACTGTTTTTTGTATATAGCCCTAAATTCTGTATGTGATTGTTAGAAGTTAAAATTCCACATATCGTTATATAACAATGATCCATGTAACTTTTAAATTTTCTTAAAAAAAATTAAGATTATTTTTTAATATGTTTACCAGGTCATCGAGAAAAATTTATATTAAACTTTCTATAATAATATAAGAAAGTATAAATTTGTAATGGACATTTTTGTTGTACGATGTAAAATATGTCGACTAAATCTGTGTTACGGCTAATAATAAATATGGATTTTTTTTCTTGGTCTACTTATAAATAATTGTTAACAGATTTGCAGAACGAACATACAAGGTAGGTTTATCTGTTTATTATTATTTGTTCTATAAGAATTTTGGTAATTTAAGAGTTTTCTTTGTCTTTCGAAGTAAAGACAAAATGGCGCCGTTTTTATCAAACCATTTATATTTTTTTAATGTTTATTTAATATGTCTAGTTTAACTCTATTAGTTATCATCCATTAATTTTTTTTTCTTTTCAATTTGTCTTTTTTTGTATCAACGCTAGTAAGAATGACCCACGGAACCACGCTTATATCTCTTCCGATATTAAGCAACTCAGTTTCCTTCATTTTGTATAAATCAAAAACTGTTTATCGCTTGTTGTATTACAACTTTCCTTAAGAACATAATATGAAACTGACAATAAACTCATGGATTCAAAAGTTTTTTTCATGTAATTTTCAGAAGCTTTAAAATATGTCAAATCAGATCTTTGAATCATTTTTAGAAATAAAATCAAGCACACACATGGAAATTTCACTGAATGATTTTTGGTACAGGATTCTTGATGAAAATCCACAACTTGCCACATAGGCTTGGAATGTTCTGCCGTTCACAACAGCATACTTGTGTAAAACCGAATTGTCAGCATATTCTCCTACAAAAACAAAATCTGCAATAGACTTGATGCCGAATCAGACATGAGAATTCAACTTTCTTCTATTAAGCCTGACATTTCATGAATTCTTCGCAATAACTGAATTTAGTTTTATTATTTGCTTACTTACTCAGTAATCGTACCCCACTGCATTCCAAAAAACACATACGTAAGCAATCCACATGCGGAACTATGACACTCAACACCGGACAGCAAACTAACCGAAAGCATACTAATGTGGTTTGACCCTTGAGAGAGCGTTAACAATACATCCCAATGAAGCTATCGGTCAAAATAAAAATCACCTAAAAATTAAATTAACGAACATTAGTGCTTTCATTAAGTTTCTCTTGTGTTTTTTTTCTCGTTTATTTTGTTAAGTTTCAATGTTAAGTTATCGTAGTGTTTTTCAGAAAATCACAAATACATACAAATTGTTTTGTAAGTATAAACAAAGTTCATTGTTTACTTATATTCTTATATCATCACTTTTTGTAGAGTTAAATTCTACCGCCGACACTGCGAAGTCATTTTCTTTTTAGAGAATCTTAAAAAATCGAGGCTAACCATCAACTATTCATCTACCATGATAAGCTTGATGTCGAAACAACCAGACTGGGATCCAGATATCACCAGAGCCAATTCCTTAGATCAGAAACATTTTAACCTCACCAATGCTTAAAGAAGACAATGGGAGAGCCGTTCACCACATGCAGCACATCAAATGGCCTGTATCGATCAGAAACCGCCAAGCTTTGAACTGACCAGCATTACATGGACAACGTAGAACAGCATAGGAACAAGCAGCGGTGGATGTGATGACTGCTTATGTAGATGGAGAAAATCCCTTATTATTGAGTGTGACTGTGGTGCGCAACGACAGACTATCCGTCACATTGTTGAAGAATGCCCCCGAAGGCAATTTGCTGGAGTTTTAGATGAATTCCTGAATGCGACCAAAAATGTTTTACATTATATTAATAATACATTAGATGTTCGTTTGTAAATACTCCATGTAACGTTTTATATTTTTAATGTGTTCTTATTTTATGTCATACGATAAATAAAAAATAAAGTCTGTGCATTTATAATTGATAAATACCCTTAACTTCACAACCGATCACAAGATTTGTATATTATTTGTTTATATTTGTTTACTATGTATGTCAAAACTATAGAAATAGACATTTGTAATGGATACTAACAAAGGGAAAGTGAGATGTGTCAAGGTTCGATAGAGTACTGTCAGTCTCATAAGAAATAAAAGTTCATAAGACAAAAATGGCGTTTGTGCGCCTAATATTTACAGCGCAAAGACTCCAACAAACCAAAAAAGACTTGATCGAAGAAAAACAGGATGCAATCAAATACTACACAACCTCAAAAAGACGATTTAAGTTCCATCATGTACACATCAGATTCAGACAGAAATTGAAGAGACTATGGAGAAGAATCGGTTATTGTTGTTGTTGCCAGAAATTTTGTTTTAACTTAAAACACGAAGGAAGTGTAGAAAACTACGTTTTGAAGAGCATCGCTGGGTTTTTTGGTGGATTGATTTTAACTTACATATTTTTTATGTTTTTTGTATTGCAGCTTTCTTTTACGTTTTCGTCAGCTACAATAATTTGTTCAATTTTGGGATGTATTCTCGTTAACGGATTGGCGTTTAGCTCCAAAGTAAGGTAAGATTTTTCTATAACAATTAGCCTTCTGCTTTGTACTTTTTCAATAAGAGTTAACAAGCATTACTTCATATTGCCCTCAATATTGGATTTCTATAATTAATGTTGATAGACTTCTATAGTCCTTTAGAGGTTTTAAACATTGATACATTTTTTTATCCACTCCTCTCATTTCTTCAAACTTAAGCTTTTGAAATATTGTCGACTAAGAGTGATGATCTGCTAACTCCATTTTCAGTATATTTACAGGGGCGGGAAAAAACATGCCTCAAATGCAGATTTTTGTATAAAGTAAATTTCGACGTTTAAAACTGTTTAAGACTAGCTTAAATAACATTTAATTTTATAAAACAGATATCTACTGCGTATACTTTTATTTTAATATAAAGAAATAGGAGTTAACAGTTTATCACATATACAATCTTCTTCTTTAAGTTCCATCTTCTATCGAAGGTTGGAAATCATCATGGCTATGCGGACTCTGTTGACTGCCGATCTAAAAAGTTCTGCACTACTGCATTCAAACCATTCCCTTAAGTTCTTAAGCCAGGATATTCTTAGTCTTCCCACATTTCGCTTTCCTCGGATTTTGCCCTGCATAATAAGTTGTAATAATGCGTATTTTTGCCCTCTCATCACATGTCCCAAGTACTCAAGTTTTCGTCTTTTAATAGTTAATATTATTTCCGCCTCATTTCCTATCCTTCTAGTTACTTCCATGTTTGACATTCTTTGAATCCATGATATTCGTAGGATTCTTCTGTAACACCAAAATTCAAAGGCGGCCAGCTTATTCAGATGAACTTGTTTTAGTGTCCAAGCTTCCAGACCATAAAGAAGAGTAGAGAACACGTAACATCGAAGCATTCTCAGGCGTAGTTCTAACCTTATATCCCGACAACAAAGAAACTTTTTAAGTTTAATAAATGATGTACGTGCTATTTCAATATTCAATACGTGTCTTAATTTCTTTGGTTTGGTCTACATCTGATGTTATCCATGTTCCTAAATATTTATAGTTATTATCATTCTCAATTGCAATATCTTCAATAGTCAATTGGATATTTGCATGTGCAGATTTAGTCATGATCATGCATTTAGTTTTCTTTAAATTTATCTTCAGTCCGTACTCATGACAGCGTTCATTAAGGCGTTGCATTAGGTTCTGTAAATCATTGTTGTTATCCGTAATTATTACTGTATCGTCTGCAAAACGTAAGTTATTCAAAACTTCTCCATTGATAGATATACCTTCTATTGAGTCTGAGAGCGCTTCTTGAAATACCGCTTCACTGTAGACATTGAAAAGTAGTGGGGACAGCACGCAACCCTGGCGGACTCCTCTCTGTATTTTGATATTTTCGGTGTACTGGCTGTCAACTCTTACCTTGGCAGTTTGATTCCAATATAAATTAGATATAATTTTCAGATCACGACTGTCAATATTTTTGCTTTTTAATATATCTACAAGCTTTTTATGTTGAACTTTATCAAATGCCTTTTCAAAGTCTACAAAACATAAGTACATATCCTGATTCATGTCCATGCATCTCTGAGCCAGCACATTCAAGCCGAACAAAGCATCTCTTGTACTCATACCATTTCTAAAGCCAAATTGTGTGTCACTAATCTCATATTCAAGAGGTTTAACAATTCTGCTGTGAATTATTTTCAAAAATGTTTTAAGTGTGTGACTCATTAAAGCTGTTGTTCTGTGGTCTGAGCAAGTTGTTGAACTTGTTTTTTTTGGGAATTGCTACAAAGGTTGATTGCAGCCATTTTCTGGGGATTGTGGCAGTCTGATATATTAGATTAAAGAGTTCAACCATTACATCAATAACATCTTCATCAATGAGTTTTAATAATTCGATGGGCACCTCATCTGGTCCAGTAGCTTTACCCTCTTTTGTGTTTTTGATCGCATAGATGACTTCTTCTCTTAATATTGGTGGTCCAGTATCCTCGGTGATTTCTAATGACAGTTCTTCTCTTTTATTATTAAATAGTACATATACAATAAGTATCATTAAATAAGTGGAGATGGCAACATTTCTCTGAAATAAAAAAGTAATACTTATTTATTGAATTAAATTTATTATCCGCAATGACAAAATTAACCAATTATTTAAATGATTTAATTGCAAAGTTTATCATAAAAGTCGTGGTAGTATTTTCATTATATTTGGGTGCTGTAATTGTTATGCGGTCAAAGTATAGTTGGTCTAATTCTACCGCTACAATTTTTCTTTGGGGCAGTTCTGTCCACTCATCGCTAAATTTTAATTTGTAGAAGATTTCACCATTAGGACTATATTTTAAAGTACGAATATCTATAACTTTACTGTCACCAACGTTACTACCTGGTCAGATACTTTTATAGACTTTAACATTGTCAAATTTTTTGAATCAACTATGATCTAAGTAGATTAAATTAAAGGGTTCTTTTCGAGCAGATTTACGTACTTGGACATAATCAGCTGGAACACTGATAACACCATTACGCAATCGACGTTCGATGGTGGAATGTATGCTGTCTGCTTCCATCTTTTTCTGTCTGCGACCTTAGCGAAAATGGCAACTTCAATCTCAAAAAAGCGTAAATTCGTTGAAGACGGTGTTTTCAAAGCCGAATTAAATGAATTTTTTAACCCGTGAACTTTCCGAAGATGGTTATTCCGGTGTGGAAGTACGTGTTACCCCAACACGTACCGAAATTATTATTATGGCCACCAGAACCGACAGGGTGTTAGGTGAAAAGAACAGGAGGACCAGAGAATTGACTTCTGTTGTACAGAAGAGGTTTAGTTTTCCTCCAGATTCAGTGGTTTTGTATGGTGAAAAAGTAGCCAACCGAGGTCTGTGTGCTATTGCCCAAGCTGAGTCACTTAGGTTCAAATTGATCGGTGGTTTGGCCGTACGTAGGGCTTGCTATGGTGTCTTGAGGTACATCATGGAATGTGGGGCTAAAGGATGTGAAGTAGTAGTATCATGAAAGTTGAGAGGACAAAGAGCCAAATCCATGAAGTTCGTAGATGGCCTTATGATCCGTTCCGGAGACCCATGCAATGACTATGTTGACACACCAACTCGTCACGTACTCTTAAGACAAGGTGTATTGGGAATCAAAGTTAAAATCATGTTGCCATGGGATCCCAGCGGCAAGACTGGACCCAAGAAGCCTTTACCTGATAATGTCTCAGTTGTAGAGCCTAAAGAAAAAACTCTTCCCCAATTCCCAAGCAGTGAAATTAAGGCATCAAAGCCTGACGTTCCTCCAGCAATTCCAGTTGCTGTAGCTTAGGGTTTAACTATGTTTTTATAAGTGAAAAAAGCTCTAATCTGCGTATGTCTGACCTCTAAGAATTTTTGTTCTATTGTAATATCATTTTGAACTGCTACATTCAATAGTGTATTGGCCATAACGCAGTTGCGATTTTGGTAAGTACAACCATTAGAATAAATAATGATGGTTGTATTTACAGTTTCAGTCATTTTTGGTTTGACTTTAGTTTCTAAAAACAAGGTCCATATAGATGCATATTCCTCAGCATTCATACCACCTTCGGTTTCGTTCCAAAGGAAACAAAATCCTTTATGGTTATTTAAATTATAGAGACACATATTATTAACTTGAAGTTTTGTTTTGTGGTAAAGTGTACTGACATTAGACTTTGGTGACATCAATACCGCCTGTAGACCCAAACACTTGTTCAGATTTATCCTTGGCTTTTTCTGACCGTGCTTCATTTTTTCTATACAGTGTGTAAAAGCCTAATGGAATAAATTCATTATTTAGGTTACTGTACATATTTATAAAAAAATCCCGAAACACGTCAAATTTAAATTATAACTTGACATTCTTTAACGTAAAAATGCAACCTCTACCTTCAACCCCCTTAGAATGACAGATACAAACCCCAATTTTTAAAATAGGAAGTATAGACTTGTGATATATCGTTTGAAAGGTCTTTTCATTCTCCGTTCAAAAATGTTGTAGCTTTCAAGTTTATTAAGATTAATTAGGATAAAATAAATTAGAATCATGTGGTTACCGAAATTCGCTAAAATATACTCAAAACTTATTTCCCGTTTAGGTCTTGATAATGAGAAAGTGAACAAAAACCATAGCCATGTGGTTTTTAGATGGTAACCATTTAACAACTTTAAAGAATTTCCGTAACAACGTTATTTTAACACGCATTAGTAAATTATTTTATTTAAATTGTCAGTATTTTTATTTAAGTAAAAAGTTCGTTCAATTCAATTCTGAAAAATGGTTAGATTAACGGAAAAAGCATAAAATAACAGTTTTACAAATGATTGGTTATGGAGATAACACGGAAGTAACTCGCCTATTTCATGAGAAATTTCCTAATTTACCGCCTTTATCCCAAGGAACAATAAGTAAAATAGAGAAGCAGTTTCGCGAGTTTGGTCATGTAAGGCAGATAAAAAAGCAGCTGCCAATGCACTGAGTGATGAACTCAAATTAGATGTGTTGCTTGAGTTTCAGGAAAATCCACATACATCGAGTAGACAGGCGTCCACTACATTCAATGCTAGCCATACATCGATAGTAAAGATATTAAAAGAAAATAAATTGCATCCCTATAAGATGATATCTACTCAGGAGCTCATGGAAGACGATTTTGATAGGAGAACTTTTTTTTGTGAGCAAATAATGGACATGTTGGATAACAATATTATCCAATTAGAAGACGTGATGAATATGAGTGTACTTTTTCACTTAACGGTCATGCCAATCGGCAAAATTGCCGCTACTAGGCCACGGAAAATCCTCACTGGATGAGAGAAGAACACATTCAATACCCTCAAAAGGTTAATGTTTGGGCAGGGATTGTAGGAAACAATATCATTGGTCCCCTTTTCATTAAGGACAACTTGAATGGCAACAATTATTTGGCACTACTTCAAAATGATGTCATTATAACATTGGCAAATTTATATCCTGATTCAAGAAACCCTCAAGTTCTAGCGAA